CTGCAGGGAGGGAAGGTGCACACACAGGCACAGGTACAGGTGAGCTCTCACTGCAGGGAGGGAAGGTGCACACACAGGTACAGGTACAGGTGAGCTCTCACTGCAGGGAGGGAAGGTGCACACACAGGCACAGGTGAGCTCTCACTGCTGGGAGGGAAGGTGCACACACAGGTACAGGTACAGGTGAGCTCTCACTGCTGGGAGGGAAGGTGCACACACAGGCACAGGTGAGCTCTCACTGCAGGGAGGGAAGGTGCACACACAGGTACAGGTACAGGTGAGCTCTCACTGCAGGGAGGGAAGGTGCACACACAGGTACAGGTACAGGTGAGCTCTCACTGCAGGGAGGGAAGGTGCACACACAGGTACAGGCACAGGTGAGCTCTCACTGCAGGGAGGGAAGGTGCACACACAGGTACAGGCACAGGTGAGCTCTCACTGCAGGGAGGGAAGGTGCACACACAGGTACAGGCACAGGTGAGCTCTCACTGCAGGGAGGGAAGGTGCACACACAGGTACAGGCACAGGTGAGCTCTCACTGCAGCGAGAGAAATTTCACGTACTGGTACAGGACACTCTCGGAGATCTCCGTCTCTGACTGAGGTTGAGGATGGTTGGAGGTGATTATCGAAGCCCTGTTACCAGAAAGCAATTTGAAGAGGAAATTGTCCACCAGGCTGAGAGCCAGGGCAGGGGAGTGGTACGCCTGGTTGTTGAACAGCGCAGTCACTATGGTTTGGTTCCCATCGTCTTTGAAGGAGGCTGCCACAAGGTAGAATTTATTAAAATTCTCGGGTTCCTCTTTTGCCTTTTTCAGTAGGAATGTCTCTAGAGAACCTAGATGGGAACATGACATGCAGCATGGCAAGAATTACGGGCAGTGTCACACCAGCTCAGCCTGCTGCCCGCCCCTACCTGCTGCGCCTCCTGGGCTCATCACGACCCCTGCCACACCCACATCCAATCCATGCCCCATTGGGAGCTCTAGTCAGTCTCCAAGTCTTGTCTCTTCCTCTTGTCACTCTCAATTCTGTCCACCTTCTCCAGGTCCACACCCCGTCATCATCATCTCTGCCAGGACTCCGTGGGCTCTACCGAAGCCCCTCGCAATCTACCGAGAGCACATATCTGACAGCATCACAGCCCACCCACAACACCCAGAGATCCTCCACGGCCCTCCCAGCAAAGCCAAATCTCTGCACATTTACTGCCTGCCACGGCTTGGGTGTGGCTGGTCCCCTTCGAAATTCATGCTGAAACTTGGTCCCCGTGTGAGTGCTGAGATGTGACGAGCTCTGTAAGAGGTGTTTGGGCCACAAGGGTCTTTCATGCTGCTCTTATGGGAGTGCGTGACCTCTCAAGGCAGGGTGGGGGTGCCTCTTACGTGGCGGGGGTGGTTAAAAAGTGGGCTCTGCTTCCTTGGCTTTCTATTGGTGCTTCTCTCACCAGATGAGCCCTTCTGCCCTCCGGCCAGGTCAAGCTCATGGAGCAACAGGAGGCCCTCCTCCAAAGCCGAGCAGGGACCAGGGCTGCCCACTGGACTTCCCAGCCTTCAGAACTATGAGCAAAATAAACTTCTCATCTGTATGAATCACCCAGTCTGTGGTACGCCGATACAGTGACAAAAGCAGACTGAGACACGGAGGACAAAGACCCGGGCTCTAAGCCTCGTGTCTGTTCCAGCCACAGCTGAGGACTCATGCTGTTTGGAATGTTCTCTGTGTCGCTTTCCCTTTCCAACGGCCAATTCCTACTCAGACCCCAGGCTCTGACCCTCCAAGGCTTTCTTTCTGTAGCCATGGTGCTGTCAGATGTTCACAGACTTCTCTAGAAGCTCCTTGGGGACTGGTAGTCATGTTACTCGTCATGTAATCCCAGCACACAGGTCACATGGGCAAATGGGATGTTTGGTGCTGGAAGGGACCTTCAGTCCCAAAGATGTCGTGACAACAGCGCCACAGGGCAAGAAGCTCACTGGGCGCCACCGGCACAAACTGCTCCGTGGGCAACATCCTCCTGGGCTCAGAGGTGGAGTGCACAGTGAGAAAAACCGTTTTGCTCATTGTGTTCTGCAACTGATCTCTTTATTTAAAAAACGTAATCACCCCAAAGTTTAACTGAATCAAAATAATACATGAATTTGATTTCAAGTCGGAGACTTACATGAGACGGGAGGAGCAGCGGTGCCCTTCCCTGCCACATCCCTCCTCAGTGCCTGCTCGTCAGAGGCGACCCCTTCCCGTGCATCAGTCAGCGTCCCCCCAGGTTGCTAAGCAGCACTTTTTTGGTTAATGTCTTATTATGGAAGCAACAACCTTGTTCTTTTGTGATCATTGCCAACCCCATCCCCCGCTTACCCTTCCCACGAGAGTTAAATCACAATTTTGGTTACATCATTCGTCAGCTTTGATATTATTATGACCAAGCAAGGATTTTTCACAGCTGGACTAAGTCGTCTATTGTGTTTCCTCTTTGTACAATTCTCCCCGTTATCATGTCTCTCTTTTCTCATTTGCTCAGTTTTCTTTACATGCACACCATCAACTCACCCACAGCCCTGGACAGACATGCAAATCTCCTTTCAAAACATTCAGACACAAAGGACGATTCGCTGGTTTCATCTGTGGCATGACACTGTCGTTTCTAAGAACTTTCCCTTCCCTGTCATTTGGGGTCTGAAGGGTGTTTTTCTTTTTCTTTTTTTTTTAAATTTTTTTTTTTTTTTGACAGGCAGAGTGGACAGTGAGAGAGAGAGACAGAGAGAAAGGTCTTCCTTTTGCCGTTGGTTCACCCTCCAATGGCCGCCGCGGCCGACGCGCTGCGGCTGGCGCACCGCGCTGATCCGATGGCAGGAGCCAGGAGCCATGTGCTTTTCCTGGTCTCCCATGGGGTGCAGGGCCCAAGCACTAGGGCCATCCTCCACTGCACTCCCTGGCCACAGCAGAGAGCTGGCCTGGAAGAGGGGCAACCGGGACAGAATCCGGCGCCCCAACCGGGACTAGAACCCCGTGTGCCGGCGCCGCAAGGCGGAGGATTAGCCTAGTGAGCCGCGGCGCCAGCTTGAAGGGTGTTTTTCTGAGGCTTCTGACTGCTCAGTCTGACTTCAGTGAGCAGAACGTGGCCGAGAGGAGAATGATCAGCGTGTGCCATGCCCTCCTTCGCCTGACGCTTACCTGGGACCTCCAGGGGAACCTGCCCCTGGGCCACAAGCATGTCTGCAAAGCGTTCTGAAAGCTGAGGGTCCAACCTGGGGTTCTGAGGAACAGAGAATGGAACGACGGTCCGGCCGTATGCTTTCAGATTCAGCGCCAGGGGGACGCTTGCCATGCTCCTTTCTTTGAAGCTGAAGAGGAAGAGGCTTAACACAATGACCAGCAGAGGCACCAGGACCTGCATCGACAGCATCAGCATCCAGCCGCGCCAGGAGTGCATTGCTTTCTTCAGGAGCATGGCGAGGAACTGCTGGCACAGAAGACGGAACTACAAGAAAGAAGGGCGGACACAGCACCAACATGGCCACAGGCACGGCGCATGCCCAGCTGTATTCCCTTAGAACAGGCCTCGCTAGCTTTCCAATATTGTTAAACATACACTTCAAATTAAATTATTTGAATATGATTATTCAATTATTAAATATGATTTGACTGATACTTAATGGAGGAAAGCAAAGGCACATATTAGAAAGAGGTTGGAAGACTAGCCTAAATAGGTCTCAAATGTAAGCAACATATATATTTTTATAAACATATGTATATACGTATTTTTTTAATTTGACAGGCAGAGTTAGACAGTGAGAGAGAGAGACAGAGAGAAAGGTCTTCCTTCCGTTGGTTCACCCCCTAAATGGCTGCTACGGCCGGCGCTGCGCCGATCCAAAGTCAGGAGCCAGGAGCTTCTCCTGGTCTCCCATGTGGGTGCAGGGCCCAAGCACCTGGGCCATCCTCCACTTCCCTCCCAGGCCATAGCAGAGAGCTGGACTGGAAGAGGAACAACTGGGACTAGAACCTGACGCCCATATGGTATGCTGGTGCTTCAGGTGGAGGATTAACCAAGTGAGCCACGGAGCCGGCCCCAAACATATATATATATATATATATATATATATATATATTTTTTTTTTTTTGACAGGCAGAGTGGACAGTGAGAGAGAGAGACAGAGAGAAAGGTCTTCCTTTGCCGTTGGTTCACCCTCCAATGGCCGCCGCGGCCGGCGCACCACGCTGATCCGATGGCAGGAGCCAGGAGCCAAGTGCTTTTCCTGGTCTCCCATGGGGTGCAGGGCCCAAGCACCTGGGCCATCCTCCACTGCACTCCCTGGCCACAGCAGAGAGCTGGCCTGGAAGAGGGGCAACCGGGACAGAATCCGGCGCCCCAACTGGGACTAGAACTCGGTGTGCCGGCGCCACTAGGCGGAGGATTAGCCTAGTGAGCCGCGGCGCCGGCCCCAAACATATATTTTTATAAACAATCTACAGAACATATATTTTTACCTACAAGACTTGCAAAATTAAAAAAAAGATTTATTTTATTTATTTGAAAGAGTTACAGAGAGAGGTAGAGACAGAGAGAGAGGACTTGCAAAATTTCAAACTTGATGGGAATGTGGGGAAAATGTCACTGTTGGTGTGGTCTTAATGAACTGCCACTTTTTATCTGGATACATAAAATTTAGTTTAACCTTGAAGTTGCACTTGTATGCATACAGGACCCACGCACAAAGACAGTCCATGCCAAAGAATGCATTACTGTGCACTGAGTCAGGCTGCAGGGGAGAGAGACGGCCGAGGTTGGTACTGCCCTCTCACCTCGGCTTCCCCGAGGTTGGTCCTGCGCTCTCTCCTCGGCTTTCCCGAGGTTGGTCCTGCGCTCTCTCCTCAGCTTCCCCAGGTTGGTCCTGCGCTCTCTCCTCGGCTTCCCCAGGTTGGTACTGCCCTCTCTCCTCGGCTTCCCCAGGTTGGTACTGCCCTCTCTCCTCGGCTTCCCTGTGGTGCTGCCTGTAGGGCCTTCAGGACTCAGGTGCCAGTGTTCCTTATGCACAAGTCTATCTGTGGAAGTTCTCTGAGAAGAACCCTGGTGGCCAGGTCTGAGGCAAGTATTCTAGGTTCCTGGCCCAAAATTTCAATAAACACCAAAAAGTCTGACAACACCCTCTTAGGTTTCTGCACTCAACACGACGGAGCCTGCGTCCACCTCACATTCGTCAAGGCCCCACTGCCCATGTCTGCGGCTGGACTGAGAAAGAGCTACCAGGAAGACACAAGAACTGTCTCCCAAAACAGAGCTTGGTCAAGGGGAGCCCAGACAAACACCGAGGAACAGCCTCTTGTACAGGAGTAGGGGCTGGCCTGGATGACCCCAAGACCTTTCCCAGTGTGGAGGCTCCATGCATTCCAGCTTCCCCTTTAATAGACGATTCAAGATTATGAAGCAATGAAATTAATCTCTCACTCGTAAGAGTTCAATTCCCAGCTGCTCCACTTCTGATCCAGCTCCCTGACCATGTTCCTGGGAAAGCAGTGGAGGATGGCCCAATTGCTTGGGCCCTTGCACCTATGTGGGAGATCTGGAAAAAGCTCTTGGCTCCTAGCTTCGGCTTGACCTCATCCTGGCCGTTGTGGACATCGGGGAGTGAACCAGCAGATGGAAGACCTCTCTCTGTCTCTGACTCTCTGTCTCTGCCTCTCTCTCTCTCTCTGCCTCTGCCTCTGCCTCTCTGTAACTCTGCCTTTCAAATAAATAAGTAAATATTAAAAAAAAAAAAACTAGAACAGAGATTATGATATTGCTGTCTTTTATGCCTAAAATTTGCACACTTTTTTTTAGGTTCTTGTAAAAGGTTGATGCACACTTTTTTTTTTGACAGGCAGAGTGGACAGTGAGAGAGAGAGACAGAGAGAAAGGTCTTCCTTTTCCGTTGGTTCACCCCCCAATGGCTGCTGTGGCCGGCGCACCACGCTAATCCAAAACCAGGAGCCAGGTGCTTCTCCTGGTCTCCCATGCTGGTGCAGGGCCCAAGGACTTGGGCCATCCTCCACTGCACTCCCGGGCCACAGCAGAGAGCTGGACTGGAAGAGGAGCAACCCGGACAGAATCCGGCACCCCGACCGGGACTAGAACCCGGGGGAACTAGAACCCAGGGTGCCAGTGCCGCAGGCGGAGGATTAGCCTATTGAGCCACAGCGCCGGCCCAATGCACACTTCCTGATAGAATGACAACTTGGTTCTAAGAACTTGACCGAAATCTGCTTATACCTGGAATGCTCTGCTTACCCCAGTATTTAGTCTGATCGGGAGGCCACTGTGTATGGAGTAGATCCTTGAATGAATGTGTTTAATTCTGTCAACAGGAACTCTGCTAACCAGGGGATGAGGACGGAGAGAGGAGCGTTTGCTGCCTGGAAGATTTACACTGGAGTCTGCCAACGTACAAACCCTAAACCAAAACAAAAATATCAAAACCAAATACAAATTCTCATAACACAACACATTTGAATCAAAGGAATCAAAGTCATATAAAATTCAGAACAGTAAGAAATTAAGAATAATGAGGGGAAAAGAACCTACACTTAAATTACATACTAGGGGCCTGGCACCGTGGCACAGTAGGTTAATCTTCCACCTGCAGTGCCAGCATCCCATATGGGTGCTGGTTCTAGTCCCGCGGCTCCACTTCCTATCCAGCTCTCTGTTATGGCCTGGGAAAGCAGTAGAAGATGGCCCAAATCCTTGGGCCCCTGAACCCACGTGGGAGACCTAGAGGAGGCTCCTGGCTCCTGGCTTCAGATCAGTACAACTTCAGCTGCTGCGGCCATTTGAGGGAATGAACCAAAGAAAGGAAGACCTTCCTCACTGTCTCTTCCTCACATTGTCTGTGACTCTACCTCTCAAATAAAATAAATAAAATATTTTTAAAAATTACATACTAGATAGCGATATCCTATAAAGGTTTTAAACAAGTACTAAGCCTTCAGTTAATTAACCAATGCCATTGCCAAAGAATCATGCCTAAACCAACATTAACAAAGGTAAAGCTGTCACCTGAAATGCCTGCATTTCATATGGGCACCAGTTTGAGTCCTAGCTGTGCTACTTCTGATCCAGCTCTCTGCTATGACTTGGGAAAGCAGAAGATGGCCCAAACCAGTGCCCATATGAGATGCTGGCACCACAGGGCCATAGCACTGGCCAGATTTTACATTTTTTAAAAGATTTATTTGTTTATTTGAAAGTCAGAGTTAAACAGAGAGAGGAGAGGCAGAGAGAGAGAGAGAGAAAGGCGGAGAGGTCTTCCATCCACTGGTTCACTCCCCAATTGGCCACAATGGTCGGAGCTGCGTCTCCCACATGAGTGCAGGGCCCAAGGACCTGGGCCATCCTCCACTGCTTTCTCAGGCCATAGCAGAGAGCTGGATCAGAAGTGGAGCAGCCAGGACCTGAACTGGTGCCCACATGGGATGCCAGCACTGCAGGCAGTGGCTTTACCCACTACACCACAGCACTGGACCCCAGATTTTACATTTTGAAATGGTTACGTGGGGTCAGGGTTCTGGCTTAATGAGTTAGGCAGATGCCTGCAGTGCCAGCACCCCATATGGGTCAAATCCTGGCTACTCCGCTTCCAATCCAGCTCCCTGCTAATGTACCTAGGAAAGCAACATATGAACATGGCCCAAGTGCTTTGGCCCCTGCACCCATGTGGGAGACCCAAATGAAGCTCCTGGCTCCTAGCTTTGGCCTGGCCTAGCCCCAGCCATTGCAGCCATTTGGGGAGTGAACCAGCATATGGAGGATCTCCCTATCTCTCCCTCTCTCTATAACTCTTTCAAATAATAAATCTTTAAAAAAGTACATAATAACATGCTACATGGTTATATAATCTACTTAATATCAAATGTTATGCACTACGCCTACACAGCATGAAATACTATCTGATCCTTTTAAAAAAGTTGCTAATATCTTGTTCTAGGCAAAAAGATGCTTCGTTGTTGGCAGTAAAGGGGTAGTGGTCAGGAAACACGTTCCTGTCCAAGTCTCTGGGCCATTATTCCACTGCTCAGTTTGTCACAGCAAAGTAACCCAGCACGTTGTAGCTCATCATTTGCTCAGTATGGTCCATAAAGGGTGTGTTGCTGTGACGCAGATTATTCCAAAAGTTAGCAGCACAAGATAACTTAAACATTTATATTCTCACAGTGTCTGTGGATCAGGAGTTTGGGAGTGGCTTAGCTAAGTGATTGTCTCAAGCTATTGCCCAGGGCTGTGGTCACAGAAAGACCTGACTGGGGCTGGAAGATTCACTTTCAAGAGCAGAAAGTAGGAAGAGTTTCTCACCCCCCACTCTGTTCCCCTTCATTAGTTATCTTGTATTTGCCATTTTTGCTATAATTGATGAAGTAGTATTCCAGCAGGTTTTTTAAAAAGTTTATTTGAAAGGTATGAGTGAGAGAGAGAGAGAGAGAGAAGAGAGAGAATGAATCTTTTATGTGCTGGTTCACTCTTCAAATGAACAGTCAGATATGGGCCAGGCTGAAGTCAAGAGCCAGGAGCTCCAGCTGGATCTCCCACACGGATGGCAGGGCTCAGGTGTTTCCCAGAACCACCAGCCAAGAGCGGGACCTGAAGCAGAGCAGCCGGCACTGAACCATCACTCCCATGCTGGGTGCTGGCCTCCTAAGCATGGCTTAAACTGCTGTGCCACAATGCACAGCCACAAGAATTCTCTTTTTTTAAAGATTTTTATTTATTTATTTTTTTTTTGACAGGCAGAGTGGACAGTGAGAGAGACAGAGAGGAAGGTCTTCCTTTGCCGTTGGTTCACCCTCCAATGGCCGCCGCGGCCGGTGTGCTGCAGCCGGCGCACCGTGCTGATCCGATGGCAGGAGCCAGGAGCCAGGTGCTTTTCCTGGTCTCCCATGGGGTGCAGGGCCCAAGCACCTGGGCCATCCTCCACTGCACTCCCTGGCCACAGCAGAGAGCTGGCCTGGAAGAGGGGCAACCGGGACAGAATCCGGCGCCCTGACCGGGACTAGAACCTGGTGTGCCGGCGCCGCTAGGCGGAGGATTAGCCTAGTGAGCCGCGGCGCCGGCCTGATTTTTTTTTTTAATTTATTTGACAGGTAGAGTTATAGACAGTGAGAGAGAGAAAGGTCTTCCTTCCTTTGGTTCACTCCCCAAATGGCTGCTACAGCCAGCACTGCACCAATCTGAAGCCAGGAGCCAGGTGCTTCTCCTGGTCTCCCATGCAGGTGCAGGGCCCAAGCACTTGGGCCATCCTCCACTGCCCTCCTGGGCCACAGCAGAGAGCGGGACTGGAAGAAGAACCGGGACTAGAACCCAGTGCCCACATGGGATGCCGGCACCGCAGGTGGAGGATTAACCTAATGAGCCACGGTGCTGGTCCCAAGGAATTCTTTTTAAATGAAGTGAAAAATACTCATTGTTTATACCAGCTGAGCCAGTGTTATCTGTTACAGGTAGGCAAAAACATTCCAACTAATACAACACAATGCTTTTTTCATTTCTAGAAATTTCTGTTAAAACTGTTGAAAATTACATTTAACATCGCCTCCACTATCCAACGTCCCCACTACTGGAGTACTAGTCTGGGCTGGAGGCCCTGGGTCTGAGCCACCACCACTGTGGGCACTGCTTAGACAGATGGTCCTCAAAAGCCTTTCTTTGCAGCCGGAGGTCTCCAGAGCCATCACTTCCTCCCCACTCACCGAATGAACACATCCTCCATGGTGGTGACAGAGGCCCCGAAGCTGGCGATGCCCAGCTCCGCCTGCTTCAGTTCCAAGTCGTTAAACAGAGATTCAAACCTGGAAGGAAAGCAGTTTTATTTCTGAAAGATGGAAGGTGGATCCCTCAGCACTCTGCTTAGCTCTCTACAGAAAAAGCGTGAGCTTTGTGTGAGGAGCTCAGTCCCACCTTTGTCACCCTAGCTTCACCCCTGCAGGACGCGAACCCAAACAGTGAGGCAACAGCATCTGCCTCAGGACGGCTCCATCAGCACGTGACAGATGCAAGGTAATTATTTTTAAAGATCTATTTATTTGTAAGGCAGAGCAAGAAAGAAGCAGAGACGAGAGGGGAGGGGAGGGGGGGAGGGGAGGAGAAGGGAGGGGAGAGGAGAGAGAGGAGAGGAGAGGCGAGGCGAAGAGAGAGAGGAGAGTTCTTTCATCCACTGGTTCAGTCCCCAAATGGTCGCACTACCATGCGTCCCCCATGCTGGAGATGTCCTTGGCAACAGTGCCAGCTGGGCCTACCCTTCCAGACATCCCTGCAAGGCACAGACATACGAATGAGGCTACCTTGCACCTTCCAGATGACTCACATTCCATGAGACCCTTGTGTCCGTGCTCCTGAGGAATATTAGCCTGGTTTTCTGCTCTCAGTTTTTCCAGGTTTCGGTATCTGGGTTGTGCTGTCCTTAAAATGAGTTGAGAAGTGCTCCTTTCTCTATTTTCTTACAGCATGGGACTATTTCTTCCCTTGATGTTTGACAGGATCTAGAGGTTTGTTTTCTTTTTTCCAAAAAGATTTATTTCATTTATTTGAAAGGCAGAATTAGAGAGAGAGGCAGAGGCAGAGAGAGACATACCTTCCATCTGCTGCTTTACTCCTCAGATGGCCACAATGGCCAGAGCTGGCCCAGGCAGATGCTGGGAGCCAGGAGCTTCTTCTGGGTCTCCCACGCGGGTGCAGGGGCCAGGCATTTGGGCATCTTCTGTTGCTTTCTGAGGCATATTAGCAGGGAACAGGATTGAAGTGGAGCAGCCAGGACTTCATCCAGCATCCATGTTGGATGCCGGCATTGTAGGTGTCAGCTTACTGCAATACTGGTCATCCAGAGGTGTCTTTTCTGGGAATACTTTTATTGAAAATTCAATTTCAGCTGGCGCCACAGCTCACTAGGCTAATCCTCTGCCTGTAGCGCCGGCACCCCGGGTTCTAGTCCTAGTTGGGGCTCTGGTTCTGTCCTGGTTGCTCCTCTTCTAGTCCAGCTCTCTGCTGTGGCCTGAGAAGGCAGTGGAGGATGGCCCAGGTGCTTGGGTCCTGCACCCCATGGGAGACCAGGAGGAACACCTCACTCCTGGCTTCGGATCGGCGCAGTACATCGGCAGTAGCAGCCATTTGGGGAGTGAACCAACAGACGGAAGACCTTTCTCTCTTTCTCTCTCATTGTCTAACTCTGCCTGTCAAAAAGAAAATTCAATTTCATAACTAGATATATTATTATTCATATTTTTCTGTGCCATTTGTATCAGTTTTTGTGTGTGTGTTTTTTTTTAAGGAATCAGCTCATCTTTTCCTAAATTATCCAAGTTATTTAACTGTGATATTTTATTACCCTTTTTGACTCCAGGCTCTCTGCAATTACAGCAGTTCTTTCATTCTTGATGTTGGTTAATATTTTTCTCTTTAATGGTCCTGTTAAGAGTCCATTAATCTTTTAAAACAAATAACTTCAAGTTTTTAAAGTTTTCTCCATTTGTTTGTTTCCCATTTCATTGTTTTCTTTCCTTACAATTTCTTCCCTTCTACACACCCTGGGTCAAGTGATGATAAGCCTTTCTTTTTTTCTAATGTAAGCTTTAAAAAGTACATTTTAAAGCATTCCTTCAGCATCTGAAAATTTTTCAAATTAATTCATTTTATTTGAAAGGGAGGAAGGGAAAGAGGGGGGAAGGGAAGGAGGAAGGGAGGGAGACAGAAAAACAGAGAGAGAGAGAATGAGTCTCCCATCCACCGGTTCACTCCCCATATGACCACAGCAAACAGGGCTGGGTCAGGCGAGGCTGGGAGTTGGGGACTCAATGCAGGTCCCCCCATGGCTGGCAGGGGCTCAACTGCTTGAGCTGCGCCAAGTGGCAACTGAACCCCTACATCAAATGCCTGCTCCTCAACATTTTTTTAAGATTTATTTATTTATTTGAAAGTCAGAGTTACACAGAGAGAGGAGAGGTGGGGGCGGGTCTTCCATCCATTGGTTCACTCCCCTGTTGGCTGCAACGGCCGGAGCTGTGAAGCCAGGAGCCAGGAGCATCTTCTGGTCTCTCATGCGAGTGCAGGGGCCCAAGGACTTGAGCCATCTTCTATTGTTTTCCCAAGCCATAATAGAGAGCTGGATTGGAAGTGGAGCAGCCGGGTCTTGAACCAGCACCCATATGGGATGCTGGCGCTTCAGGCCAGGGTGTTAACCTGCTGTGCCACAGCGCCGGCCCCTCCTCAATATTTCTGATGTTGTTTTCATCATCATTCAGTTCAAAATATTTTCCACTTTGTTCTGTGAGTTATTCAAGATGTATATTTTTTAGCTTCCAAATATTTGTAGATTTTCTAGAGAACTTACTGTAATAATTTCTAACTTAATTCCATTGTTAGAGATCATAATTTATTTCTTTAGTCAGAGATCATAATCCACATTTCAAATTTTTGGAGTTTATCTGGAGTTTATTGGAGTTTTCACAGCCTAGCACGTTGCAGTAAGCATCCGCTAGGCACCTGGAGAGGACGGGGCTCTGCAGCTGTGGTGAGCCCTGCACACTGACAGCAAGGGCATGCGACGTCCCTAGTGAGTTTCTGGTTCCACTTGTTCAGTCAACAACCGAGGGGAGAGCTGTGATCCCCAGCACGGTTACGGGGTCTTCAGTTTCACGTTCACATGCTTGTGAAGCTCCGGTGTGAGGTGCACACTCACATAGGTCTGCGATGACTCCACGGTGCACTGTCTACCTTGGAGCACTGCCAGTCTGCAAAGATGGCCTCACAGTTCCTGCTCTCATACATGCCATTGTCACACCAAGACCTGGTGCTTGGGTGCTGCCACCTGTGAGGCTGGCATCCTACATAGCTGTCAGTGTGAGTCCTAGCCACTCCACTTCTAATCCAGCTCCCTGATAATGTGCCTAGGAGGGCAGCGGCGGATGGCCCAGATTCCTGGGCCCCTGCAACCCATGTGGGAGACTCAGATGAAGTTCCAGGCTCTTGGCTTCAGCCTCATCCCAGCCCCAGCAGTCATGGCCATTTGGGGAGTAAACTAGAAGATGGAAGATCTTTCTCTCTCTATCTCTCCCTCTCTCTCTCTAACTCTGCCTTTCAAATAAAAAAAATCTTGGAAGAAAAGGAAAAAAAATTGTCACAAGGAAAGGGGAAAAAGAGAGAGAGAAAGGAAGGGACAGACAGTGAGAGAGAAATCCTCCAGCCGCTAGTTCACTCCAGAGATGACCGAAATGGCCAGGGCTGGCCAGCCTGAAGCCAGTAGCTAGGAGTTTCATCTGGGTCTCCCACATGAGTGGCAAGGGCCTAAGCATTTGGTCCATCCTCCACTGCCCTGCCCAGGCCAGTTTAGCAGGGAGTTGGATCGGAAGTGGAGCAGCCGGGACCCGAACGGGCACTCACATGGGATGCTGGTAAAGGCCCAACCCGCTCTGCCACAACGCCAGCCCCTAAGGTAATGTTCTGATCTGAAAGTAACAGCAAGGAGCGAAGAGGAAAGAGGCTAGTGTCAGGAATCTGAGGTCTGAAATAATCAATCAAAAGGAAAATCAATTAAGTTCTTCACCTGAACTCAGTAACGTGGGCACAAGGAATTATAATTCACACAATCAAGGAACTCTGCCATATGACAGAATTTAAACTAAAGGCAATTGGGAGCCCGTGCGGGTTAAAGGAGGGAGCTGACACAACACAACCCTGTATCCAGTGTGCACTCGGCTGTGGGGTGCTAACTCCCCAGCAAATCCCAGGGCTAGGGCGCAGCCCCTCAGGTGTTGAGAGCTCCCAGCAAATCCCAGGGCCTAGGGCGCAGGCCCCTCAGGTGTTGAGAGCTCCCAGCAAATCCCAGGCCTAGGGCGCAGGCCCCTCAGGTGTTGAGAGCTCCCAGCAAATCCCAGGGCCTAGGGCGCAGCCCCTCAGGTGTTGAGAGCTCCCAGCAAATCCCAGGCCTAGGGCCCAGGCCCCTCAGGTGTTGAGAGCTCCCAGCAAATCCCAGGGCTAGGGCGCAGCCCCTCAGGTGTTGAGAGCTCCCAGCAAATCCCAGGCCTAGGGCCCAGGCCCCTCAGGTGTTGAGAGCTCAGGCAGAGCACACTCGGGGGGGGGGGGGGGGGGACACGGAGCACATACCTGTGCACGCTCTCTCTAGGAAGTATGAATATTACTTCTTCTCCAGCGCTGGACTCCAAAACAGCATTTGGTATGTGATGATACATCAGGTGAGAAAGTGCCTCTGTGTTACAGCGAGGTGTTTTCAGTAAAGTGATATAATATCCTGCACCTGAAACACCATTGGAAAGACCATGAAGCAACATCACTCTTCATACTTCTCGTCTCAGACCACATGGAGAGAAACATGCAGTCAAACTGAAACCACATGGAACTCACCTGGGAAGTTTTGTAGTGCTAGTCTTGTATAAAATTTTTTTAATTTATTTTATTTTTTTAAAGACAAAGAAAGAAAGAGAGAGAGACGGAGAGAGCATGAGCTTCTATCTATTGGTTCTTTCTCTCTCTTTTTTAAGCATTTATTTTATTTATTTGAAAGAATTAGAGAGAGAGGTAAAGCCAGAGAGAGAGAGGCCTTCTATTCTGCTGGTTCACTCCCCAAAAGACTGCAACAGTCAGAGCTGAGCTGATCTGAAGCCAGGAGCTAGGAGCTTCTTCAGGGTCTCCCATGTGGGTGCAGAGGCCTAGGGACTTGGGCCATCTTCTACTGCTTTCCCAGGCCACAGCAGAGAGCTGGATTGGAAAAGAAGCAGCTGGGACTTGAAACAGTGCACATATGGAATGGTGGCGCTGCAGGCTGGGGCTTTAATACCTGCTGTGCCACAGCACCACCCCCTGGTTCTCTCTCCAAATGCCTGCAACATCTGGGGTGTGGACAGGCTAAACCAGGAGGGTAGCAGGGACTGAAGTATTTGATCTACTACCTCCTGCCTCTGAGTACAAGCATTAGCAGGATGCTGGAATCAAAGTGGAGCAAGAACTTGAGCCCAGGCACTGTAACACAGGATGCAGGCATTCTAAGGGCCTCTTTTTTTTTTTTTTTTTTTTTTAAACAGATAGAGTTAGACAGTGAGAGAGAGAGACAGAGAGAAAGGTCTTCCTTCCATTGGTTCACCCCCCAAATGGCCGCTATGGCTGGAGCTATGCCAATCCAAAGCCAGGAGCCATTTGCTTCCTCCCGGTCTCCCACGCAGGTGCAGGGGCCAAGGACCTGGGCCATCTTCCACTGCCTTCCCAGGCCACAGCAGAGAGCTGGACTGGAAGAGGGGCAACCGGGACTAGAACCCAGCGCCCATATGGATGCCGGCACCACAGGCAGAGGATAAACAAGGGAGCCATGGCGCCGGCCCCTAAGTGCCTCTTAACTGCTGTGCCACAGCCTGCCCAGTAGCGCTCCTGTGAGTCTTCCCTTTCTGCTTCAGAACACGGAGGTGACAATGGTGAAGTAGCAAAGCCACCCAAAAGGAAGGGGGGCTACATTAAGGACAACATGTGCTTCAAGTGTAACCAGGGGAAGTGAAAGGTGAGGAGGCAGGGGCCTTGAAAGTTGAGGCAAAGTACAAAGCAGCCTGTGTAATAATCACTTCATGCTCCTGGGGACGCACGCCTCACGGTACTACAAACACTGCTTCAGCAGTCAGTAACACTTGTCACCACGTGCTGGACATTACTCATTCCATAAACCTCTCCTGAGGCCCAGGACGGACAGGCACTGCTGAGGGAATAGCACTGAACCAAACACTCCCACTCTGGGAGCGGGGAGCTGGCACTGCGGCTCAGCAGGTTAAGCTGCTGCTCAGGATGCCCATACCAGAGCACTGTCCACGTGCTGCCTGTTTTCAGTCCAGCTGCCTGCTAAGGCACAGCCAGGGAGGCAGTATGTGACACATCAAACGCCTGGGTCCCTGCCACCCGTATGAGAGACACAGATTGAGTTCCAGAATCTTGGCTTTGGCCTGGCCCAGCCCTGTTTGCAGGCATTTGGGGAATAAGTCAACGGATGGATGATCCCTGTTTGTCTCTGCCTCTCTGCCTTTGAAATAAATACAAATAAATAAATAATTTTTTTAAAGAATCCCTACTTTCATTTAAGGAACGAGAGGCAGACAAAAAACAAGATATATAGGTACAATTTATAGAGCGTTAGAGAAAGAAACAGAGGAGGGCACAGGAGGGGGGTGTGACTTTAAACTGATGGAGGAAGCTCACCGAGAGTGACCGCTGTGGAAGGGACAAAAGGGCACAGCCGTGGGTAGTCTCAGAGGCTTGGTTAGCAGGGGCCTCAGGGGAGGAGCACAGCCAGGAGACAGGGAGGATCAGGAATGAGGCCAGAGTAGCAGGGCCAGGCCAGTCGGGTCCTACTGGCCACTCCCAACTCCAGCTTTCACTCTGAGTGGGAGGCAAAGTCCCTAGAGGTACTGGGCAGCATCAGCAGGTGGCATGCACTGTCACGTGCCCCTGGTGGGCTGGGAATAGAGGGAGGTGGGGCAAGAGCAGAGGCATCTGCAGTGACCCCTGTGGGAGAAGACGGGGCCCTGCGCCCAGGCGCCAGCACGCTGTTAGAGGTAGAGAGGCAGGAGACAGCTTGGACGTACTCTGAAGGTAGGACCTGTGAGGTTTGCAGATGCAGTATGAGAAAGACAGGGGCAGGGAGCCTCCAGGGTTTTAGCCAAGCACCTAGGAAGATGGAGCTGCTTTTCCGAAGATGACAAAGCCTGTAGCAGAGCACGCGGGGTAGGAGAGCAGAGCTCAGCTCTGCACAGGCTCTGCAGGGGTCCGAGTGGTGCACTCGGTGCGGCACAGCCCTCATGACTTCATCAATGCCTTTCTGGGGTGAGTGAGCTCGTGCTCTCAGGCATCTGCATCATCCACTGGAAGAGCAAGTTGTCGCAAAGCAAGTTCAGGTTCTCCCGCTCTCTCTCCCTTCTCTTAATGGACACAGCTACGTGCCATCCTGCTTTCTGCCAGCAGCAGAAGCAGCCCACGGCCCTCACAAATGAGGCCACGACATGGGACTGCCCAGCCTCCAGACCATGAGCCAGAACAAACCTTGTCTCATAGGTCAGTCAGTCCCAGGTGTTGGTGCCGCAACAGGAAGTGGAGTAAGTCAGCTCCCAAGCAGAGTTGGGACAGGCAGTCTGAGCTGCAGACACAGGGCTCAGGCCAGGGGATACACACGAATGTTTCACACAGAGAAGGGATTAGAGATCACCAGGTCAGCCAGCACAGAAAGCAGAGAGCAGTTGGTGAGAGGCAGGTAGAGAGGTAGAGAGGGAGGGAACCTGGCCTGCATGAGCAGGGGGACAGTGGGGGATGCCTGCAGGGGACAAGGATGGCAACAGCAGAGAAACATCACTTGTGCAGTGCCTTTACACCCACAATCCCTCCCAAAGGAACACAACAGCTCCCTCTCTGATTCACTGATTAGAAAGCAAAGGCAAGGCCGGCGCTGTGGCTCACTTGGCTAATCCTCCGCCTGCGGTGCTGGCACCCCGGGTTCTAGTCTCGGTTGGGGCGCCGGATTCTGTCCTGGTTGCTCCTCTTCCAGTCCAGCTCTCTGCTGTGGCCAGGGAGTGCAGTGGAGGATGGCCCAAGTGCTTGGGCCCTGCACCCACATGGGAGACCAGGAGGAACACCTGGCTCCTGGCTTTGCATTGGCACAGCGCGCTGGCCCTAGCAGCCATTTTGGGGGGTGAACCAATGGAAGGAAGGCATTTCTCTCTGTCTCTCTCTCACTGCCTAACTCTGCCTGTCTAAAAAAAAAAAAAAAAAGAAAGAAAGAAAGAAAGAAAGAAAGAAAGAAAGAAAGCAAAGGCAAAACTAACATGGCCTCCTGGGTAAAGGCAGTAAAGTGGCAGACTGGAACCCAAGCACCGTCCTTCTGACTCCAGCATCTCAGAGACTGTTTGTCACTTCATTTCTTCCTGCTTCTCACAGCCCCTCCACCTGGCCTGGGGTCTCCCTACACGGGCCCTGGAGCAGGAAGTCCAGAGAAGGGCCCTTAACAAACACCAACAGGGGGCGGCTGCCTGCACACAGTGGTCCAGTGGCACTGACCCCATCCTGGACGGAGGCCAGACCTCCTGCCCACCTCATGGCACTGACCCTGTCCTAGGACAGAGGCTGGACCACCCACCCACCTCCTGTGCTCACCGTAAGGCACTGACCCCATCCTGGACAGAGGCCAGACCGCCTGCCCGCCTCCTGTGCTCACTGTAAGGCACTGACCCTGTCCTAGGACAGAGGCCGGACCGCCCACCCACCTCCTGCGCTCACCGTAAGGCACTGACCCCATCCTGGACAGAGGCCAGACCGCCTGCCCGCCTCCCGCGCTCACCGTATTTCTGCTTGAGGAACAGCGGTGACCCGCAGCACTGTAGCTCCCCCTTGGCCATGATGGCGATGCGGTCCCCCAGCAGGTCGGCCTCATCCATGAAGTGGGTGGTCAGCAGGATGGTGCGGTCGCTCTTCTGCTGCTGCAGCAGGTCCCAGACAGCCCTCCTGGAGATGGCGTCCATGCCCGAGGTGGGCTCGTCCAGAATCAACACCTGGAGGTAGAGGGGGAGACACAGCCTTGTGATGACAGCAGAGCTAAGTCCCAAAGCTCAGGCTGGTTGTGCAATAGGCCCCTGTGGCTTCACAGGGATTGTCAAGCTGGCTTCAGTTCTACAAAGAAGAGACACAACTGCCCATGCAAGACTGTGCATCCAGGGAACCAAGGGCTGAAATGTCTGGGCCATGGCTAAAGGCCAGCCTAGGCCCAGCAGGAGCTAGAGCCCACTGTCCACGGGCCCTGCTGCTCGGTATATGTGTCTACCACCAGTGCAGCCCTGGCCCGTGCTGCGTACCTTGGAGCCTGCGATGAGGGCGATGCCGATGGACAGCTTGCGCTTCATCCCCCCGCTCAGGAACCGGCAGCGGGAGTCACGCTTGTCCTCCAGGCTCAGCACGTGCAGCATCTGCTTGACTTCCTCGGGGCACTTGTGGGGCGACAGGCCTTTCAGCTGAGACCACAGGACCAAGGAGAGACAGGGCAGGCACTCTGATGGGAGGCTGACCCACCTGAGCAACATTTAGCTTGTATATACATAAATACACATGAGAGGGATACACAGGGCAGGCAGTAGGCAAGGTGGCTGGGACACTTTCCGTGTCGGAGTGTTTGGGTTCGAGTCACAGCTGCATTTCTGACCCAGCAGCAGATAATCATGTAGTAGGGTTCCCATCACACGTGTGGGAGACTCAAAGTGAGCTCCTGGCTCCTGGCTTTGGCCTAGCCCAGCCCCAGCTTTTGCAGGCTAGAAGAGTAAACCAGTGAATGGAAGATTTCACCCTGTTTCTGTTTCTGTCCCTGTCTCTCTGCCTTTCAAATAATAAAAAATTGAAAAAATAAAAAAGTTTTAAAAAGAAAGATAAACTAGAAACGTACTACCTTCAGGGAAGAGGACAGACAAAAGGCGTTTGCATTTTGAATCATGTCAATGAACACATAACTTTGATTAAAAGTAAGCATAACGCAGCTGTTCAAAGAATTACACATCATGGCCAAGTGGGAAATCCACTAAGATTATTAGAGCTAAAAAATGAGTTCAACAGAGTTCCAGATAAAAGATAAATATACAAATTTCCGTTGTTTCTTTACATGCTGGCAATGAACAATCAAATATGAAATTACAAAAACAAGTGCATTTACATTAGCGTCACAAGGAATAAAGTATTTGTGAATAGATTTGCCCAAGGAAGTACAATAATTGTACACTGAAGACTATAAAACATTGTTAAAGGAAAATAAAGAAGACCAAAAGTAATGGAAATACATTTCCCGTTCTTAGATTGGGATCTTAAATATTGTTAAAAATAACATTACTGGAGCAGACGTGGTATGTTGAGTTAAGCTGCCACCATGATGCCGGCAGCCCTTGATGGACTGCCAGTCTGAGACCCACTGCTCTGCTTCTGATCCCCCTCCATGCTAACTTGCTCGGAGGCAGCAGATGATGCCTCAAGTACATGGGTCCCTGCCTCCCCTGTGGGAGACCAGATGGAGTTCCTGGCTCCTAGCTTCAGCCAGGCCCTAGCCATTGTGGTCATTTGGGGAGTGAACCACCAAATGGAAGATCTCTCTCTCCCTGTCATTCTTTTTTTTTTTTTTTTTTTTTGACAGGCAGAGTGGACAGTGAGAGAGAGAGACAGAGAGAAAGGTCTTCCTTTGCCATTGGTTCACCCTCCAATGGCTGCCGCGGCTGGCGCGCTGCGGCCGGCGCGCTGCGGCCAGCGCACCGCGCCGATCCGATGGCAGGAGCCAGGAGCCAGGTGCTTTTCCTGGTCTCCCATGGGGTGCAGGGCCCAAGCACCTGGGCCATCCTCCACTGCACTCCCTGGCCACAGCAGAGGGCTGGCCTGGAATAGGGGCAACCGGGACAGAATCCAGCGCCCCGACAGGGACTAGAACCTGGTGTGCTGGCGCCGCTAGGCAGAGGATTAGCCTAGTGAGCCGTGGCGCTGGCTCATTCTTTTTTTATTTGAAAGTCAGAGTTACACAGAGACAGAAGAGGCAGAGAGAAAGAAAGGTCTTCCATCCGCTGATCACTCACTACAATGGCCGGTGCTGGGTTAATTCGAAGCCAGGAGCCCAGAGGTTCTTCCAGGTCTCTCACACAGGTTCAGGGGCCCAAGAACTTGGACCATCCTTTACTGCTTTCCCAGGCCATAGCAGAAAGCTGGATCAGAAGTGGAGCAGCCAGGACACAAACCAGCGCCCACATGAGATGCCAGCACTGCAGGCAATGGCTTTACCTGCTATACCAAAGCACCGGCCCATAAATAAATCTTTAAAAAAAAGACCATTACAAAAAAAGGTCTTTAATCACCATATGGGGAATATTTATTTATTTATTTTTAAAAAGAATAACATTACCATCCACAACAACCTATAAAGTTCAATACAATCCCTATAAAAATTCCAATAGCTTTTTTTGAATAGAAATGGGCAAGCTGATCCCAAAATTCACAAGAATATGTTAGGGAATCAAAATAACCAAAACAATCTTGAAAAGAAGAACAATGTTGGTGGACTCACACTTTCTGATTTCAAAGCTGCCTACAAATAATCAAAACACCGTGGTCCTGGTGCGCAGACAGACACAGAATAAAACGGAACTGAGAGTCCAGGCAGCATCTCAGACTTATGTGACCAAGTGATTTTGACAAGGGTTCCAAGACCATTCAGTGGGGGAAAAGAATAGCCTTTTCAACAAACGGTGCCGAGACAACTGGATGTACACACGGGAGTAATTTCAGACCCCCGCCTCATTCCATTTACAAAAAATGTACTCGTAATGGGCCCCTGATCTGAATTTGGAGCTAAAACAATAAAATCTTAACAGGAAATGCAGGTGAAAATCCTAGACAATGTTTTTCAAAAGCATAAGTACAAATGAGAAAATAGATAAATTACACTTTGTCAAAATGTAAAACTTGTGCATCAAAGAACACTTGGGAAAAGACAAGTTGGAGGATGAGAGAAACTATTTGTGAATCATATTTGATAAGGGTCTAGCATCTGGAAAATAATTTTCAAAACTTCTGATAACAACTACAAAAATGTAGGCCGGCGCTGTGGCTCACTAGGCTAATCCTCTGTCTGCGGCGCTGGTACCCTTGGTTCTAGTCCCGGTTGGGGCGCCGGATTCTGTCCCAGTTGCTCCTCTTCCAGGCCAGCTCTCTACTGTGGCCCGGGAGTGCAGTGGAGGATGGCCCAAGTCCTTGGGCCCTGTACCCGCATGGGAGACCAGGAGGAAGCACCTGGCTCCTGGCTTCGGATTGGTGTAGCGTGCCGGCTGCGACGCACTGGCTGTGGTGGCCACTTGGGGGGTGAACCAATGGAAAAAGGAAGACCTTTCTCTCTGTCTCTCTCTCTCTCACTGTCTAACTCTATCAAAAAAAAAAAAACCTACAAAAATGTAAACAACTTAATTAAAAATGAGCTAAAGACTTGAATAGACATTTCTCTGAAGAATATAAATGGAAACAGACACAAGAAAAATGGTTATCAAGGAAACACAACTCAAACCCAGGAGATACAACCCCATACCCACTATAATGGCAGTTTCTCAAAAAGTTAAAAAAAAATTAGTCAGAATTGACATATGACCCATGAATTTCTCTCCTAGGTATACACCCAGAACTGAAAATAGGTGTTCAATTGAAAAACTCTAATGTTCACAGAAGCACTATTCATTTTTTTAAAGATTTTATTTATTTATTTATTTAAGAGAGTTACAGAGAGAGGAAGAGACGGATGGAAAGGTCTTCCATCCGATGGTGCACTCTCTCTCTCTCTCTCTCTCTTTTTTTTTTTTTTTTTTTTTTTTAAGCAGTGTTTATCCAGGCCAGCACTATGGCTCAGAGAGTTAGAGCCCTGGTCCAAAGCACCAGCATCCCATATGGGCGATGGTTCTAGTCCCGGCTGCTCCATTTCCGATCCAGCTCTCTACTGTGGCCTGGGAAGGCAGTAGAAGATGGCCCAAGTCCTTGGGCCCCTGCACCCACATGGTAGACCTGGAAGAAGCTCCTGGCTCCTGGCTTTGGATCGGCTCAGCTCTGGCTGTTGTGGCCATCTGGGGAATGAACCAGTGGATAGAAGACCTCTCTCTGTCTCTACCTCTCTCTGTAACTCTTTCAAATAAATAAAAATAAATCTTTAAGAAAGCAGTGTTTGTCTTTATTTTTTTTTTAATTTTTTTTTTGACAGGCAGAGTGGACAGTGAGAGAGAGAGACAGAGAGAAAGGTCTTCCTTTGCCATTGGTTCACCCTCCAATGGCCGCCGCGGCCGGCGCGCTGCGGCCAGCGCACCACGCTGATCCGATGGCAGGAGCCAGGATCCAGGTGCTTTTCCTGGTCTCCCATGGGGTGCAGGGCCCAAGCACCTGGGCCATCCTCCACTGCACTCCCTGGCCACAGCAGAGAGCTGGCCTGGAAGAGGGGCAACCAGGACAGAATCCGGCGCCCCAACTGGGACTAGAACCCGGTGTGCTGGCGCCGCTAGGCAGAGAATTAGCCTAGTGAGCCGCGGCGCCGGCTGTCTTTATTTTTTAAAAAGATTCATTTATTTATTTGAAAGCCAGAGTTACACACAGAGGAAAGGAGAAGCTGGTTCACTCCCCAGGACTTGAACCAATGCCCTTATGGGATGTCGGCACTGCAGGCAACGGCTTTACCTGCTATGCCACAGTGCCAGCCCCAGCACTCACTCTCCAAATGGCCACTATGGATGGAGCTGAGCCAATCTGAAGTCAGAAGCCAGGAGCCTCTTCTGGGTCTCCCACATGGGTGCAGGGGCCCAAGCACTTGGGCCATCTTCTACTGCTTTCTCAGGCCATAGCAGAGAGCTGGATTGGAAGAGGAACAGCCAGGACACAACAGAATGGAAATAAGTCCACCGGCTGATGAGTGAATAAACAAAATGTGGCCTGTCCACGCAATGGCATATTATTCAACCATCAAAAGGAGTATTCAGGCTGGTGTTGTGGTGTTACAGGTTAAGCTTCTGTCTGCAGTGCCGGCATCCCATATGGGTGCTGGTTTGAGTCCTGGCTGCTCTCCTTCTGATCCAGTTTCCTGCTGATGCTCCTGGGAAAGCAGCAAAAGATGGCCCACATGCTTGGGGCCCTGCACCCACATGGCAGACCCAGAGGAAGCTCCTGACTCCTGGCTTCATCCTGGCCCAGCCCAGACCATTGGAGCCATTTGGAGAGTCAATCAGAATTGGAAAAATCTCTCTCTGTAACTCTGCCTTTCAAAATAAGTAAAGAAATCATTTTTTTTTAAAGGAGCACAGTATTTGTACATGCTAAACACAGATGAAACTTAAAAACAGCAAGTTCTGGGAAACAAGCCAGGCACATATTGTCTGACTCCATCTCTATGAAACAGCCAAGACAGGCAAATCCACAGAGACAAAGCAGAGGAGTGACTGCTAGGGGTGGGGGAGGGAGCGATGCAGCGACCACTGAGTGGGACCCAGTGCACTCTGGGGTGATGGGAGTGCCGGACCGTGCAGCAGTGCTGACGATCACACACCACTGTGAGCACAGTGAAAGCCACAGATCTGGACATTGCAAAAAAAAACAGAATGGTGAATCTTACCTCAATAAATAGTAAAAAAATTAAAATAGTTTTTAGAGATACTTTAACTCAGAAATCTTAAATGCCACACCTCTTCTTCCTGAAGGTCTAGTACCCATGAAAGGTTTAAAGGGTATAACATAGGAAGAAATGCCTGGAACCCCGGCTCAATAGGCTAATCCTCCGCCTGTGGCGCTGGCACACCGGGTTCTAGTCCCGGTCAGGGCGCCGGATTCTGTCCTGGTTGCCCCTCTTCCAGTCCAGCTCTCTGCTGTGGCCCGGGAGTGCAGTGGAGGATGGCCCAAGTGCTTGGGCCCTGCACCCCATGGGAGACCAGGAGAAGCACCTGGCTCCTTGCTTCAGATCAGCACTGTGCACTTGTAGCACGCCAGTCGCAGCGGCCATTGGAGGGTGAACCAATGGAAAAGGAAGACCTTTCTCTCTGTCTCTCTCTCTCACTGTCCACTCCGCCTGTTAAGAAAAAAAAAAAAAACCAACATAGGAAGAAATGAAAATGTGGCCTCTGTCCTGATGACTGACAGAGCCTCTACAGCCCCTGTAATTTTCTGAGTGAAAGGCTTCTAGAAACATCTTTTATTCTGATATTTAGTGCTGTTTTGAAGATTCTTTTTTTATTTTTTTATTTTTTATTTATTTTTTATTTTTTTGACAGGCAGAGTGGACAGTGAGAGAGAGAGACAGAGAGAAAGGTCTTCCTTTGCCATTGGTTCACCCTCCAATGGCCGCTGCGGCCGGTGCGCTGCGGCCGGCGCACCGCGCTGATCCGATGGCAGGAGCCAGGATCCAGGTGCTTTTCCTGGTCTCCCATGGGGTGCAGGGCCCAAGCACCTGGGCCATCCTCCACTGCACTCCCTGGCCACAGCAGAGAGCTGGCCTGGAAGAGGGGCAACCGGGACAGAATCCGGCGCCCCGACCGGGACTAGAACCCGGTGTGCCGGCGCCGCTAGGCGGAGGATTAGCCTAGTGAGCCGCGGCGCCGGCCTGAAGATTCTTTTTTTAAAGAATTATTTTATTTATTTGAAAGAATTACAGAGAGAGGCAGAGACAGAGAGAGAGAGAGAGGCCTTCCATCCACTGGTTCACTCCCTTGATGGCTGCAACAGTCAGAGCTGCGCCGATCCAAAGCCAGGAGCCAGGAGCTTCCTCCGGGTCTCCCATCTAGGCGCAGGGGCCCAAGCACTTGGGCCATCCTCCACTGCTATCCCAGGCCACAGCAGAGAGCTGGACTGGAAGAGGAGCAGCCAGGACTAGAACCGGCGCCCATATGGGATGCTGGCGCCCCAGGTCAGGGTTTTAACTCACTGAGCCACAGCACCAGCCTCTGAAGATTCTTATTTATTATTTATTTGAAAAGCAGGCTGGCGCCGCGGCTCACTAGGCTAATCCTCTGCCTAGCGGCGCCGGCACACCGGGTTCTAGTCCCGGTCGGGGCGCCGGATTCTGTCCCGGTTGCCCCTCTTCCAGGCCAGCCCCCTGCTGTGGCCAGGGAGTGCAGTGGAGGATGGCCCAGGTGCTTGGGCCCTGCACCCCATGGGAGACCAGGAAAAGCACCTGGCTCCTGGCTCCTGCCATCGGATCAGCGTGGTGCGCCGGCCGCAGCGCGCCGGCTGCGGCGGCCATTGGAGGGTGAACCAACGGCAAAAAGGAAGACCTTTCTCTCTGTCTCTCTCTCTCACTGTCCACTCTGCCTGTCAAAAAAAAAAAAAAAAAAAGCAGAGTTACAGAGAGAGAGAGAGAGGCAGAGAGAACAGAAGTCTTCCACCTGCTGGTTCACCCCGCAAATGCCTGAAATGGCCGGCCTGAAGTCAGGAGCAAGAAGCTTCATCTGGGTCTCTCACGTGGGTGCAGGGGCCTAAGCACTTGGGCCATCTTCTGCTGCTCTCCCAGGCACACTAGCAGGAAGCTGGTTTGGAAGTAGAGCATCCAGGACTTGAACTGGAGCCTATATGGATACCAGCACTGCAGGCGTTACTTAACCCCCTGTACCACAACACCGGCTCCTCTGATATTTTGAACACTTGATTTGGTTTATTACATAGAACTAAATCCCTTGGCATTTCCGTTGTGACAGGAATGTCTTTTGTTCTAAGGAAGTGATTCTTGGTGAGGTCCTGGATAGCCTCAGGGTGGGAGCTGGTCGGCAGAAAGTCCCAGCCATGATTAGAAGCTTGGAACTCTCATCCCCATTCCACACCCTCTAGGGACTGAGCTAATAACTGATGACCCCTCTGTGACAAAGCCTGTATAAAAATCTCTAATCCAAGGGCTCCGTGTATTTCTGAGCAGGTGTTGAACACCTTATCCACTTACTTCTTCACCTGTTGCTCACTTGTATCCATAACATCCTTTTAAATAAACTATTCAATGTAAATGCTTCCTTGAGTTCTGTGAGCTACTAAAGAAAATAGTGGAACCTAAGCAGGAGGTTATTGGCAACTTTTGATTGATACCCAATTGGCATAAATACAGGTGACACCTGGGACTTACAACTGGCATCCAAAGTGGGGGCAATCCGTGGAACAGAGCCCTCAGCTGTGGGCTGAGGGCTAACCCTAACCCTAACCCTAACCCTAACTCTTTTTTTGCAGCCCCGCAGCTGGTGTCACAACTGAATTGAAGCACACCCATTTGGTGTCTGGAGACTTAGAGAACTGAATGGTGTAGGAAAATCCCATACACATCTGATGTCAGAAGAGGTGAGATTAGGGAAACACAAGTTTTCCCTGAAAAACCCTCCCAGGTTGTGTCAGAGAGCACAGTTGGCCTTCCCATTCCCAGGAACGGATGTAGAGAAAATAAATCCTTGTTACCCACCAACTCACCTGGGCATAGAAAGAAAGATGTTCTGCCACTGTGAGGTTATCAAATAAGATATCATGTTGGGGGCACCAGCCCATACTCTTCCTAATTTGAGCCATGTCTTGTGAAATTTCGTATCCGTTGATATATGCCTTTCCACCTGAACAGGGAATAAGACCTAGAAGCAAGGGAGGCAACATCATAACATCAGAGCACACAGCAGTGCAAAGGTTTAATTATACCCCTGCTCTGTTTGCTCATTCTCACACCGATAGCCTGATCCTGTTTTTTTTTTTCCCCACAGACAACCAGTAACACCTAAGGAGCATATGTCTGATGCATGACATGTACGTAATGTGTGGGGATTAGTAGAGGGACAGGCAATGTCCTTCCTGTGTTTGAGTGATTCCAACCTGGTTAAATAAGTAAAACACAAGGCATTTGTAAAGCAAATTATTACTTTTTAAAAATTTACTTATTATTTGAAAAGCAAAGTTACAGAGAGAGGAAGAGACAAAGAGAGAGACGTCTTCCTTCCACTGGTTCACTCCCCAAATGGCCATTGCTGGGCCAGACCTAAGCCAGGAGCCCGGAACTCCATCCCATGATGAGGGCAAGGGCCAAGTATTTGGGCCATTTTCCGTTGCTTTCCCAGGTACATTGGCAGGGAGATGGATCAGAAGTCGAGCAGCTGGAATTCAAATTGGCACTCAAATGGGATGCCAGCATTGCAGGGGGTGGCTTAACCCACTATGCCACATCACTGGCCCCATATTACTGTAAGTGTTCAATAATAATTTGTATGCCTAGGAAATATGTCTAAGGAGAAATGTATTCTGGGATTCTAGCAGTTTTGATTGAGAATCTTGTCTCTGATTCCCAGTAACCACTCAGTGAACAAATGAGTTCATGTACTGCCAAACGGGCACAGGGTGAACCCGGCAGCCTGCTCACTGCAGGATCTTTGTCTTTATTCTCGTTAGATCAAAAGAGGCCATGAATGCTTATTGCAGCAAAGTTTAAAAATGTGAATCAAAGAAAATGAAGGCCATACAAGTCCCATCATCAATACCTGATTGCTGTTAACACTGTGCTATTTGGCCTTATGTAGAGTTTATATATAATTGGTTTACACATTTGTTTTGAACAAAAATGGTAAAATTTGGGGCCAGCGCTGTGACATAGCACGTTAAGACACCTCATCTGAGACCAGGATCCCATTCTGGGCGCTGGTTTGTGATCCCCACTGCTCTGCTTCTGAAACAGTTCCCTGCTAATGGGCCTGAGAAAGCAGCAGAAGATGGCCAAGTGCTTGGGCTCTTGCCATCCACGTGAGAGAAGTGGACGAAGTTCTGGGATCCTGGCTTCAGCCTGGCCCAGCTCCAGTTGTTGCAGCCATTTGGGGAGTGAACTAATGAATGGAATCTCTCTCTCTCTGGCACTCTGCCTCTCAAATAAATAAACGCTTATTTATTTTAAAGATTTTATTTATTTATTTATTTGAAACATAGAGTTACAGTGAGAGGAAGAGACAGAGAGAAAGGTCTTCCTTCTGTTGGTTCACCTCCTAAATGGCCGCTATGGCCGGAGTTGTGCCGATCCAAAGCCAGGAGCCAGGAGCATCTTCCCAGTCTCCCACATGGGTGCAGGGGCCCAAGCACCTGGGCCATCCTCCACTGCTTTCCCAGGCCATAGCAGAGAGCTGGATTGGAAGAGGAGCAGCTGGGACTAGAACCTGCACCTATATGGAATGCCGGCGCTGCAGGCGGAGGATTAACCAAGTGAGCCACAGCACCAGCCCAATAAATCTTTTAAAAAATGGGAAAATATACATTACTGTTTTTATGTGTTTTTTTTCTATTGCCTTTTTATTTATTTTTTTATTTGACAGGTAGAGTTATAGACAGTGAGAGAGAGACGGAGAGAAAGGTCTTCCTTCTGTTGGTTCACACCCCAAATGGCCGCCACAGCAGGAGCCAGGTGCCTCCCCCTGGTCTCCCATGCGGGTGCAGGGGCCCAAGCACTTGGGCCATCCTCCACTGCCTTCCTGGGCCACAGCAGAGAGCTGGACTTGAAGAGGAGCAACTGGGACTAGAACCCAGCACCCATTTGGGATGCTGGCGCCACAGGCAGAGGATTAACCAAGTGAGCCACGGTGCCGGCCTCCATTACTGTTTTTAAAGTGGCTTTTTCATGTAACAATCCATTAAGGGTTTTTGTTCACATCAACAAAATCTACATGATTTTTAAGAACCAAAATGATTTAATTGTTATTAATATATCTTATTTATCTATTTATTCAACTCACATTGATGGATACTTAGGTTATTTGCAATTTTTCACAATTCTATCTACTTCTTCTAATTATTTCCTTACTCTAAATCAATATATGTAGATTTGGCATGTCAACTGATGGGAGGACAAGGTTTGAAAAATTTTAGATACTAACAAAGCACCCACTAAATAGATTCTTAGATCTTCCATTTTGGTTGTGAACAATAAGGCATCTATCATTGGGAGAGGGAGGAAAAAAAGGTGATACTATCGTGTAGTAAATGTAACAAGTCTTTTTAGGTAAAATTATATAACAGAAGAACTGAACAGAAGAATTCATAGAAGAACCAAAACCATATTAACTGGGCAGAGAAATGGGGTTTAAGACACAAAGCATGCCTGTGTCAAATTTTGGGCCTCCTTGCAAAAGATTATGATATGAATGCCCATTGCTGTCTGATGTTCTGGGCAACAGCCAGGTTTTCTCTCCCAGCTTTGCACTGTCTGGGCTACTGAGCCCACATGGGTGTGCTTCTGTGTCTCAGCACTGCTACTTTTTCCAGGCGGAGCTGGCTTTCTCTGAGCCCTGTCACACTAAACCAATCTGTAACAGAGATTCTCGGACAAATATCATTAACACAGGCTGTTGCTGTGGCATAGTAGGCTAAGCCTCTGCCTGCGGTGCCTGCATCTCACATGGGTGCCAGTTCATGTCCCAACTGCTCCTCTTCCAATCCAGCTCCGTGCTAAAGGCTTGGGAAAGCAGTGGAAGATGGCTCAAGTCCTTGGGCCCCTGCACCCATGTGGGAGACCCAGAAGAAGCTCCTGGTCCCTGGCTTCAGATCGGCCCAGCTCTGACCATTGCGGCCATTTGGGGAGTGAACCGGAGGAAGGAAGACCTCTCTCTTTGTCTCTCTCTCTCTCTCTGTAACTCTGCTTCTCAAATACATAAATTTAAAACATTTTAATTATCACTACCAGTCTGAGTTCCAGAAGATTTTACAATCACGTTAATGGATTCATTCACTCAGTGATATTACTGAAAGCCTGTTCTCTGCTGAGCCTTGTCCAAGCACTGTGGTTCCACAAGTAAATGGAATAGGTTCTTTGGGGAGCAAGATGGTGGGGAGACAGAAATAACGACACACACTCAAATGAGATAATTACTGACATCAAAGGTTACTGAGAACAAGACAAACAGACATTCAGTAGAGAAGGCTCTGTGGGTGTTTTTATCTGCTGGCCGCCCTAAGCAATGTGAGGACTGACTTGCCTCCTTGACCACTCAACCTGGGGGCTCCAGCTGGATCACTTTGCACAGAGCCCCTGCACCACCACACTGCAGGAGCAGCAATGCCCACGTCTGAGAAGCACTGCTGAGCCCCAGCCAGGAGAGTGGCCCGGCTCAGGCCCACTCCTGACACTGAGTCCATCCAGTGAGCACCTGCCAGAGGAGACTTGGTTTTTAATGTCTTAGTACCGGTGGGGTGGCGGAGGCACCTCCCAACAAGCTTCACTATTTTGCTGCTCTTAACGGTTCTACAGAAGGACACATGAGCAATGCGGGGAGTGTCGTGGCAGTCTGACTTCCCACAGTCTAGAGTTCTGTGTGCAGTGATGAGAAGCTGGTTGGCCTTCGAAACTTCCTGAAGGTTGGAAATCCTTCTCCCAGTTTTGTACAAAGCTTTCCATGTACCAAGCCTTCAATAAATGTTTCTTAAATTTAAGTTTTCAAGCCGGCGCCGCGGCTCACTAGGCTAATCCTCCGCCTAGCGGCGCCGGCCCACCGGGTTCTAGTCCCGGTCGGGGCGCCGGATTCTGTCCCGGTTGCCCCTCTTCCAGGCCAGCCCTCTGCTGTGGCCAGGGAGTGCAGTGGAGGATGGCCCAGATGCTTGGGCCCTGCACCCCATGGGAGACCAGGAGAAGCACCTGGCTCTTGCCATTGGATCGGCGTGGTGCGCCAGCCACAGCCCGCCGGCCGTGGCGGCCATTGGAGGGTGAACCAACGGCAAAAGGAAGACCTTTCTCTCTGTCTCTCTCTCTCACTGTCCACTCTGCCTGTCAAAAAAAAAAAAATTTAAGTTTTCAAATTTCACAAAAATATGATTTTAGTTGATGGAACATAAAATAAGTAAGCATAAAAATTATTCTGAAGTGGAAATCATTTTAGGGTAATTCATCAGATGTCATTCTAAAGGTTTCTAGCAAACAAAAGTGAACAGGCGGATTTTCTGGCTGAGTTGCTAGAGGTGCCCCATCCCACCAGGCAGGTTCCACTAGAGAGGAATACACTGTGAGCGTCATTCACAGCTGCTCCACAGGGATGCAACCAAGTCCTGCCGACTGACAGGGTAAGTGAAAGACCAGATAATACACAGATAGTGAAGCAAAACACAAGCAACGCTTAACACTACAGTGTAGTGAACGTCAGTGAGGGGACACGGAGCCAGCAACGCAGACATGCTCCATGAGTTCCTAGGGCTTCCCCGGGAGGGCCATCTCGACACGGGTACCTGTGAGCATCCAGCAGGTCATGGTTTTCCCTGCTCCGTTGTGTCCCAGAAGCACGGTGATCTGCCCCCTGTAAAGATTCACGGTGAGACCTTTCACTGCTATGTGCTCGCTCCTTCCCTTGTAAAACACCTGTGGAAAAGTCAAAGCCGGATGTGTACACACAGGTGACCTTTCAGAGGCGCCTGCGACAGGCTGTGCACCCGCACCAACTTCCCTTCAAGCTCCTCAGTGGGAACGCAGCCTGCGGCGGAGCTCCTGGCACTCGGGGCCGATTCTTTCAGTTCATGTGCCTGGACCTATGGAGGAGGCCAACTGGGAGCAACCCTATGAGGGCCTTTCCCTGACCCCTGCAACCTGGTGGTGGAGACCCTGAACCACACAGGGACGGCGCTCAAGGCTGAGGTCCCTGGAACACGACCAGCAGGCTGTATCCCCCCTGCGTCTCTGTTCTGCTGAGCCCTTGAAGAAGGTACTCGTCTGCTTGGCCAGAGGTGGTGATCTGGAGAAGGAATCTCAGGACAGGTAGTTTCCAAGCCAAATGTCTTCACTATCTTAAATTCCATTTTTAAAAATTATACAGGATTTCATAAGTAATCCTTATAATGAGTAAAAACCACCCATTATGCCACCCTAAGGGAGAGCACTGCACTTCAGTATATGCCTGAGTTTTTGTCCTGCTGGCATTTGGGCTGCACTTGTACTGTAGCCAGGTGGGACTCAGCTGTAACTCTGTCTCGAAATCTATCTGATTACGCCAGGGAGCAGGGTGCTGCTGAGAAGTTGGCAACGGGAGAGAGGGAGTGGGAGGCAGGGAGGAAGGGAATATCATTATATTCTTAGAACTGTATCTATGAACTATATTGAATCTGCTAAAAACATTAAAAGTTAAAATAAAAACATAAGGGGCCGGCACTGTGGCACAGTGGGTTAAAGCCCCAGCCTGAAGTGCCAGAATCCCATATGGGCGCCAGTTCTAATCCCAGCTGCTTCTCTTCTGAGTCAGCTCTCTGCTATGGCCTGGGAAAGCCTTGAGGATGGCCCAAGTCCTTAGGCCCCTGCACCTATGTGGGAGACCCAGAAGAAGCTCCTGGCTCCTGGCTTCGGATTGGCGCAGCTCTGGCCGTTGCAGCCATTTGGGGACTGAACTTTCCCTCTGTCTCTAACTCTCTGTAACTCTTTCAAATAAATAAAATCTTTAAAAATTTTTTAAAAATAAAAGACATAAAAAAGAAAAGAAATTGGGGCCGGCGCCATGGCTCAGTAGGCTAATCCTCCGCCTTGCGGTGCCGGCACACTGGGTTCTAGTCCTGGTCGGGGCACCAGATTCTGTCCCAGTTGCCCCTCTTCCAGGCCAGCTCTCTGCTATGGCCCGGGAGTACAGTGGAGGATGGCCCAAGTGCTTGGGCCCTGCACCCCATGGGAGACCAGGAGAAGCACCCGGCTCCTGGCTTCGGATCAGCGTGATGCGCCAGCAGCAGTGCACCAGCTGCGGCAGCCATTGGAGGGTGAACCAACGGCAAAGGAAGACCTTTCTCTCTGTCTCTCTCACTGTCCACTCCGCCTGTCAAAAAAAAAGAAAAAAAAAAAGAAAAAAAAAAAAGAAAGAAAAGAAATTGGCAAACTTCCTCTACTCCCACCTTCACATGGTCTTGATTGTTTTAAGTCATCCCTGACAGTCCCTTACAGCAGAGGAGGCTACAGGACTGAATCTTGAGCAACAAGAGTAAGAGGTAATCTACAGAACGGAACCAAGGAGGAAGGGAGGATAAATTTTGCCAAAAGAAAAGACTGTAACCTCTATGGTTTCCATGGGTAGCTACAGTAGCCATCTTGCAACCAAGAAATGGTAAGCCCTGGGCTAGGAATGCAACAGAAGGGGTGAATGCTCACCCTAGTGGTTAAGACACCCACGTCCCATATCGGAGCACCTGGGTTCAGTTTCTGGACCTGCCTCCTGACTCCAGCCTCCTGCTAGTGCAGACCCTGGGAGGCGGCAGTGACGGCTCAAGTTCTTGGGTCCCTGCCACCCATGTGGGTGACCATGATTGAGTTTCCAGCTCCCAGCTTCAGCCCTGGCCCAGGCCTAAGTGTTGCAGGCATTTGGGGAGTGAACCAGTGGACGAGAGCTCCCTCTTTCTGCCTGTCTCTCAAATAAATACATTTTTAAAAACAACTTGACAGATGCTTATCTGGACAATTTCTTATGTTCTTGGAAGGAGAGCTGAGCTGATACCTTGTACAGCTGCTGGATTTCGATTCCTTTCATCAAGTCGGTCGGCTCTTCCTGAAGGACCTTGCCGGTCACAGACTTTTCAGGAACGCCCACAGCCAGCCGTGTCTGGGTAACAGGTGCAGGTTTTCCACGCCAGTAGGAGGGCTGCAGAGGAAGTCTACTTGCACATTAATCATTTAGGTGAACTTTCCTTTCTGGAGCGGGAGTGTTTTGTTGAACTAGATTTCACTGCCCCACAGTATACTTGTTGGATCACATATTTAATGGTGCCTGGAGAAGTCAAGCAACTTTCACATGGACTCACACAAATCATCTGCATTTCATCCAAAACCCTGCTCCCAAGGACAGAGCGGCAAAAGCTGCCTCATCTCCAGGCTCCCGGTGCAGGTGAGGCAGCATCCTATCAACAGTCAGCACCCGGGGAGCTGAGATCTGGAGAAGCACGGGAGCTGGCAACCTGCCTGTTTCCCCACACCTCAAGAAGGATCAGCACAGCAGTCTCCACAGAGGTCCAGGCTGAGCACTCGTGCAGTTGAGACAGGTGGGTCACATGGCAAGCCTGTGAGGTGTGGCCACCGGAAGATTCGGCAGGACTGAATCAGCCACGAGAAGTCAACTTTGTAAGAAAAGCAGCCGCCATGGGACAGTGATTCTGAGGACCTCATATGCTTGTCAAGGAAAGCCGGTTCCTCACTAGTGCCCTGGGGTCACAGAGATCTCAGACGTTCAAGGGCTCTTCTAATGGTACCACATGAGGGCTCTAGCACTGTGGGACCTGAGTCCCCCAGACAACGTGGGGCTGGTGCTCAAATGGGCAGCTGTGAGAGATCCTCAGGCAGTCCTGAGAGCATGACTCTCCCCACCCCAAACCCCAGCACACTGCACCAGCAGTCAGGCAAGACTCAGGAATGTCACTCGCTGTTGATTACGCTCTGTCGGCAACGACAAGCCAAAAGGTTTAGAATGAACCCAGATTACAGATTTCTTGGAGTATGAGATTTTGATCAACACATCACCAAGAAGGGTAACAATACGGATGAAAATAAAAAAGTCTAACTCTAACATCAGTCTATAAAATAGCAGCATCAGAACTCACCATGGCAAAGAAGTACCATGGCTTGGGCGTGCCAAACTTGCCCGGGAAGACGGCCTCCACGTACCAGGCCACCAAGCAGTAGAGGGAAGAATCCAGCAGGAGCATCAGCAGCACGTGGGTGAAATTGAACTCTCCACGGACACTGCCCACGTCCTTCCACTGGACGCCCAGACCTGTGACCAAGGAAGGGAGCAGTCCCGACACCGAAGGCAGAAAAGAGTCCCCAGAACTTTCCAGTCAAATTGTAAGGAGGCAGGCCAATGACAAGGCTGCACGGCCGTGTCCAGGGGCATTATGGGATCAACACTGGGAACAGGAAAGAGGAAAACTGAAAGTTCCTTCCATGAGATACGACATTTTTTAATTGACAAAAGGTGGCAGTACTTCCCCTGGCACCAAGAAGTAAGAACTATGGCTATGTAAGACATCTGTCCCTCCTCCTGGGCATGTTATCTGGAACATATCCCACCTTTCTTGGCTTGGCTAATTTTTACATCAAAGTTCAGCACAGACAGTGCCTCACCAAGAAGCATGCACACCCACTCCACTGGTCTGGGTTGGATGCCCAGCCATGGGCACCTGGACTACCGCATGCTGATTACAGACGGTCCTGTACGACAGTGTGAATCTATCACTTATCACAGTCACCTCTGTGTGTGGATTCTGGGGTCAGGGGCTGTCTTTCATCTCAGTATCTCCAATGTTTGGTTCAGGGTCCATTATGCAGCAGACACTCCATAACGCTCACTTCATGAATAAAGGAAAGCGTGGAGGAGGGGCTTGGGACCAGGTCCCAGGCACACACGTGTCCTGTGTTGGCCAAACGTCTAACCGGAACACATACACTAGAGCTTCCCATTTAGAGCATCCAAGATGCTGCACATTTATGCCACCTGGGCTGGGCACAGAAGGGGGGAGGGAGGCAGCAACACTCGGGAAAGGGATCATGTCTGTGCTCACTGACCACTGGTGGCTTTGTCAAAATGAAGACACTGATGAGGTAGGTCTGGGCACCTCAGGGCCCAAGCTCTCCATTTCTTTTTTCTTTGTCTTTTTTGGGGGAGGGTTTACCTATTTATTTGAAAGTCAGAGTTACATAGAGACAGATCTTCCATCTGCTGGTTTACTCCCCAGATAACTGCAACAGCCAGCACTGGGCTAGGCAGAAGCCAGGAGCTTCTTCCAGGTCTCCCACGGGGATAGCAAAGGCCCAAGCACTTGGGCCATCTTCCATTGATTTTTCCAGGCCATTAGCAGAGATCTGGATGGGGGGGGGGGGGTGGAGAAGCTGGAACTCGAACCAGCACCCACATGGAATGTTGGCGTCACAGGCAGCAGTTTTACCCACTAGGCCACAATGTCGGCCCTGGGTACTGCATGTCTAAAAAAGACCTCGGGCAGCACTGAGGCTGCTGGTACACAAGTCACACTGTGAGATGTGAGGCCAGGTGGCCTTGAAGCCCCTGCAAGAATGAGATCCTGGTTTGTCTGTTGCCTCTTGTTCTATCTTTTGAGCTCCAGGTTACAAACCAATGCTACACATCTCAGGACGGATTCCAAAGTTGTAGCAAATATTCTCTTAAGCACAACCTCATCCAACAAATTCTGCAATGTCCAAATAGAAAAGACAAAGCTCCTCTTCCTATTTTATCGGACATTAGATTGTTAGTTAACTGCATAAAATTTAACAAGCGTTTACAAGGAAAACATCTGTGAAAAACTACTACCCAAATCAGGTACCCCCAAAACCCAAATGTACACATCCCGGTTGTAATCCCACCCCTACACTGATGTCCATGGCTGTACATACTCGGGTTCTGCCTTTTAAAAAAACGGTTTATTTTTGAAAGGCAGAGAGACACACACAGAGAAACATCTTCCATCTAAATGGTTGCAGCCAGGCCTGGGGCAGGAACAGCCAGGAACTCTATCATCCTGGTCTCCCATGTGTATGCAGGGGCCCAAGGACTTGGGCCATCTTCTGCTGCCTTCCCAGGTGCAGTAACAGGAAGCTGAATCAGAGACAGGGCGGCTGGACTTTAACAAGCAATTGGAAGTAGGATGCTGGTATCACTGTGCCATAACATGGTCCCGGGATTTGCCTTTTTAGCCAATCTGATAGTTTTTTTTTTTTTTAATTGGCAAGCTTAAATTATCCACATTTAATTTAATTATTGATCATAATGAATCTACCAGCATGTCAGCTCTTCTCTATTTGTTCCAAATGGTTCTTTCTCATTTCTTCTTTTCTGCCTTTTCTTGCATTAATGGAGAACTTTGCATGATTCCATTTTTAAAAAATATTTAATTATTTATTTGTGAAGCAGAGTAACAGGAAGAAAGAGAAAAACTAAGAGCACGAGAGAGAGACAAAGAGATGAGAGAGAGAGAGACCTTCCATTCACTGGCTTACTTTTCAAATGCCCACAATAGCCTGGGCTAAGCCAGGCTGAAGACAGGAGCCAGGAACTCTGCCCAGGTCTTTCACACGGGCGGCAGGGACCTAAGTGCTGAGCAGTACCTGCTGCTCCCAGTATCTGTATTCTCAGGAAGCTGAAAAGCTGGGGCTGAAACTCAGGCACTGCCATCTGCAGTGCCCCAAGTGGTGTCCTAACTGCTGTGCCAAATGCACACTCCTTCCTAGGTCACCTTTAATAGTTCCCGTTCCTGCAGTATTTTCGAGTTTGTCCTTTAACAAAACATAAGAGGTGAGCGCTGTGGTGCAGTGGGTGAAGACACTGCTTGGGATTCCTGCATCCCATACGAGATTACTGGTTCCATTGGCTACTCACTACTACTTTTTTTTTTTTTTTTAAGATTTATTAATTTGAAAGAGTTACAGAGAGAAAGGGAGGGACAGAGAGGAGATATCTCCCATTTGCTGGTTCATTTTCCACATGGCCACAATGGCTCACGCTGGGCCAGGCTAAAGCCAGGAGCCAGGAGCTTCTTCTGGGTCTTCCACTTGGGTATCAGGGGCCCAAGTATTTGGGCCATCTTCCACTGCATTTCCCAGGCCACAAGCAGGGAGCTGGATCAGAAGTGGAGCAGCTAGGACTTTAACTGGCACCCAGATGGGATGCTGGCCTTGTAGGTGGCGGCTTTGCTGGCTATACCACAATGCTAGCTCCACTCCACTTTTTTTTTCTTGAGATTTATTTATTTACTTGAAAGGCAGAGTAATAGAGAGAGGGAGAAACACCAAGATCTTAAATCTGGTAGTTCACTCCCCAGATGACCACATCAGCCAGAGCTGGGCGGATCCAAAGCCAGGAGTCAGGAGCTTCATCTGGGTCTCCATGTGGGTGCAGGGGTTTGAGCACCTTGGCCATCTTCCACTGTTTTCCCAGGCAAATTAGAAGGGAGCTGGATGCCCTGAACCCATGTGAGAGACCCAGAAGAAGCTCCTGGCTCCTGGCTTCGGATCGGCGCAGCTCAGGCCATTGCGGCCAATTGGGGAATGAACCACCAAATTAAAGACTTTGCTGTTTCTCCCTCTTTCTCTGCCTCTCCTCTCTCTGAGTAACTCTGACTTTCAAATAAATAAATCTTAAAAAAAAAAAAGAAGAAGAAGAAGAAGAAGACTGGAGCTGGATGGGAAGCAGAGCAGCTGGTGCCCATATGGCATGCCAGTGCTGTGCTGCAGCAAGTGGCTTTACCTGCTATACTATGGCGCCAGGCATCCCCCTCCTCCACTTTTGATCCGGCTTCCTCCTGTTGCATCCTGGGAAGGCAGCCAAGTACTTGGATCCTTGTCACCCTCTTAGGAAACCCAGATGGAGTTCCTGGCACTTGTCTTCAGCCTGGCCCATCCCTGGGTATTGCAGGCACCTGGAAAGTGAGCCAGCAGATAGGGGACCTCTCTCCTCCCACCCTGTGTGTGTGTGTGTGTGTGTGTGTGTGTGTGTGTGTTGCACTACCTTTCAGGTAAATGAAAAATAAAGAAAAGATTGGGGCTGATGTTGTGGCACAGTGGATTAAGCTGCTGCCTACTGTACCAGCATCTCATATCAGAGTGCAGGTTCAAGTCCCAGCTGCTCCACTTTCTCTTCAGCTTCCTCCTAATGCACCTAGCAAGGCAGCAGAGGACGCCCCAGTGCCTGGGCCTCTGCCAGCCGAGCAGGGGATCCTGAGGGAGTTCCTGGCTCCTGCTGTCAGCCTGGCCCTGCCTTGGTTGTTGTGGCCATTTGAGGCGATAACTAATAGATGAAAGATCAGTCTTTCTTTCTCTGTTGCTCTGCCTTTCAAACAAATGAATCTTAAAAAAACAATTAAAAATATGATCAGTATTGTCATTTTAGCATGTGTGTTCTGTTAATTAAGAAATGTGAAGCCTTTGTGAGTCTGTTCTGTTTCTATTACTTCTGGTCCTCATTTCTGGGGTCTCATTCCCTCCCGTCTGGTCCTCATTTCTGGGTTCTCATTCCCTCCCGTCTGGTCCTCATTTCTGGGGTCTCATTCCCTCCCGTCTGGTCCTCATTTCTGGGGTCTCATTCCCTCCCGTCTGGTCCTCATTTCTGGGTTCTCATTCCCTCCCGTCTGGTCCTCATTTCTGGGGTCTCATTCCCTCCTGTCTGGTTCTCGTTTATGGGGTTCCATTCCCTTCCATCTTTAATTACTGTTTCCCTGTGTTGCTTATTGCTCTTCCAAAGCCAGTTGCGAAGACCCTCACGGTACGGGATGAAAGCGCCTTCCTCCAGGAAGGACGTCACTTCTTCCAGGCACCTAGGTGGGGGTGCCGTCATTCCCCGACAACAGTGCTTAAAATCACCGGGGAGCGGGCGTGCAGTCTAGTTTGAAGACACCCACATCCCTCATTAGAGTGTCTGGCTCCTAATCCAGCCTCCTACTCATATGGAGACCCCGGGCAGGGGCGTGGTGAAGGCTCACGTAGTTGGGAGACCTGGACTGAGTTCCCAGCTCCTGGTTCTGGCTGTTATGGCATTTGGAGGAGAGATCCAGGAGTCAGAAACTCTCTGTCCACCTCTGTGTGTGTGTGTCTGCATCTCTCTGCCTCTCAAATAAAACAAAGAAAAACTAAATAAAGCTCCCTACACTCTTGCAACACCAGCCCAGACACAGCACTTCTGCAGAACTCACCTGTGACAAGTTCTCAGGGCAGCCTTCCCTGAGGACCGCCGGCCTGTGACTGGAGGGGCTGTGGACACAGAGATGCACCTCCCTGTACAACAGTTGTCAGTATTATGGCAAAAGCCTATTTGCTGTCAACACCTTGAGGCTGTCTCAGTTACAGAGCAGTCTAGCTTGAGGTTATGCCACTTCTTGGGTGGCTGATATCCAGTGACTGATGGACGTGCAACAGTCTGGTCTTATGGGCCCAGTTGGGACACTCAGACGGGCGCTGTGAGCTCTGTAATGCCCAAGGCTGTCGGGACTGGACTGCAGTTCAACACCTCCCTCAACCCAGTCTTGCTTCCTTCCATGGGCACTGTCTCAAGGGCATTCCCTAATAAGCACCTTGCACACTAAAATCCACAGACAGGCTAACCTGTGGTGAATGGTTTATTTCTGGGTCACATTTATCCTAAAGGTGTAGTCCTCTGGGGTCTAGAGGGTCTGTAACCATGTTTGTGCTGAAAGGCCATCAGATCAAAGTGCAGTTGTACTGCCAGTCAATGACTCCAGAGAAAACACGGCTCTGCTGCTTTGCTTACCTTTTGGAATCACCAAATTTCCCTGAGGTTTGGCCTTTACTACCTGTACTAACTCTGGTCTTCTAAAGGAGTGCTCCCAAGTGTTAGAAATTTATGTCATTCCTGTCATTGTTTTCAACATGAGGGATATCTGGGTTATCAAGACCCAGGAACTCCTGGGGAAGCTCTCACAGCTTCAACCTCTCAACAGACCTGTGGTGGACACTTCCTTACCAGGAAGCCAAGGTTCCTGTTCATTCATTTTCTTTATTTCTTTTTCTTTCTTTCTTTCTTTCTTTCTTTCTTTCTTTCTTTTTTTTTTTTTTTTGACAGGCACAGTGGACAGTGAGATAGAGAGAGAGAAAGGTCTTCCTTTTCCATTGGTTCACCCTCCAATGGCCGCTGTGGCCGGCGCACCGTGCTGATCCGAAGCCAGGAGCCAGGTGCTTCCTCCTGGTCTCCCATGGGGTGCAGGGCCCAAGTACTTGGGCCATCCTCCACTGCACTCCTGGGCCACAGCAGAGAGCTAGACTGGAAGAGGAGCAGCCGGGACAGAATCCAGCACCCCAACTGGGACTAGAACCCTGGGTGCCGGCACCGCAGGCGGAGGATTAGCCTATTGAGCCATGGCGCTGGTCCATTCATTTTCTGAACAGTGACGCCTGTCTCAGCCTTGACTCAGCCCTGGCAGTCGTAGGCATTTGGAGAGTATACCAGCAGATGGGAGAGCTAACTCTTCAAGCAAGTAAAAAGTAAATTTCTTAAAACTTCTTCTCATAATTACACAGGCATACGATTTCTTAGTTCTTTAATATACTTGAGCTTTTCTCCCCACCTATTCTGCGTGGCTTCAGTGTCTCTACCCAGTACCTACAGATTTGCAAGTCTTTTGTGAAAGCTCAGACTGCAGCGTGAAACGTGCCAGTCATGTTTATCTGGCGTCTGCTTCAACTGGGGCAAAGCACCCCGAAGCTTAGAGAGTTGGGGAAGATAAACAAGCTAAGTCTCACCTTCTGCTTCTAACACGGAGATGAATCGGACCCCCAGTGCCATGGCGACATTCGACAGGAGACAGAAGAGGATCTTCTGGAGGTGGCTCCTCTGCTGGTAGTTGAAAGTGAGGTACAGGTACGGGAGGTAGGTGAGGAAGAAGAAGATGCCTCCCACGGCGGTTCCAACATGGGCTGCGAGGCCAGGGAACGAAAAGCTTTGTCAACAGTGAACCAGCAACGACAAACCCTCCTTTCCCTGCCACAGTAAGCAAAATGTCTCTGCATGTGCCTCAGATTTTCACAAAGGAAGAGAGCTTTTAAGAATTTTCGATAGGGGCTACCGCTGTGGTGCAGCATTTGTTAAGCTGCTGCCTGTGCCGCCCGCATTCCGTACTGCAGCTCCTGTGTGAGTCTGGCTCCCCAACTTCTGATTCAGTGGGAAGGCAGAAGATGACCCAAGTATGTGGGCCCCTGCCACTCCTGGGGGAGACCTGCATGGAGCTCCTGGCTCCTGGCTTCAGCCTGGTCCAGACCTGGCTGTTGTAGTCATTTGAGAAGTGAACCAGCAGACCAAAAATCTTTCTCTTTCACTCTCTTTGTGTGTCTGTCTGTCTGTCTTTCAAGTAAATAAACAACCTTTTGCTAGAGGGTACTTAAAAAGGTTGTGGAAAATGGAATGAAAAGTTTATTTTGGGGGCCGGCACTGTGACGCAGCGGGTTAACGCCCTGGCCTGAAGGGCCGGCATCCTATATGGGTGCTGGTTCAAGACCCGGATGCTCCACTTCCAATCCAGCTCTCTGCTGTGGCCTGGGAAAGCAGTAGAAGATGACCCAAGTCCTTGGGCCCCTGCACCCGCGTGGGAGACCCAGAAGAAGCTCCTGGCCCCTGGCTTCAGATCAGAGCAGCTCCGGCCATTGCGGCCTATTAGGGAGTGAAGCATCAGATGGAAGACCTCTCTCTCTGCCTCTCCTCTCTCTATGTAACTGTGACTTTCAAATAAAAATAAATAAATCTTTTAAAAAGAAAAGTTTATTTTGGTGCAAATATTTTTGAAATCTACACCTGGGGCCAGCGCCATGGCACAGTAAGTTAATCCTCTATCTTCAGTGCTGGCATCCCATATGCGTACTGGTTCTAGTCCCGGCTGCTCCTCTTCCAATCCAGCTCTCTGCTGTGGCCTGAGAAAGCAGTAGAAGATGGCCCAAGTGCTTGGGCCTCCGCACCTGCATGGGAGACCAGGAAGAAGCACCTGGCTCCTGGCTCTGGTTCAGCGCAGTTCTGACCATTGCAGCCATTGGGGAGTGAACCCACGGACGGAAGACCTTTCTGTCTCTCCCTCTCATTGTCTATAACTCTACCTCTCAAATAAATAAATAAAAATCTTTAGAAATCCACACACAGTTTTTCCATAGTACTCATTCCTATGAACTTTTTGAAGATCGTTTATAGTTGCACTCTTACTAGGCAAAGATAAAGAACATGTTGGCACGTAAAAAAAGAAATGGATCCTCACGTAAAGGCACAAATATCTGTCTAAAATCTCCTCTCCCTGAATCCATATGAACGTTCCCTTGTCTTCAGAAGAGCAGTGGGTTTACGTAGCATCCATCAAGCACTGCCGGGCCCTGAGGCAAGCCCCTCACAGACATCACTTCCTTTCCCCTTCCTTTTTTTTTTTTTTTTTTTTTTTTTTTGACAGGCAGAGTGGACAGTGAGAGAGAGAGACAGAGAGAAAGGTCTTCCTTTGCCGTTGGTTCACCCTCCAATGGCCGCCGCGGCCAGCGCGCTGCGGCCGGCGCACCGCGCTGATCCGATGGCAGGAGCCAGGAGCCAGGTGCTTTTCCTGGTCTCCCATGGGGTGCAGGGCCCAAGCACCTGGGCCATCCTCCACTGCACTCCCTGGCCACAGCAGAGGGCTGGCCTGGAAGAGAGGCAACCGGGACAGAATCCGGCGCCCCGACCGGGACTAGAACCCGGTGTGCCGGCGCCGCTAGGCGGAGGATTAGCCTAGTGAGCCGCGGCGCCGGCCATCCTTTCCCCTTCCTAATCTCCATCTTGCATCTGAGCAGGCTGGATACACCTGCTCAGCACGGGGCCAGCAGGTTAGGTGACACTGGCATCCCGAGTCCCAGCTGCTCTGCTACACATCTAGCTCCCCAATAAGGTGCCAGGGAAAGCAGCACAAGATGGCCCACGTACTTGGAGCCACGTCACTCACATGGGAAACCCCACAGAGCTCCTGGCTCCTGGTTTTGGTTTGGTTCAGCCCTGACTGTTGCAGCCACTTGGGGAGTGAACCAACTCACAAAGCTTGGTAACTATGGTCAAGGATTCAAGGTGTTCCAGGTCCCACACATAGTGGCTTTAGATTTGGAGATAAGGCCAATATTACTGAAGTCTGGAAACCAAACTCAAGCTTGCAAATGTTTAACTTCTAAGAAGTTAAAATAACAATGAAGCTGTGAGGACTGTGTATGTAAAGAGGGAGCTTCAGTTAGGCATGAGACAGCCCATGGCTGAAGCTTTCCACATGCACCATGGCCTATTCTTCCATAGTTTCTCTGAACTTGCACTTCTTTTGTAAGTGTTTATAGTAATTACTAATCTCTAGTAAGCTCTTACTGTTTTCAGTGTTGTACATGGAATACCCCTTTTAATCCTCATAACTAAGTTCTGAGGTAAGTGCTACCATTCTCACAATTTCACAGACGGGGGATGAACAGAGACTAGAGGCAGGGACCACACTGGACACAAGCTCAGCACTGAGAAGCCTCCGTGAGGAAGGGGCAAAGGCCACTGGCCACTTGAGGAGCAGGAGGTTTCAAACAGTTGCTTCAGAGAGACAGGGGCAGAGTATTGAGGGAATGTGCCTGGGTCCTAGGCATGCTCAGGGCACTCACTCGAGGATTAGGGACCCAGATGAAGAGCTCAGTGGCACAACAGGCGTTTTCCCCAAGTCTTGCTTTCTGCTGCTGGGGTACAGGCGCAGAGGGTGCAAGAAGCTGAGTCTCACCAGGCTAAGGTTTTGCAATAAAAGATCAATGGGGCCGGCGCCGCGGCTCACTAGGCTAATCCTCCGCCTTGCGGCGCTGGCACACTGGGTTCTAGTCCCAGTCGGGGCGCCGGATTCTGTCCCGGTTGCCCCTCTTCCAGGCCAGCTCTCTGCTGTGGCCTGGGAGTGCAGTGGAGGATGGCCCAAGTGCTTGGGCCCTGCACCCCGTGGGAGACCAGGATAAGTACCTGGCTCCTGCCATCGGATCAGTGCGGTGTGCCGGCCACAGCATGCCGGCTGTGGCGGCCATTGGGGGGTGAACCAATGGCAAAGGAAGACCTTTCTCTCTGTCTCTCTCTCTCACTGTCCACTCTGCCTGTCAAAAAATAAAAAAATAAAAAAAAAAAGATCAATGGACAGCTGATGAGTGTAAGTGAAAGGATTATTACTGAAACAGACGATGGACTCTCATCTGTGTAAAGAAACAAGACAGGAGCAGGCATTGTGGTACAGTGTGTTAGGCTCCTACTTGGGTGCCCACATCCCGTATCAGCATGCTGGTTCAAGTCCCAGCCATTCTACTTCCTTTTTTTTTTTTTTTTTTAGATTTATTTATTTATTTGAAAGGCAGACTTACAGAGAGGCAGAGGCAGAGGCAGAGAGAGAAAGAGAGGTCTTCCATCTGATGGTTCACTCCCCAAATGGCCACAACAGCCGGAGCTGGACCAATCCGAAGCCAGGAGCCAGGAGCTTCTTCCAAGTCTCTCATGCAGGTACAAGGGCCCAAGGACTTGGGCCATCTTTTACTGCTTTCCCAGGACAAAGCAGAGAACTGGATCAGAAAAGGAGCAGCCGGGACTAGAACTGGCTATATGGATGGAACTGGCATACGGATGAGATGTCAGCACTGCAGGTGGCGACTTTACCCGCTATGCCACGGTGCTCGTTCCAGTTTCAATTTTTTTTAAGATTTATGTTATTTATTTGAAGGGCACAGTTTGAGAGAGAGAGAGAGAGAGAGAGAAAGAGAGAGAGAGAGAGCAACAGCCAGAACTGGGCCATGCTAAGCCAGGAGCCAGGAGCATCTTCCAGGTCTCCCACGCGGGTGCAGGGGCCCGAGGACTTGGGCCATCCTCTGCCGCTTGCCCAGGCACATTAGCAGGGAGTTGGATTGGAAGTGGAGCAGCGGCACTCGAACCAGTGCTCATATGGAATGCCAGCATCACACCCCAGGTGATGCTTTACCCGCTGTGCCACAACACTGGCCCCTAGTCTACTCTTACAATTAGGCTACGGAGCCATCTTTAGTTAATTTTTGTGCATGGTGAGGCCAGCATTGTGGTGCGGTAGGTTCAGCTACCACCTGCAATGCCAGTGTCCCATTGAGTCTAAGCTGCTCCGCTTCCAGTCCAGCTCCTTGCTAATGCACCTAGAAGCGGCGTGCAGGATACAGTGCTTGCCACCCACGTGGGAGACGGGACTGGAGTTCCTGGCTCCTGGCTGTGGTCTGGCCCAGTCTCAGTTGTTGCAGCCATGTGTAGAGTGAACCGAGGATGGAGGATCTTCTCCTCTCTGTATCTCTCTCTTTCAAACTCTGCCTTTCAAACAAATGTCAGGCAGCAGAGTCCAGTCTTGCTCCTCCAGAGCGGCTCTCCATTTGTCCCGGCACCGCTTGCTGAAGAGACTGCTCTCACTCTCGCCAAACATCACTTGGTCTCCCCGTCTGAGTTTGCTTCTCAAACCTCAATTCCATTCCTTTCATCTGTACATCTATCCTACGGCTAAATAATACTGTTTTGATCCCTGTAACTTTGCAGTGAGCTTGAAATCAGGAAATGTGAATCCCACAGTTTTGTCACTTTTCAATATTGTTTTGGTTTTTAAGGTCCCTTGCGATTCCACATGAATTTTAGGATCAGCTTGTCCGTTTCTAGGGGGAACAAAAGAAATGCTGCTGAGATTTTAATAGGGATTCTACTTAACCCGTATCAATTTCGTGGACTATTGTCCTCCTAACAGTATCACGGTTTCTAATCCACAAGCACAAGATTTCCACTGATTTAGGTCTTTGATCTTTTTCTTAAGATTTATTTATTTGAAAGGCAGAGTTATAGGGAAACAGGAGTAAAAAGAGAGAGAGAGAGAAAGAGAGAGGAGAGAATCATCTATCTGTCGTTTCACTTACCAAATGGCCACAGCGCCGCGGCTGAGCCAGGTTGAAGCCAGCAGCCTAGAACTCCATCTGGGTCTCCCACGTGGATGACAGGGACCCAAGCACTTGAGCCATCATCCGGTGCTTTCCCGGGAACATTGACAGGGAGCTGGATTCGAAGAGGTGCAGCCAGGACTGAAACCAGTGCTCCAACATGGGATGCCAGCGTCACAGGCAGTGGCTTGCCCCTCTGCCCCCTCTGGTGCAGCTGCTGGAAGTGGCGGATGCTTTTCCAGCAGCAGCTGAGAAGACTCCGTGTTTATTTTTTCCTTCGTTCTATTAAGTGATGGATTCACAGGGTGACTCACTCTTGCATTCCTGGGACAGATCCTATTTGCCATAATCCTTTTGTATAGTCCTTTTAATATGCTGCTTAACTCAGTTTACTAGTATTTTGTTGAGGATTTTTCCATCTATATTCATTTGGAAAACTGTATGTAGTTTTATTGTGATGTCATTTCCAGCTTTGGTATCAAGTTAATGCTGACCATATATATTATTAATTAGGAATATATTTGTTTTGATCTTTGCATTGCAAGGCTATTTTATTTATTCTGATACAAGTCTCTTATATTATTTGCAAATGCTTCCTCCTAGTCTGTAGGGTATTTTCTTGATGGTACCTTCTTGATGGCACACAATGTTTTTTAAAAAAGATTTATCTATGCCAGCGCTGCAGCTCACTAGGCTAATCCTTCGCCTTGCGGCACCGGCACACGAGGTTCTTTTTTTTTTTTTTTTTTTGGCAGGCAGAGTGGACAGTGAGAGAGAGACAGAGAGAAAGGTCTTCCTTTTCCGTTGGTTCACCCTCCAGTGGCCGCCGCGGCCGGCACGCTGCAGCCAGCACGCTGCAGCTGGCGCACCGCACTGATCCGAAGCCAGGAGCCAGGTGCTTCTCCTGGTCTCCCACACGGGTGCAGGGTCCAAGCACTTGGGCCATCCTCCACTGCCCTCCCAGGCCACAGCAGAGAGCTGGACAGGAAGAGGAGCGACCGGGACAGAATCCGGTGCCCTGACTGGGACTAGAACCCGGTGTGCTGGCGCCGCAGGTGGAGGATTAGCTTATTGAGCCACGGTGCCAGCCTAGGTTCTAGTCCCGGTCGGGGCGCCGGATTCTGTCCCGGTTGCCCCTCTTCCAGGCCAGCTCTCTGCTGTGGCCCGGGAGTGCAGTGGAGGATGGCCCAAGTGCTTGGGCCCTGCACCCCATGGGAGACCAGGATAAGTACCTGGCTCCTGCCATCGGATCAGCGCGGTGCGCCGGCCGCAGCGCACCAGCCATGGCGGCCATTGGGGGGTGAACCAATGGAAAAGGAAGACCTTTCTCTCTGTCTCTCTCTCTCACTGTCCACTCTGCCTGTCAAAAAAAAAAAAAAAAAGATTTATTTATTTATTTATTTATTTATTTGAAAGTCAGAATTACAGAGAAAAAGAGAGAGATACAGAAGAAAAAGATCTTCCATCTATTGGTTCACTCCCCAAATGCAGCCGGAGCTGGGTCAATCCAAAGCCAGGAGCCAGGAGCTTCTTCTGGATCTCCCACGTGGGTGCAAGAGACCAAGCATATGGACCATCTTCCACTGCTTTCCCAGGCATATTAGCAGGAAGCTGGATCAGAAGAGCAGCCAGGACTTGAATGCCACACGGGATGCTGGCACCACAGGTGGTGGCTTTACCTGCTACGCCACAGGGCTGGCCCCAGCACAAAACTTTAATTTTCATGAAGTCTAATTTATCAATTTTCTGTTCTATCTTTTCTTTGTAATTTGGTATCTTTTCTAAGAAATCACTGTCTATCCCAAGAACATGAACATTTTCTCCTGCATTTTCTTTTGACTCCCATAGCTCAGTTCTTCAACTTAGGTCTATCACCCGCGCTGAGACGGCTCTGCATCTGAGTGATGTAAATGCCCTTCCATTCTTTGGACTGCAGATATCCAGCTGCTCCAGCACAGTTGCTGGAAAGACACTGAGCTGCCTGGCCCGACTGGCCACAGGGTCGGCTTGCATGACATGGTTTTGCTGTCACTTGGCATTCCTCACTGCACTTGCTTTCTACTCTAGTTAACTGTGTTTCTGAACTCACTGGTCTTAGTTCTTTCTATTTTTGGCCCCCTGCTTATTTCTTACTCTTGTCCACAAGTTTGGGTTTTCAGTTTTTAACCATTAGCAACCTTTAAGTCTCAGGACACAGGCACTCTAGCATGCTGCTCATGCGCAAGCTCCCGTCACAGCTCTCTGTATCTACGCCACGCTCACCCTAACACTATAGAGGGGAAACAGAAGACAGCATTCTGGACCATTCAGTTCTCAAAGAACCCTCCTTCATCTTGGCTGAGTCGATATTTGCCAGGGCCTACTTATTAGCTCATGCTATTTGATGTAAAAATATTCATAAATGTAAATGATAAGCTGACTGCCTTCGGTTATATCACACTTTGATTTCTTGAACCCTCCCCCCATTTTTTGGGTTGTTCTCCATTAACGTTTTTGTCTATACTGCTCTAGGCTGACCCACAGCTCAGTTCTCCTGCACTCTTCCTATCATTTCTGTATCTTGAGATTTATCAACTATTACAGCAATAGTTTCAGACATAACACACCTCCTGACAGGAACAAATTCCCAGGAATTCCTTTCCTCCTGTGGTGCCTGGAATGCACCCTAGTGTTATAGCCCAGCTTCACAATCAAAACCAGAAAAATCATCTGCTCTGACTGTCTAACCCTTCCATTTCCTTACAAACTGAGACTTATTATTTACCTCCATTTGAAATCTTATTAAATCATCAAATGAAGCATAAAAGCATGAGACTATTGAGATGTTCCCATAGGCTTCTATTGGGAAATACAATTCTTCCATTGCTGATATAATCATCAAAGTGGAAACGTGGCACTGGAGCAATAATAACTAATGCTGTAGTTAATGGGAACTACAATGCTGCCAGAAAGTCACAAACCCTTCCTGACAGAAAGTCAAATCAGGACTCACCTCTTTGGAAGAATGTGCTGACCATGAATGCAAAAAAAATTGTGGCAATGGCAAAGCACATCAGAAAAACAAATATCAAAATAGGGTCACTGCTCGTGAACACCGCAACACCATTCACCTACAGAACAATCACAAATGACAAAAATTTTACACAGAAGGAATGAGGTGAAAGCATAAAGTATCTGAAAACAATGCGGAAAATATTTTTTAAAATTCAAGATTATCTTAAACGAAATGATTTATACAGATTTTTAAGGCAAATCTTTAGTTTAGCATCTATTGCCATTTACATATTACGTTCTGTGCATGTATCTTTTTTGAAAAGCCTACGTTTGGATTTAATTTTTGAACCAATATAAATCGTTTTGTAAAGTATTTATTTGTTTCTTTGAAAGGCAGACTGACACAGGGAGAAAGAGAGAGAGAGAGAAATCTATCTATCTTCCACCTGCTCATTTACTCTCAAAATAGTCACAATAGCCAGGGCTGGGCCAAACCAAAGCCAGGAGACCAGAACTCCCCGGTCTCCCATGCAGGTGCAGGGGCCCTAGCACTTGGGCCATAGCCCACTGCCTTCCCAGGCCACAGCAGGGAGCTGGAGTGGAAGCATTACCAGATGATCTCCAACCTGCACTCTGATATGGGATGGTAGCATTGTAAATGGCAGCCTAACCCTCGGTGCCATGACGTGGGTCCCCTGTTGTTTGCTTCTAAAAAGTGAGTTTATTCCATTTGTCATTATCGTTATTACAGATAATTTTGGTATCTCTTTTGATATGTCTTCTGGCCATTTCCTTTATTTTATATATCCTGCTACTTTTGTCTTTGTTTTGTCCAAACTACCACAATATGGGTAATTTAGAAGATAATTTTCATATATCCAAATAGTGGGTTATAATTTAGTCATTAATTGAAAGCTGGCAATTTTAACACCAAATTCTATTAACAAAATAAACATAAAAAATAACAGTGCTGTAGTATATCAGTCAGCTTTTCACTACCACAACAAAATATCAGAGAAAAGTTAACTTTATAAAGAGAAAAGGTTTATGTTGGTTCACACTTCTGGAGGTCCACAGTCCAAGATTATGTGGTTACACTGGTTGGGGTTATGGTTACATGTGGTTATCTGGTGAGGGAATTTTTGCCACGTGACAGGAGGGAGCACGTGGGTCTATGTCTATATGATCTCTTATGAAGCCACCAGGAAATAATCATGAACACTCCACCCTGATGACCCAATTCAATTCAATCACCTTCCAAAGGCCCCACCTTTAGACACTACAACTGGATTAAGTTTGCATCCTCTTAGCACCATTAACAGGACACTTTGGAGACCATACCTTTAACACATGGGCCTTTGGGAGACATTCAACATCTAATTATCCAGACCACAGCACATGGTCATAAAACAATGTTTTGTTTTGTTTTGTTTTGTTTTGTTTTGTTTTGTTTTTACAGGCAGAGTGGACAGTGAGAGAGAGAGACAGAGAGAAAGGTCTTCCTTTTGCCGTTGGTTCAGCCTCCAACGGCCGCCACGCCGGCACGCTGCAGCCGGCGCACTACGCTGATCCGAAGGCAGGAGCCAGGAGCCAGGTACTTATCCTGGTCTCCCATGGGGTGCAAGGCCCAAGTACTTGGGCCATCCTCCACTGCACTCCCTGGCCATAGCAGAGAGCTGGCCTGGAAGAGGGGCAACCGGGACAGGATCTGGCACCCCGACCGGGACTAGAACCTGGTATGCCGGCGCCGCAGGCAGAGGATTAGCCTATTAAGCCACAGTGCCAGCCCAATGTTCTTATTTTTTTACAACTATTTTCAAGTAATTGTGGGGTACAACATTTAATGTTCTCAAGTTTATGAAAAATACATGTTTGGGGGCCAGTGTTGTAGCTTTACATGTTAAGCCACCACCTGCAATGCTGGCATCTCATACGGGCGCTGGTTCACGTCCCGGCTGCTCCACTTCTGATTCAGTTCCCTGATGATGTGCTTGGGAAAGCAAAGCAGCAGAAGATGGCTCAAGTCCTTGGGCTCCTGCCATCCACGTGGGAGACCCAGATGAAGCTCCTGGATCCTGGCCATTGTGGCCATTGGGGAAGTATATCAGCAGATGGAAGATTTCTCTATCCCTCTCTCTCTTTTTTTTTAAAGATTTATTTATTTACTTGAAAGTCAGAGTTGCACAAAGAGAGAAGGAGAAGCAGAGAGAGAGAGTCTTCCATCTGCTGGTTCACTCCCCAGTTGGCTGCAACAACTGGAGCTGCACTGATCTGAAGCCAGGAGCCAGGATCCAGGAGCTTCCTCCAGGTCTCCCACGCAGGTACAGGGGCCCAAGGACTTGGGCCATCTTCTACTGCTTTCCTAGGCCATAGCAGAGAGCTGGATCAGAAGTGGAGCAGCCAGGACTCGAGCTGGTGCCCATATGGGATGCTGGCACTGCAGGCAGCGACTTTACCCACTATGCCACAGTGCCGGCCCCATGAGATTTCTCTATCTCTATCCCTCCCTCTCTCTGTAACTCTGCCTTTCAAATAAATAAAATAAATCGTAAAAAAAAATACATCTCGACAATCTCCTGTAACACAATTACTGCACTCATATCCACTACTTGAAGACAAATGAGCCAGAGGGAAGGTGAAGCTTTCCCTGAACCTAAGGTCCCAACCGCGTAAATCCCCAGTCACCACCTCTCAGCCCGAGGTTTTCCACGTGGTCATCCGTAACTGTGTTTCCGTCACCTTTTGGATATCAGCACCTCCACCCACACCATACCACATTTATTTTTCACCTACTCACAGCTTAGCACATCTTCAGGGACAAGAGACATGTACCTCTATGCAGAAGAGAATGGTCATGACAAAAACCGCAATGCAGACAGAGATGAAGAACATGATGAACCAAGCAACCCAGTGCAGCCAGTTGTCCAGTCCCATCATGCACATGTACTCCTAGAGGAGGAAAGAGGCTGACATTACAGTTCTAACGGGTCTGGCACACTGGGATGAAGAACTGCATGAGAACACTAAAGAGAGCTGGCTAGTAGAGGGCGATGGAGACTGAGCGAGTTACAAGAATGGCACAAGCCAGGGAGCCGCATTCAATGGTTTAGTTATGGTACAGGCAGACTTTGTATTAAAATGATTCTTCTCCTGCAATCGCAAGTATACTGCTGGTTCATTCATTCATAGAAGGCCTACTATAAGTGCATGACTCCAGCGGTCCTGAGGGTAAACACCTGAACTCCTTACTGGGTCCTCACTTAAAAGTCTATTGATGGTTATCGGTTTTTCAAAAGCATTCTTGGGGGTGGGCACTGTGGTGTAGCGGGTAAAGACCTGGAGGAAGCTCCTGGCTCCTGGCTTCAGATTGGCCGAGCTCCAGCCGTTGTGGCTAATTGGGGAGTGAACCAGCAGATAGAAGCTCGCTCTCTCTCTCTCTCTCTCTCTCTCTGCCTCTCCTTCTCTCTCTGTGCAACTCTGACTGTCCAGTAGATAAATAAATCTTTAAAAAAAAAAAAGCATTCTTTAACCTACAGAACAGACTCAAGGACAAAATAGGAAACATGTGACCAATTCAATGACAAACAGCACATTTTATAACCACCATCTCTCTCCACCGGTTCATTCCTAAAATAATCTAACAAACAGGGAAAGTAAATCTACAGCCTGAGTCTGGAAACTAAAAGGGGAGTCCAGGAATACACCAGGAACTCCTCATCACCCTGGGATTTTTCAGTAGGTGCAGAGCCTCCCAATTGGCCCCTGTCTCACTATCAACCAACATCACGCGAACCCAGTGCATCCCCACCACTGATGGCCTCACAAGGCAACTTCTGCTGGTCCCTGCTCCTCACAACTGACTGTCGACACAGCACGCCAGGAGCCCACTCTTCAGCCTCAGACGTTGTCAGTGAGGGTACACAAGGTTCAGGGAGACAGCACCAGGCTACTTAAATAATAGTCACAGGAATCAACAGAAGGAGAAGAAAATTAAGGAGATTTTTTTCAAAGGAGAAGGTGAAGAGAGAAATAAAGGACAAAGTAGACAAACAGAGGAGAGTTGAAAGTACAGTAAAATCAGACTTCAGGAGCAATTCAGCAAGATCAACCATTGTCTAAACTGTGTCCTTCCAAAGAACACTTCCTGTCTACCTTACAGCAAGAAGTGTGCGTTCGTGTGGGCTTTTATACCCTGCACACACTCAGTAGTGAGTCATCCCACAAGCATTTTCTGGACACTTTCCCCGTGGAAGGCAGTGTACTAGCCATCCAGGAATGACCTGGCTGCACATTTCCAGGCTGGAAGCAAGGATTCACAGAGTAAGAACAGATGCACCACCTCACTCGCAGGCAGGTCAAACTGAGCGAAGTCTGGGACATCACTGTGACACCTAAGTGACCTCTGCTGTGGGTTCGTTTCTACTCTGGTGATTGTTTCATTAGCAGCATCCATACAGACCTGCCCAGGACAAGCATCTGGGCAGGAGACTGAGTTACCTTCAGTTTCTTCTCTTTCTCCAGCGAAATGGAATTGATGATGACGAGCTCCACACAGATGAAGCTGAGCATGAGGAGCAACGGGAACTCATTCTGAAGCACCAGGAAGAACCTGTCTTGAATGAAGGGCCCATACGGGAATCGCTTCAGCAGCACACTGAGACTGCCAAACATGTCGGCTGCCGTGTTGTGAGCGTGATGCCACATGACGGCCTTGTCCACAGCATGCTGGATGGCCAGGAAGCCTTCTCTATTGTATCCTGTAAGAGAACAGTGCATATCAAGCATAAGAAATTTAAAAAGACTGAGGGCACAAAGCAACTGGTACCTCAGAGGGATCACGGCTAGTCATTCAGAGACAGACAAGACAGCAGTAGGAAAGGTGTCCCTACAGACCACATGCTAATGCGCGAGAAGTCACAGCACAGACCCCGGGGTCGAGGGGATGACACCTGTGATCAGAAAGTAGGGTAAAGGAGTCCGGGCAGCCACAACAAGGGATTACAATGCAAGAATTTTCCATGGGGCCACATCATCTTCCCTTAGTGCCCAGGCTTTGGGGAAAGGGTGCTTGTTCTATAGTTTTAATCATCCAGCATGTACAAGAGAGTTACACTCAAAGCAGTTGACAGACGCAGCCACCCTGGCCTTCCGTGACCTGTTTCTGGGTCACTGCCGCAGCTGTGATCCAAGCCTTATCACAGCAACTCTCATTTCAACACAGTGCAATTGGTATGCTGGGGTCAGCTCTTCAGAAAGACAAAGATTCCTGTTTTGGGGTTTTCTGAGACAATGACCCCAGCACCAAGCAGGATGGCCAGGCCCCAACGTGAGGCACACCAGCCCTGGAGCCGAGGACTGTGCTCTCCCGATGGCCTAGATCCCAGCAGACCCCCACGCTGCCAAGACAGAAAAGGGGGGAACAAACTGCTGGTAACGCTCCGGAAACTTGCACATTCTTGATTTTGTGTGCTGAAACCTTTGGAGCAGCACAGGGGACTGGAAGCATTTGGATTCAGATTCCCTGCGGGTATGCAGGCAGGCCGAAGGCCTCAAGCCACTGTGAGGCCATGCTCCAATGACGTCCATGTTACCAATTTGTTTTTCTAGGAACACTTAGTTCCCTGGAGGGCATCACCTTAAATCCCTCACAAGGAGAGCCACCAAAAACCTAGACTGAGTTGGAGGGCACGAGGCCACCATGAGAGGATGGGCACACAGACATTCTTCAGGACATGGCACTCACTGTGAAGGGCGGAGGATAAACTGACCTTGGTGCTGCCCCTCTACTTCTCCAGAAGCCAGAGGTGGCCAGAGGTGAGAGTTGAGGGCGGCAATAATGCAGGGAGCATGCTCAGGGAACACATTTAGGTGTCTGCTGTCAGATCCAGCTGGATCGTGTCCATGGGAGGGGGCAGGCTGATGGAAGGAGTCACTGTCAAGGCTGTCCCCCACCCTCACTGAAGGGTGCTGCGGCAGAAAGCACATCTTCCTCAGGAGCGAGAATGGCAGAGGCCAGGGCCCCAGCTTTGAGACCACACCTGCATCTCAGGACAAGGAGGGACTCACGGGAAAATCACAACCCTCGGGAATTAATTTTCTATCCACTCATCCTGAGCAAGATGGGGAGAAGAAAGGACATTTTTCCAAGCAAGAGTTCTAAATGGGGACCAAAGGAGTGGCGACAACACATCCAGCAAAGACAATGAGGCCAGGAAGGAGAGGGCCTGGCATTCCTCTTCCTGTCCTGGTAGGCATAGGGCAGTGGGGACAGAAGACTCTAGCCAGGGTGAGCAGAATCAAAGTGAGACATCGGCCCATGAACAGGCCAGAGTTTAAGGACCTTGGAGGTAGAGCTTGGAGATACCCCCCGAGCAGGAACAGAATCTCTCTACGGCCTGGGAAAGCAGAAGGTGGCCCAAGTGCTTGGGTCCCTATACCCTCATGGGAGACAGGAAGAAGCTCCTGGCTCCTGGCTTTGGATTGGCTCAGTTCTGGCTGAAGCCATTTGGGGAGAGAATCGGTGATGGAATACCCTTCTCTCTGACTCTCCTTCTCCCTGTCTATAACTCTACCTCTCAAATAATAAATAAAATCTCTAAAAAAGAATGTAAGCATTTTACTGAACATCACATTTTGAAAGGTTACGTCCTCAGTGGCCGGGGACACACTGGTCCAGCTAGATGTCAGGCAGGAAAAACCAGAGAGCCCACAAGTACACTGCAGGACCGCGGTGAGAAGCAGACTTCAGGGCTTCCTTACCAGGGCTTCCGCCGTCAGCTTGCTTGTACATCCGGGGTTCTTGGAGTGGATTCGGAGGATAAAGAAAGGATGTGCACCAGCCTTCAGGGTCATTTTGAAGAATGAACAAATGCCTAAGTGGTAAAAAATTCCTCTGAATGTAACTGAAGCGCAAACTATACTGAACCTATGAAAGACAGAGAGAAAACCAGTTCAGTCACGAGGTCCCGGAATTCAGCAAAGGCGCAGGACCGCAGAGCTGTGCCTGGAGGAAGGGCTCCCAGTGCCGGCGACCACTGTGGGAGGGCGAGGACACCAGAGCAGGGTTCCTCCTGTGTTCTCTGGATATCATCCTGGAGAACCAACACTGGCCTGCGGAGCCAGCCTCGGGAAGGGAGCGCACAGGAGTGAAGAGCTGGAGCTCTGGATCCACGCAACCTGGGCCTGAGCCCACATCACCTTGGGAAAGTTTCTTCATCTTTGTGCCTCAGTTTCCTCATCAGGGAAATGGGGATAACAACAGCACTCACCTCAGACCACAGTGGGGTCAAATGAGACAGGGCCTGCAATGGCCTGGCATTAGTAAGTCCTTGAAACATACTGCTGCTTCTTGTATTAACACATCTCCTTCCATCTACCAACATAACACCTACATTCTCAAAATAATCATCAAGGGGCCGGTGCTGTGGCATAGTGGGTAAAGCCGCTGCCTGCAGTGCCGGCATCCCATATGGGCGCCAGTTTGAGTTCCGGCTGCTCCACTTCTGATCCAGCTCTCTGCTATGGCCTGGGAAAGCAGCAGCAGATGGCCCAGGTCCGTGGGTACCTGCACCCATGTGGGAGACCCAGAAGAAGCTCCTGGCTCCTAGTTTCTGATCGGCGCAGCTCCAGTTGTTGTGGCCAATTGGGGAGTGAACCAGCAGATAGAAGACCTCTCTCTCTCGCCCTCTCTCCCTCTCTCTCTCTGTTTCTCTGTAACTCTTCCTTTCAATAAATAAAAATATTTCTAAAAACTAATCATCAGAGGCCAGCGCCGCGGCTCACTAGGCTAATCCTCCGCCTGCGGTGCCAGCACACAGGGTTCTAGTCCCGGTCAGGGCACCGGATTCTGTCCTGGTTTCTCCTCTTCCTGTCCAGCTCTCTGCTGTGGCCTAGGAGTGCAGTGGAGGATGGCCCAAGTGCTTGGGCCCTGCACCCACATGGGAGACCAGGAGGAGCACCTGGCTCCTGGCTTCGGATCAGCGTGGTGCGCCAGCCACAGCAGCCATTGGGGGTTGAACCAACGGCAAAGGAAGACCTTTCTCTCTGTCTCTCTCTCTCACTGTCCACTCTGCCTGTCAAAAAAAAAAAAAAAAAAAAGCTAATCATCAGAGAAACTGTAGTAGAGCAAAAAGCTATAAATGAAGGGTTTTCTCATCCCCAAACATAAACCAAATATTTCAGGGTTGAAAATACTGATTTTTCTTTGAATATACACACAGACCTACCATATCTGAAGTCTGTGATATTAGTAATGATGACAACAATAACTAATCTCTCTGGAAAATTCCTCTGTGCTAGTGTCTATTCTAAGCACTTTACAGGCACAACTTCATTTAATTCTCAGAACAACTCTGTAAGTTAGGGACTAATAATACCCCTACCACACGAGCATGGACACTGAGGCTCACAAGTACCAGGAACTTCTCCAAGGTTACACAGCTGGCAAGTTGCAGGGCTGGGATTCACATCTGGTGCCTGGTGCTGGAGTCAACCAACTGCCGTGAGAACTCTTGGACACCTGGGGTTGCTTGCTCAGAACAAGCCTTTTCTTTCAAAGATTGAAAACCAGAAGGGACCTCAAAGTGTTAAGTTGTCATAGGACCATTCGCTTATCCCCTTGCAACTGAAATGCCCACGAGGCCACCGAGGGAAACAGGAGAGCATCAGTTTCCTGAACATGAAGGGTGAGTGGCTCAACAAGACTATTACGGGAAAGAGATTCTCACCTCAAGTGGCAAAGGGTCATTGCTGTCATTGAATCTATGGTGAAAAACAATTCCTGTCAGAATGTAGAAAGCTTTGTGATCCTTAATTATGTAATTTTCAAACACAGGTACTGAAGAGAAGCCTAGAACTACAGAGAAAAATCCAATCAGTGAGTGGCTAGTGTGAAGGCAAAGCTCCCCAGATCCTTCATCTCTGCCTAAGAAGACTTCAGAGTGCCAGCTAACTCCACCATTCACTCAGCAAACATGCCAGTGCAGAGTTTTTTTTTTGAAGATTTTATTTATTTGAAAGAGTTACAGAGAGAGGTAGAGAGAGAGAGGTCTTCCATCCCCTGGTTCACTCCCCAGATGGCCACAATGGCCAGAGCTGTGCCAATCCGAAGCCAGGAGCCAGGAGATTCGTCCAGGTCTCCCACATGGGTACAGGGGCCCAAGGACTTGGGCCATCCTCCACTGCTTTCCTAGGCCATAGCAGAGAGCTGGATTGGAAGAGGAGCAGCCAGGACTAGAACCGGCGCCCATATGGGATGCCGGCGTTGCAGACCAGGGCGTTAACCCGCTGCACCACAGAGCTGGAGGAGCACAGGATGGGTGCATTTGCTTCCTGGCACAGAGAATCACCAACATCTAGTTGGCACCTGTACCTTGTGAACCTTGAAGACGCCTAGACCACACTACATGTGGCCTTCCCACACCTTTTCTGAGATCGTGAGGTGAGAGGCCTGTAAGAGAAACTGAGTTCGGGCTGGATTTTCCTTCTATATTTTCAGAGTAATGAATTACTCAGTTTTTAAAGAACTGCGGTGTTGGCCAACCCGTCTGTCACTGTGAGTTGCACTCGGCCTTGGGCTGTGCAAGTTCTTTAATTCCGGCCCAGTGGTGTGAATGAGATACCAAATGCATCATCACCACTTTTCTCCTTTTTTTTTTTTTTGACAGGCAGAGTGGACAGTGAGAGAGAGAGACAGAGAGAAAGGTCTTCCTTTGCCGTTGGTTCACCCTCCAATGGCCGCCGCGGCCGGTGCGCTGCGGCCGGCGCACCGCGCTGATCCGATGGCAGGAGCCAGGAGCCAGGTGCTTTTCCTGGTCTCCCATGGGGTGCAGGGCCCAAGCACCTGGGCCATCCTCCACTGCACTCCCTGGCCACAGCAGAGGGCTGGCCTGGAAGAGGGGCAACCGGGACAGAATCCGGCACCCCGACCGGGACTAGAACCCGGTGTGCCGGCGCCGCTAGGCGGAGGATTAGCCTAGTGAGCCGCGGCGCCGGCCACCAGAGATTTTTTTTTTAAGGGCAACAGAAAATGAGGTAAAGAGGTTGAGACGTATGATTCTTGTTATTCAGTTCAGAACTTTAGTCTGTGGTCCCGGGAACTGCAGCACCTGTCTTGGGACATCAAGGAAGTCACGTGAAGGAAGACAAAGAAAGAAGTTAAGTCCCAGTCACACAGGTCTGACACAGATCAAGCCTTGCGGTTTGTTTTCCTTAAAAGTTGAGGTTTGGGGCCGGCGTTGTGGCACAGTGATTAAGCTGCTGCCTACAGTGCCAGCAGAGTGGACAGTGAGAGAGACAGAGAGAAAGGTCTTCCTTTGCCGTTGGTTCACTCTCCAACGGCGCACCGCGCTGATCCGAAGGCAGGAGCCAGGTGCTCCTCCTGATCTCCCATGTGGGTGCAGGGCCCAAGCACTTGGGCCATCCTCCACTGCACTCCTAGGCCACAGCAGAGAGCTGGCCTGGAAGAGGGGCAACTGGGACAGAATCCGGCACCCCGACTGGGACTAGAACCCGGTGTGCTGATGCTGCTAGGTGGAGGATTAGCCTATTAAGCCACGGCACCAGCCCTGTTCCACTTCTGATCCAGCTCTCTGCTAATGACCTGAAAAGGCAGTGGAAGATGGTTCAAGTACTTGGGCCCCTGCACCCACGTGGGGGACCCAGATGAAGCTCCTAGCTCCTGGCTTTGGTCTGGCCCAGCCTTGGCTACTTTGGCCACTTGGAGAGTGAACCAGCAGAAGGAAGACCTCTCTCTGTGTCTAAAAATTTATTAGTAAAAACGGGCTTTTGGCACAGCAGTTAAATCTCCACCTGGGATACCCATATCCCATAGAGGGTATCTAGGTTTGAATTCTGGAAACTCTTCTTTCAGTCCAGCTTCTGCTGATGCGCACTCTGGGAGGCAGCAGGCAGCTCATGTAGTTGGGTCCCTGCCACTCACTCGAGACCCTGGATAGAGTTCTGGGCTGCTGGCTTCTGCCTGCACCAGCCCCAGCTGTTGCATGCATTTGGGGAGTCAACCAGTGGATGCAATGTATCTCTCTCTTTCTGTAACCGCCTTTCAAATGAACAAAATCCAAAAAATATTTAAAATAAATAGCTTTTTAAAATTTTAATAGGGGCTTACATTGTGGCACAGTGTGTTGAGATGCCAGCACTCCATACGAGCACAGCTTGGAGCCCCAGCTTCTCTACTTCTGATCCAGCTCCCTGCTAATGTGCCTGGGAAAGCAGCAGAAGATGGCCCAAGTACTTACACCCCTGTACCACATGGGAGACCTGGATGGAGTTCCAGGCTCCTGGCTTCAGCTTGGCCTAATCCTGGTTATTGGGATCATTTGGGGAGTGAACTAGTAAATGGACGATCTGTCCACTCTGTCTGTCAAAAAAAAAAAAAAAAAAAACTTCACATTTAACTTTTGTTTTTATATAGACAGAGAAGGGGAGAGATGGAGAGAGAAGTCTTCCATCCACTGATTCACTCCCCAAATGGCCACAAAGTCTAGAGCTGGGCCAATCCAAAGCCAGGAGCCAGGAGCTGCTTCTGGGTCTCCTGCATGGGTACAGGGGCCTAAGCACTTGGGCCATCTCGCACTGCTTTCCCAGCCATTAGCACGGAGCTGCATCATAAGTGGAAGAGCCAGGACTCAAACCTGCACCCATATGGGATGCTGAGGCCCCAGAGGATTAACCCACTACACCATAGCTCCAGCCAACATTCAACATTTTAATTAGCCTTGTGACATAAATATACAAGTCTCCAGTGTGTTGCTTAAAATAACAAAAGCACCACATGGACAGACCTCCCTTAACTATTAATTCTCTATGCTCTTTAAAATGTGAGAACCCCAGATTCAGAATCATTACTGCAAGGATTCTCAGAAAAAAACTTCAACTGGTACTGTATAAAAATATCCCCCCATGTAGTGTCTAACCTTCAAGCTCAACGTCAAAGTCTTGCTCCACCCTCTCAGTGACAGCCTTCACAGCCTCGCTCTGGGAAGGGATGTAAGCTAGCTGAAGTCTGCTTTTCTGAGGATAATTAAAGAAGAGTTCTGGGAGTGAATTGACATCGAATGCACTGTAGTTAGAAGCTGGTCTTCTTCTTGGCACACTGTTGAAACGAAGGTACAATATGATCGCAGAGAACAGGAATGGCATCAAGATTTCAAGGACTGTCACCACCGTCTTCCGCTTCTAAAACCAAAACAAAAGCTGCACGTTAGCCAACAGGGACACAAGACAAAATCTCGGAGTGGGATGTCTTCCTCGGAGAACCTGTCACTTCTTCCAGTTTCCTTTGCAACACAGGAGAAAGAAAAAACAGAATGAGAAGTAGCTAGAAACATCCACTTTTAGCTTTTCTATAACACCAGTGGCAGGAAATCAGTAACAATGATGTCATCTTTCGTAACTCAGGTTCATGGAATTACTATGGAAACATGATTCAACTATAGGAAACAGGCCTTCACAAGTTCTTAATTCTTTAACTCATTAGAAACCAAATTATCTTAAACATTCAGTCCTTCCCAACAGACTGCATTTCCCGAGATCTGCACACCCACCTTCAGGATGAAGTTCTTCCAGAGAAGCAGCTTCAGCCTCTGGAACACCGCCATTCTGCCAGCTGGAGGAGGGCTCATGTCTAGTCAGGAAGCAAGCAGGGGTGTCATGCATAACAGAGAATGCCAAGGGGTGCCCTTTCATCCTGAAAGCTCACTGTGACTAGGATACTAGGCTAGACTGCGTCTCCTCAGCCAGCTCCTGACTTCTTTCTTTATGATTCTTGCACCTCCCTCAACCAGCACACATCCCTGTGCCCCCAAGCCACAGTCTGTGGACAGATTTCTTCTTCCCAGACACTCCTTAGGTGACCTCACTCTGCTCTTGGGTTGAATCCATCTACATGCTGATGGCTTCAAAACCTTTATCTCTAGCCTGCACTTCGCCTGTAGCCCTAAACCATCTCCACACATTTCATCTCAAACGGGACAAGGGAAAACTGGTCTATTCATACTCTTCCTAAAACATATTATCTGGGGCCAGCATTGTAGCATAGTAGGTCAAGACTCTGCCTGTGGAACTGGCATCCCATTTGGGCACTGGTGAGAGTCCCAGCTGCTCCACTTCCAATCCAGCTCTCTGCTGTGGCCTGGGAAGGCAGTGGAGGATGGCCCAAGTGCTTGGGCTCCCACATCCACATGGGAGACCAGGAAGCAGCTCCTGGCTCCTGGCTTCAGATGGGCCGAGCTCCAATCATTGGTCATTTGGGGAGTGAATCAACAGATGGAAGATCTCTCTCTGTCTCTGTCTCTGTCACTCTGCCTCTCAAATAAATAAATTAAAACAAAAACAGAAATATCACCCTAGGGTCTCTCTCACCTCAGTTAATGTCACATTTTTTGAGTTGGACAGGATTATTTCTTTTCTTTTCTTTTTTCTTTTCTTTTTTTTTTTTTTTTTTGACAGGCAGAGTGGACAGTGAGAGAGAGAGACAGAGAGAAAGGTCTTCCTTTTGCCGTTGGTTCACCCTCCAATGGCCGCCACGGCCGGCGGGCTGTGGCTGGCGCACCACGCCGATCCAATGGCAAGAGCAAGGTGCTTCTCCTGGTCTCCCATGGGGTGCAGGGCCCAAGCACTTGGGCCATCCTCCACTGCACTCCCTGGCCACAGCAGAGAGCTGGCCTGGAAGAGGAGCAACCGGGACAGAATCCGGCGCCCCGACTGGGACTAGAACCCGGTGTGCCGGCACTAGCAAGGCGGAGGATTAGCCTAGTGAGCCGTGGTGCCGGCCAGGATTATTTCTTCACTTATTTTTTCTCTTTCACAGCCCAAATCCAGTGTTTCAGCAAATCCTGTTGGGTCTACCTTTAAAATATTCCCAAAATTCAATACCTTGTCACCACACTTACAGTATCACCCCCTGCCTCAGTTTCTGCAGTAGCTTCTCCAGTGCCACCTTGCAATCTATTTTTCACTTAGCAATAACAATGTGGTTCAGATCAGATCACATCCACTCCTTTGCTCGAAACTCTGATGCTTCCCATGTCTCTCCAGGCAAAAGTGTGGCCTTATAACGACCTGCAGACTTCTCCAGCAAGCAGATGTTTCTAGCTTTCCTGTCGCCTCTCCACTCATCTCCTTTCTCCTTGCTGCTAATCCCAGAACACACCAAATAACCGTGGCCTTAAAATGTGCATTTCCTCTGTCAAGGACAAGTACCCACTTCCCTCCTATGTGGACACGGCTAGTGCACCTACTTATTTTAGATCTTTGTTCAAAACTCACCTTCTCTGTGATGCTTTTATCAACCATCTTATATAAAAGTAAAACATTCCTGGGGCCGGCGCTGGGGAGCAGCAGGTTAATGCCCTGGCCTGAAGCATATGGGTGCCAGTTCGAGACCCAGCTGCTCCTCTTCCGAAACAGCTCCCTGCTATGGCCTGGGAAAGCACTACAAGATGGCCCAAGTGCTTGGGCCCCTGCACCTGCGTGGGAGACCCAGAAGAAATCCCTGGCTCCTGCCTCCTGAGTTTGTATCAGCCCAGCTCCTGCCAATGCAGTCATCTGGGGAGTGAATCAGCAGATAGGAGACCTCTCTCTCTGTGTTTGCCTCATTGTAACTCTGCCTTTCAAATACATAAGTAAATCTTGAGAGAGAGAGAGATGAAAGAAACAGGGATCCTATAAGGACGGGGGGAATATGATTATTGTTCCTAGAACGTTATCAACCTTGGCTATGTTGCGTCTGTTGTCTCTGCTTTACTTCCTACAATGCTACATCCTTAAAGATAGGGACACGGCCCTTTCCTCAGGAACACGAATTTCAGGAGCCAGCGCTTTGGTGCAGTGCATAAAGCTGCTGCCTGCAGTGCCGGCATCCCATATGGCTGGTGGTTTGAGTCCCAGCTGCTCCACTTCTGATTTAGCTCTCTGCTATGGCCTGGGAAAGCAGCAGAACATGGCCCAAGATCTTGGACCCCCATACCTATGTGGGAAGACCCAGAGGAAGCTCCTGGCTCCTGACTTCAAACTGGTGCAGCTCTGGCCATTGTGGCCAACTGGGGAGTGAACCAGTGGATGGAAGACCTCTCTCTTTCTGCCTTTCCTTCTCTCACTGGGTTAATTCTAACTTTCAAATAAATAAATAAATATTTTTAGAGATATATTTATCTATTTTTTTGAAAGTCAGAGTTACACAGAGAGAAGGAGAGGCAGAGAGAGAGAGAGAGAGAGAGAGAGAGAGAGAGAGAGAAAGAGAGAGAGGTCTTCCATTCGATGGTTCACTTCCCAAATGGCTACAATAGCTGGACCTGCGCCAATCCGAAGCCAGAAGCCAGGAGCTTCTTCCACGTCTCCCATGCGGGTGCAGGGGCCCAAGGACTTGGGCCATCTTCTTTTCCTTTTCTCCGGCCCTAGTAGCGAGCCAAATTGGAAAAGGACAAGCAGGTCTTTGAACCGGCGCCAATATGGGATGCCGGCACTTCAGGCCAGGGCATCAACCCACTGCACCACAGTGCCAGCCCCAGTAAATAAATCTTAAAAAAAATTCAAGGGGCTAGCGCTGTGGCACAGCGGTTTAAAGCCCTGGCCTGAAGCACCGGCATCCCATATGGGCGCCAGTTCTAGTCCCAGCTGCTCCTCTTCCGATCCAGCTCTCTGCTATGGCCTGGGAAAGCAGTAGAAGATGGCCCAAGTCCTTGGGTCCCTGTACCCACGTGGGAGACCAGGAAGAAGCTCCTGGTTCCTGGCTTCAGATCAGTGCAGCTACGGCAGTTGTGGCCATTTGGGGAGTGAACCATTGGCTGGAAGACCTCTCTCTCTCTTTCTCTGCCTCTCCTCTCTCTGTGTAACTCTGACTTTCAAATAAAATAAATAAATCTTTTTAAAAAATTCTCAGAAGTAGCATCTTTGGAAGTGAATATGGAGTGACATCTCAGAAATGGGTCCCTCCACTGACAAACCTGTTAGGCTGGCACAAACCGCCTGGAACAACTACAAGTTGTCCATTGGTATCTGAGGGGGATTGGTCCAGGACCCCTCACGCATGCCAAAAAAGGCAGATGTTCAAATCTCTCACATGGTACAGCATTTGCATATAACCTAGACACATCCTCCCATATACTTAAAACAATTTCTAAATGACTTACAAGCCTACTATAATATAAATACTATGTAAACCATTGTTACACTGCACTGTTCAGGGAACAATGACAATGTCTATATGTGTCAGTACAGATACAACTGTCTCCACACAGCTCACGGGCTGCGGTCAGCTGAATTCTCAGATGTGGAACATGCTACTGTACATGCTACTCACAAGATGTGCATTGTAGATGCTAAAACACACAGAAAGTGGAAGGATGGAAAAGATATCATAAGTAAATTGTACCTAAAAAATGGGCTGGCTATAATAAAAGACAAAATAGATTTTAAGTAAAAAGTTATTACCACAGACAAAGGACATTTTATACTTATGAAAAGGCCAAATCATTAAGAACATATAACAACAATCAATATACACACATCAAAGAATGGAGTACCCAAAATAAATAAGCAAATAGTGACAGAATAAAATAGAGAAATAGTGATATGATAACAACTGGAGAATTCAATAACGGACAGAGATGAACAAAAGATCAATAAGGAACTAGAAGACTTGAACGACAGCACAAACCAGCAAGATTTAAAAGGTTGTATATATAAAGCTGAAACCCAAAATAGAAAAATAAACATTGTTCTCAAGTACACAAGACCATTCTGTAAGAGAGATCACATGTTGAGCCACAAAACAAATTTTAATAAATTTAAAAGGGGATGGGCATTTGGCACAGCGGTCGCTGCTTGGGTCTCCTGCATCCCACATTGTAGTATATGGGTTCAAGCACTGACTCTGCTTCCAATTCCAAACTAAATCCAAAAAGCACATGGTATTAGTAAATCCTTTATTACTATATACAAAAGTCCTAAAGCTGTAGATCTGTAATTAAGAGTAATTTTAGAGGCTGAAAGCCAAAAACCATACTACAGACTGGCAAGAGCTTCTGTGGACCCTAACCTATGGCAAAAGGCAGGCGCGAGAACACACGTGCGAGAGAAGGATCACATCACAAGACAGGGTGCTGAAGAGCAGTTGTGAACTAGCTGGAGTCCTCTGTGGGTGCAGGGCCCAAGCACTCAGGCCATCTTCTGCTGCTTTTCCAGGCCCATTAGCAGGGAGCTGGATTGGAAGTGCGGCAGATGGGACTTGAACCAGCCCTCATCTGTGATGGCAGCATCGTAGGCAGCAGCTTAGCCCACTGCACCACAACGCAGGTCCCCATAAAATAATTTTTTAAAGAAAAAATACATTAACATGACAAAGGGCATTGATGATGGACACACAGCTAACATCATACTTAATGATAAAATACTAAAAACCTTCTCCCTAAGGTTAGGAATGAGAAACAAGATACCTGCTTTCACTTTGTACTGACTCTCCTAGCAGAGCTACTAGGCAAAAAAAAGGAAACAGGAGGCATATGAATTGGAAAGGAAGAAGGAAAACTATTTATATCTGCAGATTAAATACACATGCACACACCAAAAAACTAGAGGAGCTAATAAATAATTCAGCAATTTCAGAGTACAAGAAAAAAGTAAAAAAAAAAAAAGTTGTAATTCAAAAATTATCAATGACAATCACTTAAAGAAAATGGCCAAGAAGCACCATGTGAAAGAGGCTCGCTATTGGTTATCAGAGAAACACAAATCAAAACCAGCAAGATGCTACTTCACACCCACCAGGACGGCTTAATTAAAACAGTGGAAAATAAGTGTTGGCAGGGACGCAGAGAAGTTAAAACCTTGCTGCATTTTTTGGGAATGTAAGAGGGTACAGCTGCCATGAAAAACAGTTTGGCAGTTCCTCAAAAAGTCAAACAGAACAACATACAACCTAGGAATTCCACTCCTAAGTATACACAAAAGAGAAACACAAACATATGTCCACACAGAAACTTGGACATAAATGTTTACAGCAGCATTATTCACAAACTATGGAAACAGCAGGCACGCCCATCAGCAGATGAAGGGATAAACAAAGTGTGGAATATACATGCCACGGAACATTACTCTGCCGTAAAAGGGAAGGACATACTGCTCCGTGCCAGCCCTGCCTCTTGTGGGCTTTTGAGAGTGAACCAACAGATGGGAGTTGCACATGCTCTCTCTACCTCTTGATAAATAGAGCGAATGCAATCATACATTTATAACACTATAGCTGCAATTATCCTCTGTGACACATAATACCAAAACTCAGTCACTTATAACAACAAGCATTTATTTCCAGCTCATAGTCTGCAGGCCAGCTGTGGCTCTGCTGTTTTTCTTGTGATTAGCTCAACTTGGCTTAAGGTGTTGTTTTGGGATGAATGTGTTTGTCCAAAATATACGTGGACAAATATACTTGGAATATACTTGGAGGCAAGGCTTTTGAAGAGGTGGCAAATTAAAAACGAGGCTACACTGAGGATTAAGTTGCCAAAAAGTGAACTCTGGGAGAAAGAGTAAAACCACAACACTATGCATGCTGTCAAAAGTTAAAACAGTAAATGAAACCTCCATTCCTACACAAATTTGTAGCACATACATTTTCCAAGCTCAAACTGCAGTTCAACACTATTTGTTTGTTTGTTTTGGACTTCAATCCAAGTGCAAAGGAAATTTCCTTATTTCAAAATCCATTTCAGGAGCCAGAGTAGTGCTGTAGCGGGAAAGCCACCACCTGCAACGCTGGCATCCCATTTGGGTGACAGTTCATGTCCCAGCTGCTCCACTTTCAATCCAGATCCCTGTTAATGGCCTGGGAAAAGCAGAAGATGGCCCAAATGTTTGCACCCCTGACACCCATGTGGGAGACCCAGATAAAGCTCTGGCTCCTGGCTTCCGCCTGGATTAAGCCTGGCCATTGTAGCCATCTCGCAAGTGAAACAGTGAATGCAAGATCTCTCCCTATCTCTCCCCCCTCTCTCTGTAACCCTGACTTTCAAATAGACAGATAAATCTTTTCTGAGAAAAATCATTTTAAAGTGTAATTGAAGAGCCTCCATTTGCCTTTCAATTAGAAGTGACTAATCTGCAGGGTAATTACATGGCAAAAGGTAAACACCAGAGAACAATCTAGCATGAGTCTGCATTCTTTCAGGTCACGTGTACTCACTTAAAATCATGTGTTCATGGGAAACTCAGTTATCTCACATAGATCAGCACTAACCAACTAACATGCATAATCAGGTTTAATGACACAGAATATTAACGTTGAACCTCAGTTAAGTAATATATCATCCCTACAAAGGAATTCCATCATTTTTCCTGGTAGATGTATACATTACTAAAAAATTATATTCTATTGTTGTTTATTGAATTTTATAAATAAAAATTTTATGGAAGCTTGTTTTGTCTCTTGCTATGTAATTAACTATGCAATGTCCTAGACTGCCTCCTGGCATGCAAAACCTAAAACATTTACCTTCTGCCCTTTATTGAAGGCCACAGATTAATGGAACAGAATAGTGAGTTCAGAAATAGACGGTACATAAATATGACCACTTAACTTTTGAAAAAGGTTCAAATTGTTGGCAAAGAATAGTAATCTTAAGAAATGTGCTGGGGCCGGCACGGTGGCTCACTTGGCTAATCCTCAGCCTGCGGTGTTGGCACACCGGGTTCTAGTCCCAGTTGGGGTGCCGGATTCTGTCCCGGTTGCTCCTCTTCCAGGCCAGCCCTCTGCTGTGGCCTAGGAAGGCAGTGAAGGATGGCCCAAGTGCTTGGGCCCTGCACCCCATGGGAGATCAGGAGAAGCACCTGGCTCCTGGCTTCGGATCAGCACAGTGTGCCAGCCGCAGCGGCCATTGGAGGGTGAACCAACGGAAAAGGAAGACCTTTCTCTGTCTCTCTCTCACTGTCCACTCTGCCTGTCCAAAAAAAAAAAAAATGTGCTGGAATAACTACACATCCATGTTTGAAAAAACAAAAACTTCAAACTAATATCTCAAATGATCATACAAAAGTAATGCAAAGTAGATAATAGACTTAAATCCAAAATCTAAAACTATAATAAAACATCCAGAAGAAAACACATGAGAACGTCTCTGTTAACGTTTCTTAAATATGCCATCAAAAGCTTAAAAGACAAGCTGGCTCTGTGGCGTAGCAGGTTAAGCCTCCGCCTGCAGCGCTGGCATCCCATATGTATAACTAGTTCGAGTCCTGGCTACTCCACTTCCAATCCAGCTCTCTGGGAAAGCAGTGAAAGATGGGCCAGGTGCTTGGGCCCCTGCACCCACATGGGAGACTCAGAGGAAGCTCCTGCCTCCTGGCTTCAGATATGCCCAGCTCCAGTTGTTGCGGCCATTTAAAGAGTGAACCAGAAGATGGAAGCTCTCTCTCACTCTCACTCTCCCTCTCTCTGTCTGGAACTCTGCTTCTCAAATAAATAAATATTTTTAAAAAGTTTAAAAGAAAAATTGGCAAGAACTTACCAAAATTAAAAACCTTTGCTCTGGGGTCGGCACTGTGGTATAATGAGCTAAGCTTCCGCCTGTGGCACAGGCATCCCATACGGGCACTGGTTCATGTCCCAGCTGCTCCTCTTCTGATCCATTTCTCTGCTATGGCCTGGGAAGGCAGCGGAAGATGGCCCAAGTGCTTGGGCCCTGTACCGCATGGGAGACCCAGAGAAAACACCTGGTTCCTGGCTTTTGATCAGCTCGCTCTGGCCATTGTAGCCATTTGGGGAGTTAACCAGCAGATGGAAGACCTTTCTCTCTCTCTCCCTTTCTGTTTATAACTCTATCTTTCAAATAAATAAATAAATCTTAAAAGTTGAACTAGAATATAGAACTCTCAGAACTCAACAATATGGGGGATGGCGTTGTGGTGTAGTGGGTAATGGGTGCTAGTCTGAGTCGCAGATCTGCACTTCCAATCCAGCTCCCTGCTAATGCCCCTGGGAAAGAAGCAGAGGGTGACGTGCTTGGGCCCCTGCACCCACGTGAGAGACCCTCATGAAGCTCCTGGCTACCAGTCCAGCTGTTGTAGCCATCTGGTGATTGTATCAGACGATGGAAGATTTCTCTCTCTCTCTCTCTAACTGTCTTTCAAATAAATAAAATAAATCTTTAAAAAGAAAAACCTCAACAATAAGAAAATGAACAACCCATTTTTTTATTTTTTAAAGATTTATTATGTATTTGAAAGTAGAGGTCTTCTATCCACTGGTTAACTCCCCAATTGGCGGCAATAGTTGGAGCTGTGCTGATCCAAAGCTAGGAGCCAGAAGCTTCTTCTGGGTCTCCCACGTGAGTGCAAGAGCCCAAGGATTTGGGCCATCTTCTACTGCTTTCCCAGGCCATAGCGGAGAGCTAGATTGGAAGTGGAGCAGCTGGGACTCAAACTGTAGCCCATATGGGATGCTGACACTGTAGGCAGCGTCCTTACCCGCTACACCACAGTGCCCTCCCCAACCCAATTTTTAAAAATGGGAAAAGATCTGAAGTTGTTTCACCAAAAAGAATATATACATGACAAACAGGACCATGGAAAGACACTCAACATCATTAGTCATTAGGAAAATGCATATTCAAACCACAATAAAATACTCCCACGTAACTGTAAGAATGACTAATACGCTGTCTAAAGCACTGGGGTAGGTACAGAGCAACTGGAACTCTAGATGTTGCCAGTGGGAATGTAAAATGGTACATGCACCCTGGAAAACATGTTGGCAGTTTCTGATAAAGCTAAATATATGCCTATCATACAACTCAACAATCCCATGCCTAAGTTTTTACTCAAGAGAAATGAAAACTTATTTTTACACAAGAATCTGCACATGAATAATTACAGAAGCCTTTACTTGTAATTACCAAAAACTGGAAGCAAACCAAATGTTTTTAACTGATGCATGAATCAATAAATCGATGCATTCATTTGGTGGAACTCTATTCAGTCGTAACAGGAATGAACTACTGATTTACTTAATATCCATGAATCTTAAGTGCATTAAGTAAAGAATGCCAGACAAAAGATCACACACTACATTATTCAATCCACATGGTATTCTGGAAAACACAAAACTGTAGGGACAGAGAAGAAAATGCTTGCTAAGAGGTGGGGGGAAAAGGACATCACAAGAAAACTTGGGGGATGGTGTCTGAATTTGGTTGTGGTGGCAGTCAACACAACTCTGTATTTGACAAAATTCATAGCAGTGCAACCAGATGGAGTGAATTTTACTATATGTAAATCGAAATTTTAATGATTAATTTTTTAAGTGTTGAGAAAATTGGCTAACTCACTCCAGCAAAATAAATATCAGATAGATAAGGATTTAAACATATAAAATATAATTATAAAAGCACTGTAAAACAAACTGGGTAAATATTTTTATATTCTTAGTGTTGGAACAGTTTTTTTTAAATAAACATGACCCATGACCTGAAAACTATAAAGAAATAGACTAATAAATCTAATTACATAAACAGCAACAACTTTCCTTTGAAAAAAGCCAAAAGAGAATCCAGGGAAAACACCTGCAACACACCTGTTATTTTGAGCCTGATCCCACCGTCCACCACGACTTTCTCAAACACAGGAGAGAGGTACAAATGTCCAACTTACATATCTGAAAACTGCAGGATAAAAATAGAGAAAACCATTTATGAAAACCATAAAATAATGCTATATATCCATAGGATAATCAATACATGGGGATTTCAAATAAGTTCATGGAAAATGGAATTAAAAGATAATTTTGATGCAAAAAATTTTGAATCCATGCATATAAGGGATCTTCAAAAACCTCATAGAAATGCCTATTATGAAAAAAAGTAGGGACCAGTGCTGTGATGTAGTGGACTAACCCTCTGCCTGCAGCACCGGAATCCCATATGGGCACCGGTTTGTATCTCAGCTGCTCCTCTTCTGATCCAGCTCTCTGTTATAGCCTGGGAAAACAGTGGAAGATGGCCCAAGTCCTAGGGTCCCTGTACCCTCGTGGGAGACCCAGAAAAAGCTCCTGGCTCCTGACTTCGGATCAGCTCAGCTCCAGCCATGAGGACATCTGGGGAGTGAACCAGCCGATGAAGGACTTCTTTCTCTCTCTGCCTCTGCCTCTCTGTTACTCTAGCTCTCAAATCAATATATAAAATCTTAAAAAAAAAAAAAAAAAGGCATGGGGGCTGGCGCTGTGGCTCACTTGGCTAATCCTCCGCCTGCGGCGCCGAAATCCCATATGGGCGCTGGGTTCTAGTCCTGGTTGCTTCTCTTCCAGTCCAGCTCTCTGCTGTGGCCCGGGAAGGCAATGGAGGATGGCCCAGGTGCTTGAGCCCTGCACCTGCATGGGAGACCAGGAGGAAGCACCTGGCTCCTGGCTTCAGATCGGTATAGCTCCAGCCGTAGTGGCCATTTGGGGGTGAACCAATGGAAGGGAGACCTTTCTCTCTGTCTCTCCCTCTCACTGTATCTAACTCTGTAAATAAATAAATAAATAATCTTTAAAAAAAATAGGCACAGGTTTCAAAATTTTTTCAATAAATTTATCTTTCAATTTCATTGTCCACAAACCTCGTGAAGTACCCTCACATATGTATGCAAATAAACAGAAAAATGCTAAGAAGTGTATTTAACAAACCTATGACCATGGAGAAGGTTCAAGGAAGAGGATGGTGGTCATAAAAAAAACTTTGGTTTGACTTATAGTTTGAATTTTTCAACAAGCATGTATCATGTAACACTTGCTAGAATTAAAATTGAGAATGTGTAACTGGTTCATATAAATAATTTCCTTGAATTTTATAAACAGTTCAAAAGCTAAGCAAAATAACCATATTTTTAAGCAAGTGAGTTGGTTTAGACAAATACAATTATGACACAACTTATAGTTTCTGCCTCACTTGAATTTTTCACCAATAGAAATCACTGTAGGGTATTCATGTTGTTCCTATTTTATACAACTTATAGCTTATATTATTTGCCACATCCTTGCTTCTTTTTTTTTTTTTTTTTTTTTTTTTTTTGGACAGGCAGAGTTAGACAGTGAGAGAGACAGAGAGAAAGGTCTTCCTTCCGTTGGTTCAGCCCCCAAATGGCTGCTACGGCCAGCGCGCTGCGCCAATCTAAAGCCAGGAGCCAGGTGCTTCCTCCTGATTTCCCATGCGGGTGCAGGGCCCAAGCACTTGGGCCATCCTCCACTGCCCTCCTGGGCCACAGCAGAGAGCTGGACTGGAAGAGGAGCAACTGGGACAGAATCTGGCATCCCAACTGGGACTAGAACCCGGGGTGCCGGCACCGCAGGTGGAGGATTAGCCTAGTGAGCTGTGGTGCAGGCTACATCCTTGCTTCTTTTTTTTTTTTTTTTTTTTTTTTTTGTTTTTGTTTTTGTTTTGACAGGCAGAGTGGACAGTGAGAGAGAGACAGAGAGAGAAAGGTCTTCCTTTGCCGTTGGTTCACCCTCCAATGGCCGCCGCTGCAGCCGGCGCACCGCGCTGATCTGATGGCAGGAGCCAGGAGCCAGGTGCTTTTCCTGGTCTCCCATGGGGTGCAGGGCCCAAGCACCTGGGCCATCCTCCACTGCACTCCCTGGCCATAGCAGAGAGCTGGCCTGGAAGAGGGGCAACCGGGACAGAATCCGGCGCCCCGACCGGGACTAGAACCCGGTGTGCCAGCACCACACAGGAGGATTAGCCTATTGAGCCACGGCGCCGGCTACATCCTTGCTTCTAACAATATATTGCTGAGTACTATCACCCTATTAAAGAAAGAGTTTTGTTCATATTTTTATTTAAAGTTTCATCTGTCATAGAGGAAGCACACAGTGAAAGTTAAACTGATTTCAGCATGTGTTTTGTGAGATGCTGTAAAACACATACGTTTTGGGTCCGGCACTGTGGTGTAGCGGGTAAAGCCGCCACCTGCAGTGCCATCATCCCATATGAGAGCTGGTTCAAGTCCTGGCTGCTCCATTTCTGATCCAGCTCTCTGCTATGGCCTGGGAAAGCAGCAGAAAACAGCCCAAGTCCTTGAACCCCTGCAGCTGTGTGGGAGACTGGAAGAAGCTCCTGGTTCCTGGCTCCGGATCTGCTCAGTTCCAGCCATTGCAGCCAATTGGGCAGTGAATCAGCGGATGGAAGACCTCTCTTTCTCTCTCTGCCTCTGCCTCTCCATAACTCTCTCCATTTATCTGTATTATTAATTCAAATAAATAATCTTAAAAATATATATTTCATTCATGTTTTTATCCTTAGCACAGAAAGTAATTTTTTAAAGATTTATTTATTTGAAAGGCAGAGAGTTAGAGAGAGAGAGATCTTCCATCTACTGGTTCACTCCCCAAATGTCTGCAACAGCCAGAGCTGAGCTGATCTGAAGCCAGGAGCTTCTTCTGGGTCTGCCATGCAACTGCAGGAGCCCAAGGATTTGGGCTATCTTCTATTGTTTCACCAGGCCATAGCAGAGAGCTAGATCGGAAGTGGAACGGCTGGGACTCGAACAGGTGTCCACATGGGATGCTGGCACTGCAGGCAGCTGCTTCACCCGCTACACCACAGTGCCAGCCCCTCAGAAAGTAACTGATAGATCACTTATGCAGCCCTTGCTTTGTGCCAAACACCTTTCTAAGTACTTAATCCTTACAATTCTAGGAAGTGGGCACTATATGTATGATCCCCGTTTTACATAAGGAAACTAAGCTACAAAATAGTAATTTGCCCGAAGACATTAAAAGCTGAACTTCAGTCTGAGGCAGTGTGGCCAGAGTACATAAGCAGTTTTAAGCATCACTATATAATGCCTCTTAGTCACTGAATGAAGGAATATGTGTGCAGCCATTAGTCTAGAATTCATCCCCGAATTATAACATCATTCCTGTGGAAATAATCAGAGAAGTCCTAGTCCCAAATGCTACACTGAATACCAGCAACTTGGGCACTGGTATACAATAGACAGAGTCATAGATTATAGATAGTATTTGTGGTCCTTTGAAAGAAATTAGGAGCTGCCAAACTGGCTTCAATAAAACATAAAATGTCATAAAATATATAATATATACACATCATTATATTTATATATATATATATATGTCAATTGGTGTAATAGCTAGGTCCTCTACCTTTTGTAAAGCTATAGGATTTGTGTCGCCATCCACTATAGCTTTCGCTACTGATTCTGAGGAAAGACATACTTGAGCCCTGGTAACCTCAAGGGGTATACTCAGCAATGTCCTGGCAGACTTGATTATTTGCAGTATACTAATGTGATTGAGAATTCAGGCACCACGACGTGTTAGGAGTCCAGCAACCTGAACAGTCTCAGCTCTCCTGGGTGACTGAACAAATTATGATCATATATACTATATACTCAGCCCCCACTTAGAGAGGGAGCATCTAGCTTTTTTTTTTTTTAATATTGGGCATTGAGTCCAATTTGATGACTTTTTCACTAGCTGCTAAAGGGCATCAGAAGGGTCCAGCTCACTGTAGGCAACAATTTTTAACAGGAACCCCGAGCCGGAAATCTGTGTACCAGCCACCTCTTTGCTGGTGAGCTCCAGCTCCCCGCTTAGACTGCTTATACTAATGTCGGCAGCAGAGTTGAGAACAAAGATACAAAAGTAGTACTCTTTGCAGCTCTTCATCTAGGAAATACCCTTTTCCAGTAACCTGCCTCTCACCTTTCATCTAAGCGAAATTCTGAGTCCGACAGCTTTGTTCCTCCATTTGGTTATACACAACTGGAAAGGCTGGGGAAAACTTCAAGTTCTAACCAATCCAAGTTGGAAATCACAAAAACAGGTTTTTTGGGAGGAAAAAAAAAAGATTGAAGAAGAGGCAAGGTGAAGAGAAAAGCCAGTCAGTGGGCCAGGGTCACACACTCTGGCAGGGCCCAGAGGACAGGGTCTGGGGACATGGGCTGTGCAATCTGTGACCGAGGGGGAAACGTTTTTAAGGTGTTTGCTCCCCTCCACCCATCCGGTAACTGCCTTCGATGATCTTTTTCCCCGCATGCTCATGAGACAGACTAGTCGGAAAATATTCTATCATGTATTTGGCATTTATGTGCCAGGCATTGTGATAAGCAGTTAAACAGGCATTTGCTCCCACGACCCTCAAAAACAAAAGCAAAACCCTCCAGTATTAGTATTAGTATTAGCATTATATTAGTATTAGTATTAGTATTAGTATTAGTATTAGTATTAGTATTAGTATTAGTATTAGTATTAGTATTAGTATTGTTACCGGTTGAAATCTAGGGATAAGGACATGGAGCTTCAGACAGGTGACACGACACCGCCACACCAGTCCGGGCAGGCCCCCCTGACTCCGTTTAACAGGCATTTGGCTGGAACCTCCCCGCGCCAGGCGCCCTGGGACCCGGGACACCCCGGGCGGCACACACAGCCCCGTCCTCGGCGTCCGCTTCGGGGCCCACAGACCACCACGCAAGGTAGCGCAGGGCTACAACAAAAGGGGCACACGCCCGCACCCCACGGCCCGAAGGAGCCCCAGGAGCGGCGGGGCGCAGGCCGCCGGCCTCTCACCGGGGGCGCGACTCGGCGTCGGGTCCGGCGGGGAGCGGGGACCCACTGGACCCGGTCCGCGGAAACTGTTGGCCGCGCGCTGCCCAGCTCTCCGTCCGGCGGCCCCACCCGCCCAGCCCCCGCCACGCCCGGGTGACCCCGAGCCCCTGAGGCTGTGGCCTTTGACCCCGTCACGCGAACCCCCCGCCCTCCTACCTGAGGTGACCCCGGCGTGCCCCCCCTCTCCTGAGGTGACCCTGAGTCCCTGAGGCTGTGGCCTTTGACCCCGTCACCAGGGACCCCCCCCCCCGCCCTCCTACCTGAGGTGACCCCGGCGTGCCCCCCCCGCCCTCCTGAGGTGACCCCGAGCCCCTGAGGCTGTGGCCTTTGACCCCGTCACGCGAACCCCCCGCCCTCCTACCTGAGGTGACCCCGGCGTGCCCCCCCCCGCCCTCCTGAGGTGACCTAGACCCCAGGCCACCCCCGGGACCCCCTGGCCTGAGGTGACCCCAGCGCCTCCCCGACCCCCCTGCAGCCCGAAACTACCCCCGGGACCCCCTGGCCTGAGCAGACCCCGACCCTTTGGGACCCTCCTGCCTGTGGTGACACCACGCGGCCACACCTGGGGATGCCGGACCGCCCCTAAACCCGCGGCCAGCCCGGAAGGGCCGGATCCAGAGGGTTCCTCGCTGTCCTTAGTGACAAGAGTAACGCGCCAGGCCACGCACAGACAGCGAGGAACGGGAAACGGAAAAACGGCCCAGAGGCGTCAAAGTTCTGTTTCGGAAGCACATGTAGGCCAGCGAGTCCTGCCGGCGTCCGCCTCGCCGCCCGTGTGGGCTTCCCGGGCGTCCCGCGCGCCGCGCGCCCCCTGTCGGACACGGGCGCGGGCGGGGCACTACGCACGCGCAGTTGAGTGGGTGCGAGGGAGCCGCGTACCCGCAGGGAGGACCGAATGCGCACGCGCCGTGCAGCGCGCCCCCCTCCGGACGGAGGGCAGGCGCGGAGCACTGCGCAGGCGCGGGTCGGTAAGGCTGAGGCGGCTGAAGCTGGCGGGGGTGGTCCGGCACCTGCAGGGGCGACGGTCTGCGCACGCGCGAGCCGGCGCTCCTCCTGCAGGAGCGGAGCCGCCCCGTGCGCCCGCAGGTCGCTGGTGGCAGGTGCCTGCTCTCCGGCGGGGCGGCCTGGGCGCTGTCACCGCCGGCCGCCGCAGCCCCTGCAGGGCTGGAGCAGAACCGGGGGTGCCGAGGGAGGGGACACTGCGAGAGGGCCGCGCGCCGGCCGCCGCCGCCCCGGCGCTGAGCGTCGGTGAGTGCCGCCGGGACCCCTGTTCGCGCGCTCGCTCCCAGGCTCGCGGCTCCGGGGCCGCGTCCACGCCCGGTCGGCTCTGCCCGCCCTCGTCCTCTCCCGCAGCCCCGCACCCCCGCCCCGAGGCGTCTCCCGCAGCCCCCGCCGCGCTGTTAGATTCGGGGCGCTTTGGGTGTGTCCACTTCCCTGCGGGCGCTGCTGCAGAAACTTGGTGCCCGCGGAGCCCTTTGTGCGTGCGGAGCCGAGAGGTGGACGAAGGCGCCGTCGCAGCAGGGCGCGGGCCTCCGCGCGCCGGGGGCTGGCATGGCGCCCGCGTCCCCGGCTGGGGCGAGGCGGGGCCGCGGGGACGCCCCGCTCCTCTCGGCGCAGGTGCCCGCAGCGGCAGGGAAGCGCCCCCGCCCCGCCCTGCCCTGCCGGACTCAGCCTGCGCCCGCCCGCCTCATTCCCGACGGTCCAGCCTGAGTGGCGTGAGTGTCCGCCACCCTCCCTGGGGTGGGCGCGGGAGCCCCCGGCGCGGGCGGGGTGCGTGCGCCTACAGCTGGGGCTCTCTTCCCGGTGGGCCCCAAGCCCCAGAGGGCAGGGCCCGGTTTGGGCGCGGGGCTCCGGCAGGTGCACTGTGTGCGTTGTGTGGGGCGCGGCCCGCTGCGCCTCCTTGGGAGTGACACAGAGAAAGCTGTCGCCTCCGAGGGCTGCTCTGTGCCTCCTGGCCTGTGGGCCAGGCTCTCCACGCGAGACAGGCACCGGGAAATGCTCGCGCAGCGAGTCACGGGGTCGGGTGCAGACCCGGGCGTGGCGCAGGGGTCACCTTCCTCTGAGTCCTCCTGAGCACCCGAAGCGTTTGAATCAGGAAGTTTTGCCCCTGCCTCTTGCACACTTGGGAAGACTCCGGCCGTTTTTGAAAGTTTGCCTCGTGGAAGCGTGAGAGAAAGGGGGGAATAGGTAAAAGTGCCGCGAGAATGCCCCTCACCCCACTTCTTTAAAAATTTACTCGAGACTGCTTTTCAGTTGCACACTTGGTTACTCTGACACACGGGACACCGGTTGCTCCGCCCGCCACGCTGAGACAGGACAGCCTTAGGAACGAGAGGGGTAGTGCCTGTGCCAGGCACCCCGGGGAGCCTGTCCTGACCTGGCAGGATGCAAGGGCCTGGGTAGACTCCTGGGCTGGCCTTTGCCCCAGCAGCCCTGCTTCCCAGCATGACCGGGGCCTGGTCTGTGGAGCCTGCCCCCGCGGACGGCCTCTTGGTGGATGGGGTCCTTGCCCCGGGAGCCTCAGGATGGAGCGGAAGGGACGGTCCATTCAGAAGGAGCCGTAATGTCGATGAGATCAGTGCCACAGCTCGTCCAGCAAAGTAGCTGTGGTGGCCACAGGTGGGGCTGGGGGGAGCAGCTTCAGCGACAGCACAAGGCCCCACCCCGGGCTGGATGTTAGACTCCCTGGGGAAATGTCCCTGTATCCACCCCAGAGCCCAGAATCTCCAGGGACCTCAGACTTTAGTTGTTGTTTTCCTAATTTTTATTGATCAATTTCCATTTTATTTGAAAGGCAGAGAGAGAGACAAATCTTCCAGGGGTCAGTGCTGTGGTGTAGCGGGTAAAGCCACTGCCTGCAGTGCCAGCATCCCATATGGGCACCAGTTCCTGTCCTGGCTGCTCCACTTCCAATCCAGCTCCCTGCTAAGGGCCTGGGAAAAGCAGTGGAAGATGACCCAAGTGTTTGGGCCTCTGGCACCCACGTGGGAGACCTGGCTGCTGACTTCAGTTTGGCCCCACCCTGGCTGTTGAGGCCATTTGGGGAGTGAGCCAGAGGATGGAAGACCATGTTTTTTTCCTCTATAATTCTGACTCTCAAATAGATGAATCAATCTTAAAAACAAGAAAGAAATCTTCCATCTGCTGGTTCACTCCCCAAATGCCCACAACAGCCACAGCTGGGCCAGGCTGTGGAGCCCGAGTTCCAGGAGCCTGGAACTCAATCTAGGTCTCCCACATGGGCGGCAGGGACCCAAGGACTTGAGCTGTGGTCTGTGTGTCCCAGGGTGCACACTAGGAGGAAACCGGAATCAGAGGTGGAGGCAGGGCTCCAGTCCAGGCCCTCTGATAGGGGATCCAGGCGGTGAATTGTGCAACAAGACCAGTGCCCAGGGCCTGGCGTTGAGAGTGGGCTGGGAAGTGACAGGCAGGTGTGTGTGTGTGTGGCAGTCCAGGCTGGCGGGAACACTGCAGGTCCACACCTTGTGGCAGAGAGAAAGGCCTGGGAGCCCCCATCCGTGCTGCCAGTGCCCCCTCCCCTGAGTGGCTCAGAGGCATTTGTGCACCTGGAGAGGTTTGGCGTCCACAGGCTGCTGGGCTGCTTCCCGGGAGCCTGTGGCGAGGCCTTGCTGGATACCGAAGAGCCACGTAACCTCCCCAGGGACGCCGATGGCCTCCTGACCTCATTCCCTGCGCCTGAAGGAGCTCCGCAGCCAGCAGGGCAGGGGTGGGGCTGAGGCCGCCACAAAGGTCAGGACGGTGGACGGACGGCAGCCCACGTTTCGTGGGACTCTCCCAACAGCCCCCCTTGGCTTAGGCCGGTCCAGCCTCTGCCTGAGGCATCACAGTAAACCCAGAGCTGGGGGTTCTGGGGGGACGGCGCCTCCGGCCGTGGATAGAGCCGGGGACCCTCGAGCTAGGTCCCCACCTGGGCCTGCCCCCAGGCTCTGGGGCGGCAGCTGCAGCTGGGATTTGTCCCTGCTCAGCCACACAGGGGCGGCTGAGTGAGCAAGTCGACCTGGGACTTGTCTCTGTGCACCTCCACGTATGTTACACGTGAGTCATAGTCGTGCAGTTGTCTTGATGTGTCGTGGACCTGTGGGCCTTTCAAAGGGCAGCGAGGAGAAGTCAACGTGAACAAACCCCCAGCGGGTCACCGGTACAAGAGCTGGCCTGCAAACCTGCTTGTCTGAAACAAAACCTTGTGGTCAAGTGCACCTGCTTTTTGTAAACTTTTTTTTATTTTTTAAGACCTTTATTTGAAAGGCAGAAGACAGGGGGAGAGAGCTTGCGTCCGCTCGCTGACTCCTCAGAGGCCCACAGCAGCACTGCTGGGCCAGGCCAATGCCACAAGGCAGGGACGGAATCCAGGTCTGCCATCCAGGGGGTGGCAGGGAGCCAACTCAGGCCGTCATCTAGTGGCTCCTGGAATGCATTCAGCAGGACACTGGGATTAGTGGTGGAGCCAGGACTTGAACCCAAGTACGCCAGTACCGGCTGCAGGTTTCCCAACCAGCAGCTTAAGCCCTAGGCCAGACGCCAACCCTGTACTGTTTTGTTTTTTTGGTTTTTTTTTTTTGGGGGGGGGGGTTTGACAGGCAGAGTTAGACAGTGAGAGAGAGAAAGGTCTTCCTTTTCCATTGGTTCACCCCCGAAATGGCCGATCCGAAGCCAGGAGCCAGGTGCCTCCTCCTGGTCTCCCATGCAGGTGCAGGGCTCAAGGACTTGGGCCATCCTCCACTGCCTTCCCAGGCCACAGCAGAGAGCTGGACAGGAATAGGAGCAACCGGGACAGAATCCGGTTGGCGCCCCAACCAGGACTAGAACCCGGGGTGCTGGCGCTGCAGGCGGAGGATTAGCCTAGTGAGCCGCAGCGCCGGCCTGTTGTTTTTGTTTTTAAGATTTATGTATTTCTTTGAAAGGCAGAGTTACAGACAGGCAGAGGCAGAGAGACAGGTCTTCCATCTGCTGGTTCACTCCCCAGATGGCCACAACAGCGGAGCTGCGCCTACCTGGAGCTAGGAGTGTCTTCTGGGTTTCCCATATGGGTGCAAAGACCCAAGGACTTGGGCCATCTTCCACTGCTCTCCTAGGCCATAGCAGAGAGCTGGATCAGAAGTGGAACAGCTGGGACTTGAACCAGCGCCCATGTGGGATGCCGGCACTGCAGACCAGGGATTTAAGAGGCTGCGCCATAGCGCCAGCCCCCCCCCCCCATACTGTTTTTAACTGACTCCAGCCGTGATACCCTGTGGCATGTAAACTCCACCACTGTGTGAGCCACTGCAAGGAAACGTGTAGACGGGGACCCCCCACTGGGATGCTGCAGCCACAGACGCACAGGCCAGCAAAAGCACCAGGGCCCACCGTGTGCAGTGCTAAATATCAGCCATTTTTTCCCTTTTTTAAAGAAAACAGAGTTTTAGTGCCTGCACCCTGCCCGTCTGCCCAGAGATCACATGTTGGCCGCACCTGGGACGCATCCAGCCCCCTTCTCAGTACAGCACCTGAGGCCTTGGCCAGGTGGGCCTGGGTCCGGTCTTTCTGGCTCATTCCCTGCTGCCACCTCTGTGTGGAAGTTCCAACCGCACGGCACAGTTCGCTGTTCCCCTCACCAGCCTGACCACTGAGTTGCTCGTGGCTGGCACCCTGTGCCCACTCCTCGCCGAGCCTTCCAGGGCCATCCCTGTGTGTCACTGCTGCATGGGCGCCCAGAGTGGGTCCCTGTCCCCTCCAGTCTCGTGTGATACGTAGCTCCGGTCACAGCAGGTACACCTGCAGGCCGCACACTCTGGGCTGAGAATGTTAGCGTTTTCATGCCCACGTCTTTAGCCGGTGCCGGTCACACAGCAAGCACAGGGAGATGCCTGCTGAACGAGTTCTTCTGGGTGGTGTACCCGCAGCGTCCATGGCCACCCCCAGCAGATATTAGGATGCTTTCCCGGCTGAGGAGGTCGCCTGCCAGGCCGCGTGTTTCACGCCTTGGCAGCATGAGCAGAGCGTGGTTGGCGGTCTCCTGTGGCACTGGGACATCTGTCTGGGGCTCTGTTGAGGCCCCCCTTCCCACATACCGGCCTCTGGGCCTTGCATCTGTGGAGGGAGGCACACCTGAGCTCAGAACACAGCAGGACGTGTGCTGTGGTGGGGCAGCCTTGTGCCTTGCGCCGGGACCCCGTCCACGTCTCACTGGTCTCCAGGCCACTCGGCAGTGACCTGTGTGAAGCATTGCCGCCATGCTGCTCCACACGTACAGAGACAATAACTTCGTATGGATGAGTACCTAGAGGGGTGGGCTCTTGGCCGGCAGCTGAGGTGCCGCTGAGAAACCCCTGTCCCACATCAGTGCCTGGGTTTGAGTCCCAGCTCAACCCTGATTCCAGCTTCCTGTGGATGTGCAACCTTGGATACAGCAGGTGATGGCTCAAGTACGTGGATCCCTGCCACCCTTCGGAGAGAACCAGATGGAATTCTGGGTTCCTGGCTCCGTCCTTACCCAGCCCTGACTGTTGGAGGCATTTGGGAAGAAAACCAGCAGGTGGAAGGTTCTCTCTCTCTCTCTCTCTCTCTGCCTTTCAAATAAAAGAAGATAAATATTAAATATTTTTAATTGAATGGGCACATAGAAATTAGATGTCAAATTCAAGCCCACAATGGAGGAGAAAGCACACACACACAGAGGTGGAGGTGTTTGGCATTTCTCCAGCAGGCTGCCGAGCCGTGGCACCTGAAGACCAGGTGCCCACAGACTGGCACGACCAGTAGCTCTTAAGCCAATGGCAGTTACAGGAAAAACTGTTTTTGGAGGAATCCTGGCGAGCCGTCAGAGCATTCTCAGAGATTAGAGCCCCAGGTTTGCAGTAGCTCTGCGCCCGGCCAATTGCTCACCTAAAAACTAACCATGAGATACTCGAGGGCTTGAGTAATGTTTAATTTCTCAACAGTAAGCAAATAGGGCTTTCAGGGCGGGGGGGGGTGATTGGCTTTCCCCTTCCTGACTGTGTCCCTGGGAGGCCTGAAGTGACCCCTCTTCAGAGGGAAGTTCTCGGAGGCGCTCTTGTGGGGCGGAGGGGCGGGGGGCGAGGGGCGGCCAGAGTCAAGCCTGCTTGCCTTAGAGTAGCGGCCAGGCCTGGATCGCGGCCATCCCCGCTTCCAGGGCCCCTGCTGCCCGTGTGGAGTGTTTTCAGACACTCTGACTTCCTTTTCCCATGTACATTTGCTTTCATGACCAGAGAGCTTTCCAGATTTTGTAATTCTGGGATTTCCTCTTTTCCGCTGCTTTTGCTCAAACAGCAGACGCAAGTAGAGTTCAGTGAGACTTAGCTGAAGCGCCACACACACGAGGCAGCAGGCTGGTGAGACGCCTGGTGCGGCGGTACAGCTTGCGGGCTGCGTGTTCCCTGTTGGTGTCTGATGTTCGGGGAGCCGTGTGTAAGGTTTTTACAAAGACAGTCCCTTTGGAGGCTCCACGGTGGTTAAGAACACACACTTGGCGTTTACAATGGGCCGAGGTTCAGATCCTGGCCCTGCAGCTTCCCTGTCCTGTCTCCTCGGGCCACAGGACTTCCTCTTGGTTTCTTCGTCTGGCAAAGGGGGTTGATGGCAGAAGCCGGGGCTGAGCTCTGAGGCTATGGAAGCGCGCTGCGTACACCAAAGCGTCTTCCGTAGCCGTGCACCAGGCGGCACCCGAGAGCTACCGCGGAGGCACCTGCGCTCCGGCCTGCCCCGGGTCAGCCAGCATGCTTGCAAGGGGAGAGATGCTTCCTGACCATTTTGCAGATGGCATGAACGTGCCTTCCATCTGCCCAAAGGTGACGGACAGTCATGCCGGGGAGGCTCCCGCCCCTCCTGATGCCCCTGGAGGCCTCAGCTCTCCCACACCCCTGGGCCACCCTGCCAGACTCGAGAGGCTTGCCGGCCCCGCCCCGGAGCCCTCTGCACGGGGCCGCCGCCTTCCAGACGGTGCTCGCATAACCCTGCAGGAAGACCCACGGCCCGAGCCTCTCCAAGATTCAGGTCAGTTCTGGACGGCGCGACTTGTGCCCTCCCCTCCCTGCCTGGGCCTGGGGGGGACAGGGTTCAGCGCCGAGGCATTTCCTTTCTCGGCCCGGCTTCTCTGCCCAGAGGCTTCTTTCTGGTCCTCCCTGGTGGAGGCAGGAAGCTCACCTTGGCCACACCAGCTGCCCGTCTGGACGGCCCCACCTGCAGCCATGGCCCCCTCCCCTCTTTGCCTGAAGCACCCCTGGAAGCCGTTCATAGCCACGGGCTGTGTGTGTCATCGGCACTGCTCGACTGCAGTCTCTCCCCCGTCAGTTCTAGAAGTGGGCTGGTTCATGAAGCTGCCACTCAGCATCGCTGCGTACTGTGTTAGCCTCCATTTCCGCACATTTGGACCATGTGGTTAATTAAAAGTCATTTTAGGCCGGCACCGTGGCTCACTAGGCTAATCCTCCGCCTTGCGGCGCCGGCACACCGGGTTCTAGTCCCGGTCGGGGTGCCGGATTCTGTCCCGGTTGCCCCTCTTCCAGGCCAGCTCTCTGCTGTGGCCAGGGAGTGCAGTGGAGGATGGCCCAAGTGCTTGGGCCCTGCACCCCATGGGAGACCAGGATAAGCACCTGGCTCCTGCCATCGGATCAGCGCGGAGCGCCGGCCACAGCGCGCCAGCTGCGGCGGCCATTGGAGGGTGAACCAACGGCAAAGGAAGACCTTTCTCTCTGTCTCTCTTTCTCACTGTCCACTCTGCCTTTCAAAAAAAGAAAAAGAAAAGAAAAGAAAAAGTCATTTTAAATTAATCTGAAATAATTCCTTGCAGTTGTGTCTTCTACCGACATTCACTGGCTGCTGCTTAAAGCATCCGTGTTTAAGTAGTCTGAGAGACACATCGACAGATGCATCTTATTTTTTTTTTTTTTACATGCGGAGTTAGACAGTGAGAGAGAGACAGAGAGAAAGGTCTTCCTTCCGTTGGTTCAGCCCCCAAATGGCTGCTATGGCCGGCGCGCTGTGCCAATCCAAAGCCAGGAGCCAGGTGCTTCCTCCTGGTCTCCCATGTGGGTGCAGGGCCCAAGCACCTGGGCCATCCTCCACTGCACTCCCTGGCCACAGCAGAGAGCTGGACTGAAAGAGGAGCAACCGGGACAGAATCCGGTGCCCCAACTGGGACTAGAACCCGGGGTGCCGGCGCCGCAGTGGAGGATTAGCCTACTGAGCCGCGGCGGCAGCCCACTTCTTTTTTTTTTTTTTTTTTTTTAAGGCATTTATTTATTTGAAAGTCAGAGTTAGAGAGAGAAGGAGGGGCAGAGAGAGAGAGGTCTTCCATCCACTGGTTCACTCCCCAGATGGCTGCTATGGCCGGCGCGCTGCGCCAATCCGAAGCCAGGAGCCAGGAGCTTCTTCCTGGTCTCCCTGGTGGGTGCAGGGGCCCAAGCACTTGGGCCATCCTCTGCTGCTTTCCCAGGCCACAGCAGAGAGCTGGAAGTGGAGCAGCCGGTACTCGAACTGGCACCCATATGGGACGCTGGCACTGTAGGCGGTGGCTTTACCCACTATGCCACAGTGCCAGCCCCAGCTGCATCTTTTTTAAAAAGTACTTATTTGAGAGGTGGAGAGACACAGGGAGCTGCTGTCCGCTGGTCCCATCCCCACCTGCCCATGAGCACTGAGAGCTCAGTGAGCCCTCACTGCTGCCCCCGGCTCTGCACTGACAGGGGTCTCCCAGGGGGGACGTGGGCATGGGGGCGGCGGCCTCCTCCGTGGCGCCTTACCTGCGAGGCTGACCGCCCGCCCGAGAGAAGTGATGCTCGCCGGCTGGAGCCAGCAGGGAGAGAGATCGCTTCTGTAAACAAACCAGCTCTGCCCCCAGCTCTGGGGCCGGCCTTTGCGTGCTGTGCGCCCTGCGTCTAACCGAGGGTGGCTTTTGGTCAGGGTTTGCCGTAGATGACCTGAACCTGGAACCCTCCACTCCCCAGGGCCAGGACACTGAGTGGGGAGGGGCTCATCTTTCCTGTGGAGCCCAGGAGTTGTCCAGGGTCCTGCCCCCACCCCCAGGCTGCACAGCTCTGTCTCTACGCCCTGAGCCGGTGGAGCCGCCTCCTTTGGTTTCCTGGGCGCTGGGGGCTCTCCCTGAGCTAGTTCGGACCACCTCCTTCTCTCGCAGGTTAGCATCTGGCGAACCCCGGTTAAGTGCTCTGTCTAAATTTGGTGCTGTGGGTTTACCAGTGGAGGACGCCTTTATAAATCTAAATTCTGCCATCACTTGTGGTTGGTCATCATCTCTCAGCAGCTTTCTCCTCCAAATTTAAACGTTACATTCACACATCACGTAAATCGGCAAGCGTGGCTTAGTCCTGTGCCGGCACCACGCTGGTAACGGTGGCCAGAGCACCTGTCCTCAGACGCCAGCAGGACAAGGTGACCAGTCCTCCGCCCGCTCCCGGTCCCCCGTTCCAGGCCTGTGCGTCCGTCTCCCCCACAGCCCTCTCCAAGTCTTAGCTATCGCCACAGCTGGGACTCCCGGGCGGGTCTTGTTCCCCGGGGGTCTCTCAGTGGAGGATGGAGTGGTCAGAGACGGGACTCCCACAGGCTGGAGCATTTGCTGCTAGAGAATTCCTAGTGACCACAGACGGTGCCTGGAGAGTGAGGGTCAGAGGACAAGTCCCCCTCAGCGGTCACGGAGCGTGGTGGACTGCACATCGATAAGGAGCAGAGACGCCTCCAGACAGGCTTTTTGTTGGACTCCGCAGGAGAGGGGGCGTCCAGCGCTCAGCTGTCTCAGGAGGAGGTGAGAACAGACACGGTGCTTCCGTCGCGTGCCCACGCTGTCTGTCCTGGCTGCAGGGCCGCCGTCCCCTGCTGGCGAAGATGGCCGTGCTCCGGCAGCTGGCACTGCTGCTCTGGAAGAACTACACCCTGCAGGTGGGTGTGGCCCAGGAGGGCGCTGGGCGGGCACACGCGGGCAGGACTGCTCCGTCAGCCGGGGGCTGCCTTTCCTTCCAGAAGCGGAAGGTGCTGGTGACCGCCCTGGAACTCTTCCTGCCGTTGCTGTTTTCCGGGATCCTGATCTGGCTTCGCTTGAAGATCCAGTCGGAAAACGTGCCCAACGCCACCGTCTACCCGGGCCAGTCCATCCAGGAGCTGCCCTTGTTCTTCAACTTCCCGCCACCAGGGGACGCCTGGGAGCTCGCCTACGTCCCTTCCCACAGTGACGCTGCCAGGGCCATCACCGAGTGGGCCAGGAGGGCGCTGGTGGTCAACATGAAAGGTGAGAGCGGGGCACAGGGGTTCCCGCAGCCGCCGTGCCCAGCAACTCCTCTCCCGGCCGAGTCACCGTGGACCCCCGGGCACCTCTCTGTCCGACTCGACTCTCAGTTACGACGGGTTGGGGCCTGGCCAGCCGTCTGCCCAGAGCTGTGGGGGGCCAGGGAAGCAGTGCCTGGTTCTGGGGTGCGGCCGATGACAGCAGCGGAGACAGGAATCCCCAGGGATTCCTGAGCAGGCCCCAGCCAAGGGAAGCAGTGCAGCTGCGGGGCAAACGCGGCCGAGCGCGTGGCCAGCCACCTTTTCTAGATGTGGCCCGGCTGTCGGCTTTGAAGAAGGGTGAGGGTTCGGGGTCGCCTGTCTGTGCCAGAGATGGCGGCTGGTTCAAGTCGTAGGGAAGGCTTACGGAGCCCTCGGAGATCTAGTTTCTGTCTGCAGAAGACCCGAAACTCCCAGGCCCCTCACGTGGACGGGCCGGGTGGGCAGCGGGCTCCCATGCTCTCTCCGCAGTCCGTGGCTTTCCCTCGGAGAAGCACTTTGAGGACTACATCAGGTACGACAACCGCTCCTCCAACGTGCTGGCCGCCCTGGTGTTCGAAAACGAATTCAGCCACAGCACGGACCCCCTGCCCCTGGCGGTGAGACTCGCGCTGCACCCGCCCTGCTCTGAAGTTGTCACACGGGTCATCAGGGCCTCAGCCCCCTCCCCGGGGCCGGTCCCCCTGTCCAGCACCAGGGCTCAGCCCCCTCCCTGGGGCCAGTCCACCCTGTCCAGGCACCAGGGCCTCATCCCCCTCCCCGGGGCCAGTCCACCCTGTCCAGGCACCAGGGCCTCAGCCCCTTCCCCGGGGCCAGTCCACCCTGTCCAGGCACCAGGGCCTCAGCCCCCTCCCCAGGGCCGGTCCACCCTGTCCAGGCACCAGGGCCTCATCCCCCTCCCCGGGGCCAGTCCACCCTGTCCAGGCACCAGGGCCTCAGCCCCTTCCCCGGGGCCGGTCCCCCTGTCCAGGCACCAGGGCCTCAGCCCCCTCCCCGGGGCCAGTCCACCCTCTCCAGGCACCTCTGTGTGCATGGGAGTAAACGTGAGACAGTCCTCTGGGTCCCACAGTGCCACCTCGATCCCTGCTGAAGGGGGCCTGATGACATTCAGCCTGGTCTGGAACAATCTAGAAAACCTGTCAGCCTGTACACACTGCCTTTCCACCCCTTTGGGTCCCTTGTTTGTAAAAGGTTTTCCGTCTCCAGGCCTCTGGGTAGACTTGAGTAGGAAAGACAGGGAACTGGTACTGGGACGTCAGTCTGACCCAGAGGAGAAAGCAAAAGGAAAGACCTTTTTTTGGTGCCTGCCTGGCAGCACTGAGATTGCAAAGCTGTCAGTCCCATCTCGGGTGGGGCGGGGGGCCCCAGTGATCCTGAGCAGGGGCCATCAGCCACGAGTCACCCGTGAGCGCGCGTTGTTAGGTGTCCCAGCGGTGTCCCGAGGGCTTCCCCCGCCCCCGCATTCCAGGCACCTGGGACCTGCGGTGTTCTTGGGGGGTGAGTTCAAGGTGTGACAGCTGTGGTGATGCCCCCCACCCCGACTTCTCCCTCGTCTGAGCAGGCGTCTGCTCCTCGGTCTGGAGCTCAGAACGCGCGTTGTCTGTCTGTCTCTGCAGGTGAAATACCACCTGCGGTTCAGTTACACGCGGAGAAACTACATGTGGACCCAGTCAGGCACCTTTCTCCTGAGAGACACCGAGGGCTGGCACACCAACTCCCTCTTCCCACTGTTCCCGAACCCGGGACCGAGGGAGCCTGCGTCGCCCGACGGCGGAGAGCCCGGTGAGAAGCGCCGGGGCACTGTCTGAGGGACGGGCCGCCTTCCTCTGCAGGAGCACCTGCCTTGCGGCCTGGGGAGGAAGAGCATCAGGGATCGGCTCCTGGGAGTCTCGGATAACTCCGAAAACAGCCCGGGCTGTCTCCCCTGTCCTCCAGCGAGACGCTGGCGTCTCGGGTTTGAGGATGCTTTGGCTGGCGCTGAATCTTCTGGGCCTGGCTTTGCATATCTCCCTCTCCCCCTGGCCGCCTCTGTGCATGGTTTCAGGGGCTTTTTAAGCTCCGCAGTCCTCACGTGTCTGACCCGTGGTTCAACCCACTGAGTGCGACTTGACTCTGAGCTGCGTCTGGGCTGCTCCGGCACCCCGGCACTGCACGCGCTGCACTGCCTGGCCTTGGCAGGCGCTTGGTGTGGTTGCCTCCTCTGAAGCTCGGTGTGTCTTGGAACCCAGCCAGGGAGAGCCGGGAAGTGACCAGGACGCGGCGCAAGAAGAAGCCCCTGGGCCGTGGCCAGCTGCAGGCTGTGGTCCAGGGTTCAGGGCGTTCTGAACTGGCCATTCCAGTTGTCTGGAGAACCCGTCTGGCAGGCAGCAGGGTCTGTGAGAGGTTTCAGTGTTCAGCGTTCCGTGGAGTAGCGTCTGAGACCTTAAGCACGGGGGAGGCAGAGGGCGCTGTTCAGAGACGTCAGGGTCTGTCCTCGGACTGACGTCCCACAGCAAGACCTCAGACCCTGAAGAGGGCCAGGCAGGGTGTGAGGTCTGAGGCACCCCAGAAGGCCCCAGACAGGTCCCCAAACCCAGGGCTCAGGACGGACCGTGTGCAGCTGTCCCTTGGGCCACTTGTGGCTGCAGCAGGAGACGCTGGCTCCTGAGCCCCGGGCTGGGCTGGGGGCTCCTCATCCCCCTCCCGTTAGGGATAACTTCCAAAGCTTAGAACACGCCGGAAGACATCCCCAGGGTAAAGGCTGGCAGACTTCAGAGCAAGCTCAGAGTCTTCCAGAAGAGAAGAAGCCGCAACTGGATCTTAGAGCAAGGGGAGACCAGGGAGACCTTGTGGCAGGTGACGGAGGCGGGCAGACGTCTTGTGATGGGGTCTCTGGATCTTAGAGCAAGGGGAGACCAGGGAGACCCTGTGGCAGGTGACGGAGGCGGGCAGACGTCTTGTGATGGGGTCTCTGGATCTTAGAGCAAGGGGAGACCAGGGAGACCTTGTGGCAGGTGACGGAGGCGGGCAGACGTCTTGTGATGGGGTCTCTGGTACCCTGCAGCCACCTGTTCCACCCCAGGCCCATTTTGCCCCCGCTGCCCCCTGGATGTTCATGTCTTGGGCCCATTAATGCCCCGATGAGAATTCAGTGCCCAGGGCTGTTCTCTGTGGTTTATTTATGACCACAGACACAGCATGGGGAGGAAGACCGATCGCAGGTGATGGCTGGTGCCGGGCAGCCACCAGCCAGGAGGACAAAGGGTGCAAGTCCGCACCCCTGCCACCTCCCGAGAGAACTGTGCCAGCACGTGGCAGCCAGGCGCTTGTAGGACAGGGCCCGAGCTCAGCTGTGTGGCGACTTCCCGGGCCTCTGTGTCCCCATCTGTCCAAGGGGGCAGAGCAGCTGGCGGCGATGAGAATTCACCCCCGTCCAGCCCTGGCCTCAGCACGCAGCAGGCGACGCTCGTTGAGCGCCTGCTCTGACTGCAGCCACAAGAAGGCTGAGCCAAGGGGACAGCAGAAGTGCGCACATGGCAGCCCCACGCTGGCCGTGCGTGGGCGGCTGGGCCTTCGCTCTTTGGGAGGCTGGAGCCCAGGACTTCAGGTATTCTGAGAGTCACTGCACTGTGTAACCGAGGGCGCCATGCCACCCACTCCTGTGGCCTGAGTCCCCTCTGTCCCGAGGCAGGCGCAGGGACGTTACAGAGCACACAAGCCTCGTGTGACCTCGGCCGGCACAGCCGCAGTCCCCCCCGACCAGCGTGGTCCACAGCCTCGTCCCCGGAACCTGTGACTGCCGGGTGACGCGGAGCTCAGGATGGCAGGGTGGTCGCCAGCTGCCCCCGTAGGCCCAGCGTCATCCCTCGGCCCTTGAAAGCAAGCAAGGGGTGGAAGAGAGGCCACGGGGGCGGGACCCGGGGACGCTGTCCTGCAAGCTCTGTAGCTCAGTGAGGCCCCTGCACGGCTCCGACCCCCAGACTCAGCAGGGCCTGCCGTTCTCAGCTGCCACGGGCACGGCGATCCTGGGGACACTCCTCCACCCCCACCCCTTGGAGGTGCCTTTCAGAGCGCCGCCCTCCACCTCCGCCTGCCCTGCCGACGTTCTTTTTGCAGCTCCCAGACTGCTAGGGGTCACCCTCTCAGCTGCTGTGGGTGTGGGATGTGTCTCCCCCCCTTCTCCCATGGGACCACCGGGCAGTGCAAGGCACCCCGGGGTCCGCAGAGGGGGCATCGGGCAAAGTCCCTCTGTGGCCCCTCCAGGGATGCCCCTGCACAGCTGGGCGCTGGCGGCTCTCCCGGTGAGCAGCACCGAGATGTGGCTTTCCCGACCCCGGTTGTCCTCTGCTCCACACTCAGGGTACGTCCGGGAGGGCTTCCTGGCCGTGCAGCACGCCGTGGACAGAGCCATCATGCACTATCACGCCAACGCCTCTGCCCAGCAGCTCCTGCAGCAGCTCACGGTGACCGTGAAGAGGTTCCCGTACCCGCCCTTCATCTCCGACCCCTTCCTGGTGGCCATCCAGTACCAGCTGCCCCTGCTGCTGCTGCTGAGCTTCACCTACGCCTCGCTCACCATCATCCGGGCGGTGGTGCAGGAGAAGGAGCGCAAGCTGAAGGTGAGCCCGCGTGCTCTGGGGGGAGGGTGCCGCCGGGAGGCCCGCGGTCGTGGTTTCCAGGCTGCCCCGCCGTCCGCCCACACCCACTGCTCTGTGGCTCCCGCCGGTCTTGGGGCTTCCTTGAAATCAGGCCGCGTGTCTGGGTTTTCAGGCCCTGGGAGAGCGTGCCGGTTCCTGTGTGGCGCGCTCAGGAGGGAAGGGTGGCCCTGGAGCTGCGTGGTGCATCGCGACAGGCCCTGGCCGACAGTGCCAGCTGCACGATGTTGATTTTGCTCTGTTGGACGGTGACGGCTGAACGGGAGGCTAACTAGCACCGTGTGCGGATCAGGGGCCACTGTGCTGCAGACTTGGGCGTGAGTGAGTGGGGAGTGAAGCCGTGAAGGGCACCATGGTGTCTCCCGAGGAGTCTTCAGAGCCTGCGGGAAATGCGTCTTGCGAGAAACCAGCTGTGGGTTTCAAACGTCTCTCGGTCCCGTTTTCTCGGAGCCGCCTGAAGCGTGCTCACGCGGCCACGCGGCCTCAATAAAGACCACCTGGGTGAACTTGGCACCTGCCGACACCCGGGAGTCGCTCAGCTTCCTCCGCTGCAAATGTCCACGTGCCACTGAGAGCCTTCTCAGGGCAGGAGTCTGTAACGACTGAGGTCGTAAAAGGCCGGGAAAGCCGACGGGAGCACGGGGGTCCGCTGGGTGCTGTGACGAACCTGACCGAGGCGGCCGTAGAGCAGGCTGCGCCTCAGTCACAAGCGCAGACCCACGGGTGAACCAGGTAGGGCAGGCGCTCACCCGGCGGCTGAGTCTGCGCAGTAGCCGCACTCCCTCCTGCCAGTGGGGCAGTGCATAGGACGGGGAGGGGGCCGGGCGGCATTCCTTGCGCCCTGCCACCTGGCTGCTGCCTGCAGGCCACGGCGTGGGTGTCCAGGTCACAGCCGCACTCGCGTGTGCAGGGCTGCAGGTGTGACGCAAGCCCCCCCCCCGCAGGAGTACATGCGCATGCTGGGACTGGACAGCTGGCTGCACTGGAGCGCATGGTTCCTCATGTTCTTCCTTGTCCTCCTCGTCGTGGTCTCCTTCATGACGCTGCTCTTCTGCGTCAAGGTGAGCGTGGTCCCCGTGGCAACGGAGCAGCCGGGCTGCCGGCGCAGTGTGGAGCCCTGGGCTGCGTCCTTGGTGACTGTGGATGTTTGGGCCTCCCCCGCCCCCGGTCTGCCCCGTGCCCCTGCAGGTGAAGACGGGCGTGGCCGTGCTGACCAACAGTGACCCCTCCCTGGTGCTGGCCTTCCTGCTCTGCTTCGCCACCTCTTCCATCTCCTTCAGCTTCATGGTCAGCACCTTCTTCAGTAAAGGTCAGTGGTCTGGCTGCCCTGGACCGGAGACCGTGGACGACCAGGTCTCGGGGAAGCCGGGGGCTTGTCTGGGCTGTGGGAGGTTAAGGGGTCCCCGCATCTGAGTGGAGGTGAGCCAGGCACTGAGTTACGGCAGAGCAGTGGGGGGGAGAGGCAGGGACGGCCGTGTGTGCGGCAGGTCACAGGGCTACAGGGCAGGCCAGCGAGGGAGCCTCACAGGATGGCGCTGAAAACAGGCCCGAGGCCAGAGCACACGGGCGGGCCCGGGCAGGAGAGTGCGGGGTCGGGCGGAGAGCCTGGTGAGCTCAGACGTCCGGCGGCCTCGTGCTGCCCAGTGAGCTCCGATGTCCAGCGGCCTCGTGCCACCCGGCGTGCTCCGACGTCCGGCGGCCTCGTGCTGCCTGAGCGGTGCCTCTGTCCAGCTCCGTTCCCTCTGCGCCGTCTTCCGGGGACTGATGGCGTTTCCCGCGGTACCTCTTATCCCGCGCTTCGGAGGGTGTAGATAGTGCCTCTGTTCCAGCGTCCGCCTCATACCCCCCCCCACACACACACACGGCGTCCGTGCGAGCCACTGAGCTGCCTGCCTTGTCCCGCTTCCTCCCAGCTCTGACTGGCACCTTCCCACACACCGCGTCCTCGTTAGCACCGCCCGGGCGTCTCACTGTGTCTGGTCCATGTGACCCCTGGGGGAAATGCAGGCAGTTTGCTGCCAGCCGTCCCCCGCGCACCTGCTCCTCTGACTCACTCTATTGTCGTTCCCTGGGGAATGGTTCTTTGACTGGCGTGGGTGAGCGGTTGCTCAAGTGTTTTTGGACTCTGTATGCCCAAAGGCGGCTTTATTCTGCCTCCCTCCTGAGCGGACGGCAGGTTTGTCGGGCAGCCATCGCTGTCCGAGCCCACGGCCATCCCTGTTGGCAGGAGCCTGGCGCTGGCCTGGGTGCGTGGGTGCTATGATCTGAAGGCTCCTGCCCGCCCGCCCTCAGGGCCCATTGGATCCTGCTGCCAGCATCGCTGGAATGCTCTCCTCTTGGGCCTTGGCTCCAGCCTCTCTGTTGTCCTTAGTGCCCTTTACCTCTGTGGCTGGTGCGTGTGTGCGTGTGGGTGTGTGGGCAGTGGGGTGGGCGCTGCCTGTGTCTCCTTAGCCGTCCCAAGTGCACACTACAGTGCATTCACACTGTAGAGCGGCCATCACCACTGCCCCGCTCCAGAGTTTCCCATGGCTCCCAGCTGAAACTCTGGCCCCGCCGCCCCTCCCTGCGTCCCTGGGAACCATGGCTCCCTTGTCCAGGTGAGTGTGACGGCCCAGGTGGAATCGCACAGCGTCTGTCCTGTCGGGACGGCCGGTCTCACCTAGCACCGAGTGTGCAGATCCCTCCCCTTCTGCAGCTGGAGGACAGTCCACAGCCAGAGGCCCTCCTGTGTGCCTGGTCGTCTGTGTGTGAGCTGCTCTGAACGGTGCTCTGGGAGCATGGAAACACCTGTCCAGTCCTCCTGGCTGCGGCCGGGCCAGGCAGCGAGTCTGTGTTTAACGGTCCGTGGAGCAGCCGGAGTTGGCACCACAGTTCGCCAGGGTTCCTTCTTCCCCACACCTCGCCAGCATGTCTGTTCTGTGCTCGGCATCCTGTGGGCGAGAGGAGGCATCGCCCATGCCGCCCAGCCCGGCCTGCCCCTGGCTCCTATGTGTGCTTTGACAAACCTCTCCTAGCGGATCCCGGCCTGCCCCCGCCCCGGCCTGTGCGTGCTCAGCGCGCATCCTGCAGACGCGGCTTTCGTTCCGAGACGGTGGTCGTGTTTTGTGAACCCTCGGTCGGCTCGCACACATCCCCCGGTCTTGCTTCTTCACCTGGTTTTTGGGGGAAACCCTTCCTGTTTGGGGGAAGCGTCTCTCCGTCCCACGGCCGGCTTATTCTGTGTCTTGTTTGCTCACTCTGATGCCCGTGGAGCCCTGTGAGCGTGCCCGCGTGCCCAGAGGTGGGGCTGCAGCTGAGCCTCCCGTCCGGGGAGTCAGACCCACGCCCGGCAGCCTCCGCCGTCTCAGCCCCAGAGAGCCCAGTTCTCAGGCTGTGTGTCCCCCGCCTCTGCGGCGGCTCCACCCTTCCCGCTGCCCGCCCCTGGACTCGTCCTTGCCTGTGGACGATCTCACAGGAGCAGGAGGGACAGATTTCAGTCCAGCTGCTGGGGCTCCTTCATCCTAAGACCCTTTGTGTCCTTAAAAATTGAGTTCACCAAAGTGCTTTTCTTTCTTTGTATTCTTAAGGTCTATTTGTTTAAAGGCAGAGTCACAGAGAGAGAGAATCTTTCATTTGTTGGTCCACTCCCCGAGTGGCTACAACAGCTAGTCTAGCCAGGCCAAAGCCGAGAACCAGAGCTCCACCTAAGTCTCCACGGGGTTGGCTGGGGCCCAAGTGTTTGGGCCGTCTTCCGCTGCTCTCCCAGGCACATTGGAAGTGGAGCCACCCACGTGGGATGCCGGCGTCACAGGTGGCAGCTTACACTGCTGAGCCATAATGCCAGCCCCAAAGGGCTTTTCCTATGTGACATATCTGTCTGTATTTATTCTAGAGCAATGAATGTAAGAAAATCTAGATGTTTTCAATTTAAGGGATAGCCACCATAAACCTGCTGTAAGTTTACATACATATGCAAAACGGCCATGTTTCCCTCGAGTTAGTGAGGTGTGTGCCCGTCTCACATTTCTGCCACCCTTGGTGGTGTCTGGGTTCTCCCTGTGCCCAGGGCGTTCACCGGACACGGACGTGCAGCTGGGAGGGGCTCAGCGCGGGGTGCGAGCTGGGGACTCGGTGAGTGAGTGAAGGAACAAGTGGACCCGGCGGGAAGTGAGGCAGCGTGGGGAGCAGGTGTGTGGCGATGTCGGAGGCAGCTGGGCTGTGGGGGTCCCAGGGTGGGACTAGGTGTAGCCCCAGGCAGGCGCTGTCTCAGGGGAGAGGAGGCAGCAGGCTGAGTACTGGGACGCCTGTCCCCAGGTGGACAGCTAGCACAGGGGTCAGCAGCTCCTCCCACCGGTGGCTTCCTGCACCCTGTGACCATGCACACCCACGCACTATGCTGCCCTCTCGCCCGCAGCCAACATGGCAGCAGCCATAGGCGGCTTCCTCTACTTCTTCACCTACACCCCCTACTTCTTTGTGGCACCTCGATACAACTGGATGGCGCTGAGCCAGAAACTCCTCTCCTGCCTCCTGTCCAACGTGGCCATGGCCATGGGAGCACAGCTCATAGGCAAATTTGAAGCCAAAGGTGAGTGTTGTCCTCTTTCCCTCGTGGGAAGTGCGGCCGGCGGCGGCCACTGGGGACGGCCACGGCCAGAGATGGCTGCCGGGGCTGAGCGGGTGCAAGGGCGCTGCACAGAGCAGCCGTGGGAGCTGCAGTCCGGGGCAGTCCCAGAGCCCGCAGAAACCACGGGGCGTGGGCCGGGGCCTGGGGCTCAGCGGGCAAAGGGCAGGATGCCCGGTGGCAACTGTGTCTGATGGCTTTTTTAATCAATTTATTAATTTGAATGGCATAGTTACAGAAGGAGAGAGAGAGAGAGAGAGAGAGAGAGAAGGAAAGATCTCCCATCTTCTGGTTCACTCCCCAATGGCAGAGTGGAAACCAAGAGCCTGGAACCTCCTGTGGGTCTCCCATGTGGGTGCAGGGGCCCAGCACCTGGGCCGTCCTCCACTGCCTTCCCAGGCACATTAGCAGGGAGCTGGGTCAGAAGTGGAGCAGCCGGGACTTGAACTGGTGCTTACAGGATACCAGCGTTACAGACCATGGCTTAGCCCTCTGCACCACAGCGCTGAACCCTCTGAAGGCCTTGGTCAATGCAGAGCCCTCGGTCAGGGTAGACCACAGCCCCTCCCTACTCCCCCAGGACCTCCTGCAGCCGTGTGATGAGGGTAGGGAGGCCCAGGAGAGAAGTGTGAAGCCAGGAATACACGTTTTCCTTGTCCTTTGTAGAATTTCCTGATGGCTAAGATGTCAGGAGGGCCGGACAGGACGCCTCCTTGGCTGACTGCGGTGGGCGCTGGGTTTCAGCAGAGGGAGTCCAGCCTTCTGGACGGGTGGGGGAGGGCGCCTGTGTAGCCCCTCTCCTCCTCTCTCTCCGGAGGTGGAGGACAGGCCCCATTTCATTTCCAAGCTTCCCCAACCCCTCTCCCAGGCAGGAGGCTGCCGCTGGGGCCAGGCCTCTCTGCTCCTTGCTCTGCTTCCAAGAGGAGGCTGAGAATGGTGTGGGCGTGGGGGGCCCTTGCTGTGCTGGCCTCCGCCCCCCCGGGCAGCCTCCCCTCCCCAGGGCTGAGCCGCACTCCCTGCCCTTCCCCGTCCAGCAGTCCTCCGTAGGCCGAATGCTCTCCCCTCCTGCAGCCGTGTGTCTTAGGCCGTCTGTGCTGCCACACAAGGACACATGGGACCAGGCAGTTTATAAAGAACAGAGCTGTATGGAGCTGGGAAGTCCCAGGTCACGGCGCCCGCAGGTGCAGCGTCTGGTGAGGCTCAGCCTGTGCTCCCAGGACGGCGCCTGGAAGAACCCTGGTCCCCACACAGCAGGTGCCCGTAGGAGAGAGCCCGCCCCCATAAGGCCTTCGAGAGCAGCACCAAACCTATTTGAGGTGGAGTTTGGGTTTGGACGCGTGGGCTGGGAGGTGCCCTGAGACCCGGGCATGGTGCAGCTCCCGTTGCAGCTGTGCAGGGAGCTCCCAGTGTTGCTGTGTCTAGCGAGAGTTTCCCTTCCGCTGACCGAGGCCTCCAGCACTGCAACTTCTGAACGCGTGTGTGCCCGTGCGCAGGGGCGCGTGACCAAGTGCAGACGAGCATTGTCCGGGGTGCAGATGCTTTGTAAAAGCCATTTCCAAAGGGAGGCCTTCCCCCCAAAGTTCTGCAGTGAGTTTCCGTGAGCAGAGATCTCTCGGGGCCTGAGGGTGGATGCTGGCCTGGCTGGAAGGCAGCCAGTTCTATCCGGTGCCTGGAACCTCGGGACACACAGGGACCGTGACCTTGACAAACCACGGAGAGATGAAATGTCGTGGACTCCATTAGATGGCACTTTTTACATGTGTGTGTATGCATGTGTGTGTTTACATGTATGTGTGTTTATGCACCTCTGTGCTGGTACATGTGTGCATGTTTATGTGTGTTTCCACACACATACGCTGTGTGCATGTGGGTTTTTTTTTTTAAGTTTTATTTATTTGAAAGAGTTACAGAGCTAGGTAGAGACGAGAGAGAGAGAGAAAGTCTTCTATCCATTATTTCACTCCCAAATGGCTGTTCCAGCTACAGCTGAGCCGCTCTGAAGCCAGGAGCTTCTTCTGGGTCTCCCACATGGGTGCAGGGGCCCAGACATTGGGCCGTCTTCTGCTGCTTTTCCAGGCACATTAGCAAGGAGCTGAGTTGGAAGTGAAGCAGCTGGGACTAGAACCTGCACCCGTACGGGATGCCAGCGCTGCAGGCTAGGGCTTCACCCCTCTGCACCACAGTGCTGGCCCTGTGCATGCATGCGTGTGTGTGTGTGTGTGTGTGTGTGTGTGTGTGAGAGAGAGAGAGAGAGGGAGAGATCAACTCAGTCTGAGCCTGTCTAGTCAGTAGTGAGCTTTGGCTGGCTGTATCACACAGTTTTGTGACTGCTGCTGTCTTAACGACTTGGAGAAAGTTGCCAGACCTTTAGAAAGCTAGGCGGGCAAGAGTCCTGCCGCCTTTGCAGAGACTGGCAGGGTCACATGTGTGACATGGGGCTTCAGGGTGCCTGGGCCCTCCCCGCCTGCCCAGTGCCGGCTGGTCTCCCGGTGCACTCTGTAGGCACGGGCATCCAGTGGCGAGACCTCCTGAGTCCGGTCAGCGTGGACGATGACTTCTGCTTTGGCCACGTATTGGGGCTGCTGCTGCTGGACTCCGTGCTCTATGGCCTGGTCACCTGGTACGTGGAGGCCGTCTTCCCGGGGCAGTTCGGCGTGCCGCAGCCGTGGTACTTCTTCATCATGGTGAGTGCCCGCGCCTTCCTTGTCCATCTGCTCACCGCGGCAGGGTGGGTCCCCGGCACTGGGGTGGGGGCCCCCTCCAAGCCCCTGACGCACGATGCCTGCTTGGGCTGGGAGAGAAAACCCTGCCCGGTGTCCAGGGCAGTGAACGGTGTGTCCCCAGGGCCCTGGGATGGGTTCAGAGAGAGGTGTGAGCCCTTCCCCCGCAGTGGCCCAGCAGAAGGGACGCCCACCGGCAGCCCTGCTGCCCCCAGCCACAACGATGCAGCGTCTTGGGCAGGCGGCCACGCGGCTGGAGAAGCGAGAGCGTCCCACCCCAGGAGGCGCTAACGCCTGGCACCCCACGCCCTGTGGCCCCTGGGGCCTGAGCTGCATCTGCTTTACAAAGTGGGGTTGTGTGGTAAAACGTGGGTGAAATTTGCTTTTTGTGGCCGGCACCGCGGCTCAACAGGCTAATCCTCTGCCTTGCGGCGCCGGCACACCGGGTTCTAGTCCCGGTCGGGGCGCCGGATTCTGTCCTGGTTGCCCCTCTTCCAGGCCAGCCCTCTGCTGTGGCCAGGGAGTGCAGTGGAGGATGGCCCAGGTGCTTGGGCCCTGCACCCCATGGGAGACCAGGAGAAGCACCTGGCTCCTGGCTCCTGCCATCGGATCAGCGTGGTGCGCCGGCCGCAGCGGCCATTGGAGGGTGAACCAACGGCAAAGGAAGACCTTTCTCTCTGTCTCTCTCTCACTCTCACTGTCCACTCTGCCTGTCAAAAAAAAGAAAAAAGAAATTTGCTTTTTGTGAAACCTAATAATACATCTTAGATGCTTTAAATGCATATACTTTAAGTAGAGCTTTAGGATTTTATCTAAACATACATAAACATTTTTGTTTTATGTGTTTTTTTAAGATTTATTTTATTTATTTGAAAGGCAGAGTGACAGAGAGAGGGAGAAACAGAGAGAGATATTCCAGATTCTGGTTCACTCCCCAAATGGCTGCAACAGAGTCAGGGCTGGGCCAGACCAAAGCCGGGAGCCAGGAGCTTCCTCCAGGTCTCCCACGCAGGTGCAGGGCCCAAGAACCTGGCCATCTTCTACTGCCTTCCCAGGCCACAGCAGAGAGCTGGATCAGAAGTGGAGCAGCCAGGACTCTATCTGGCATCCATATGGGAGGCTGGCACTGCAGGCAGTGGCTTTACCCACTGTGCCACGGTGCCGGCCCCCAGGGTCACTTCTCTCTTCATTCCTTGATTTGACGAGTATTGATATTACTGCATTTCACCAAACCCGGTGATGCCGATTGCCGGAAGCACCTGTTTCTCATCACTTAGAAACATCCTGCAGCTAAGCCACGGTGCTTTGTAACGAAAGACACATTCTGATTTGAAAACCACGTCCGTGTGGGACCTGTGTCCCTGCACCCCAGTGGGATGTGGTGTCCCAGGGCTGTGGCTGAACAAGCCACCACCGCTCCGGGCTCGCCCTCTGGTGAACGCCTTTCCCAGCGCCCTGCCCACACAGCCGTGCTATCAAGGGGTCTCTGTAGGCACCAGGCTGCCCTAAGGGCCGAGTGTGGGGTCGGTGGTGGGTTCCGGCCCCCGGCACTGACCCTGCCGCCTGGTGGCCGGAGACGGGGCGGGGAGAGGCTTCCTCACGGCAGAGGGGGGCTCGGCCCCCTGGCCTCTCGCTGGTCTTCAGGGTCCCAGCGCAGCTTGGGTGAGGACGCAGCTGGGGGAGGCACTAGACGGGGCTCCTGGCCTGGACCGTGCAGTCGCCTCTCCCTGTGTCAACATCCCGCTGACACACGCCTCTCCCTGTGTCACAGCGGGCCTCATCACATCAGAAGAGCGAGTGTCGCAGAGCAGTCGACTAGGGAGAGGGCTGGGCTTGGTCTCGGGTGCCTGGAGGGCTGGGGTGTGGTCGAACGCCGATACGTGTTTGCCGTGACGTGTGCTTGTTGCCTTGTTCACCACACACACCACGACACGTCTGCCCCCGCTCAGCCCTCGTACTGGTGTGGGAGCCCGCGGACAGCCTTGGGGAAAGAAGAGGACGCCGACCCAGAGAAGGCTCTCCCCACGGAGCACTGTGAGGCCGAACCCGAGGCCCTGGTGGCCGGCATCAAGATCAAACACCTGTCCAAGGTACCACTTCCCTGGGGGCCACCAGCAGGTGCTCTCCGACCGCTGTCCAGGCACAGCCCACGTGCCCTTGTGTATCGGCAGTGCCCGGTGTGGGGTCAGCACTCGCTTTCCTGGCTGTACCTCCTCCCAGCTTCTCCGTAATGCTGATTCTGCTTAGCCGTGCTGGACACCTTGGCCTCCTGGGTCCTCTGGTCCCTGAGGGACACTGAGGCACTTGTAGGATACATGGGAGGTGGGAGTGGCAGGAAGAAGCAGCCGCTGCCCGAAACTTCACGCCCAGGCTCTCTGGTTGGGCGATGCTGGGACAAGTCTTCCAGAGGGGGCAGGAGGGCTGTGGAGTGAGCCCCCAAGGGCCCCGGAAGTCCAGAGCGGCCTCTGCCTTTCCCACAGGTGTTCCGCGTGGGGAACAAGGACAGGGCAGCGGTCAGAGATCTGAACCTGAACCTGTACGAGGGGCAGGTGACTGTCCTGCTGGGACACAATGGCGCGGGGAAGACCACCACCCTGTCCATGCTCACAGGTGAGGGCCGGCTCCCCCCTCCGCCTACTCCCAGCCACCAGGAGTAAGCCCCAGCCCACAGGCCCAGGGGGACACGCAGTGACCCTCGCCCCTCCAGCTCTGTGAACCAAAGGCTGACTGGAACCAGACAGGAGCAGGTCCGCCCCCTGGTGATCATGGCCCGGCCCTGGCCTGTCACCCCGGCTCTGAGGTTGGCACAGGCTCAGCTCTGGGGCGAGGCTCGGTGCAGGCGATTTGCTCGGCACACGCACATGACTCAAAGGAGCCACTGTTGGGTGTGTGCTTCTCATCTCTGGCCGGCCGGGGTGCCCTGGAGCGGGGCTGTGTCCCCCGCCCTCCTCACAGCTGCAGGCCCCTCACAGCCCACTGTGGCGGTCAGCAGGGTCAGCAGGCCTGTCTCTCGTGGGCAAGGTCCTTGGGTTCAACAAAAGGAGCTGTGTGCTGAGGCAGGGGCTCCTTCTGCCTGGTGCCGGTGAGTTAAGTCTCATGCGGGGCTGGGGATCTTCTGCTTGGCCCCAGGTCTCTTTCCCCCCACCAGCGGACAGGCGTACATCAGCGGGTACGAGATTTCCCAGGACATGCCCCAGATCCGGAAGAGCCTGGGCCTGTGCCCCCAGCACGACGTCCTGTTTGACAACCTGACCGTGGAAGAGCACCTCTCCTTCTACGCCCAGGTGAGCCGCCGGGCGGGACCGCAGAGGTGCCGGTGCCGGTGCCGGTGCCGGCAGGCCCAGGCTTCACCTGCCTGGCGTCCAGGCCCTCTTAGGGAGAGCTGTTCTGGAAGGGCTGGGCTAAGGGCGGGCAGACTCCAGCAAAGCGGCGCCGAGGGAGGACTTCTCCCAGGCCGGGGCCTTTGGGCGGACAGGGTCAGCCTCCCGCCAGAAAGGCCTGCCTCACGCCCCCTTGGTCCTGTGGTCTCAGCTGAAAGGCCTGTCGCCCCACAAGTGCCCCGAGGAAGTCAAGCAGATGCTGCACGTGCTGAGCCTGGAGGACAAGCGTGACTCCCGCTGCCGGTTCCTGAGCGGGGGGATGAAGCGCAAGCTGTCCGTCGGCATCGCCCTCATCGCGGGCTCCAAGGTACGCAGCACGGGCCAGGGATCTGCAGGCACTGGGCACAAGCCGGGGACAGCAGGGCCCCGGGGACGGCGGGCCGTGGAGCTCAACCCCGCCGGGCCCGGGTCGTGCCTCTGCCCACCAGGTGCTGATGCTGGACGAGCCCACCTCGGGCATGGACGCCATCTCCAGGAGGGCTGTCTGGGACCTGCTGCAGCAGCAGAAGAGCGACCGCACCATCCTGTTAACCACCCACTTCATGGACGAGGCCGACCTGCTGGGGGACCGCATCGCCATCATGGCCAAGGGGGAGCTACAGTGCTGCGGGTCACCGCTGTTCCTCAAGCAGAAATACGGTGAGCGCGGGAGGCGGGCGGGTGGTCCGGCCTCTGTCCAGGATGGGGTCAGTGCCTTACGGTGAGCACAGGAGGTGGGTGGGCGGTCCAGCCTCTGTCCAGGATGGGTCAGTGCCTTACGGTGAGCGAGGGAGGCGGGCGGGCGGTCCAGCCTCTGTCCAGGATGGGGTCAGTGCCTTACAGTGAGCGCAGGAGGTGGGTGGGCGGTCCAGCCTCTGTCCAGGATGGGTCAGTGCCTTACGGTGAGCGAGGGAGGCGGGCGGGCGGTCCGGCCTCTGTCCTAGGACAGGGTCAGTGCCTTACGGTGAGCACAGGAGGTGGGTGGGCGGTCCGGCCTCTGTCCAGGATGGGGTCAGTGCCTTACGGTGAGTGCAGGAGGTGGGTGGGCGGTCCAGCCTCTGTTCTAAGACAGGGTCAGTGCCTTACAGTGAGCACGGGAGGCGGGTGGGCGGTCTGGCCTCTGTCCAGGATGGGGTCAGTGCCTTACGGTGAGCACAGGAGGCGGGCGGGCGGCCCAGCCTCTGCCCTAGGACAGGGTCAGTGCCTTACAGTGAGCACGGGAGGCGGGTGGGCGGTCCGGCCTCTGTCCAGGATGGGGTCAGTGCCTTACGGTGAGCACGGGAGGCGGGCGGGCGGTCCAGTCTCTGTCCTAGGACAGGGTCAGTGCCTTACAGTGAGCGCGGGAGGCGGGTGGGCGGTCTGGCCTCTGTCCTAGGATAGGGTCAGTGCCTTACGGTGAAGGTGGGAGGTGGGCAGGCGGTCAATGCCACTGGCCTGCTGTGCACGGGCAGCTGCCCACTGTTGGTGTTTGTGAAGGGCCCTTCTTGGACTCAAGGCCCGTGTAGGGAGAACCCAGGCCCAGGTGGAGGGGCCGTGAGGACGAGGAGGGAGTGGAGCAGAAACGATTCATTGAGGGTCAGTGCCAGGGCCACTGAGAACAGCAGTGCCCTCGCCAACGCGGCAGCTCCCACGTGAGCGTGGCTCCCGCACCGCCCTGGACCAGGGGGTGGTGACTTAGATCAGGACCCAGGCCTTCCTTCTCAGGGTCACCTCCTGGTCCGTCGTGGTGCTGTCGTGTGTCTAGCCCCCACATTCCCTTCCTTTAGAGCACCCCTGGGGCCCCACCTCACTTCTGGCCTCTCTGTGACCAGCGCACAGCCCTCTTGACTGGAGGGTGCCCCGGTGTGGTCAGTAGCAGGCTGGAAGGGCCCCTTGTCCGGGGGGCCACTTACAGTGAAGATACTAAGGCTTCTTCTGTTAACAAGAAATGGGGGCGCGGGCCTCAGGAGCCAAGGTGCCGTCTGCGCCTCAGCCCCCAGGAACGCTGTTGGCTGTTCCCTGCCCGGGCCCCCCAGCTGGCCAAGGTATACTCTGGCAGGGCCCAGCATCCTCGTCTCTGAAGTGGACGAGGCTGTCCCACTTCCTGCAGAAGGTGCTGGGGAGGTGAGGTGGGGGCCCAGGAAGCGTGCGTGGTGTCACCGCACCTGTGTCTTCCTGCCGTGTTGGGCAGCGTCAACCCACAGCACACACGCATGACCACGTTAGCCCCTGCCCGAGTGCCTGGAGGGTCTGGAGAGCTCTCCCCGGCCAGCATGTGGGAGGCCTCACCCGGGGACAGCACAGAACGTCGCTCTGGCTCCGCTAACCCTGCCTCTCCAGCCTCTCCTGCGCACCTGCCCAGCCTGAGCCCCAGAGCCCCTAGTGTGGACTGGAGGAGTGGGAGTGGCCCAGAGCCTCACACTGGCCACGTGTTCCAGGCGCCGGCTATCACATGACGCTGGTGAAGGAGCCGCACTGCAACCCCGCAGGCGTGTCCCAGCTGGTGCGCCACCACGTCCCCAACGCCACCCTGGAGAGCAGCGCCGGGGCCGAGCTCTCCTTTATCCTCCCCAAGGAGAGCACGCACAGGTACAGACGGGGAAGCAGCTGTGGGCCGGGAGGGCCCAGTGCTCCCAGTCTCCCTGCCCCTCTTCGGTGTGGCTGTCAGCCCTGGGGCCCCAGGACGGTCATCCCTGGTCAGTTTCCCTGGCGGGGTGCAGTGTGCCCGGCCCCCTGGGCAGGGCTGGAAGGAACACGTTGTGAGCCAGGTGGCTCCCTCCTGATGGGTTACACGCAGGGCTGCCCTGCTCAGGAGAGCCGCCGGACTCAGACACCGTGTGTGTGTGTGTTCTGGACCTCGGACCTGAGGCCCGTGCACTCACACACGGGACACAGGAGGGAATGGCCACCCTCAGAGCGCTGGGCTCTGTCTCGGAAGTACCTCACTGTCCTTGCGAGAAGTGGCTTTGAGGCCACTCCCTGTTCCAGGCCCCTGACCTCGATTCCACGCCCACTCCGTCATCATGCACTCCTGTTCCCCCTAGAAAATGGGCCAGTAAAGAACCTTCTGGAAAACTCCCATGATGCCCCAGGAGCTTCCTTCCCCACTGGCAGGATGGGAGCCTGGCATGGACTTTTCTCCCCGATATTTGTGGGATGGATGGGTGAAAACGGCGCAGGCCTGGCCGGCGTTTGTGCCGTCCGCGCCGTGAGCGGCAGGGGTTTCCACGCCTGCTGCTGCTGCGGGTGCTGCCTGTCTGTGCCGCCTGCTCCAGCGTTGACGGGGACCCTGCTGCCTCGGCTCGGCCCTGAGACCTGCTTCATTCCGCGGGGCCCCACCGCCTGTGTGCCGTGCGCCGTGCGCCGTGGTTTCTCCACCCTGTGATCAAACGCATAATCGCTGCTTTCTTGCGGCCGGGTTTGTGGTTCCACGTGAGCACCCCCGGTGCCCCGAGGACGTTGCCAAGAAAAGCGGACTGGACAGGGCCCTCCCTTCCTCCCGATTTTCGATTTTTGCTATGAATTGAAATGGTTCTCAAAAAAGGGAACTGAGCTGTGTGAGCCGGCCTTGGCTGTTTCTTGAAAGGCATTTCAAGGAGTTGGCTGTCCCCTGCCCCTCGCCCACCTACAGGGAGGGGATGCCGTGTGGGGAATTTTCTAGAAGGTCTCTGAGACGCTGTCTTCACTGCCGGTCCCTTCCTAGGTTTGAAAGCCTCTTTGCCAAGCTGGAGAAGCGGCAGAAGGAGTTGGGCATCGCCAGCTTCGGGGCCTCCGTCACCACCATGGAGGAGGTCTTCCTGCGGTCAGTCCTGGGGGTTGGGGTCACTCCCGTTCTCGGCGCTGTGGGCGATAAAGCAGCCACCCCTCACTCGGTCACGTCCACCTGGAGACCACCGGGGTGCTCACAGGCGAGCAAGGTCCCGGCAAAGACCGCCGTGGGGGCCGTGCCTCCAAGAAGATTCCAGCCTTGGCGCAGACCGGCCGGAGGTGGCGCTGATGACCAGGGCACGACAGGGCAGCCCCGGGAAGCCCTGGCCTTGAGAGCCAGGGTCAGGAGGCGCTCAGGCTTCCCTGTGGCTCGAGCATGGACTGAGGGCAGGCCCCTGCTGTCCTTGCCGCCTGCTCTCCCGCGGTGCCAGTCCCTCCCGGGGCACCGAGCCTCCCCCCACCCTCGGCAGCTCGTGCCCCAGACACACACCTTCTACCACCAGGGGCCAGCTCGGTGACGAGCCTGCCCCAGTGCTGCCATTGAGCCCTGAGCCCCCGTCTATCTCGCAAGGCCCTGGCTTGAGTCTGGGCGGTCTCCCTGGGGCAGGGGCCCCGTCTGGCTGCCCCTCCCCTGGGCTTGGCTGGCTGTGGACTCTGATAGCCCAGAGGAAGTCCTGCTGAATAAATGAGTGGACACAGTGGATGAAGACAGGGAGTCAGGCGGTGGCTCCGCGTCAGGGCCGCTGCCCTCTGCCCTTCTCCCCGCCCCCTCCTCAGTGGAAGGGCAGCTTGGCTCCTGCCTCCCCAGGGGGCTGGGTCATGAGCAGTGCCCCGTGTGTCCGTCACAGGGTCGGCAAGCTGGTGGACACCAGCATGGACATCCAGGCCGTCCAGCTGCCTGCCCTACAGTACCAGCACGAGAGGAGGGCCAGTGACTGGGCTGTGGACAGCAGCCTGTGTGGCGCCTTGGACCCCACGGATGGCATCGGCGCCCTCATTGAGGAGGAGCCCAGCATGGTCAAGCTCAACACTGGGGTAGGCACGCTGTGCGGGGCCGGCCGCCCTGACCCCAGGGGCAGAGGAGGGTCCACAAGGGCGTCTGTGCCAGGCAGAGGGTGGACCTCCTCCCAGTAGGCTGCAGGGTCGGGCAGGGAGTGGACCTCCTCCCCACAGGCTGCAGGGTCGGGCAGGGGGTGGACCTCCTCCCCACAGGCTGCAGGGTCGGGCAGGGGGTGGACCTCCTCCCCACAGGCTGCAGGGTCGGGCAGGGGGTGGACCTCCTCCCCACAGGCTGCAGGGTCGGGCAGGGGGTGGACCTCCTCCCCACAGGCTGCAGGGTCGGGCAGGGGGTGGACCTCCTCCCCACAGGCTGCAGGGTCAGCAGTGAGAGTGGACCTCCTCCCCACAGGCTGCAGGGTCGGGCAGAGGGTGGACCTCCCAGTAGGCTGCAGGGTCGGGCAGTGAGAGTGGACCTCCTCCTCCTCACAGGCTGCAGGGTCGGGCAGTGAGAGTGGACCTCCTCCCCACAGGCTGCAGGGTCGGGCAGGGGTGGACCTCCTCCCCACAGGCTGCAGGGTCGGGCAGAGGGTGGACCTCCTCCTCCCCACAGGCTGCAGGGTCAGCAATGGGAGTGGACTTCCCCCCCACAGGCTACAGGGTCAGCAGTGGGGGTGGACCTGCTCCCCACAGGCTGTGACAGGGCCTGCAGAGTTGTGTGGTCACGGCTCTGTGTGGTGTCCTGAGCCTCCCCTGCCCCCAGGCCCCTCGACCAGCCCCGTGGTTCCTGGTGTGGCTGCAGGTGCCACCTGGGGGCAGCACCTGCTCCCAGGAGGTGGGGGTCAGACGCTGGCTCCACGGTGTCTCCCCTGCAGCTGGCCCTGCACTGGCAGCAGTTCTGGGCCATGTTCCTGAAGAAGGCCACGTACAGCTGGCGGGAGTGGAAGATGCTGGCCGCCCAGATCCTCGTGCCCCTGACCTGTGTCACCCTGGCCCTGCTGGCCATCAACTACTCCTCGGAGATCCTCGACGACCCCCTGCTGAGGTTGACCCTGGGCGAGTACGGCCGAACCGTGGTGCCCTTCTCCGTTCCTGGGACGTCCAGGCTGGACCAGCAGCTGTCGGAGCGTTTGAAAGACATGCTGCAGGCCCAAGGACAGGAGCCCCGAGAGGTGCTGGGTAAGGGGCATCCCCCAGGGCCCGGGGTGGGGGGCCGGGGTGCGGCCAGGGCGCGGCTCCTGGACGGCCCTCGTGCTATAGGAGGTTTAGTGGCGTCCCTGGCATCGCCCCCACCCCTCACGACAACCACAGATGCTCCGGACCTGGCCAGCTGTCCCCTGGGATTAGGCCTCCTCAGGTGCTGGTTCCCGGAAACTAGGAAGTTCGTGGTCTTTGTTACTTTCCGTGTGCTTCCTGGTCATAACCACCTCCGTGTGACGTGGGAAAACTTAGAGCCGTCAGGACGCTGGCGGCCTTGGTTGGAAGCCGCCGCAGGCGTGCAACAGGCTGTGCTGTGGTTAAACAGAACGTGGTGGACGCTTTGCTTCTCACCCCCCCTCCCTGACCAGCAGGACTGAAAGACGATGAAGCCTGGGCGGGAGTCCAGCACGTCTTAGGACGCGGTTGACGGTGTTGGCTGCTCGGGGCCGGCTGCCAGCACGGTGGGCCCTCACAGCAGGGAAGAGCTGGCGAGGCCCCGCGAGGCCCTGCCCACGGCCAGGCCCCCGAGCGGCACCGTGAGGTCCCCGCGTCCCCTGACCGTGCTGTCGCTCCCCAGGTGACCTGGAGGAGTTCCTGATTTTCAGGGCCTCGGTGGAGGGGGGCGGCTTCAACGAGCGGTGCCTGGTGGCCATGTCCTTCGGAGATGCAGGGGAGCACACGGTGGTCACCGCCCTGTTCAACAACCAGGCCTACCACTCCCCAGCCACCGCCCTGGCCGTCGTCGACAACCTCCTGTTCCAGCTCCTATGCGGCCCCCGCGCCTCCATCGAGGTCTCCAACTACCCCCAGCCCCGGAGCGCCCTGCAGGCTGCCAAGGACCAGTTCAGCGAGTACGCACGGCCCAGGGCCAGCAAACACCTGTGGGCCCCGCCCTGCCTCCCACCGGGCTCCCAGATGGCCTCACTGCTCTGCCTTCTGTTCCCAGCAGGGGGCGTGCTGCCCGCATGGTAGCCCAGTCTAGGAGAGTCTAGGAGACCCGCGGGTCAGCCCAGGGGTTCAGGCTTGGCCGGGGATAGTGGACCAGACACAAGGCTGTCTTGGTTTGCCTTAGCAGCTGTAGGAGGCGTCACTGAGCCAGCATGGAACCCGCCCGTTTGTAATTCCGGGTCAGGTGCCGATGGTGCGTCCAGAGGGAGCCGTCGTCACGCTGTCGTGGTCAGGCAGCGTCTGTCCACTGTGGACGTGCGTGCTCTAGGCACTTCCTGTACACACATTTCTCAACATGATGAGTTCAGAGTTCCTTTTTTTTTTTTTTTTTTTTTTTGCCACATATTATTCATTGTCCCAGCACCATCTGCGGAGAGGCCAGGTGCTGGGGGCAACCAGAGGCAGAAGCTAGGACACAGTGGGCTTGGTCACTCCAGGAGCCTAGTGGCAGGTCTGGCTTGGGACCATGCAGTGTCCCCAGGGGAGACGGCAGATGGTGGTGTCCCTGGGTGTGGCTGGGGCCGGCTGGGCTGGGGGAGGGGCACAGCTGTCCCTGCTGACGAGAAGGACAGAGACCCTCGGGCTGCAGTGCCCTCCTCCCTCAGCCGCGTGTGCTGCACAGCGCGGGGGGCAGGGGCGTGGTTCCTGCTGCCCAGAGGCGCTGCGCTGGCGCTGAGCGGCCCTGTCCCCTGCAGGGGCCGGAAGGGCTTTGACATCGCCCTCAACCTGCTCTTTGCCATGGCCTTCCTGACCAGCACGTTCTCCATCCTGGCGGTCAGCGAGAGGGCCGTCCAGGCCAAGCACGTCCAGTTTGTGAGCGGAGTCCGCGTGGCCACTTACTGGCTCTCTGCTCTGCTGTGGGACCTCATCTCCTTCCTCGTCCCCAGCCTGCTGCTGCTCGTGAGTGTGGGGTCCTTCCCCGCAGGCCACGGCCGGGGGTGGTCACCCAGGGGACCCGTGCACAGAACCGGAGCCGGATGGGGAGTCTGGGCCAGGCCCAACCCCTGGTTCTCGGAGGACAGTTGCCCCTCCATTTCCTCTCTCCCCCCCACCCCCAGCCGCTGCCCAGCTCGGGTGGGCAGGGCCCTAGATCCTGATAGTGACTGCATCAGCTAGGGACAAGGGCCACCACAGGGGCCAGCTTATTGGCCAGGGCCCGAGGGCATTTGAATGTGACCATCAGTCCCTCCCCGGCCCCCGGGGGGCGCCTGCTGCACTGCGCGGCCTGAGTCCCCCCTCCCCGTCTGTGCCACATGGCAGGCGGTGTTCCGGGCCTTTGACGTGCGCGCCTTCACGTGGGACGGCCACGCAGCCGGCACGCTGCTGCTGCTGCTGCTGTACGGCTGGGCCATCATCCCCCTCATGTACCTGATGAGCTTCTTGTTCTCGAGCGCGGCCACCGCCTACACCAGGCTGACCATATTCAACGTCCTGTCGGGCATCGCCACCTTCCTCATGGTCACCATCATGCGCATCCCAGGTGGGAGCACCCCGCCCCGCCTCCCGGCCAGCCCCAGCCGGCTCTGCGGCCTCCCTGCCCCGTGCGGTTTCCGCAAGGCCACCCTGGGAGCTGCGGCCTCGCTGGGCCTCTGTGGCCAAGGTCCTCTCCATGGAGGTCCCCGACCTACGAGGACGCCTGAGACCAGCGCCTCCCTGCCGCCGTCTGCCGTCTGCGCTGACTGGCCTCTTCTCTCCTCACCGCAGCGGTAAAACTAGAAGAACTTGCCAGAACCCTGGACCGGGTGTTCCTGGTGCTGCCCAACCACTGCCTGGGAATGGCGGTCAGCAGCTTCTACGAGAACTATGAGACCAAACACTACTGCACCTCCTCGGAGATTGCCGCTCACTACTGCAAGAAGTTCAGTGAGTGTCCGGACCCGCCCCGGCCGGCCACAGCGTCCATCCTGCGCACTCGGGGCCACTGGGCCCCACGTCCCGCCCGCCCGTCCTAGCCCTCCTTTCCACCTGTCCTGGCATCCAGGACCCAGGGCTCTGACCAGAGAACACGTCCTCCCCCTGTCTGGAGGCCGGAGGCCGGAGGCCCAAGACCAGGGTGTGGGCAGGGCTGTGCCCCCTCCAGAGGCTCTGGGGAGGGGCCTTCTGTCCCTCACACCTTCAGGGAGCTGTAGGCCTCGCCGCTCCAGTCTCATCTCTGTTCTCACACGGCCTCTTCCTCGTGTGTATCTCAGATCCTCTGTCTTTCTCTTACGAGGGCACCTGTCACCTTAAGACCCTTAACCAATTCCGTCTCCGGCAACCCTACTTCTGAACAAGATCGCAGCCACAGGTTCAGGGGTTAGGGCTTGAGCCCTGTGCCTGGAGCTGCCCCCACTGTGTGTCGGACGGCAGCCCCATGGCCACCCGCAAAGCCCAGTCCCTGCCCTGCGCCTGCTGCATCACTCACGGGATTGGGTTTGCCATCGCTCACTGTGTGAGCCTGACCCCCTCCAAACCGTGGCCACGCACAGCGCCCGACCCTGGAACGCGCGTGTGTGAGTGGACGAGGCGTGGTCAGCACTCGTCCCAGCCTCGAGGGGCACTTCCTGCAGCCAGATCCCCAGGAAGCATGGGAGGTGTCCGGGCTCGTGGGCGGCACCCGGGGAGGAGGGCGTGCAGTGGGGCCGGGGCCACACGTGCCGGGCTGCGAGCACAGCGCGTCTCCCCGCGGCCCGCAGACATCGTGTACCAGGAGAACTTCTTCGCGTGGAGCGCGCCCGGGGTCGGCAGATTTGTGACCTCCATGGCCGCCTCGGGGTGCGCCTACCTCACCCTGCTCTTCCTCATCGAGACCGACCTGCTGTGGAGACTGAGGAACTCCGTCTGTGCCTTCCGGAGGAGGTGGACGCTGGTGAGCGGCTCCTGGACGCCTCACGGGCTGCTTTGGGTCAGCGAGACGAGGGGCTTCATCACCACCGACCCAACACAGCCAGGAGGCCCAGTTCCGTGTCAGCACTCGAACCCGGCAGGGCGCCCGGCTCCCTCCACCCACAGGGGCTGCCCTGTGTGCCCAGACCTGGTGCCACAGCATCAGCCCTGGGGGCCTGGGACTTTGTGCCCTGCAGAGGTGGTGTCTGGGGCCCCTCAGTGCCCAGAAGAAGGGGTGCAGGGCCCCAGGGGGTGTTTCCCACGTCCGTTCCGTCTCCATTCCCGCCCTCAAACAAAGCCTGTTGAGGTTTCTCTGCTGCACAGAGCCACGGGGCCGGCTGGCCTCTTTGAGACAACACTGCTTCTCTCCACGAAGCCCCTCGTCGATGGCTGCTGTGAGACCCTCGGGGCTCGTGTTTCCTGATCCAGCACAGGCGGCCCCTCACCCCTTCCCGCCTGCAGGCCCTGAGGCTGGGGTGCACCTCGGAGACCTCAGACCCTTGAGACCTCCCTGGGGGACCTCTGCCCCTGCCCTGTGTCCCTCGGAAGAGGGGCCTGTGCCGGGCTTCAGTGGTGCCGTCTCTGTCTCGAACCACCAGGCAGAACTGTGCGCCCAGACAGCGCTGCTTCCTGAGGACCAGGATGTGGCTGAAGAGAGGAGCCGGGTCCTGGCCCCCAGCCTGGGCCCCCTGCTCGACGCACCGCTGATCATCAAGGAGCTGTCCAAGGTGATGGGCCATGGGCCCTGCCCCCGCCGGGCCACCTGCCTGCCCCTGGGGCCCCCAGGCCTCTTCACGGCAGGTTTTCTGCGGGCGTCTTGCAGGTGTATGAGCAGCGGACTCCCCTCCTCGCCGTGGACAAGATCTCCCTCGCCGTCCAGAGGGGGGAGTGCTTCGGCCTGCTTGGTTTCAACGGGGCCGGGAAAACCACCACGTTCAAGATGCTGACCGGGGAGGAATCCATCACTTTTGGGGACGCCTTCGTCGGGGGCCACAGCATCAGCTCCGACATCGGAAAGGTGGGTGCGGGGCGGGCCTGCTGGGGAGGGGCAGACGAGGCAGGAGCGGGAGCCCCGAGACAGGAGTGGGGCTCTCTCTGGCTCAGAGTGGGCACAGCACTCAGTCACGGCCAGCACGAGACGGTGCTCGGGGCCAGAGCTGAGCAGGTGACGAGAGGAGAGAAGTGGGGCCAACATCTGAGAACCCCAAAAGGCTCGGGCAGGGAGGGGGGTGGGGTGGACGCTGAGAGGGTCCCAAGGAAAGGCCAGGGCCACCGCCCTTTCCCCACATCAGGCTGAACCAGAGGCAGCACTCCTGCTCCCTCCCGGGGACGGCACAGGAAGTCCCTGTGTCCCCTGGCCCAGGGGAAGAGGGACAGCAGCACGCCTGTGACCGGGTCGGGCCCTCCCGGGGGAGGCCTCAGCCCAGGCCTCACAGAACCTCCCGAGTCGGACTTGAAGGCCTCAGGGTGGGGGCACCACGGGGAGACTCCACAGCGGCCAGCCCCCAGGGAACAAACCCACAGGCCGGCTTCGCAGGTGTCAGGCCCAGATTCTGAAACAAAATGGCTGGAAATGCACAGGGGACAGAAAACCGCGTGGCCTAGAAGCTCGGAGGCGGCCCGAGGGGTCCTGACTGCATCTAACCTGAGTCCCAGGAGGAGGAGAGAGAATGAGGTGGCAAATGGCCCAGCATTTTCCCAGGCCAATTCAAAGCACATTCTGGAAGTCTGGGAAGGCAAAGAAAAGGAAATCCCGTCTCCAAATCCACAGCACCAAGCAGTGTTGGCCCCACCAGGCCTGACCGCGGCAGGGCAGGTGGTGGCGACTGAGAGGCCACGGAGCCCCCTGGTTCTGCCAGACACAGGCACTCACCCAGAAACCAGCTGCTGTCCCTCTCTCAAGACGGGCCCCACCGCTCGTGTCGGATGTTTGGTAGGGGGCCTGTGAGCAGACGAGGGCCCACCTGTTGTCAGCGTCCGTGTGAAGTTCTGCGTGGCTATCACTTTCTGTGGTCAGTGCAGCCCGGCACGGTCAGGGCTGCCCCAGGCCACTCACTGGCCCGTCTCTGCTGGCCGGGAGCCTCTGTGCCAGCCGGGTCTTTCCTCCGTCCTCGCTGCACTGCTGTGGCCGCATGGCAGCCGTGGGCAGCCGCCCGGGCCGTGCCCAGCTCCGGGCCAGCCTCGCAGGAAGAGACCAGGGTGGGAGTCTCCATTGTCCTCCTTCTGACCCACCCCTCGGGGGCTCTGTCCTAACCCCAGGTGCGGCAGCGGATTGGCTACTGCCCCCAGTTTGATGCCCTGCTGGACCACATGACCGGCCGGGAGATGCTGGTCATGTACGCCCGGCTCCGCGGCATCCCCGAGCGCCACATCGGGGCCTGTGTGGAGAACACGCTGCGGGGCCTGCTCCTGGAGCCGCACGCCAACAAGCTGGTCAGGACGTACAGGTGCGGCCTGCGTCCCTGTGGCGAGCTGAGCCCTGGCCCATCGGGCTGGAGCCAGGATCTCTGTTAGCACAGAGCTGGGGAGTGGGTACACAGGCCGTGGCCTGAGCTCCTGCCCACGACTCGGGGCTCAGGTGGGGATCGGGTAGCGTGACCCTGGCAGTGCCAGGTGACAGGGGCTGCCCTGCCGGTTCCCGTGAGGCCCTGCTTCAGGGTAGACAGGTGGCGCTCCCGCTGTGCATGGGGCCAGGCCCAGCCTGGGGCCTGGGGCAGTCGTGGGGCCTGGGGAGCCCCTGCTAACTGTCAGCCTTGCCCTGCACCTGGTGCCCAGCGGAGGCAACAAGCGCAAGCTGAGCACGGGCATCGCCCTCCTCGGAGAGCCTGCGGTCATCTTCCTGGACGAGCCGTCCACGGGCATGGACCCCGTGGCCCGGCGCCTGCTCTGGGACACCGTGGCCCGGGCCCGCGAGTCTGGCAAGGCCGTCGTCATCACCTCCCACAGGTAGAGCCGGGGTGTCCCTGTGCGTCCGTGGAGGAGCCAGACGGGCTGGGCAGGGTGGGACCCCGAGGTGCCCGGAGCCGACCAGGAGACTCCCAGCCTCTGCCCACGGGCCATGCTCTGAACCGGGAGCGGCCTGGCCTGGGCGTCGGCACCTTCCTGTCCGCACAAGACTTTGGCTCTCAGGGCGGGCATCGGCACCCCCAGCACTGTCTCAGGCCTGCCCCCTTGTCCCCAGCATGGAGGAGTGCGAGGCCCTGTGCACCCGGCTGGCCATCATGGTGCAGGGTCAGTTCAAGTGCCTGGGCAGCCCGCAGCACCTCAAGAGCAAGTTCGGCAGCGGCTACTCCCTGCAGGCCAAGGTCCGGAGCAGAGGGCAGCAGGAGGCGCTGCGGGATTTCAAGGCCTTTGTGGACCTGACCTTCCCAGGTGCGAGCCTGCCCGGGGCCTGCCTGAGCCGCTCCCGGCCGCTCTGCCTCTCCCACATCCCTGATCCCTGGGGCCGGACCGCCCTCCGCTGGCCCCGGCCCCCTCCTCACAGGAACACGCCTGTGCTTTGTGCAGGCAGCGTCCTGGAAGATGAGCACCAGGGGATGGTCCACTACCACCTGCCCGGCCACGACCTCAGCTGGGCGAAGGTGAGTGCAGGACCTGGGGCCCTCCAGATGCTGGCCGGGCCAAGCAGAGTCCCTGCAGGGCTCTCTCTAGGTCGGTACCAGGCTCTTTCCAGCGGAGAACCACTGCTTTTCCTCCAAATCTCACCACCTACCAGCCTTTAGGTTTTATCCCCAAAACATCTGGTGGAAAATAATTCCGTGCAGAAAGGAGCAGTGACCCGGAGGGGAGACCCGGCTTGTTCGGGCCACACTCTGAGCTGTGGGCGGAGGCCCCCTGCCCGGCTGCCCCGCATAGCCAGCGTCCTGTCCCTGGGAGGACTCGCTCCTCTCCTCCTGTCGGGGGCTCCAGGGCAGGGCTGGCGATGATCAGATCTTGGGGGCGGGGCTGCCAGTGCTTGTTGCTGGAGGACCCCCAGGCCAGCACAGAAGCCCTGGGTCCTCTCACCAGCGACCTCACCGTTTCCCAAAGGTGTTTGGTACCCTGGAGAAGGCCAAGGAGAAGTACGGAGTGGACGACTACTCGGTGAGCCAGATCTCGCTGGAGCAGGTCTTCCTAAGCTTCGCCCACCTGCAGCCACCCACCTCGGAGGAGGGGCGATGAGGCGCCCTCTGCCGCCGGGCAAGGGCGGCAGGAGCCAGTGCATGCCTGTGCCTCCGCTGCCTTGGGGTTGCTGTCGTCCGTCGTTTTGAATCCCCGTTTTCTACGGTGGCTGTGAAAGAATCGAGGCGGTCTGCACAGAACGGACCCAGGGTGTCGGTGCCCTCACCCAGAAACCAGCGTGCCACAGCTCTGAAGGCAGACTTGCCGGAACCCATGCTCCCAGCCCCGGTGTGGGTCCCACCGTGTGTGCCGGCGGGGCTGCCCTGGGTGGCGAGCTGACCTGGGCCACTGGGTATCTGCACGAGCTCCCACAGGGACGGGGCCGGTGACCTGTCCGTGTTTACAACACTAAGCTCCCCTGGGGAGGAAGTGAGACGCCAGCAGGGGTGAGCCGTGGCAAGGTCCCCTGGGCTGCAGGGAGTGGGCAGAGAAGTCGAGAACCACCGTCTGGAGCAAGGATGTCGGCTGTGACTCGGTGCTGAGACTTATTTTCCAGTGCAGCCCAGGAGGTGCTGCTCCCGAGGGGGTGGGTGCCGTGGCCAGCTGAGCTGTCCCTGGGCTGTGCTTCGTGCCAGATACCTTCCAGAAGCAGGTGGCCAGCCTTGGAGCACGGTCCTCCACTCCCACCCTGCGCCTTGGAGCAGGCACCAGCGCCAGGACAGTCAGGGACGACCACCGGTGTCCACCCCCTGTCTTGAGCACACAGGAAGCACACTGGGACTCTGACCAGAAAATAAAGGCTGTGGGGACCCACGCACTCTGCCTCGGATGTGTCACTGCAGACCAAACAGGTTTTCTCATCGAGTTTCAGGCAAATAAAAGCAGGAACCCAGTTTTCCCTTTGCGAGAATCCATGGCCATGAGGAACAGGTTCAAAACAAGTGAGAAAGTGAGTCAGCCTCCAACCAAGTGAGCGTGGGCTATCATCGTTTTAAACAATTCTCATTTGGATTTTTAGAAGTCTCTCAAAGTTTACGAAAGCTACAAGTAGCTTTTTTTCTTAAGATTTATTTATTTACTTGAAAGAGTTACACAAGAGAGAGGAGAGGCAGAGAGAGAGAGAGGTCTTCCATCCGCTGGTTTACTCCCCAGATGGCCACAATGGCCAGAGCTGTACTGATCCAAAGAAAGGGGCTTCTTTCGGGTCTCCCATGTGGGTGCAGGGGCCCAAGGACTTGGGCCATCTTCCACTGCTTTCCCAGGCCATACAGAGAGCTGGATTGGAAGTGGAGCAGCTGGGACTTAAAGTGGTGCCCATATGGGATGCCAGCACTGCAGGTGGCAGCTTCACCCACTAAGCCACAGCGCCAGCCCCAGAAGTAGCTTTCAATAATTTTCTTATTTTTAAAAAATTATTCAAACTTGGCCAGCACTGCAGCTCAATAGGCTAATCCTCTGCCTGCGGCACCGGCACACCGGGTTCTAGTCCCGGTCGGGGCGCCGGATTCTGTCCCGGTTGCCCCTCTTCCAGGCCAGCCCTCTGCTATGGCCCAGGAGTGCATTGGAGGATGGCCCAAGTGTTTGGGCCCTGCACCCCATGGGAGACCAGGAGAAGCACCTGGCTCCTGGCTTTGGATCAGCGTGGTGCACCAGCCACGGTGGCCATTGGAGGGTGAACCAACGGCAAAAGGAAGACCTTTCTCGCTGTCTCTCTGTCCACTCTGCCTGTCAAAAAAAAAATTATTCAAACTCATCACTTAGTTTTTTTCTTTAAATTTACATACTTGAGAAGCAGGGTTACAGATAGGGAGAGACAGAGCAAGAGGACTTTGATCCACTGGTTCACTCCCCAGATGGCCACAATAGCCGGAGCTGAGCCCATCCAAAGCCAGGAGCCAGGAGCTTCTTCCAGGTCTCCCACGTGGGTGCAGGGGCCCAAAGACTTGGGCCATCTTCTTGCTGCTTTCCCAGGCCATAGCAGAGAGCTGATCAGATGAGCAGCTGGGACTAGAACCGGCGCCCATATGGGACGCTGGTGCCACAGGGGGAGGCTTCACTGACTAGGCCACAGCACCAGCCGCGTCACTTAGTTCTTGTTACAGAAAGCACACTTGGGGGTGGTTGTGGCTGAAGCCTGTCTGCAGGAAAAGGCTGGCGGCAGAGCTGCTGGGGCCCCGCGGCCTGGCAGGCGCTGCAGCCTTTGTGCCTGCAGCCTTGTTGGGGTTGCCGGGCTCAGGGAGGAGACAGACCAGGGAGACCTGTGGCTGTCCAGATGTGCGTCTGCATCCGACGGGCCTGCAGCAGGGCGCCCTCAGTCTGCACAGAGGCCTGTGCCACCACCAGCTCTGAGATCTGCCCTTTTTCTCCTTTGAGAAAAAAAGGGTGTGAGGTAAGGCCCTCAGGGCTGAAGGAACGTCCATGCCGCGTGGGAGACGGGCCACCCTCCCCCCAGAAACCCCACTCATGATGATCCCCATCCCAGGGGAGCTGTCGGGGGCGCAGGCCACAGGCAGGGGCTGTCACAGGTTTCAGAGCTGACTTATTTCTGAGCCCTGTGTGAGGTCCAGAGACGGCAGTCCAGGACTTCATCCCCTTCCTGTCCTTGCTCCACCATCAAGGTCACCTCTCAGGGTCGGACACTGGCGGGAGGTGGGGGACAGGCAGGCATTCCAGGTACAAGGAACCCAGGTGCCAGGACACCGCCTGCACTCGCCACCACATTGCAGGGGACAGGTGGTCCCTCTGGCCGGGGGCACACAGACCAGCCGCAGTGGCCGTGCCCCGCCTCCCCCGTGACTGCCCTGGCCATCGCTACAGGGGCTCAGAGGAGCATAATCGGATGGTTTCCCCCGGGCAAACTCGCAATTCCAGGTTTAGTCCTGGAGTTCTGGGAAAGCCAGGATCCTGTGTCCTGGGACCTGTGGCCCAGCCTTTGAAAGCAGCTGACAAGACAGGAACGGAGCGTGCCAGGCCAAGAGCCGGCGGCGAGGCTGGAGGGCGGGCCCAGGGGTGGCCATGAGTTGTCTGTGGATGACCATGCACACGAGGCGAAGGCAGGAGCTGCCCCTGCATGCCCCTAGCATGGCCTGAGTCACTGCCCAGCACGCACAAGCCCCGGGGCCCATGGCCTGGACCGTGCTGCTCAGCCAGTGCTGGGGGTGGCCCAGAGGGGGCTGGGTCAGGGCAGCCGCTTCCTGTTGCTCCAGCTCAGTGGGCCAGCCCGGCGGCCTTTCAGCTCACCTGGGCCAGCCCAACGCTCGTGGCAAAAGCAGCTGCACCCTCTACCGCCCACTCCCACAGACCAGTCAGCGCCACCTGTGCTGGCCCAGCGGCATCAGACGCCAGGGCGTGAGGGGCGTTCCTGGGTAAGGCAGCCCGGGCCACACCTGAGCCCCAAGGGGCCACCTTGCACCCACTCCCCGTGGAGGACTGACACACACGGCTCCCCACAGCTGCCTCTGCCCCGCCCCCCTAAACCCCGGAACCTGGCAAGCTCTTGCAACTCCTCTCCTTCCCCCCAGAGGGGACTTGGGGAGGGGCAGGAGTCAGCAAGGCCCTGGGCAGGCCGCCCACGCCCCTAGGAGGCAGCACAGTGCTGGGCCTTCCGGGCCTGGGCTGATCTGCGGGGGAAGCCCTGGCGAGCCGGGGCCCTGCCTTCCTCTGCAACACACGGGGCTGCCTGGGCCCTGCTCACACCCGAGCTGCCGGCAAAGGAGGCCTCCGGGGCTGCAGAGGTGCCACAACCACCGGCTGCCGCTGGCCCCAGGGACGCTGGGCCGGGGCTCGGCAGACGGCTCTCAGCCAGGCACGCGGTCCTCTGTGAGACCACTTGGCGTGCAGCTCCGCCCGCACCCTCCTTGCCTTCCTGGCGGCGCACGAGGACAAGCGGCTCTGAGTGTGAAGATGAGCACAGGCCCCAAGTCCACTGCTCTGCTCAGCAGCCTCCGACCCGGGGCCCTTGGGAGGGCAGCCTGCGCCTTGTGGGAGCATCCAGAGATACTGCTGGAGGAGCCCCAGGCCCAGCAGCCCCCTCCCCACCCCTTAAAAGGTTCAAACCCGAGCCAGGAAGCCCACAACTGCCGACCCGCGGGGCTGACCCTTTCAGAAGAGCCCAGCCCCTCCCCGACAGGCACCAACCAAGCCTTGGTGACTGGGCCCTCGACAGGCTGCGGCCCTCACTCACCGCCCAGTCTTCTGCCTGCTCCTGGGTGGCTGGCGAGCTCTGGCGTGACCCAGGCTACCCCTGGCCAGCAGCCTCAGAGGGCTGGCACCACAGGCCAAGGGCAGGGGGGACGCTGTCCCTTGTGTGAGTGCCTACGTCGGCCCGGCCCCAAACCGCCAGCCAGCAGGAGGCAGGGCGGGAGGCCATGTCTGCAAGGGCTCTGCCCAAAGCTGCCCGGGCACCCACCGGGCGCAGCGTAGCAGGCTGGCACCAGGGCCGGGGAGCCGGCGCTCCTGGAGGGACGCAGCCGAGCGGGTCCCCCAGGGTTTACTGTCTCAGCTGCCTTGCAGACAAGTGTCTGCCAATCCTCAAGTGGCAAAAGCCGGGCTGCTCGGCTGGTGGAGCTCAGCGGCTGACAGCACATTTGATAACAGAATCAGTGATATTTAGCAACAAATCTGACTGAATTTGCAAGTGTCTGAATAAATCATGATTTGAGATTTAATATAAAATGTGTTAGTTTAGACATGTGCCAGATTTAATTACTTGGGAGCATTACCAGGAAAGAAAAAAAAAAAAAAAAACGCAGGGAGGGGGCTGTCACGGCTGGGGTCAGTGCAGTGGTCTCCCCCACTCCCCCGCACAGGCACAGGTTCTGAGCCCGGGCCCTGGGGGCCAAGGCCTCCTCCAGACGGCCCATGGCCAACACCACCCCCGCCAGGGGCTGCCCTCCTCTGCCCCTGAAGGCGTGCAGAGAACTGAACCTCCCGCCTGTCCCTCGAATGTGTCCAGACTGGACGGGCCGCCAACCCCGCCCCAGGGCAGCACACGCCGGAGGCTTCTGTGCCCAACTCCATGGACACCCCTCGGCCCCGGTGAAGGGTGAGGGCAGGGTGACCCTCCTGGATGGGGAAGGGAGTCTCACGCGCCGCAGACCCCGACCGCTGCCCCCCTCGGCCCCGGGTGAAGGGTGAGGGCAGGGTGACCCTCCTGGATGGGGAAGGGAGTCTCATGCGCCGCAGACCCTGACCGCTGCCCCCCTCGGCCCCAGGTGAAGGGTGAGGGCAGGGTGACCCTCCTGGATGGGGAAGGGAGTCTCATGAGCCGGCAGACCCCGACCGCTGCCCCCCTCGGCCCCGGGTGAAGGGTGAGGGCAGGGTGACCCTCCTGGATGGGGGAGTCTCACGCGCCCGCAGACCCCGACCGCTGCCCACCTCGGCCCCAGGTGAAGGGTGAGGGCAGGGGGACCCTCCTGGATGGGGAAGGGAGTCTCACGCGCCCACAGACCCCGACCGCTGCCCCCCTCGGCCCCCGGTGAAGGGTGAGGGCAGGGGGACCCTCCTGGATGGGGAAGGGAGTCTCACGCGCCCGCAGACCCCGACCGCTGCCCCCCCTCGGCTCCAGGTGAAGGGTGAGGGCAGGGGGACCCTCCTGGATGGGGAAGGGAGTCTCACGCGCCCGCAGACCCCGACCGCTGCCCCCCCTCGGCTCCAGGTGAAGGGTGAGGGCAGGGGGACCCTCCTGGATGGGGAAGGGAGTCTCACGCGCCCGCAGACCCCGACCGCTCTAGCGCTCCCCCCACCCTCCCGCACCCGGGCTGCCTCTCCGACTGCCCGCTGGTTGCTTTCTCCAAGGCCCTGGCTTGCACCCGCTGCTCCCCCCAGCCCTCCTGGCTGCCAGCTGGGGCGAGGGCGCCGTCCTTCCTTCCGCAATCCCACAGAAGCCCCCTCCCCAGCCCTCCCCACCCGCCGCTCCTGCCAGGCGGCTCCGACCGCGCCTCCCGGGCCTTCGCGCCCGCCGCTCCCTCTGCAGCAGTGGGGTTTGACCGCACTAACCCACGTCCTGCGCCGGCCCATCCCTCCGAGCCCTCTAGGCCGGCCTTGGAGAGGCTACCGCCCAGAAGACCCCCGGGCGAGAAGACCCGCCGCCCCCAGTGCGCACGCGCTCGCAGAGGCGCGGCCTCGTCAGCCCCGTCCGTGCCGGCCCCGGGGCCCCGGCAAGTCGCCATGCCCGCTCCGGGAGCTCCGGAAAGGGGCTGCCCAAGGCCGAGAGCCCTCTTGACCGGGGAGACACAGCCAGCGACCCTCACGGCGCTCCCCACCCACGTCCGCTGCCCCGAACGCTCCGCAGCTCGCGCCCATTGGCTGAGGCGTTTGCGTCATCGCTGTGCGCCGCACGGCGGCACGTTCCCGCGCCTTCGCTCTGACGACAGAAAAGCGCCGGCCTCGGCGGCTGAGGAGAGCGGGAGGAGGTGGCGGCGGCGGGAAGATGTAAGTTGGGGGCGGAATCCGACCGCATCCGAGCTGCGGGGGCCGCCCGCCAGGCCGGGAGGGTCGCATCGTGCAGCCAGCCGGCTTCTCAGCCCCGCGATGGCGCGGCGGCCGGGCGGCGCGGCACGGAACTCGGAAAGAAAGAATGTGGCCCGGGGCGGCGGAGTGGGAGGCGTCGAGGCCGCGGCCCGGAAGTGGTCGGGGCCGCCGCCGACGGAAGAGCCGCCCGGCTGGGTCCGCTCCGCGGCGGCGCTCCTGCGGGCTGGGGAGCCGGGCCCTCCCTGCGAGCGCCGGGGGCGGCGGGGCCGCTGTGTGGGACGCCCGGGAAGGCGGCGCGCGCTGCCCGAGGGGCGGCTCCAGCGCTGCCGGCGGGTCCCGGCGCCGTGGCGAGGTCGGGCCGGCGCGGCGCGGGGCCGCCTGCCGCCGTGCTGTTGGCGTGGACCGTGCGTGAGGCCCAGCTCCGGTGCGGGGAGGGGCCCCTTCTGCTCGAGACGTGACTAACTGTTCTCTCCTCTCTCTGGCTGTTGGACGCGCACCTTCCGGAGGACGGGGGCGGTCACCAAGGTCCCGCGCCGGGCCCTGGACTTGTGTGGACAGAGAACCTCAACCTTTGCTTTCTAGCTGCCGACCGCGCCCGGCACAGCGAGCGCGCCCCCCGTGGCTCTTCGGTGTTCGTCCCGAGGACACCGGCGGGGCTTGTTCCCGGAGGGCACCGGGGCTCGTCCTCGGGAGGGCACCGGGGCTCGTCCTCGGGCGGGGCGGGGCGGGGCGGGGGTCGCCGCCCTGGCCAGCGAGGTGGCCGCTGCTCACGGAGCCCGCGGCGCAGCCAGCCCGGGCTGGGGTTCAAAGGACGACTCGGAGGGGAAAAAGGGAAATGCAGTTCCCGCTGGGTGTGGGGTGTCCAGTGTTTTCTAAGTGGATTTACCTGGTTTGTGACGGCGCTACAAGGCAGTTCCAGGTTACTCCTGGCGCGCTCGGTAGTGGCCGTGCTGCCCCGAGTGATCCCACGGTGGGGCCCACGGACACTGTTGAATTCAGGAATTGGGAGTGTGTGGAACTTCGGAAAATTCATGGAAAGGGGAGTTAAAAGATAGATTTTGGTGCAAAAAAATGAAATCTACGCATGTTCTTTGCAGATAGGTATTTTCCATGACCTTTCTGAGGCTCCCGGTGCGGGGAGGAGAGCCTCTGGAAACCCCTTTTCATGTTACTTCTGTTGGGCCTCAACCAGGTGCGGGGTCTGTTTCGTGAGTTCATTGGTTACTGCCTTTGAAAATGCTGGAAGGGGGGTTGTTGTCACCGCATTGCTGGTAACAAACTGGCGACCAGAGGCCTTAGAGAGGACAGTGGCTGCTGAGGGTCCACAGCGAGGCCGGGGCTCTTGGCTGAGTTACACCCAGGGGTTGTCCCAGGACACCAGCCTGACCGGGTGTCCGTGGTCCCTTATGGTTTGGAGGCAGCCATTCTGAAGAGAGCAGCCTTGGCAAGGAGCTGCCCGGGGATCCTCTGCCGCTCGTTGGAGTGTCCACAGCCAGCCCTCGTATTTCCTGGGTCAGAACGTGGATCGGCATCACGTGGAAGCGCCTGCCCAGCTGCGGGGCTGCGGCCGCGCGGTGTGCGGTGGAACGAGCAGCCGCACCTGCTCACAGGTCACGCGGTTGTGCAGAACCTCGTGGAAAGCCTGGGTGAGAGATGAGCGGTTTTGAGTAACTGGTTAACGTGACTGCTCACCGTGTGCTGGCGTCAGGCACCTGGCCAGCCCTTAAATGAAGTGAGCATCTCGCCCAGTTTCAAGTGTCACCTTCCCCCCGCACACACACTTGCGTCTTTTTAAAAGTTCTAACCATACAGAAAAATTGAAGTAATGTTTAATGCTCAGTAGCCACCACTGGGGCTCTGCGGTCCCTCTGTTGGGTTCCTTGGCGCGTGTGGAGCCACCATCTCGTTTTTTCTTTAAATCACAGCCTCGTGCGAATCTTCCCCCTGCACGCGTCGTGCTTAGCACTACAGTTTGCTATTGACAACTTGAGAATCGCTTTCACTACTCTCTAAGTGTTCGTGCTTGGGTAGTAAATGTTTCGGTGCTGATACCAACCACTTCTGAAACGATGTTTGTCTCCAGTCGTAATCCAGTGTGTCCTGGAGGGGAACCACAGCAGAGACGAGGCCTGATCCGCCAGCCACACTCGCGTTAGGCTTCCCTGTCCTCCTCGTGAGTGTGCTGCTGAGGGCCCGTCACCCTTAACGAAACTCTAGGATAAAGCGACGGGGACCACCCGCCGCCTCAGGGAGGAGCTGGGTGCCGGCTTGACCTGTGCCCCGTGGGGAAGTGGTGGCTGCCCCGCATGCCCTGGTCCTGTGGGTACCTGCTGCTTGCTGTGTTCCTGACTGCCTTCGTGTGTGCTCAGCTTTGTACTGCAAAGTGAATTTGTTGCCTTGCCAATTCGTTCACTCTCTACATCCTTTTATCTTGTTATTAGGCTGCTCTTTGGCGTAAATTGCAATCGATTAGGGACCGTTTCTCAGAGTCGAGTTAGAAGTGAGAGCTCAGATAAGTGAGGCCGCCATTGCCGCTTTGAACACCTCAGAAGGGAGGATGGATTTATCAGGAGTGAAAAAGAAGAGCTTGCTAGGAGTCAAAGAAAATAATAAAAAGTCCAGCACTAGGTAATCCTCCTGCCAGATTTTTCTAGTGCTACATCGGGGGTGCTCACCGCTAGGGACCCTGAGAGAGGGGAAGAGGAGAGTGCGGCCCACCGGAGTGCTCGGGCACCGGGGTCTCTAGTCTCCCGGACCCCCTCTTCTGGGTGTGCTGTTTCAGGGCCTGCTCGGAGGAGCAAGCGCTCTCACACTCTTCCTCACCGTGCAGGGCTCCCTCTCCTACCAAGCGCAAAGACCGCTCTGACGAGAAGTCCAAGGACCGCTCCAAAGATAAAGGGGCCACCAAGGAGTCCAGTGAGAAGGACCGCGGCCGGGACAAGGCGCGGAAGCGGCGCAGCGCTTCCAGCGGCAGCAGCAGCACCAGGTGGGGCGGGCGGGCCGGCGGCAGCCACAGCCGCCTCTCCACACGCACCTGCACGCTGGTGCCAGAGACCCCGGTGCCAGGCCGCTCAGGGTCTGCTCTGGGTGTACGGAGGGACGGCCTTTCTCCTTTCTGTGATGGCAGGGAGAGTGGTGTTGCGTGCGGCGTGTCCTGCGCTGCCGTGTGCTCACACTGCCCGGTCGGGAGCTTATCCTGGTGGTTGGAAACCGGCCCAAGTCAGTGAGCAGCGGCCTCCCGGGCAGAGCTGGCGGCTCTGGCTGCGCTGAGGGCCTCAGCGGGAGAGGCTTCTGTGCAGGCGGAAAGTGGCCGGGTCCCTTTGCCTGCCTCCAGGCGCTTGGGCAGGGGGCGCCTCCCCCAGGCGGGAGAGCGCAAGCGTGCAGACGCCCGGGGTCTGGTGGAGGAGCAGCTCCCGCCTGTTGCGGCGGTGACCCTTGGTGTCCTGCCTCAGGTCTCGCTCCAGCTCCAGCTCCAGCTCGGGCTCCAGCACCAGCACGGGCTCCAGCAGCGGCTCCAGCTCCTCCTCGGCGTCCAGCCGCTCCGGCAGCTCCAGCTCCTCCCGCAGCTCCAGCTCCAGCAGCTCCTCTGGCTCCCCGAGCCCCTCCCGGCGCAGGCACGACAACAGACGGCGCTCGCGCTCCAAGTGAGTAGGCCAGCCCGCGTGCCGGCCGGGCGGTAAACGCACCGAGTGTTTCTGTCCCGATAGGCTGTAAGCCGGGGTGACATGCATACACTGGTAGCAGAGTTTCCTTAGAAAGTGTTGGGTACGCAGGTAACTTCCACTAAAGGGAGTCCAGTGCGTTTTGAATTGACAGGAATTGTTTCTTGTGGTGTTTCATTGTCTTCCTCACTCAGATCCAAACCCCCTAAAAGAGATGAAAAGGAGAGGAAAAGACGGAGCCCGTCCCCTAAACCCACCAAAGTGCACATTGGGAGGCTCACCAGGAACGTGACCAAGGTGAGGGTCCTGGAGCCAGGCGGGACCATGGGGTGTGCGGGGGTGCGGGGCTCGGCAGAGCTCTGGCTGACTCCCGAGTATTACACAGGCCTCGGAGGCTGATCGCAGGATGAAGTAATGGGTGGTTGAATGAGCTTTCTTTCCTCCAGGACCACATCATGGAGATATTTTCCACCTATGGGAAGATTAAAATGATTGACATGCCTGTGGACAGGATGCACCCCCACCTGTCCAAAGGCTACGCCTATGTGGAGTTTGAGAACCCGGACGAGGCCGAGAAGGCACTGAAGCACATGGACGGAGGTCGGTGGCCCTGCTGGCGCGCTCCGGCCTCTGAGCCCTCCTGGGAGCTCTGGGGTTCCAGTGCGGGTGTGCTTACCAGAAACATGTTTTTGTGGCACACTTGGTTTGGAAAAACATCCCACAATATGAGTGTATCAGCATTTTAGGGAACTTTCTGTTAAAAGCTTAAATATCAGACAGGCTATACAGATATGCTTGGCTTTTCTCATTCTTTTAAGATTTATTTATTTGAGAGACAGGCACAGAGAAAGAGCGAGGTCTCCCATGTGCTGTTTGACTCCTCAGCCACAGCAGCCAGGGCCGGGCCAGGACCCAGGGACTCCATCCTGGTCGCCCGTGGGGAAGCAGGGGCCCAAGTACTTGGCCACCATCTGCTGCTTTCCCGGGCGTGTTGGCAGAGAACTGGGTTGGAAGTGGAGCAGCCGAGACTGAACTGGCAACTGTGTGTGGGATGCTGGAGGTTGTAGGCTGTGGTTTCACAAACCTCTCCGCCATAGTCCAGCCCCTGTTGGGCTTTTTATTTCCTTTTCATTGCTTCTGAGTCATTTTTTTGTTTGCCAGTATTTTTAGGATTCCTTTGTTGAGTGGTAGGTTTGCTGAAATCACAAAACTTACTCTTAAATACTTGTGGCCTTCAGCTGCTTGTGATGTGTAGAGCTGTTTGTGTTGAGCAGAGTGTGTTGCTTGCTTTTTTTTTTTTTTTAAGATTTATTTATTTGAAAGAATTACACAGAGAAGGAGAGGTGCGGAGAGAGGTCTTCATCCTCTGGTTCACTCCCCAGTTGGCCACAACGGCCGGAGGTGGGCCCATGTGAAGCCAGGAGCTTTTTCCTGGTCTTCCCACGCAGGTGCAGGGGCCCAAGGATTTGGGCCATCTTCTGCTTTCTCAGGCCATAGAGAGCTGGATCAGAAGTGGAACGGCTGAGTCTTGAACCCTTATGGAGGGTGCCGGCACTGCGAGGGGTGGCTTTACCCGCTACACCACAGCACCGGCCCCGAGTGGAGTGTGTGTGTGTTTTTTTGTTTGGTTTGGTTTTTGTTTGTTTGTTTGACAGGCAGAGTGGACAGTGAGAGAGAGAGACAGAGAGAAAGGTCTTCCTTTGCTGTTGGTTCACCCTCCAATGGCTGCTGCAGCTGGCGTACCGCGCTGATCTGAAGCCAGGAGCCAGGTGCTTCTCCTGGTCTCCCATGCGGGTGCAGGACCCAAGCACTTGGGCCATCCTCCACTGCACTCCCGGGCCACAGCAGAGAGCTGGACAGGAAGAGTAGCGACTGGGACAGAACCGGCGCCCCGACCGGGACTAGAACCCAGTGTGCCAGCGCCGCAGGCGGAGGATTAGCCAAGTGAGCCGTGGCGCCGGCCCGGAGCGGTCTTCACAGCACATGAGTAGTTGTAGATGACCATTTTTGTGTTGCCTTTCAGTCGGCACGGTAAGGAATGCCGGGCTTGCCTCTGCCCAGCTTCCTGCTTGCTGTAGTCGGGCTGGGGCTGAGTTCGGCAGCCCACAGGGAGGAGACGGAACGCCTGAGTAGCTTCCCAGTTTCTGTGAAAAATCGCCTTTGGGTATTAAGTTCTCCCAGTACTTAGCCAGCTTCTCTTTCAGTTGACTTGAATCCCTCTGGAGTGTTCTGGGAACTCCGTGTGAACTGTGTCGCTCCCACCTGCTTCTGGCCTTGTGATTTGCCTCTTCGCTTCAGAGTCTGCAGTTGGCTGGCGTTTGAGACTGGGGAGGCTGGGGCTGTGTGTGCGTCCTCAGATGGAGTGGGTGCCCACTGCCTCCAGCAGGGGACTGGAGGAGGGTGGTCTTTGCTGTCGCTGCAGCCCTTGCCCTGGGGCTGGCTTGGCTGTGAGCCAGAGGCCGCCTAAGGCTGAGTTTGCTGAAGTTGGGCCTCTGAGTGCGCTGTGAACGCAAGTCCAGTTCCTGAGTTAGCCCGGGGCAGCACCTGGGGCGCGCGGCTGCCTCCATTCCCTTTGCCCTTTGTTCCCCTGGGTCCCCGGGGCCTCCGTCCTCCCTGCCTCCCTTCACTGCTTGCCCAGCACACTGCCCACACGTGGTGTCTCCGTGCTATCCCCATGCACCTCCCCCCTCTGATGCCACAGCCTCAGGGCTGCAGGAGCCTCCTAACAGGTGCTTCTCCGGGCCTCTCAATTCCCCACAGCACCTTCATGCCCTGCCAAGAAAGCCCCACTGAGCCCTGAGGCCCCGTGGTCGCCTGTCACTTCTCTCCCCAGGGCTGAGTCCCATCCCTGGGTGCTGGCCGAGCTGTGCCTGTACTTCTGAGGGGTCGTCAGCTAGGACGTGCGGACCCTGCGTCCCGTCCGCTGTGCCTCGCCTAGGGTAGGTGCGTGCTCGATGCTCTGACTCTGCCTTTGCTTCAACAGGACAGATCGATGGCCAGGAGATCACCGCTACTGCTGTGCTGGCCCCCTGGCCCCGGCCGCCCCCTCGGCGGTTCAGTCCTCCCAGGAGAATGCTCCCACCGCCTCCTATGTGGCGCCGGTCACCCCCGCGGATGCGGAGAAGGTAATTCCGTTCGGGCCACTTTGATTCTGTTTGATTGCGACCCTCGTGTGCCGCAGGGACTGGGGCCGTCCACTGCTGCAGTAGCAGAAAGCAGTCGCAGCCAGGACAGATGCTGTTCTCAGTCTGAGCAGTGGTGTGGCAGGACCTCCCCCGAAGACTTCCGGGTCCTGTGACCAGCTGTGGGCTGCTGCCTTTCTGAACTGAGAAGGGGGAGTCCCTGGGCAGAGGCCACGTCCCGCCTTCCTGGCCCTCCCTGAGAGCCCCGGGGAAGCGCAGAGAGCAGAGCTCCCGAGAGGGGGCGGCCCGCCCTGCAGCGCCTGTCCTGGGCTGCTGCCAGTCTGGCTTGTCTCCTCCTCCCACAGGTCTCGCTCCCCGAGGCGCAGGTCTCCCGTGCGCCGGAGATCCCGCTCTCCCGGCCGCCGCCGCCACAGGAGCCGCTCCAGCTCCAACTCCTCCCGATAAGCAGAGCCAGCGAAACTCGTGCCCTGTAACTTGTGTCCCATCCTCCTCAGTTTTGTCGCTTTCCTAGCCGGAAAAGGATCGGTAGGAAAGGGAATTCCTCACTCAGGCAGGCTCAGAGGCCGCAGTGGAGACGTCTCTGCAGGTCGTCTGGCTGCAGCCCTGCTGGTGTGGGGTTGTGCCCTCCAAAGTCACCCGTTCCTGGTTCCCAAGAGTCCCTTCGGCAGGGACGAGCGAGGCTCCTGGTACAACGCAGCTCCGCCTGGGAGTGCACTGACCCTCCCACAGGTGGCCTGGGCCAGGCCGTAGCCTGCTCACCCTTGCTGGGCACAGCTGTCCTACATCAGCTCCTGTTGGGCCGGAGGGTGGCCACGAGTGGCTCTGTCTCCCCATACTCATGCACGCCCTCCAGGTCCCGCGTGAGCCGAGAGCCCGCTCTGCAGGGTCGTCATGGAAACCCCCATTGGCACCTGCCACTCAGGGTGGGCCTGCTGGTTACCTTGGCAACGTGTACATTGCTCTTTCGGCTTTTAGTGTACAGTCAGTACTATCAAATTCCTGTTTTGAGTTTTGTAACTTTGTAGTGTTTTAGATACCTGTTGTGTTTGTGCTTTGTTGTGTAGATGGGAGAATTGTGTTGAATAAACCCAGGTTAGAACTCAGACTGGTCTGGTCTCACTGCCTCGCCCCTGCCCCTGGTCCCCACAGCAGCTTGCCCGGTGGCCTGTGGGGCCCGGGGTCCCGAGGGGGCGCCCAGGAGGAAGGGGTGTGTCCACGGCCGGCATCTGGGAGCTTCCTACTCCACCTGACCAGAGTTTGTGCACTGCGTCCACTTCAGAGATGGGTTTGCACCATGGGGAGGCACTGGAACTGCTGGAGTAGTGCTGGTGGCCAGCGCTGACCGGCCTAGCCCCCTCACCCTGCCTCAATGCATGGCCAGCGCTGACCGGCCTCGCCGCCCACTGCTCCCTCCTCGCCCCCTCGCCCTGCCTCGACACATGGCCAGTGCTGACCGGCCTCCCTGCCCACTGCTCCCTCTCGCCCTGCCTCGACGAGTGGCCAGCGCTGACTGGCCTAGCCCCCTCGCCCTGCCTCCACACATGGCCAGCGCTGACCGGCCTAGCCCCCTCGCCCTGCCTCCACACGTGGCCAGCGCTGACCGGCCTCCCTGCCCACTGCTCCCTCCTCACCCCCTCGCCCTGCCTCCACACGTGGCCAGTGCTGACCGGCCTCGCCGCCCACTGCTCCCTCCTCGCCCTGCCTCCACACGTGGCCAGTTCTGTTGTGCCCTTGCGGGGTTTCCAGAGAGTTGGAAGCAGCAGGTGGTGATGAGCAGTGCCACCGCGGCTCTGCGATAGCCTGCCCCCCTACCCCTGCCATGGACACGCTGGGTGGTCTGTTCTCAACCCCCAGGCCATGCTGCCCAGCAGACACCGGGCAGCCTCCCTCAGGCCTCCTGGGGTGTTTACAGCCCTGCAGGGCGCCCAGGGGCATCCCTGGCCAGTCCCCGCATGGTGGTCCTTCCCTAGGAGCGGGTGGACAAAGGGCCTACGCCCTGCACACCCCTCTTCCTCCTGGGGCTCCGCCTTACCGGGAAGGAGCTTGACCCCAAAGCCAGAGCCCCAGGCGGGGTCTCTGGGGAGGGGTTCAAGTCACTGGCGGCGGCCGGGGGCGGGGCTGCGGGAGGGAGGGGCGCCGAGCCCCGCCCCTGGGAGCGAGGCCGCACAGGGGCGCGAGACCCAGGCACGGTCCGGCCAAGATGGCGCTGGCGGCGGGGGCGCGCGGTCCCGTGCGCGCCCTGCTCCTCGCGGGTGCGTGGCCGGCGCCGGGGGGCGCGGGGCCGGGGGGCCGCGGGGCCGACGGCCGGGGCTGACGCGCCTCCCTCCGCGTTCGCAGGAGCCGGGCTGGCGCGCCGGGCGGCCGGCGGCGGCGGGGACGGCGCGCGGCGCTTCTCGAGCCAGCGGGTGCTGGTGGAGCCGGACCCGGCCGCAGGTGAGCGGGGCGCGCGGGGGCCCCAGGGTGCCGGCGGCTCGGTGTGGGGACGGGGGCGCGGCGGACGTGGGAGGGACGCCGAGGCGGGGGCGGGGAGCCGCTGTTCCGACTCCTCGGGCGGCCCGCCCCGGCCCTGCGCCAGGCCGCGAGCGCCCGGGTCGTGGGGCGGATTCGAGCGTGTGCGCGCGTCAGGCAGACGTGGGAGCGTGCGTGATGCAGAAGCCGCGTCTGTGGCCGAGATGGAGTCGGCTGAATTCCGCTTCCTGCGAGGCGCCCTCGGCGGGACCCCGCCCCGGAATGGCCGAAGTGCGGTGGCAGTGGCGGCTTCCGGGGCTCACGGGCAGGGGGCAGGCGGGCCGGGGGCAGCTCCAGGCGGGGGCGAAGCGTGGAGAGACCTGTTTCCTGCCCTGAAGCCGGTTTTCGGTTCTGCTCGGCTATGTCCTTGAAAGAACAGTGCGTCCTGCTCAGGTTCACCTCTAACCTCGTGACCTTTGCCCCGGTGTGCCCCCTTCTGCCACTGCCCGGTCAGCTTCCGAGCCAGGTCAGGGAGCTTGCTTCCGGGACTTCAGCAGTTGTTAAATACACGCGAGCGAGAGAACTGGCTCCATGTCCCAAATGCCGGCAGCAGCCAGGACTGGGCTGGGGGCTGAAGCCCCACGAGTGACAGGGACCCCACTCTCAGAGCCCCCAGCTCTGCCTGCGCAGGCGGTGAGCCCAGCCCCTCCGCATGAGAGGCAGGCCTCCTTCGCTCCAGGCCCATTGCTTTCCTGAGGCGTCTGCCCTGGGTGCACCTGTAGCCAGGTGCCAGTCTGCCCGTTTGCCGTCAAGTACCAGCTCTCGTTCCCAGGGGAGGGTGTGTGGAGCAGGCAGAGACCGCTGGGCCCGGGCAAGGCCACGGGGCCCACCCGGGCAGGCGTCTCCGAGGCTGCACGGCGGGCCAGGCGTTGAAGGCTGTTGGTCTGCAGTCAGCGAGCTGAGCCATATTCACCACCAGGGTTGGGCCTTGCACGGTCTTTTTGTCTGAGATTTCTCTCCTGAAGAAATAAGACCAGTGCCTACTCCCACGAGGACACAGGACTTGGGACTCAAGGGAAGGACAGGGGAGAACTGACCGTGTCGACAAGGACAGAGTGACGCGGACGGGGACTGTGGGGACACTGCCAGCTGTCCCTTCAGAAGAGGCGGAATCCTCGGCTGAGCCCGTGTGCTCGGGCTCGGGGTGGACGGTGGAGAGGGCTCCATCAGGCCAAGGACGGGCTTTCACTCCTAACGAACAGAACTGGCGGCAGGCAGCTGCCTCTGCGGGGCAGCCGGTCAAGGCCAGGCTGGGTGTCCAGCGGGTGGGCGGCTTGGCAGGAGGCCTGCAGGTGCGGGAGACCCGCAGCCGATGTCCTCGGCCACGGGGTCTGAGCAAACCCTCTGCAGGGCTGCTTGGCTCCTGTTGAGGACGGTGCCCGCCCTGGTGCCCGGGGCTGCTGGCAAGCATCACAGCCCACGGTAGGGCTCCCTCCCGGCCTCCTCCGGCTCCTGGTGGCTTCTTACCTGTCCTTCACCTCGGGTAAGGACTCCAGGCATCATGGATCCCGGGCCACCTCACTTAGCCACAGGGGTTCGCCTGCTTCATGCACACCTCCCCCCGCCCCCTTTCCCATTTTGTTTGAGTGACAGATCTGTCTGGGGGGTGGGGGAAGCCAAGAGCTGGAACCCCGTCTGGTTCTCCCACACGGATGGTGGGAGGCTGGGGACTTGGGCCACCACGGCCACCTTCCAGGACGTGCGTTAGCAGGAATCTGGATCCAAAGCAGAGGTGGGACTCAAACCAGGCACCCTGAGATGCAGGGTCCCGGCCCCAAGCAGCACCTGAACCATTGCAACCGATGCCTGCTGCTGATTGACAGGACCCTGTTTCCTAAGAAGGGGCGGGGCGGGGCTTCGGCCCTGGTCTGTCCTGGGCTCTGGCAGCCTCTGGGTTTTCTGTCTTGTCCCTCCGTCCACCGCCGCCATGGTTCCTGACTTCGCCTGGCCCTCAGCACGCTGGGTTCCGGGGGACGCAGGCTCCCGTTGCCTGCTGTTTGTTTTTCTCAGGGGTCAGCGCCTCGGGCCACCTCTGGTTTCTGTAATGACGCAGGGCACCCGTTTCTTTGTGCCGGTGGCCTTGGCTTCTGTCAGGCCCTGGGGCAAGGACCAGCAGGTGCTCTGATGGCGCTGGGGGCGTGGCTGAACTTTGGCCTGATTCTCTGCTGCTGAGGGCTTGGCGGGCGCTGGGTGAGGAGGGTGAGGAAGGTGAGGAAGCCGCGGAGCCTGTGGGATGTCCTGTGGGATGTCGTTTGGCTGATTCTGTGACTTACTCTGACGCTTTGTTGTGTGCTCACTGGGAGGGGAGAGGAGCCTGCTTTTCAGCATTAACAAGAGCTGGCCTGTTTTAACCCCAAACCCGATCATTCCTGCCTGCCTCTGCGGGGGCGGGTGACGCACTGGACCCACCCCCACCCCCATCCCCACCCCCACCCCCAGGTCAGCCATGCACTGGTCCCCATCCCCACCCACAGGTCATCCACACGCTGGTCCCCACACCCACCCCAGGTCAGCCACACGCTGGTCCCCACCCCCACCCCCAGGTCAGCCACACGCTGGTCCCCATCCCCCCACCCCCACCCCCAGGTCAGCCACGCACTGGTCCCCACCCCCAGGTCAGCCACACACTGGTCCCCACCCCCCAGGTCAGCCATGCACTGGTCCCCACCCCCCAGGTCAGCCACACGCTGGTCCCCACCCCCAGAGTCCGCAGCGGCTTCCGCCCCGTCTCCCGGCTCTCCTTGGCAGTGTCTTGCCTTCCCAAAGATCTCCGAGGAGACAGGTGCTGTGGGGCAGGACGCGGAGCCTTGGGCTGCAGGCGGGCTCCCGTGAGGATGGGCTGGAAGCAGCCTGAGGCCCAGGGCCAGCCAGGGCCACGCCTGCCGCGGCTGCAGGGCCTGCACGCGCGCTGGGGTGAGGGGCGAGGCAGGCTCTCCGAGTGGCACCTACAGGGTCTGGGCCCTTGTGAGGCCTTGTGGGTGCGGCCCCCAGCATTGTGGTGCAGCCGGTTAAGCCACCATCTGGGGGCGCCAGCATCCCGCGTGAGCGCTGGTTGGAGCCTCGGCTGCTCCACTTTGCATCCAGCTTCCGCTGATGGGCCTGGGAAGGCAGAGCAGGTGGCCCAGGGCGTGGGCTCCTGCCATCCACGTGGGAGGCCGGATTGAGCTCCTGGTTTTGTGTTTTTGTGTCGTGTGTTTGATTTTTTAAGAAATATTTGAGGGCCCGGCGCTGTGGTGTAGCGGGTAAAGCCGCTGCCTGCAGTGCTGGCATCCCATATGGGCACCGGTTCGAGTCCCGGCTGCTTCTCTTCCTATCCAGCTCTCTGCTGTGGCCTGGGAAAGCAGTAGAAGATGGCCCAGGTCCTTGGGACCCTGCACTCACGTGGGAGACCCGGAAGAGGCTCCTGGCTCCTGGCTTCGGATCAGCGCAGCTCGGCCGTTGCGGCCAGTTGAGGAGTGAACCAGCAAAATGGAAGACCTCTGTCTGTCTGTCTGTCTGTCTCCCTCTCTCTGGCTCTCTGTTAACTCTGCCTTTCAAATAAATAAATAAAAAAATTTTTTGACAGGCAGAGTGGACAGTGAGAGAGAGAGACAGAGAGAAAGGTCTTTCTTTTTCCATTGGTTCACCCTCCAATGGCCGCTGCGGCTGGCGCACCGCGCTGATCCAAAGCCAGGAGCCAGGTGCTTCCTCCTGGTCTCCCATGGGGTGCAGGGCCCAAGCACCTGGGCCATCCTCCACTGCACTCCCTGGACACAGCAGAGAGCTGGACAGGAAGAGGAGCGACCGGGACAGAATCTGGCACCCTGACAGGGACTAGAACCCAGTGTGCTGGTGCCGCAGGCAGAGGATTAGCCTAGTGAACCACGGCGCCGGCCTAAATAAATATTTTTTTAAAAATGTATTTGAAAGGCAGAGTTACAAAGAGGAAGAGACAGAGAGAGATCTTCCATCTTCTGGTTCACTCCTCAAGTGGCCAAAATGGCTAGAGCTGGGACAGACAGGAGCTTTCTCCAGGTCTCCCATGCGGGTGCAGGGGCCCAAGCACTCGGGCCATCTGCTGCTGCTTTCCCAGGCCATCTCAGGAAGCTGGGTCAGAAGGGGAGCAGCCAGGACTCGAACCTGCACCCACATGGGATGCCAGCACCGCAGGCAGTGGCTCTACCGGCTGCGCCACAGCAGCGGCCCGTGTGTGTTTGTTTCTGAACGGGGCAAGTGGTTGGCCTTGCGTGTCAGCTGTTGGGACCCCGCGTCCCTCACCAGAGTGCCTGCGTCCGGAGCCCAGCCGCAGCGGTGACGGCCCGGCTGGAGCGGTTGGATTCAGCTGCCAGCTGCGGCCCGATCAAGTCCCGGCTGTTACGGGCGAGTGGGGAGGAGCAGGTGCCGGCGGCCTCGTGTCCGTGTCTCCCTCGTCACAGCAGGACAGTGTGTGTGCGTGTTCACACGCCGTCCCCGTGCTGTGAGGCGGGGGCAGAGGGGCTGCCTGAGGGCCCTCACATCCCGAGGGCGCTTACTGCAGGGACCTCGCAGCCAGGGCCGGCGCCCGGGACGTCAGCGTCCCACGGCAGAGCGCCCGTGCGAGGAGCACACAGAGCTGCTCCGTGCCTGGCAAGGCGGCAGGCGTGGCCCCCGCACCCACGTGGGAGACCAGGCTGGGGCTCCTGGCTCCCGGCATCGGCCTGGCCCGGCCCCGGCCTGGCAGTCGGGTGGGGAGTGTGCCGGTGGTGGAAGAGCCGCCTCGCTGTCTGTCCCTCCCGCTCCTGTGCTGGGTGTGAGCCTCCTTCCTCGCGCTTCCACTTAGGGGTCGCCGTGATGAGATTCAAGAACCCCCCCGTGAACAGCCTCAGCCTGCAGTTCCTGACGGAGTTCGTCATCAGCCTGGAGAAGCTGGAGAATGACAAGGGCTTCCGGGGCGTCGTCCTCACCTCGGTGGGTGCCCGGGCCCAGAGCACAGTGCGAGCCTGTCCCCACGCTGCCGTCACCCAGGGGCGCGCCGTGCCACCGTGCCCGAGGCACACCTGTCCCCAGGCCACGCCCCCACCTCTGGTGGCCGTGGTGTCCCTCACAAGCACACTGTCCCGCCGTGCGGCCTCCCTGATGACCTTCAGAGGCCCTGTGTGCACGCGAGGGCAGGCTCATGGCGCTCGCCTGGCCCACAGCCCTGCTCTGGCCCGGTTCCTGCTTTGCCCTGCTGTCCTCTAGAGCTGGGATGTGGGGGCTTCTGCAGCCGACGCGTGGCGCGAGGAGGTCCCTGGTCTGTGTTCCCAAAGGGCCGGGCTGCCGGAACGGCGCGGCGAAGTTCAGCACGAGAGTCAGTGCGGGCATGGGATGGCCGGCGCCGTGTCCCGCCGGCAGCCGCTGGATTTGGAGTGACTGCTGCTCCCCCCTCCACTGGGTGTTTTTAAGTCACAGAGCAGAGAGGGAGCCCGTCAGGACGGGGAGTGGACAGCGGTGCCCCCGTCCCCTGTCCCACACACGGGGAGCCCGCACAGCACACAGAGGGAACAGGGCCTTTGCCGCCTGCCCAGGGCCCGTGGCGGCCTGCAGGACCCACCTGCGGGCTTTCCGCATGGCGGCCATGAGCCGTCTCGGCTGTGTCCTGGGAGTTTGTGCTGACCCCTGGTGAGCATCACCGTCCTGGTGGAACCCTTTGCCTGCCCGCTGCTCCCTCAGCGTCCCTGGGAGCCGTGTTGGACCGGCGTCCTCGCAGCGTGCCCACCGCTCCTGGCCTGCACGGCCTGCAGCTTGCCTGAGCCTTTGGGCAGTCGGACCCCGTGGCTGGCTGTGCCAGGCGTGCCCGCTGCACCTGCGCTTGCTGCCTGGGTGTGCTCAGGTGCGCAGAGCGGCTGCAGGCATCCCGGAGCAGCACCTGTTCTCTTCCCCGGCTTGGCTGGAGAGTGTTCTGGGAAGTCTAGGGAGACTGGGGCCCCAGCTTTGGGCTCCTGGGGGAGCACCTGTCACTCTGGGGCCCTGGCCCTAATCCTGCTGTCCCCTGTGCACCGTGGGCTCCCTTGGCCCTAGTGGGGCGAGGCCAGCCAGGAGGTGGGCCCTGACGGGTGCCTGACCCGGGCCACGCCCCTAGGACTGCCCCAGCGTCTTCTCGGCTGGCCTGGACCTGACGGAGATGTGCGGGAGGAACCCTGCCCACTACGCCGAGTACTGGAAGGCCGTGCAGGAGCTGTGGCTGCGGCTCTACCTGTCTAACCTGGTGCTGGTTGCCGCCATCAACGTGAGTCCCCTCCCTGGGTGTTCTCCGTAGCTCACTGGGAGACCGCCCTGGTGGGTGGGGGGCGTGATTCTGCCCTGGGAAGGTCCCCAAGGGATGGGGGTGTTCAGGGGCACTGCTGACGAGCACGGCGGGTGGGAGCGGGCCCCGGGGTCTCGGGGACAGGGAGCGGGCGGGCAGTGGGTGCACGCTTTGGAAGCCTCGCTGTGGCCAGGCAGGAGGCAGGAGGAAGCAGGGCTGCCTGGGCCCGCCCCGCCCCGCCCCCTCCCCTCGGGCTGGTGCGGGCGCAGGCCCCGCAGAGCAGGCCGCTCCTCCTGCAGGGAGCCTGCCCGGCTGGAGGCTGCCTGATGGCCCTCACCTGCGACTACCGCGTCATGGCGGACAACCCCAAGTACACCATCGGGCTGAATGAGACGCAGCTGGGCATCGTCGCCCCCTTCTGGTAAGGCTGGCCGCGCTGGTGCCACGGGCCCCCGGGCTGCACTGACCCTCCGGGGAGCCCAGGGCCCAGGTGAGCCTGTGTGTGTGTGTGTCCCAGGTTCAAAGACACCCTCGTGAACACCGTCGGGCACCGGGTCGCAGAGCAGGCCCTGCAGCTGGGGCTGCTGTTCCCGCCGGCGGAGGCCCTCAGGGTGGGCCTGGTGGACCGCGTGGTGCCCGAGGACCAGGTGCAGAGCACGGCGCTCTCGGTGATGGCCCAGTGGATGGCCATTCCAGGTGAGGGGCAGCCGCGGGTCCCCAGCAGAGGGAGACGGCCCAGGACTGTCCCCAACCCCGGGCCACCAAGCGGGCAGCTTCCAGGCACAGAAGCTGGGTCTCACAGCTGCGGCGGCCACGGCTCCAAAGGCGAGCTGTGGACACGCCTCTGCCCGCCCCAGGCCTGCCTCTGTCCCTGTGTGTCTCTCCCTCCCCCTTCCCGTAGAAGCGCCTGCTGGTGCATTTCGGGTGATGGTCTCCACCTGTTTGCCCTGTAGAGACTTTGTCCAAACGGAGCCACACTGACCGGGTCTAGACAGGCGGTCAGGGGATGCACACGTGCTTGGAGGACGCGCTGCACCTCAGCCGGCCGCAGAGACGGCCGGGGAGCTGCGTGTCTGGCAGTAGAAGCCGGGCAGGTCAGATGGACAAAGACCACAAACCTGTCCGGAAAGAGCCGGATGGAGCCGTGCGGGGCGCAGATCAGGCGCCGAAACGCGCGGGTGCCCGCAGGCTTTACGGGAGTGGAGACGGGGCTTTCACAGAATTTCTTCATGTCGTAACAAAGATGGCTTATTTGAAAGGCAGAGAGAATCTTCCACCCACTGATTCGCTCCCCACATGGCCAGAGTAGCCAGGGCTGGCCCCAGGCGGCGCCAGGAGCTCGGTCCTGGTCTCCCAGGGGGGTGCGGCAGCAGAGAATGGCATGGGAAGTGGAGCAGCGGACTGGGCCGGCCCTGCAGAGACGCCCGCGGGGCGCAGCCTGGGCCCCTGGCTCCTGCAGCTGGACAAATGCTGCTTGCTTGCTGCCCTTAGCTCTCAAGGGGCCGGGGCCAGGGCACAGCGGGCAAAGCCACCGTCTGCAGCTCTGCCATCCTGTACGGGCGCCAGTTCAAGTCCCGGCTGCTCCACTTCCAATCCAGCTCCCTGCTGTGGCCTGGGAAGGCAGCAGAGGACGGCCAAGCGCTGGGGCCCTGCACCCACGTGGGGGACCCGGAGTGACCTGGTTTCAGCCTGGCCGAGCTCCGGCCGTTGCAGCCATGTGGGGAGTCAACCAGCAGATGGAAGACCTCTCCCTCTCTCTTTCAAATAAACAAACATTTAAAAAAAATTAGAAGGAATGCTGTCAATAACATGATTCCATAGAAACAGGATTAAAAAGCGGTGTCTATAAGTAGCCTGTTTGTGGAGGCAGTGGGAGGCGGTGGGTCAGCTGACTGTGCCTGTCTCCTGGTGGCTGTCCTGGGCTTCCACGCTGCCCCCAGAGTGTGGACGGGGCGGGCCCCCCATCTGGCTGGGACCCAGGTGGACCCTCTTTCTTTAGAGCACGCGCGGCAGCTGACCAAGAGGCTGATGCGCAAGGCCACGGCGGACCACCTGCTCCGGCAGCGCGACGCCGACGTCCAGAACTTCGTCAGCTTCGTGTCCCGAGACTCCATCCAGAAGTCGCTGCAAGCCTACTTGAAGAGGCTCAGACAGAAGAAGGGCTGAGGCTGCCCTGGCCCCGAGCCGGCGCCTGGCCCCGAGGTTTTAAACAAGGTGGCTTTCAGTGTAAGATGCCTCCAGTCCTTTATTTTGTTGACCTTGGCTAAGAGTCTCTGTTCCCTGTAGCCCAGCACCCCCCAACCCCACCACCCAGGGGAGGGCAGCGTCGGCTGGACCTCGGCGATGTTGCCACTGTGGGGTGGACAGGGCCCGGATACGAGTACCCGAGGGTCCCGCGGGAGTGGGCGAGCACAGCCCAGGAAGCTGGCCTGGGGCGTCGGCCCCCCGCTGTGCTGGCCGCACTTGGCTCACTTACACCTGTGTAAGGAGGGCCGGCAGGCGGCCTCCCCCGGCCCTGGGACAGGAGACGTCCTTGAGGGGCTGGGCTGCACGAAGGCTGTGCCCTGGAGGGGCCGGCCCTGAGAAAGGACACACAGGCCTGGAGCTGACCCGGCCGCAGCTGGCTTGTGTACTGAGCACCGCCGAGGGCCCCTCGCTGGCCCACACCCAGCTGGCCCTGCCCCACAGCCTCACCGGGGCCCCTTCCTCTTGGCCTGAGTCTGCAGGTGGCCTGCCCCGGCCAGGCCTGCTGTCAGCGGGACTTGAGGGTCACCTCCACAGGAAAGTGGTCGCTGATGGCCAGAGCCTGGAGGGCAGGGAGGGGTTGGCGCCTCAGGGACTGTGGCAAGGCAGTCTGCCCTCCCCTGTGGCCCTGCCTGGGAAAGCCGGGGCCCACAGAGGGACCAGCCCCTGGGGGTCTGTGGCCACGAGCAGGAGTGGAGGGTGGGGGGAGGCCAGGTGAGCCCGGGGGCCCCTCCTGCATGCCTGCCCCGCGGGACATACCTGGGTCTGGTCCAGGCCGAATTCCTCTTGGAAGTCGTGCACGGTGGCCGATTGGGGCTTCAGGCTCCTGCGCAGGCGGGCGCCGCAGGCCACGATGCGGTCGTAGGCGCAGTCCGAGTTGCCCACGGTGGTGTCCGCGCTGTCCGGGATGAGCCACTTGAAGACCTCGCTGCTGCGCAGGCGGATGGAGGCCCAGTCCTGCGCCCGCACGTAGCTGCAGTCGGCGTTGAAGTCGCCCAGAAACAGCATGTCCTGCGGGCACCGGCTCTGAGTCTGCCACCCGGCAGGGCTCAGGCCCCCAGGGCGTGCCCACAGAGCCCGGGACTGAGGGACGGGGGGCTTACGTCCGAGCCCCACTTGTCAATCACGTCCAGGTACACGTCGTAGAGGGCGTCGATCTCGGCCACGGCCTGGTGCGGGGCGGCGTGCAGCGGGATCAGCACCAGCTCCCGGGCAGCTGCGGGGTGCAGGGTGGGCACGTCAGCCTTGACGCCGGGGTCTGGGGGCAGGGACCTGGGGGCAGAGCCAGCCTCACCGGAGCCAGGGGCCGAGAACTTGACCACGAAAGGCTCTCGGCTGAAGGCGTCCTCCGGGTCTGGGTACTGGTACGTGTCCACCACGGACACCGCGTCCTTCCTGGGAGCAGAGGAGGGTGTCGCGCTGACCGACCCCTCCAGCCCAGCCCCCTGCCCGCGGCCCCTCACCTGTAGACAAACAGGTACATCTCCTTGTACTGGTCCCGGCCCAGCGGCTTGCTGCTCACAAAGCCGTACTCATGCTTGGACACGCTGCCGAGACACGGGCCAGGCCCCGTCAGGGCACCGAGCCGAGACCTGGGCACCTGGGCGGGGGGCGCGACGCGGGGCCCTGCCCGCCGCACCTGTGGATCTGCTCCATGAGCGCGGACACGGCACTCAGGTCCGGGTCCCGCACCTCCTGCACCAGGGCCACGTCATACCCAGCCAGGATCTGGGGGAGGAGCCGGCAGGTGCGGGGTTACACACGGTCACAACCCGCCCGCCCGCCCGCGGATCCCAGCTGCATCCTCATCCCGTCCCGAAACCCCACCCGCCGCCTCCGGCCTCACCTGGGCGATGACACTGCCGCAGGCCGGGTCCGACACTTTGCTGTCGCCAAAACTCTGGATGTTGAAGGCTCCGATGCGCAGAGCCGTGGCCCCGACGGCTGCCAGCGCCCAGAGCAAGGCCAGCAGGGCCCGGGGCCCGGCCATGGCCTGGAGCAGAACGGCTGGGAGGGACGCGGCTCAGTGGGCTCCGGCCACCCTGTCCCCGCTGGCAGCCAGAAGGCGCGTCCTCCCTGCACTCCCGGGAGAGGTGCCCAGGGCCCTCTGCCCCCCTCACTGCTGGGAGCCAGGGCCCCAGGGGAAGGACCCTGTTTGTCTTCTTCCCAGCCCAAGCCAGCCCTGCGGGACTCACCTGGTTTGCTGATGAGGTGGTGCCCGAGGCTCAGGGCTCCTGGTCCCAGTGGGAGTCAGGCTTCTTGTCCGGGGCCTGTGTGTGGCGTAGCAGCTGTGGCATCAGAGCCCAGCTGGTATTTGAGGCCTTGGCCCTGGCACAGGGAGGGGCCAGCTGCCCTCGGTCCCACCCCTTCCATCAAGATGGTGCCGGGATTCCCGGCCCCCATTCCCAGGGAGAGCCCCAAGGGCAGGAGACAGTCTGTCCTGAGCCAGCTCTGGTGCCCTGAGCCTGGAGTAGGGGGTCCGCCATGCCCACAGGCCCTGTCCTCCCCACCCGCCAGGGCCCGCTCCTTGAGGTGGGTCCCCTCCAGGGGACAAGGCAGAGGAATCCGGGAAGCCAGCATCTGCCGCGCTGCCCCCACACCGGTGCCCACCACTGAGAACGCGCACGTAGACGCTGAGGCTGGGAGCTCCCGGCCACGGCAGCCCCAGGACCCTTTCCACCCAGCCCGGCAGGCCCGGGGAAGCCGGGGGTCACAGCTCGGGCAGGGCAGCACAGGCTGCCTGTCGGCATGCCAGCGACGCCCACACACCACCGAGGCGCCGCCAGGGCTGGCGGGAGGCCCGGGGCAGAGTGGCCCAGGCAGGCAGGTGCTGCCGGCCCCAAGGCAGCCACTGCAGTAACATCACAGGCCGCAAGGTTTCACATTTTATTGTAAAGCAACAGAAAAACTATTTACACTGCTCCACTGTGCCCAGGAGCCTGGCCTCTGGGCTGTCTTCTCTGCACTGGGCCGGGCAGGCGCGGACAGCTCAGGGCCCACCCCAGGCCCAGCTTGGGAGGTGCAGCCCCAGGCTAGACGGTGACCGTCTGCACCTCAGGGCCCACCCCAGGCCCAGCTCGGGAGGCACAGCCCCAGGCTAGACGGCTCCCGTCTGCACCTCAGGGCCCACCCCAGGCCCAGCTCGGGAGGCGCAGCCCAGGCTAGACGGTGACCATCTGCACCTCAGGGCCCACCCCAGGCCCAGCTCGGGAGGCGCAGCCCAGGCTAGACGGTGACCGTCTGCACCTCAGGGCCCACCCCAGGTCCAGCTCTCGGGAGGCGCAGCCCCAGGCTACACGATGACCGTCTGCACCTCGAGCTGGCCCTCTGGCGAGGCGATGACCAACTCGCCGCCGTGCTCCAGGATCTCGATGTCCTCCGAGGACACCATGGTCACAGTAGCCTGTTCTGAGCCGCCTGCGCCCGTGCGGGCTGCAAGCACCGTGCCCTCGCTGATGGCCGAAGCCAGCGTCATGGCCACCTGTTCCGTCAGGCTCTCGGGGGTGGCGATGGTGATGGTGTCTGCCGCAGCCGCCTCGGGACCCAGCGCCGCCTCCTGGTCCATGGTCACGTTCTGCACAATGATCTGGTGCCCGGCGCTGGCCTGGTGCACGATCTGCTGCACCACTTTCATGATGTGGCTGTCCACCTGCAGGGGCCCAGCTCAGTGAGGGGCTGCCCGGGAGCCCAGCCGCCCCCGCCCCGCCCCACCCTGCCCCGCACCTCCGTCTGGGTGCCCTCGATGATCTCCGTGGCTTCACTGGTCTCTGCGTCCCCTGCGGTGGCCTGCGCGGAGGCAGAGTTCAGCCGGGGCTGCCCCAAGCCCCGCCGGCCCCTCCGGCCCCACACCCACCTCAATGATGTACTCCTGGGTGTCGGCCACCACGGAGGAGAACTCCACCAGCACGGTGTGCGGGTCCTCGGCCAGGACGGCGGCGGCGGCGGCGGGGCTCTCCTCCGACACCAGCAGCTCCTCCACCTCCAGCAGGCAGCCCCCTGCGCGGGCGCTCGGTCAGGGCTCGGCAGCGCCCGGCCCTCCTCCTCGCCCTCCCCGCCGCCGCCTGGCGCCCCAACCTTTGGTGCGCAGGTGCCGGTTGAGCGTGCCGTGCTCGGCAAAGCCGCGGCCGCACTTGTAGCACTTGAAGGGCTTCTCGCCCGTGTGGTGCCGCACGTGCCGCACCAGAGAGCCCTTCTCCCGGAAGCCGCGGCTGCAGAACTGGCACACGTGCGGCTTCTCCTCCAGGTGTGTCCGGAAGTGCACCTGCTGCGCATTCTGTGGAGACCCAGTCAGTGCGGGCGGCCGGGGGACACGGGGGCTCGAGGGTGGGGGCTGGGCAGCAAGGTCAGAGGCCAGACGCCCACCTTGGTCTTGTAGCGCTTGCCGCACTCGGGACAAGGGTAGGGCCGCTCATCCGAGTGGACGCGCCGGTGGCCGCGCACGTGGGCGATGGTCTTGTACAGCTTCCCACAGTCCCCGCAGCGGAAGCGGCGCTCGTGCACGTGCACCTCCTGGTGCTTCTTGAGCAGGTAGGCCTTGGGGAAGGCCTTGCCACACTGCATGCAGGTGAACGGCCTTGGCCCTGGGGCCACATGTGCCATCAGCCGGGCCTGTCACCCACAGGTCTGCCCCGCCGCCCCGAGCCCACCTGGTCACCTGTAGGCCGCCCACTGCCCGGGGCCTCCACCCACCTGCATGGCCCCTTTTGTGGGCTTCCAGGGTGGCTGCCGTCGGGAAGGTCTCACTGCACTGAGGGCACGGGTGGGTCTTGGGCACAGCTGAGGCCTCGCTGGCCACCTGCTTGGGGAGCACAGGCAGGCCTGCAGCACCCAGTGCAGGCTGCACCATGGGCCCCTGCATCTCTGCTCCATCATGTCAGGGATACAGAGCAGTGGACAGAGCGGCTGGTGGCCCAGGCCAGCGTGGTGACCAGGCCGCCACGGTCCAGCCCCACCCCCACCCCACCCCGAGTCCCACCGCGGCCGGAAGAACACAGGCACCTACTGTCCCTACTGTCTCCATCTGCTCCACCGCCAGCAGCGGCAGTTCCGAGGGGCCGTCTCCCAGGGGCTGTGGACTGGGCCTGGCGGGAGGGGCTGGGTCCAAGGGCCCCTCCTCCCCAGCGACCCGCTCGAGGACAATGCCCGAGTTCTGCATGGCCTGGTGCAGCAGGTTCTCCCGGCTGCCCTCGCCGGGACCAGGAAGCTCCTCAGGGCCCGGGGGCTGCAGGAGAGAAGGGGCAGGGGCTGGCCAGGCAGCCTGGCCCACAGCACCCCCACAAGGCAGACCCATGCCAGGCACGAGCCCCCTGGAGCCCCTCAGCCCCTGGGTGGAACCCAGCCGAGGCCTGCCCCTCCCCCGCTCCCGGCAGCTCTTCAGCGAGCTTCCCCCAGGACAACGACACGAGTGCGGCGTCTCGTGGTCCTGCTGGAACCAGTGCCCGACCAAGGCCTGGCGCCTCCCCTGGAGGGTTCCCGGCCTGCCCCCACCTCTGGGCCCAAGGCCTTCATGCCCAAGGGCAGCTCCTGCATCTGGACGTGGACTTCGTGGATGACGGTGCCCTTGGCATCTGTCACCAGATGGATCACGGGCGACGTCTCCACAGGCTCCTCCGTCACTGAGGACGGTGCAGCCGTCCCCACGGTGGAGGTGCTGGACCCTGCAAGGCAGAGCTGAGTGAGGCCCGGCGCGCGGCCCCACTGCACGCGGGAGCCCCGCGGCCGCCCCCGCGCTGACCTGCAGGCGCGTCCTCCTTGCTGACCATGCTGAAGCGGATCTTTTCCGTGCACGGGGTCAGAGACTTGAGGTGCCGGGTCAGTGCACCCGACTCCCGGAAGCTCTTCCCGCACTTAGCACACTTGTAGGGGCGCTCATCTGTGCAGGGAACGGCCAGGTGACCAGCGGAAGGCAGGCCTGGGGGCCTCTACCTCACGGGGGCACGGGACAGGCGGCCAGCCGGCAGGGCGCTGGGCGGTGCTGGCCCGGGCCCCAGCCCGTTCACCTGTGTGGCGGCGGTGGTGCCGGATGAGCGAGCCCTTGGTCCGGAAGGAGGCCCCGCAGAGCTTGCACTCGTGGTCCTTGCGGCTGCTGTGGGTGACCATGTGGGCCTTGAGGATGCTGCCCTGCGGGGGAGGGGCAAGGCTCAGGGCACCTCCCTGGCGGGAGCAGGCGGGGCCCAGCTGGCCCACGGCCCAGGGCTCACCGTCTTGAAGGTCTTGTGGCACAGCATGCACACGTAGCGGCCGTCCTTGTCCACCAGCAGCCTGACCTGGGCCTGCTCGCCCTCCCCAGCAAGACTCAGCTCCCGACGGCTCGGGCTGCCCGGGGCCTCTGCCATCGCGCTGTCCCCTGGCTCCGCCTCGGCAGCCACAATCACCTCTTTGATGTGCCCGCCACCTGAGGAGAGGCGTCCCCGTGAGCCCGGATCTGCCAGGGAGACCTGGGTCCTCTGCAGCTCCGGCCAAGGCCAGGATGCGTCTGGCACTCGCTAGCTGCCAGGAGGCCCCAAGGGACAGCCAGGACCTGCTCAGCCTCTCCACACCCCACTAGAAAGGGAGGGAGACACCCCTTGCGACTCCATGGAGCCAGGGCCCCCAGAATGAACGCAGTAGGGGCCCACCCCGAGCAGACACCCGGCCCCTGGGTACCAAGGGGACAGGAGGGTCGAGGTGACAGTGCCCAGGCACAGACGGGACAGGCCAGCTCAGCCCACTGCCGTCTAGCCGGCTCGCTGCACTCACTTCCACCAGTGCCAGAGAAAAGCCCCGTGCTCGCCCACCGGCTGGGCGCCAGGGAGTGGGCAGGCGAGCAGGCTACAGATGCAGGCCTGGGCGTGGACGCCCTCCATGGAAGACACGAGGCTGTGGCCTCCCCCAGGGCGTTCTGATCTGACACGCACAGCGACGCCGTAGCACCAGTCACGCTTTCTGCTGTTAACGATGCCAAGTGGGAAACAGCTGGGAAGCCGCTTGGCCGCGCCCTCCCGGCTCAGCCGCGTTGTTTTGACATCCACGCTCCTCACACAGAGGAGAGCAGCCGTGACTCAGAAGCAATTAAGGCCTCTCTGGGCTGTGCTGGCCGCCACACGCGACACCCCAGGAGGGAGACCTGCTGCAGGGGGCAGGGGCCAGGGTACGCGGCCCAGACAGCAAACAAGTCTGTCTCCAGGGAAGAGGCAAGAGGGCCTCGAGGTCGGTGCCCGGCTGCCCCTCTGACCAGCCGTGCCGAGCTTGCCACAGCCACCGCCCCGCTCTGAGCACACCAGGCAGCACAGGTAGCAGCCTTGAGCCGGCCAGCTGGCCCGGAACGGACTTGGGGCGCCAGAGAGGAACCCTGCATCCCAGGAGGGGCTGGGAGCTCCCGGACATCGGGGATGGGCCCCCGGGGCCTGGCTGGCCAGAGGGTGGGAGCTACAGATGCTGCCAGGACCCAGGGAACTCACTGTCCTAAACACGCTACTTGCCCCAGAAACCACATGCCACATGTTGGCCAGGGCACAGGCCCCACCTCCACGGACAACACTCCTGTCCCTGGGACAGGCGGCACAGGTGCCTGCACACAGCACCCCTTCCCAAGCCCAGGGCTGGCCTCCACCCCCTCTTCCTGCCCAGTCACTCCCAGGCCTTCCCAAGGCCCAGTCCGACCTGTTGCCCAAGCCTACTTCCTACCCACCTGCCTTGGCCCCGACCCATTCCCTTCCCAACCTCCTGCCACACCAGGCCCCGGCCAGCTTCCTGGTCCAGCACCTGCACGCCCAGTCACCTACCCCGCTGCCCCCCGCCCCCGCCCAGACCTCAGGCTGCTCTGCTCATGTGACCCCGTTAACGAGAGCCTGACTCAGCGCAGACCCCGCCACCTCTCCCCACTGTCCAGCACCTCCGGGAGGCTCAGCGGCGTCATCCTGAGCTCATAAAAGCCCGGTGAACAGCAGACAGCGGCCGCCGCCCCCACGCCAGAACGAGGGAGCGCCGGAGGTGAAGGCCAAGTCAGGGCCAGCAGCAGCCGCCGTGGGACACCCACTCACACCACACCGACCCCCCAGCTGCTGGGGGTGCCCCGGATGGTGCTGCCGAAGGCGGGAAGCAGGAACCAGGGTTGACAGAGGTGAAAAAGATTCCAGGAGGAACAGACAGCCAGGGAGAGACCGACAGGAGGCAGCAACCCACTTGTGATCGCGCACAAATGGGGTGTGCCCACAGGTGCCCAGGGGCCGTCCAGTCACAGGGGACGCAGCGCGGAGTGCCTTGGTCCCCCCACTCCCTGGCTGCTCTCAGGAGAGCGCAGGGATGGGCAGCACAGGTCCCTCTGCCCTGACCGCGGTGCCCCAGGGCCACCCAGGGGCCACGCACGGACACCACTGGCTTACCCACGAGGTCAGGGGCATGTCTGATGTCTCCTGCCAGGGACGCTGCCTCCACCACGATGTGTGCCACGGTGATGGGCTCCTCCGGGCCTGTCGCCGCCGGCACCACCTGCGGGAGGGGCAGGGAGGACGTGGCTGCGGGCTCCTCTGGTGCACAGCAGTGCAGGGGGCAGTGAGGGGGGCGGGTGGGGCTCTCATTGCCCCAAGGACTACGGCACAGGGGCTCAGCACCACGGGCGAGACCCAGAGGGCCACACTGTGCTCGTGGGAGCCTGGGGAACCACATGGGCAACACACGAGACAAAGCCACCATGATGCCCTTGACCCAAAAGAGACCCTGAGACCCCAAGAGAGGAGGGGCCATCCCCCAGCTGTGCAGGCTCAGGCAGGGGCTGCTGAGAGGCTGGGCCTCCCCAGGCTGCCAGCACAGAACAGCCCTCGGCGCTCAGTGGCACGGCGCCTGCCCTCTGTCACCCACGCCAGCCGCAGGAGGGCGGGGCGGCGCTCACCTCCTGGCCCAGCAGCGCCGCGGCAGCAGGGGTGGCCGGCAGGGCCTCCTGGGGGGGCCGCTGGCATGCCTTCTGGATTTTATGCTGCACGAAGTCCTCCAAGGCAGTGAACTCGGCCTGGCAGCGGCCGCACCTGTGCACGTCGTCCTCATCTGCAACCGAAGTGCTGTCAGCAGGGCCTGGGGCTGGGGCTGGGGCGGGGGCTGGGGGCCCCATCCCGAGTGAGCAGCAGAGCTCCGGCCCGGCCCTCCCCAGGCTGCTGGGGGCCCTAACCTCAGGGGCAGCCCCTCCCTGGAGGTGTGCAGGACAAGGTCCACCCCAGGGAGACCAGCACCCAGCAGGGCGGCCCTGACCTCACGCTTCGCTGCAGAGATCCACGGAGGCTGCCAGGCCCAAAGCCCAACCTCAGAGGGGGCGTGACCCAGCAAGGATGTGCCCTTGGGGGCCTCGCAAAGTGGGCCGGCCCAGATGACAAGGGGCGTCGGCCAATACGGGGGCAGCGGGTCCTGGTCTGTGACCACTTTTTTTTTTTTTTTTTTAACAGGTAGAGTTATAGACAGTGAGACAGAGACAACGGTCTTCTTTCCGTTGGTTCACTCCCCTAATGGCTGCTATGGCCGGTGCTGCACCGATGCAAAGCCAGGAGCCAGGTGCTTCCTCCTGGTCTCCCATGCGGGTACAGGGCCCAAGCACTTGGACCATCCCCCACTGCCCTCCCGGGCCACAGCAGAGAGCTGGACTGGAAGAGGAGCAACCGGGACTAGAACCCAGGGTGCGAGCGCCACAGGCAGAGGATTAGCCTAGCGAGCCGCGGCGCTGGACGAGCACTCTTCTCACCAGCTTGGGGCTTCACTAACGCCCCCTCCGACAGCACCCCTGCTCGAGCCTGGACGCCAGGTGGGGCTCCCCGAGGGGTCACCCCAGGCTAACAGGGAGGACCACTCCCGTCCTCGACAATGGCTTCAGGTTCAAGGTCGGTCAACCCTGAGTGCTGGGGCTGGCTGCTGCCCTGAGGTCAGGGTCAATCCAGACAGCGCTGTGGGCGCGGGGCAAGCTGCCCCTCTGCTCCCTTGAATCTGCCAGCTCTCTCCACCTCACAGTTCAGTCCCAGGTCAAGGTCAGGCCCGGGTCTGGTGCACAGAATGTTTGCTGCATTAATGAACCAGGGGCCAAACCACTGCTCTTACTCACCCAAGGCCACCACGGGGGGCCCTCCCCGGATGGTCCAGTCACAAACCACGCTCCGAGGGGCCCTCCCAGGCCGCTCCCTGCGTCTGACTCGGCGCCCTGGAGTTGCCATGGAAGGAGCCCCCACCCCAGAAGCAGACACGCCCAGCCCAGCCCGCCCCAAGTCAGGCACTGCCCCACCGCCCGTGTGGTACGGTCCCCCTGCAAGGCGGAACGAGGGGTGAGGAAGAAACCACAGCGCCACGGGCCCTGTGGGGATCAGGAAGAGATGGCCCTCGTCCCATTACCACCCAGGACACCCAGGCAGCCGAGGCCGGCTCTGCGTCCCACAGCCAGCGGAGCCCCCAAGGAGCCGCGGTGCCCCCAGCGCGGCTCCCGGCACAGCACGCGCGCAGTCCCAAGGGGAGCCACAGGGCCCAGGCAGGAGCCACACAGCCTTGCTGCTGCTGGGGGGGGGACCCAACAAGGCCCGCGAAGTGCCGCAGCCACACGGGGCTCGGCGCAGCAGTCAGGCGCCGCCCGGGGTGCCGGAGTCCAGGCCACACAGCTTCCTGCTGATGGGCCGGACTCCGTGTGCGAGGCTGGATGGAGCTCCGGCTCCTGGCGCCCGCCTGGTGCAGACCCGGCCAGGAGTTCATCAGCGATGGAAGACCTCTCCCTCCCTCTCTGTCTCCCTCCCTCTCTCTCTCCTTCCCTCTCTCCATCTCCCTCTCTCTCTCTCTCTCTGTCTCCCTCTCTCTCCATCTCTCTCTCTCTGTCTCCCTCTCTCTCTCTCTCCCTCCCTCCGTCTCCGTCTCCCTCCCTCTCTCTCCATCTCCCTCTCTCTCTCTCCCTCCCTCTCTCTCCATCTCTCTCTCCCTCTCTCTCCATCTCTCTCTCTCTGTCTCCCTCTCTCTCTCTCTCCCTCCCTCCGTCTCCGTCTCCCTCCCTCTCTCTCCATCTCCCTCTCTCTCTCTCCCTCCCTCTCTCTCCATCTCTCTCTCCCTCTCTCTCCATCTCTCTCTCTCTGTCTCCCTCTCTCTCTCACTGTCACTCTGCCTTTCAAATAAGTAGTTTTTTTTTTTTAAAAAAAGAATGTTTATTTTGATACCAAAAATCTTGAAATCCATACATATGCAGGGTCTTAAAAAAAAGTTGATGGAAAATACATATTAAAAAAAACTAGGCATGGGCCGGCGCCGCGGCTCACTAGGCTAATCCTCCGCCTAGCGGCGCCGGCACACCGGGTTCTAGTCCCGGTCGGGGCACCGGATTCTGTCCCGGTTGCCCCTCTTCCAGGCCAGCTCTCTGCTGTGGCCAGGGAGTGCAGTGGAGGATGGCCCAGGTGCTTGGGCCCTGCACCCCATGGGAGACCAGGAAAAGCACCTGGCTCCTGGCTCCTGCCATCGGATCAGCGCGGTGCGCCGGCCGCAGCGCGCCAGCCGCGGCGGCCATTGGAGAGTGAACCAACGGCAAAGGAAGACCTTTCTCTCTGTCTCTCTCTCTCACTGTCCACTCTGCCTGTCAAAAAAAAAAAAAAAAAAAAAAAAACTAGGCATGAATTTCAGTGTTTTTGCGCCAAAATAAACATCACTTAATTTCCACGAACTTTTGAAGCGCCCCCTCCCAGCTGGGGGGCGTCGAGGACGTGGCCCTTTCGGGTGGGCTCCGGGGCAGCCGGCGCGCGGGGGAGGCTTGTGCGGCAGCCCCCCGGTGCGCAACGACAGCGGTCGCCGACCCCCGGTGCGCAACGACAGCGGTCGCCGGCCCCCCGGTGCGCAATGACAGCGGTCGCCGGCCCCCCGGTGCGCAACGACAGACAGCGGTCGCCGGCCCCCCGGTGCGCAATGACAGCGGTCGCCGGCCCCCCGGTGCGCAACGACAGCGGTCGCCGGCCCCCCCGGTGCGCAACGACAGCGGTCGCCGGCCCCCCGGTGCGCAACGACAGCGGGGTCGCCGGCCCCCCGGTGCGCAACGACAGCGGTCGCCGGCCCCCCGGTGCGCAACGACAGCGGTCGCCGGCCCCCCGGTGCGCAACGACAGCGGTCGCCGGCCCCCCGGTGCGCAATGACAGCGGTCGCCGGCGGGTCCGAGCCACGAGGGGCAGGTCGCGGCCCCCGCCGGGCGGGCTCCTCCCCGCGGCCCCGCCCCGGGGTCTCCGCCCAGCGCGGCCCGCCCCGGCGGCCTGTCAGGTGCGGCGGGAGGGGTCCGCACGAGGGTGCGGGGCCGGCGGCTGCGGCGTCCGCCCGTGAGTACTGCGAACGCGCCCCGCAGGGGAGGCCGTGAGGGCCGGGAGGGGAGCGGCGGCCCGGGGCCCGCGAGGGTCTGTCGCGTCCGCGGCTCTGGCCATCCGGGCCTCCGCCAGCCCAGCTGAGCCGCCCGCACTCCGGCCGCGCCCTGCCCTGTCCAGCCCCGTTACCTTCCTCGCTGAAAGGCGCCGGAAGGCCGAGGAAGCCGCCGGGGGCCAAGGCCGCCGCCGCCGCCGCGACCCCGCCCTCGCCCGCTTCCCTCCCGGCTTCGGCCCGGGCTTCTGCCGTATGAGCGGCCGTCACCCGCACTGCCATCGCGCCCTCCATGTCGCAACGCGCCGCAGGAAGATGGCGGATTTACGACCGTGTCGTCATAACAACGGGCCGCTCCGAGGCCGGCGTGAGGGCACGACGGGAGGCGAGCGGGGTTGACGGACAGGCTGAGGGGCGGGGCCTGGACGGGGGCGGGGCCCACAGGGAGCAGGGGTAGAGCGGAACCAGGGCGAGGAGGGGCCGGGCTTGCGTGGGAGCGCATTGATAGGCTGAGGGGCGGGGCCAGGGGAAAGACCGCCCGAATGGGCGCGGCTTGGCGCGGCGGGGCGGGGCCAGAGCCGAGGAACTCGGGGCTGGGGTTACACCCGCGGAGGGTGCGCCCGGCTTCCGAGCCTGGAGAGAGGAGGGCAGGCGGGTCAAAGGGTCAGCTCGGGCCAGGGGTAGGGTGCTCGACACCCCGTCATCCTCGGGGGGTCACACCGGAGAGGGCTCCTGGGCGGCTCCGTGTTTCTTAGCTGGGGTCGATTCACAGAAAGCTCACGGTCAGCACCCCTGGGCGCGCTCACAGAGCCCCGAGGGCTTCCGAACGTTCTCGTCATCCATCAGCCCACTCGCGGCTGTGCCCGGGCTGCGGGTGTCGCCTGCCACTGGGCTCGTGCTCCTGGTCCACCCACGGCCGGGTGAACCAGGCTTCTTTCCCTCCCACCAGCGCCGCCCCGAACATCCGTGCCCGGCCCGTACCTGTCTCTCCCAGGTAATACTTAGCTAGCTGTCTGGAGCTGCGCGCTTGATGGGATCAGCTCATTTAAGGCGCCATTGGAAAGATGAAAGGATGAGGCGCAGAGCGGGTGGCGCCTTGCCTGAGGGCGGCCCCGGCTGTGGGAACCCACGGGGCTTGCTCTCCCAGCTCGGCGATTCTCCGCTGGGCCAGGCCAGGGCCCCTCCAGGAAGGCCAGTCTCCCGGGAGGACAGAGGCAGGACCCAGGGCCCAGAAGCGCGGCCCCAGCCTGGGAGGGGCACTGAGCAGGGCCGTGCAGCCGGCCGGGTCGTACGCCGTTCTCTGCTGTATATTGAAGATCTATTTTTGGCTTACCGTCCTGCTCCAAGGTCAAGGGCCACAGCTAGAGACAGCCGTCCTGGGGGCAGAGTCCCAGGAGGGCACAGGGCACCATGTGACAGAGGTATGGTGCTGCTGTGTCCTGGCCTCTCTCCCTCAGCCGTGGGAGCTCCCCCTAGGGAATTTATCTAATCCTAATCACCTCCCAAAGGCCCGCCTGTAAATACTGTAGTCAGATTAGTGGGGGTTGAACTCCAACCCGAGGCCGGCGCGGTGGCACAGCGGGCTAAGCTGCCGCTTGACACCGGCACCCCCTCTGGGAGCGCGATGCTCCACCGTGCTCCACCTTCCCACTGATGGAACTCAGGGGCAGCAGGCGATGGCTCAGTGCCTGGGCCTCCCGCCACCCACGTGGGAGACCTGGAGGAAGCTCCTGGCTCCTGGCTCCAGCTGGCCCAGCCATAGCTGATGTGGCCATTTGGGAAGTGAACTAGCAGATGGAAGATCTCTCTCTCCCTCTGTCACTCTGGCCTCCAAATAAATTGGTAATAGGTAAATCTTAAAAAATAAACAAGGTCCAACGTGAGTTTCAGAGGGGACGAACAGCTGTGTTCGGAGGAATCAAACCACCTTCAAACGACAGCAGGCAGGTTGGGGGGCCGGATGGGCTGGGGCTTTAACCAGGGATGGCAGTCGGACCCGGAAGGGTCCTTCTGCTGCCCCTCGGAGGAAGGGCCTCAGAGGTTCTGCAGACACAGGAGGGGCTGAGACCAGGGCCTGTGGTCTGGGCGGGGGGCAGGCCATGCAGAAGCCAGCAGGCCAGCAGGAGAGGAATGGACGGGAAGGGTTTCAAACGCAGAGGGCAGCCAGGGTGTGGGTGGATGTGAGGCTGGCCTGGGGGAGACGGCCGGATGGAGGCCAGCGCTGCGGCGCGGTTACTCGCTGGGTTCAGAAAAGGGCACCCTGACAGGGAGTCCTGGGGCTGCCCAACAGCAGCTCACCAAAGGGCAGAGTGGCCGGGAGCTGGCGTGAGGCCAGCCCGCCCCCAGATGCCCTCCTGCCCGCACTGCCCTCAGCCCCAGCCCCGACATCCTGTCTGATGGCTGCTCAGTCTTTCGGCTGGGTGTGCTTTCTTTTCTAAAGACTTACTTTCGGCCGGCGCTGCGGCTCACTAGGCTAATCCTCCACCTAGCAGCGCCGGCACACCGGGTTCTAGTCCCAGTCGGGGCACCGAATTCTGTCCCGGTTGCCCCCCTTCCAGGCCAGCTCTCTGCTGTGGCCCGGGAGTGCAGTGGAGGATGGCCCAAGTGCTTGGGCCCTGCACCCATGGGAGACCAGGAGAAGCACCTGGCTCCTGCCATCGGATCAGCGCAGTGCGCTAGCCGCAGAGCGCCAGCTGCGGCGGCCATTGGAGGGTGAACCAACGGCAAAAGGAAGACCTTTCTCTCTGTCTCTCTCTCTCACTGTCCACTCTGCCTGTCCAAAAAAAAAAAAAAAAAAAAAGACTTAACTTTATTTGAAAAGCGGAGAGACAGAAAGAGGGGAGACAGAGAGAGAAAGAGATTTTCCATCCGAAACAGCCAGGCTGGAGCCAAGAGCCTGGAACTCCACCAGGTCTCCCACGCCAGTGGCAGGACCCCAAATACCTGGGCCTTCTTCCGCTGTTTTCCCAGGCACATTAACAAGGCATTGGACTGGGAGCCGGGCAGCTGGGACTTGAACCAGTGCTCCCACACGGGATGCCGGTGTCATAAGCGGCCACTTACCACACTGGTGCCACACCACTACCCCTGGTTGGACAGGTTTTATTTAACCCGGGAATAGACCAACAAAAGTTATATTCTTACAGTGACCACCCAAGAAAAAGAACAAATCACCCACGAGGGGGGCAGGCATGTGACACCAGCGTCCCACATCGGGGTGCGTGGCGCCGCGGCCGGCCCCTTGCAGGGAGGCAGAGTACTTCCTGCCACCCTCGTGGGAGACCTGGATGGAGCTCCCCGACTCTGGAGTCGTCCGGCCTGGCCCAGCACAGCTCCTGCAGGCCACTGGGGCGCACGCCAGCCCTCAGGGGCTCGCTCTCTGCAGACCGTGTGCGTGGCATGGTCTTTTACAAGGCGGCCCAGGCCGGCAAGGCTAGCGCCGGCGTGACAGAAGCCCGAGAGGCAGCCGGGGGCAGGTGGTGGCCGGTATGGCCTGGATGGGGCCGGAGGGAACGTTCTGGAAGTGCTGGGAATACCCTGCACCTTGTTCCCGACACGTGGGACGTCCACGGGGATGCACGCTAAGATTCGGGCGCTCCCTAATGACCGGGGACGGCTATGGCGACGTGTTCCAGGCAGGGTCTCTCTCTCCTGGACCCCAGGTGCCCCTGCCTCGGGTTTGCGGGTTCTCGCGAGCAGTTTCGGTCCAAGGGTTCCCTTCTGCAGAGGCCTGGAGGTGAGTGACGGCACCAGGCCTGCTGGGAACGGCAGCCCCGGCTTGGCTCCCGGGGCTGGCACCGACCGTGTCCTAGCGCGTCCAAGGTGTGGGCTCTGGCCGGGCGCCACCCGCCCGGCCGAGGTGCGGACGTGACTCGGGCTCCCGCGTGGACCGCGGCCCCTCCCGCCGCGCTCCTGCGGAGAGCACCGCCCAGGAGAAGGGCGGCCGCCAATCAGCAGCAGGCCTGGCCCGGGGTCACGCAATCAGGGGCCTCCGTCACCTAAGCTGACCACTCGCCTCCAATGGGCGCGCCGTGTTGAGGCCGCCAATGAGCAGCGGCCTTGAGTCCTGCGCCGGCCCTCCGGCCCGCGGCGTTTCCGCAGTGAGCGCTCCGCTCCGAATGCCGGTTGGCGCTCTGCCAGCCAATCATCGGTGCGGCCCGGACCCGGCAGCCAATGGCCGCCCGCCTCTCCGCGCAGGGCCGCGGCGGTTGGTGGGCCGCTCCCTTGGCCCGCGGGAGGCCCCGGCGGATTGGCGCAGCCGCAGGCCAATGAGCGGCGCCCGCGAGGCGCCGGGCCAATGAGCGCGCCGGGGGCGGGGCGGGCGCCGCGGCGGGCGGCTGCGAGGAGCGGCCGGTGACGGCGGCGGCGGCTGCGGCGGCCGGTGGCGGCGGGCGACCATGGCGGAGGCGGAGGCCGGTGGCGACGACGCCCGGTGCGTGCGGCTGAGCGCCGAGCGGGCCCAGGCGCTGCTCGCCGACGTGGACACGCTGCTGTTCGACTGCGACGGCGTTCTGTGGCGCGGCGAGACGGCCGTGCCCGGCGCGCCCGAGGCCCTGCAGGCGCTGCGGGCCCACGGCAAGCGCCTGGGCTTCATCACCAACAACAGCAGCAAGACCCGCGCGGCCTACGCCGAGAAGCTGCGGCGCCTGGGCTTCGGCGGCCCGGCGGGGCCCGGCGCCGGCCTGGAGGTCTTCGGCACGGCCTACTGCACCGCGCTCTACCTGCGCCAGCGCCTGGCGGGCGCGCCGGCCCCCAAAGCCTACGTGCTGGGCAGCCCGGCCCTGGCCGCCGAGCTGGAGGCCGTGGGCGTCGCCAGCGTGGGCGTGGGGCCCGAGCCGCTGCAGGGCGACGGCCCCGCCGACTGGCTGTCCGCGCCGCTGGAGCCCGGCGTGCGCGCCGTGGTGGTGGGCTTCGACCCGCACTTCAGCTACATGAAGCTCACCAAGGCCGTGCGCTACCTGCAGCAGCCCGGCTGCTTGCTCGTGGGCACCAACATGGACAACCGGCTGCCGCTGGAGAACGGTCTCTTCATCGCGGGTCCGTGCGCCCCGGGGGCGGGAGGCGGCGGGGCGGGCGGCGACCCCCGCGCCCACCGCCCCACCCCCGCTCTGACCCGGGGCGCGCCCGTCCGCTCCGTCTTTGTCCCGCAGGTACCGGCTGCCTGGTCCGAGCCGTGGAGATGGCCGCGCAGCGCCAGGCCGACGTCATAGGGAAGCCCAGCCGCTTCATCTTCGACTGCGTGTCCGAGGAGTACGGCATCAACCCGGAGCGCACCGTCATGGTGGGCGACCGCCTGGACACCGACATCCTGCTGGGCGCCACGTGCGGCCTGAAGACCATCCTCACCCTCACGGGCGTCTCCACGCTGGGGGACGTGAAGCGGAATCAGGAAAGTGACTGCGTGTCTAAGAAGAAGATGGTCCCCGACTTCTACGTGGACAGCATAGCCGACCTCTTGCCCGCCCTTCAAGGTTAAAGGCTGAGTGTCACTCGTCTGCAGAATTAAAAAAAAAAAAAAAAAAAAAAAAAGCAGAAATGGACGTCAGTTAGCAGATGAGCAGGTGGGGCTCCGCTCCAGCTCGCGGGCGGCTCCGAACCTGGCAGGTGGGCGTCCGGCCGGCAGGCTTGTCTTCCGAGAGCCGCGTGAAGCTTGGCGGGCGTTGCGGGGCCGGGGCTTCTGCAGGCTCAGGTCAGCTCCGCGTTTTACGGAAAACGTCATTCAGGGATGAAGACCCCCGTGGAGGACCGCGGGAGGAGGGGCTGGTGGCCGTGACTGTCCAGACTGAACCAGCTGTGCACCTGCAGGGGGGCGTGGGGTGGGAGGGGCGGCCCTCGCGCCCCGCTGCCTTTGTGAAAACCACTTGGATGTCACAGGTGTCTGTTCCGCTGCGGCTCCCCACACCCAGCCCTCGGCTGCCCGAGTGGTGGACCTGTAGACCCTGCTGAGCCCCGTGGCCGAGGGTGTGGACGCCTCGGGCTGAACCCTGAGCTGTCCCGCCGGGAGCTTGTGCGGAGCTAAAGCTTTTTTTTTTTTTTAACTTTGGAACAAGTTTGTCTTGTGTTGGAATCGAGTCAAGTGTGTTGATCAATAGCTGTGCTCTGTCCCTTAGGGAAGCGCCCACCGAAGAAGTCTCCGTGGCTAAAGGCGTGCGCTGGCCAAGGAATGCCTGTCACCCAGGGTGCCCTCTCCCCCACTCCTCCCATTCCCTGGGGTGGGGCGGGGCTTGTGGCCATGGGGTGGGGGTGAGCAGAGTGGCGGGGCAGGCACGGGCAGAGGCCAGGAAGCCGTTCCTTGTGGTCAGCTCCTTCCCGGTGCCTCGCCCTGCGCCCAGCGGCTTCCACGGCCACAGGTCACGACGTTCCTTCGCTTGTCCGCCAAGTTCTCAGAGCAGTAACGGGCGTCCAGAGCCGCGCTCCTGGTCTCCTGGCCGGGTGCGTGCCTGCGAGGTCGGTGGTGCCGACACTGGCTCTGCGAGGTCAGCTCAGGGTGGGACTGGACATTGAGCAGGCCTGTCGGGGCGCCTCACCCACACCTTCCTCTTCTGCCGGGGGTGGCCCGGGAGCCACGCGGCCCCACCGCGCTGTGTGACGCCAAATGCACATTAAACTCTCCAGCCACACTGCCTCGGGTGTTCCTTCCAGGCTGGGGGGAGGGGGCGCTAAAAGTGGAAGGCCCTGCAGGTTCCAGCCCCAGAGCTGGAATGCTGACCACGGCAGCTCCGTGTCCTGAGCGTCCTGCAGGGGAGCAGGTGCTGAAGGGTCAGGGAAAGCGAGACGGAGCCCAGCGCGGCCAAGGGCCAGGGGGGAGCTGCGCGGACACTGGCCGCGCGTCACAGCCGAGTCGTGGCTGCAGGCCAGGGGCCAGGACGGCGGGGGAGGCAGAGCTAAGCAAGCTGTACGGGCAGGACACCAAGGCCAACCTAATCTTCCCAGGGCACACAGGAGGGTCCGGCAGGCTGCCCATCCACGTCCCGTGTGGCTTTGTGTGCCCTGCGGGGTCCCCGTCAGCCCGTCCTGTTAGCTGAGGCTGCACAGTTCCAAACTAGTCATAGTTCAGCATATTTTTTTAAGCATTTATTTGAAAGGAGACAGATCTTCCATCTGTTGCTTCACTCCCCAAGTGGTCACGATGGCCAGGGCTGGACCAGGCGGTTCCAAGAGCTTCATTTGGGCCTCCAGGCAGGTGGCAGGGGCCAACCCCCTTGGGTCATCTTCCAGTGCTTTCCCAGGCCACCAGCAGGGAGCTGGATGGGAAGTGGGGCAGCCACGTGGGATGCCAGCATCCCAGGTGGAGGCCCCACCCGCCTCGGCGGAGCTCCCCTTGTGCCAGGCCCAGAGCCCAGCTGAGTCTAGATGGGACCAGGGCCCAGAGACCTCACGTCCACCCAGCAGAGGCGTCCTGGCCAGGCCGGGCTGCGCCCCAGGTCCACAAGTGCACTGCTGCTCCGGCACTCAGCCCTCCCGGGCCAGGTGTCGAGAGAGCAGGGGCCATCTTGGCTCCGGCCTGGACATCAGATATGGAGCTCGGGAGGAGGCGCTGGGGTCATGAGGGGAGGGGTACGCTCCCTGAGGTTTCTCTGGCGACTCCTCCAAGGGGCTGCAGACAATCGGCCATTGTCAGCGAGGCTGTGGCATGGAGCAAGGGAGCGGGCCTGCCGGGGTGAGCTGCTCCCACCACCCCCGGGGCCTGCCGCGCCACAGCCCCTGCCCTCCCGAGCAAACCGCGCCCTGGTCTCTAACGCCAGCGTGCCTCCAGGTGGAGACCGTGCCCCAGCACCGGGGCTGGAGGGCTGCGGGCCTGCTGCTGTTGCTGGCCCTGGCCACCGTGGGAGCTGTGGCCGGGGGGCTCCTGGGCTTTGCCCACACTTCACCAGAGGTGAGCCCGCCCGGGACCAGGGTGGGGACGGCGGGAGGGCGAGCGCGGGCCTTGGAGCACGCAGCCAGAGGACCCGCTGGCTGGGAGGAGGCACCCAGGGGACACCGGGGGCCCGTCGGGGCTGCCCCCGGCTGCCCAGTCAACTCCAGCTTCCCCCCAGCCACTGCAGCAGGTGCTCCGCCTGACCCTCCCGAGCCCCCTGCCCAGGGCCAACCAAACCACCCTGGCAGACGCAGCCCGGAACGCAGCCACCATCGTGGTGACGCCCCCGCAGAGCAACAGGAGCTGGGCCGTGCTGTTCGACGGGCAGAGTGTGAGTGGGCGGGGAGGGGTCGTGCCAGGTGCTGGGGGCGCCCCACCTCACCCACCTGCTTCCCCAGGGTTGCGTGTGTTACCGCCCCTCGGAGCACGGGGCCTGCTTCCTCCGCCTGATGGAGGCTCGAGACCGGGAGACCCTGCAGCTGCTGCTGAACACGTCGGTGAGCAGCCCCCGACCCGTCCCGGCGACAAAGGGTCCTGTGTGCGGGCCTTTGCACCCAGCCCCCAGGTGCCCAGGGACGGCGGAAGCTCCGGTTTCAGAGAACAGAAAGCTCTGTCTTCCCCCTCGCGGGGCTGCTGACAAGAGCTGGGGGCGGGGCCTGGGCAGCTGGCCGCACCCCGACCCCTGGCCCACCACAGCCTTCTCTGCAGGCCCAGGGGTCTTGCAGCCCCGGCCAGGACACCCACCGCAGCCAGGAGCTGCTGGCCGTGCTCGGGAGCCGTGCAGTGGACCCCACCCAGGTTGGGGCTGCGGTGCAGCGCCTCTGTGCAGAGACCCCCATCTACTGGGCCCGGCGGGCAGAGGGTGAGTCGGCACGCGCTGTGCGTGGAGGGGCCGTGGCCGGGCCGGGCCGGCCGGGCCCTCGGGACTCACGAGCCCCTCCCCCCAGGGCCCCAGAGGCAGCGGCTGATCTACCTTTGCATGGACATCTGCTTCCCAAGCCACATCTGCGTGTCCGTCTGCTTTTATTATCTCCCGGACTAAGCCCCTGGCCTGGCCAGCCCGGCCCCCGCCCCACGGGCCGCCGGCACCTCCCACCACGGAGGCCGCCTGGAACGCACCAATAAAGCTCCCACCTGGCAGTGCGGCCACTCTCCTCTGTGGCCTCGGGGCTTGAAAGGGGGCCCGGAGCGGGAGGGCGGGGAGGACTGGCTTGGGGGTGCGCACCAGCCCCCGGAGCCACCGGGCCCAGCCGTGAGGTGCAGCCTGCCTCAGGGGCCGCGGCCGAGAGCCGAGCGCCTCGGAGCAGCCTGGCAGCACCGAGCCGCCGGGGGGTCCAGCCGGCCTGGGTGGGCAGAGGCGAGCCTGCGTGGTCTGCCACACAGCCGGCGGCCGTCCCCAGGAGGCACAGGCTAGCCCAGCACGCTGTCATTGAAGGCCAAGCAGACCACAGCTTTCTGGTGGCCGCCGTACTCTCTCTTAATCTCTCCAGTCTCCACACACCAGAGCCGGGCCAGGTTGTCAGAGGAAGCTGCGGGGAGGCAGGGGGGAGGCTCAGGCACAGCCCCAGCCTGGCCAGCCCGGCCCGAGGCAGGCCCGGCGGGGCGGGCGGCCAGCTCACCGGTGACGATGTACTGCGAGTCCCCGGAGAAGGCGCAGCCCCACATCCAGCCGCGGGACGACTCCCCGGGGTTGCCGCTCTTGATGCTGAGCTCCGTCATCAGGGAGAAGTTGGACGTCCTCCAGATCTTGCAGGTCTGGTCAGCCGAGCAGGTGGCCAGGAGCCTGGAGGGCAGGAGGCGCACGGGGCGTGTCACCCGGCCGCCCTTCCCGCCCGGGCCCCCTGCCATGCACCAGGTGGGCCCGACGGCCCGCAGCCCGCAGGCGGCACGCACGTGGAGTCGGGGCTGAAGCGGCACTGCAGGGCGTAGCGCGTGTGCGCTGGGATCTTGGTCTTGGGGATGAGCTGGGTCACCTCGTCACCGATGCCCCCCGTCAGGTTCCACACGTAGCAGTTTCCCTAGGGAAGTCACAGGAAGCAGAATGAAGCGCACCCTGGAGGCTGAGCCCGGAGCCAGGACCCACCCTGGGGGCCAGCTGCGCACGGGGACCTCGGCCGGGGGTGCGGGTGAGCGGGAGGCCACCCTGGGGACCGTCCGCACACGGGGACCTCGGCCGGGGGTGCGGGTGAGCGGGAGGCCACCCTGGGGGCCATCTGCGCACGGGGACCTCGGCCGGGGGTGCGGGTGAGCTTGAGGCCACCCTGGGGGCCGTCCGCGCACGGGGACCTCGGCCGGGGGTGCGGGTGAACGGGAGGCCACCCTGGGGGCCGTCCATGCACGGGGACCTCGGCCGGGGGTGCGGGTGAACGGGAGGCCACCCTGGGGGCTGTCCGCGCACGGGGACCTCGGCCGGGGTTGTGGGTGAGTGGGAGGCTCACACGCAACCTCCTTAAGGATGCCACTGGCCTGCAGGCAGGAGGCCAGGAGGAGGGAGGTCTGGGGACACAGGGCTGGGGTCTCCACGAAGCAAAGGGAGCAGAGGAGGCCGGCGAGCCCAGCAGGGCCAGGGCCTTGCTCCTGGCGCCCACGGGGGTGGCTGGGGAGCCAGCGGCTCTCGGGGAAGTGGCCAGACTTGGGCGGTCCTGGGCTGTGGCGGCTGAGTGGGCGGCAGGGCCCGGGACGGGGAGCTGGGCTGCCCCAGCCGCCACCCGCAGCGGACTCACGGTGCTGTTGACGGCGGCCATGTAGCTGGCGTCGGGGTCGATGTGGGCAGACGTGATGGAGACCTCGGGCTCGGGGATCAGCTGCTCGTTGTGGTCCGTCTTCAGGTCCCAGATGTGTATAGCGCCGCTCTGGTCGCCCACGATGAGCTCCGCCTGCAGGGAAGGGCAGGGCAGGGCAGGGCAGGTGAGGCCGGGCGGGACCCCTGCCCTGCAGGCCCGGGAGCCTGCCGGCAGCCGCTCCTCACCTGGTTGGGGTGCAGGCACACGCAGTTAATGGGTGCGTTCACCTGGAAGATCCGCTGGCACTGCAGGTTCCGGGACCTGCGGGGTGGGGCGCGCACACGTCAGCCGATGGCCGCGGCCTGAGAGGACTAAAAGGCGCCCCCTAGGGCTGGGGTTGCGGCCAGCGACTGAAGCTCCCCCTGCGGTGCCGGAACACTGCTTCGAGCCCAGGCCGCTCCCTGCCAGTGCCTCTGGGAGACCAGGATGGAGCTCCTGACTCCAGGCGCTGGCCTGCTCAGGCCCAGCTGCAGCCATGTGGGGCGGAGCCAGTGGATGGACGCTGCCTCTCCCCCTCTGTGTCACTGTGCCTTTCAGACACAAAAAGCTAAGAAAACAAAAAGCCGGCCCCTTGGACGCAAGGCAGTGATGCAATCCACCGATTCCGTTTTCCCCACTTCCCCTCAGCTGCACGGAACACCGGCTCGGGCTCTGCGCGCTCTCCGGGCCTCGCCCCTCTCAGGCTGTGCCTGGTCTCCGGGCCTCGCCCCTCTCGGGCTGTGCCTGGTCTCCAGGCCTCGCCCCTCTCGGGCTCTGCACACACTCGGGGCCTCGCCCCCGCCCCGCACCTGAGGTCCCAGATCCGGGCCGTGCAGTCCTCTCCACCCGTGTACATCCAGCGGCCATCCTCGTGGAAGCCCACCGACGCGATGTTCTTGTTGACCCCGTCGTAGCTGATGATGGGGTTGGGGTTATTGGAGTTGAGATCATACATGCGGATGTGCTGGTACCCTGGGGACGCGAGCAGAACTCGAGTGCGCCTGTGCCCGGGGAGGACCCGCGGGAGTCAGGGTCAGAGGTCAGGGGTCCCAGTACCTGCAGCGGCGATCATGCTGCGGTCGGGCGTGATCTCCAGCGCGTTCACCTGCTGGTTCTGTCAAGGAGGCTGCACAGCTGGCCAGAGCTGCCTTGGGCTTCCCACCCCGCCCGGCCACCCTCTCCCCCTCCGCGGGGATACAGAGTCCTGGTGCTGCACCGTGCGGGTGCAGATCCCGCTGTGGGCCTGCCAGAACCGCACCGTGTGGTCATAGCCGGCGGTGGCCAAGATGACGGGGTCGCTGCCCACCGTGCCTGGGGAGGTGTTCATGGCGGGGCCTGCGCGGGCCCGAGGGCTGAAGGCTGGCGCCAAGGGTCAGAGCATCTGAGGGCACACACGGCAAGCACTCAGGGCATGCCCACGCGTGCTGAGCGGGTGACGGGCCCGCGCGGCGCGTTCCCACCTGGGAGATGGGGACGCGCGCCGCGCTCCCCGCCGCACGAGCACGGCTGGGACGCCATCCCGCCTGGGGCCGGCAGGGGGCAGTCACGCCCAGGGCGTCGCTCTGCCGCAGGGGCGGGCTGCGCGTGCGCAGGGCGGAGGGCGAGCCGGGGTGGGGGGGAGCCGAGCGCTGCGGCTGCGCATGCGTAGCAGGCGGTGTCCGGGTCCGATGGCGGTGGGGGAGCAGTCCGGTCGGACCCCGGCTGCCCCGTGCTCCGTCGGCCGCCGTGGGCCCGTCCTGCCGGCTCCTTCTCCCCAGCCACGCTCTCCCGGCCACCCAGAAGCCGCTTCCCAGGCCTCGCCACGGCCTCCGTACCTTACATGCGGCTCCGCACTCCTCCGTGCTCCAGGACGGCGAGGGGAGTTGGAGCGAATCGATCGAGGCCAAGGCCGAGCGTAGAGTTATCGATGGGCACTTGAGGCGAGACCATGGAGCCCGGTGGCGCGGGGGGGGGGGCGGTGGAGGTGGGTGGGGACGAGACCAAAGTCCTGGGGCGGGGGAGTCCCTTTAGCGCAGCGGCGCCCGGCGCTCTGAAGGCGGCGCCTGTCCCAGCTTGGCCCAGGGGACAGTCGCGTCCCCATGCCCTCCGCCGCGCAGGCTGGGACGAGTAGTTTTTCTGTTGGTGAGGCTTGCTTAGGCATGGACGTGTTATTAAACGAGAGTAAAATGTGCCAGGGCATCCGTGGTTCTGCTCGCCTCGTCCTGGCCTTGCAGACCTGTCCAGTCCTCAGCCGAGGAGCCCCCTCCGCCGGCTTCTCCGTCCCTAGCCTCTGCACTGCTGGCTCCATGACACCTGTGTCCGCTCTAGCCTCGGAGCGGGTGTAGACGGATCGCCGTCCCCTCCAGCCTCAGAGCAGGTGTATGTGGCTTCAGCTCCCCCCCATCCCCCCCAGGCCTGGGTCCCCAGGAATCTTCCTTCTTGTACCTTCCCTGCCTCCTTCCTACCCCTAGCCTTTTACAATCTGTAATTAATTAAAGTTTTTATTAATCAATTAAAGAGAGAGTACTCGCATTCCACAACGGCCTCGGGTGAGCCGAGCTGGAGCTGGGAGCCGAGGACGTGATCGGGATCCCCCACCCGCGGGGTGCTGGGACCTAGGCGATGGAGCCGTCCCAGGCTGTGCGTCGGCATGAGGCTGCACCGCGAGCCGCACCAGGCCTGAGACCCCGGCGCTTGGACGCAAGGTGTGAGCTCATCCCTCGGCTCCACGGCCAGGCCAGGGTCCGTCCTGCGCCCTGAGCCTGTGAACACCGCACAGCAACCCCAGAACCCTCTGCTGCAGACAGCTCCAGGCGGCCCCGTCACTTCTCAACTCCATCCTGTCTGCCTTGTGTCCCACAGCTCTCAGAATCCCGCCAGGCTCTGCTGTCCCCTGGCTGACCACCCAGATACTTCCCCTCCCCTTCCTGGCTCTGTTCTGCGCTTGGCAGCACTGAGCCCGCAAGTGGGCATCACCTCTGTCCTTGCCCGGGCACCCACTCTCCCCTGGACGGACCAAGCCCCAGCGGCAGGGCTTCCCAAACCCCCCCAACCCCCCCCCCCCCCGCCCTGTCTGTCTCTCTCCAGCTCCTCCGAGCCTCCCTGCTGCGCGTTGGCTCTCAGATGTCCCCCAGACGCCAGCCCCTCCCCCAGCCCGGGCGGCCACCCCCCCGCCAGGCCCTGCGTGTCGCAGCTGGGTGGGACCCAGGCCACCTTCACTGCTGGCCTGGCCTCGGCTCTGCCTGGAGCCCACCCCCCACCCCCACAACCTCGCCTGCCACAACACCCGCTTCTGCCCCCTCCTGGTTGCCCCCCACCTTGGAGAGGGTCTTTCAGAAACCCAGGTTTGGGGGCGGGTGCCGTGGTGCTCCTGGAGGTGCTGGCTCCCGCATCAGAGTGCCGCGGTTCCGGCTCCGGCTTCCTGCCAGTGCTCACCTGAGAGGCAGCAGGTGGTGGCCCAAGTCCTGGGGCCCCTGCACCCGCACGGGAGACCCAGAAGCAGCTCCTGGCCCGCTGTCCAGCGATCACAGACATTCGAGAAGTGACCGGTGGGTGGTGTGCTGTGCTCTCCCCATAAATAAGTTTTAAAAATTCAGAAAGACTGTGAAGTGTATTATTTTTTAAATGTGTTCATTTGAAAGGCAGAGTTACCGGGGTAGGGGGTGGGGGGAGATCTTCCATCGCTGGTTCACTCTCCAAATGGCCGTGATGGCTAGGGCAGAGCCAGGCCGAAGCCGGAAGCCAGGAGCTTCATCCAGGTCTCCCCCCAGAGGGGCCGCCTCCTGCGGCTGTCCCAGGAGCAGCAGCAGGGAGCTGAATCGGAAGTGGAGCAGCCGGGAGGTGAAGCAGCGCCCGCGTGGGATGCGGGCATCGCAGGCAGTGGCCTTTGTTTGTCGTTCTTTTTTTTTTTTTTGACGGGCAGAGTGGACAGTGAGAGAGAGAGAGACAGAGAGAAAGGTCTTCCTTTGCCGTTGGTTCACCCTCCAATGGCCGCCGTGGCCGGCGCACCGTGCTGATCTGAAGGCAGGAGCCAGGTGCTTCTCCTGGTCTCCCATGGGGTGCAGGGCCCAAGCACCTGGGCCATCCTCCACTGCACTCCCGGGCCACAGCAGAGAGCTGGCCTGGAAGGGGGGCAACCGGGACAGAATCTGGCGCCCTGACCGGGACTAGAACCCAGTGTGCCGGCGCCGCAAGGTGGAGGATTAGCCTAGTGAGTCGTGGCACCGGTGATGTTCTGTTTTGTTCGTCTAAAATTTGCGATCTGAGGCTGGTGTTGGGATGCTGTGACCCTGGCTGCAACCCCAGCATCCCACATGGGAACCCAGTCTCCTGGGCCTGGCCCTTCCGGCCCTGTAGCTGCCCGAGGCCCGGGCCAGAGTGCCCACAGTCTCCGATGCTGCCGCCCCTCCTCTGGAAACCCCTGGCGGTGCCTCCTCACCTGCGATGCCCCACACATGCCCACTCCTGGCTCTCAGCACCTGACGCCCCCAGGCGACACCAGCACGCCATCTTCTAGACGTGTCACACAGGTGGAGTGCAACAGGATGTGGCCCTGATTGTGAAACGTGGTGGTGCCATGTTCCTGTGCAGCTGGGCCACATTCCCCTGGCTGAGTGGCCACCGTTGAGTTGCCCGTCCGTCCGCTGATGGACACGTGGGTTGATGTGAATGGTGTGAGTATTCACATGGGAGTATCCCAATGTTTGCGGTTCTCTTGGGCGTTTCTAGGAGTGCAGTGGCGGCTGCAGCTTTGCAAGGAGCCACCAAGCTGTGCCAGGTGTTCTGCCTGCAGTATGCGAGCAGCCACCCCCACGGTGGAGGTGAGAAAACCGGCCCCCGAGCTGCAGGACCCCCTGGAGCAGGTGGCTCCGGGCAGGGCCCGTCCTGCTGCTGGCTCAGCCCCGCCCCGACCTCGCCCCTTGTGGCCCAGGAGGCGGGCTTCACACCAGGCTCAGGGGAGCTTTGGGGAAGAGCGGGGGAGGACATGGCCCCGGAGGCCCAGCGCTGCAGGGGGGTCTGAAGCAGGACGGACGGCCGGGGCCAAGGCGCCGCCAGATGTTGGAGTGGGGAGCATCCCTTTATCTGCGGGGCTCAGCTTGGGGTGTGGGGGCTGAGGGCCAGGGAACACTCTCGGGGGGGGGGGTGGCATGGGGGGGCGAGGTCCCCGCCTGGCCCGAGCAGCTCCTGCCAGTCCTGCTGGGCGGGAAGCGGGGGACAGGAGCGCATGGTTGTTGATCCTCTCTGGTGCACCAGGCGCCAGCGAAGCGCTGACAGAGGCGGCACCCCCAAGAGTGACAGGAACAACACGGCAGCTGACACACCCCCACGCTTCCAGCAACCCCTGGGGACACATGTCTCCCTCCTCGAGTAACGGGCAGGTCCTGGGGCTCTGGGGGCTGGGAGGGCAGGCGCACAGCCGGTGGGCAGAGGCAGGGGCTGCGGGCTGGCTGGCAGGACATCCAGGAAGGAGGCCAGCCCAGGCTGCAGTGAAGCGGCGGCCAGCTCCACTCTGGGCGGGGCGGAGCCTGGGCGATTCTGCTAGCTCAGCGGCCCCTCCCCGCTGACTTCCTGGCTGGCTGCCCCAGGCCCACGCCGCTGCATCCACACCCCCAGCCCCGTGGCTGCCTGCTGCACTGCCCTTACCCCCAGGCTGGGGGACCCCAGGCAGATGCACATCTCTGCACGTGGGCTCCCCAGCGGCATTGGCGCCGGGCTGTGGGCAGAGCTACTGGCCCATCTTCCGGAGGCTGGAAGGTCGCTGGTCGACAGACAGCGAGCGTGTGGGAGCCAGGACTTGCACACCCCCTTGTGGCCTTTTGCTTCAACAGGCCCTGGCCCTCCTCCCTGCACACTTCCCCCTGGGGAGGCCGTGAGCAGGAGCCCACCCGGAGACAATCCGTGTGCCCCTTCCAGGCCACACGCTGTGTACATACCTGGGACCCAGGAAGCCCCGCCCAAACCGCCCCAAGCTCGTCCCAGGCCTGTCGCTATACAGGTGGGCCCATAGCCGGTGCCCGTCCTAGGCAGAAGGAGGGACTGAGGGGTGCTGGTCCCTGGGCTGCGGACGGCTGCAGGCAGGGGAATCCAGGCATTCTGAATCTGCAGCTGGCCTCTCGGATCCGTGTTTGTCAGGGCAGGAGGCTGCAGCGTACTTGACTTAACGGGTTATTGGCGTGACCTGAAACCGTCAGACATCGAGATGCACGGCCAGGGTCGCTCACCTGGAGCACTGGGACGCGGCCGTCTCCTTATTCTGGGGGGAAGAGCAAGTCCAGAGGCCAACATGGGCTGAAAGCGCAGACCCTGGGACTCGGGGACCCCAGTGGGGGAGGGTCGCTTAGCTCCTGTGCCTCAGCTTGTCTAGGGTGCCCGGCCCAGCAGGTGCCCAGGAGTGGGTCTCTATATAGAGTCGGGGGATGGGCCCTGGCACATACGGGCCACTCTGGGAGTCCAGCCCATGGCAGAAGACTGAGGCTTGCTCCCCGGGCCTCCAGGGGAACCCCACAGAGTGCTGCCTCCCTGCCCTGCGCTGCGGCCGCCTTGCTGTCAGGGGCCACAGGGCGTGGGTTAGGCCTTGCGCTACAGGTGCCACCCTCACCGCATACGCCCAGCAGCCTTGGCCAGCGCGGGTGCTGAGCTAAACGAGGAACTGGAGCCTGAGCTGGGGCCCAGACCCCAACTCTGAGCCTAGAGTGCCCGGATGACGGGGGGGGGGGGCGGGCCAGCTGGGGGTGGGGGACGGGGTTAGCCTCTGCCCAGCAGCGCTGTCCAGCGTGGGGGCCAGGAATCCTAACGCTGGAGAGCGGCAGGCCCGGGTAGGGTGCAGAGGGGGCAGGGCTGTGACCCCATTTGTGCTGAGGACGGGCCGCCTGGGCCCCCTCGGTAGTGGACACGGAGGGCTACATCGCACGCGCTGGGAGCGCGAATTCCGCGGCCGGGGGGTCGCCCTGGGGGCCACGCCGTCCCCGATTGCTGAGGACAGCACTCAGAGGCCGCAGATGTACTGGGGGGTGGGGGCGCGTGTTTCCTGACGCCGAATTCATTATTGGGGGATTCCTCTTCACAGTCCCGCCACACCTCCCACGGGGAGGCGCCGGCCAGAAGTGCCCGACAGCCCGGGCGCCCGGGTCCCCGCGCCCGTCCGCGCCCGCCCACTGCCGCGCAGCCCCTCCCTGCTGGGTCCCGCAGCCTCGCCCAGGCGCGGGCTCCGCGGCCGCCGCCGAGTCCGCGCTCCGTGCGGAGCCCCCAGCCAGCCGCCGGCCCCGGCCCCGCGCCCGGCCCGCACGTGAGGAGGGGGCGTGGGGGAAGGGGCCGCCGGAGGGGCGGAGCCAAGGAGCCGGGCGCGCGGCCGGCGCGGGCTGACGGAGGTCAGCGGCCGCCGCGGCGGGACCCAGGCGTCCGGGAGGCGGTGCCCGGTGCCGCGCCCGCCGCCGCCCCCGCCCCCGGCCGCCCCCCGCCCGTGACGCGCTCCCCGCCCCCTTCGCGCCGAGCCCGAGCCCGAGCCCGAGCCCGAGCCCGAGCCCGAGCGGGGCGCAGGGCGGCGGGCGGCGGAGGCGGCGGGCGGCGGAGGATGCGGCCGCAGCCGCGGGGCCGCCGCCGCCGCTGAGCCGCGGATCCGCCGAGCGCAGCCGCGCCGCTGCGGCCCCGCCGCGCCATGGGGAAGGAGCAGGAGCTGGTGCAAGCGGTGAAGGCGGAGGACGTGGGCACCGCGCAGCGGCTGCTGCAGAGGCCGCGGCCCGGCAAGGCCAGTGAGTGCGGGGGGCGCGCCGCGGGCGTCCGTCCCCGGCGCCGAGACCCCCACCCCTGCCGGCGCCGGGCGGGGCGGGGCGGGGAGGCCGCGGGGTCCCCGGGGGCGGGGCGGGGCCGGCGGCGCCGGGACCCTCGGCCCGCGCCCCCCACCGGCCCCGGCTCTGGCGGAGGCGCGACCCGAGCCCTCGGTGCCACCCTGAGCCCCCGCGGCGCCCACCCCGCCGGCGCGGGCGTTCGCATCCCCCCCTCCCTCCGGCTGCGGGGCTAATGGCCCAGGTCTCCGCTGTCGGGGCCTTTCCAGGGCGAGGCGGATGCCCCCCCACACCTGGGAGAGCGGGGAGGGGGAGCCCTTGCGGCAGGGGTGAGGGGGCTGCGCCGGCTCCCGTGTTTAAAAACATGCTGTGCAGGGATGGGGGGGGCAGGACCGTGCTGGGGGTGTGGCTGCCCAGGCATGGCCGGAGGGGGGCCATTTACTGCTGGGGCAGCAGAGGCCCAAGGTCGCCCGGCTCAGGGCCTGCTGGGCTCCAGGGAAGGGGAGCTGGGCGGGGGGGAGCGGGGCTGGGGCCTCACGCGTCCACCCTGGTTCTGCCTGGCTCCCTTGGCGGCACAGGAGGCCTGGAGGGAGTGGGGGCCCTGCTGGCCACCCGTGGCTCGCGCTGTGGGGGCCCCAGGGAGGGGCTGGGAGCGCTGCGCACCCTGATCCCGGCACTCATCCCTGCTCAGCCCTAGGCCTCCCTGGGGGCGCCAGGAGATGGATGGATGGGCGTGTGGCCCAGCCGTGTGCAGCTGCACGTATGAGCGTGTCAGTGTGTCAGGGCACCTGTGCGGGCACCGGCCGGGCTCTGCAGGGCGGCACGTGGGTCTGGGCGCCTCACAGGCTGCAGTAGCGCAGGGAGGCCCTGCCACCCTCTCTGGGGGGGTGCTGAGAACTGGGACTGCCCCCTGGGTGGGGGATCCCCTGGGCTGTGCTGCCTGCCGGCTCCAGTGTGGTCAGACGGGGGCACCAGTGCCTCACAGGCACGCGCAGGCTGGCCCTGCCTTTCGAGTCCCAAGGGCCTGGAGGGGCTGCCCCCTGGGGCTGGACACCCGGGGAGGGGGGTCCAGGTGGGGGCAGCCTGAGCCTGAGAGCAGGTGGGGAACTGAGAGGGGGGGTTTGCACCTGGCGCTTGTGTGACCTTGGGCAAAGAGCTCCCCACCCGGAGCTCTGGGCCTCCGAGTTCTGGTCTGCAGGGTGGGGTGCGTGTGTCCCTGTGTCTGAGGGTGCACAAGAAGGGCCAGGCACTTAGCAAATGCCGACCAGGACGGTTCCTGTCCGTCCACCAGAGAGCCCAGGGCCTCGTGCTGGAGGGTTCCTCCTCCCGCCTGTCCTGGCCAGCAGGGGGAGGCGGGCGGGCGTTGTGTCCCCTCTGCCTGGGTGTCTGACTTGGCCTGGCCTCTGGGGCAGGAGAAAACACCTGCCGTGGCCCCACGACGGCACTCTGACTCACAGGGGCGGGCGCAGTAAATCAGACGGAGAAATCCCTCCAGGAATTAGCTCGGTTGTCATGGCGACGCTGGCCTGCTTTGGAGTAAGATGCGTTTCGATTCAGCGAAGTGCAGCTGGAGTTGAGGCCAGGGGTGGAGGATGTCCAGAGGGGTCCCCTCCTGTCCTCGGCCCCTTCCCTCGGCGCCCCGGGCACTCGGCAGCTGTCCTGCGAGAGGCGGCTGGGAGGGGCTGGCCGCGGATGCCCCGGAGGGAGCACGGGGGCCAGCTGGAGACCCCTCTGGCCTGGACTTTGTGCCTGACCTCAGAGACGGGCAGGGCCTCAGGAAAGCAGTTGGGGCTGGGGAGACCAGGAATGAGGTGTAGGCCTGCTGATGTGCAGCCCCAGCGTCCCCGCCCCTGGCGAGGGGGAGGAGCTCCTGGCCCTGCCAGAGCCCACCTCCCTGGAACCCAGTGACCCCCACAGAGCCCTGCGTCAGCGTCGGCGGGGCGGGCCGAGAGATGACCTTGGTGAGGCACCCCTCCTCCAGGGGGTGGTCCCCTTCCTGGTGGAGACCCCCCTGCCCCACTGGGATCTGGGTCACTTTCTTGGGCACTGGTCTGCAGCCCGTCTCCAGCGTGCACCTGGCCCCACGGTGGCTGGGAGGGAGGCATGGGGGAGACTTGGGGAGGAAGCTGCAGGTTCCTGGGAGCAGAGCATGCTGGGAAGGCCCTGGAGCAGGGATGTGATGGGCACCCCGTCTGCAGCCCGGGCAAGGAACTGGAGAGGTCTGGGGGCAGCGTTTGCAGGTCTTCGCGCAGAATGCAGGTGCAGGGTCCCTCACCCATGAACCGTTTCGGGGCAAGAGGCCCTTTGGAGCCACCGCACAGGTCGCACCCCTGCAGAACAGCCCGGCAGTGGACGGAGTGCGGGGAATGAGGGTGTCAGTTCCGGCTCCAGCTTGCTAAGTGCTAGCACACAGCAGGCACCGTTCTAGGCGCCCAGGACACGGCGGCGAGCAAAGCCAGGCACAGCCGTGTTCTCCATAGGGATGAAGGTGGACAGTAAGCAAAGGAGAGAGAGAGACACCGGACACAGCTCGGAAGGGAGTAGCTGCTTTCGAGGGGAAGTCTGAGCAGGGTCCATCTGGATCCAGACAGATGTGAGGGAGCGAGTCGTGGGGACAGTCAGGGGGAGAGGAGCCCCCCACGTGTGCGAAGGCCCCCAGCAGGTGTGGCCTGCGCAGCCAGAGCTGGGGCGCAGAGTCAGGGCGAGGGGGTCAGAGGGAGTGTGAGGCCCGTGTCCTGCAGAACCACCGTCCAGCCTCAGCCTCTGCCCCCATGGCATGGGCCTGGCTGGTGGGTGTGGAGCACAGGGCTGGAGTGAGGTGAGGCGGTGGCCTGGCCCAGGGCTGGCTGTGGGGCGGTGAGGATGGTCAGGACCCCGAGTGTGCCGTGAGAGCCCCTGGAAGGAAGAGCGCCCAGAGTTTACCAGCACACGGGGTGTGATGTGAACAAGTGGCGTTGCCACCAACCCTGGTGGACACCAGCACCAGCAGAGTCCGTGTGTGCAGGGGGTGGGGCCCGGAGGCTGATGAGGACGCCCTGGCCGAGGCGGGGTCGGGGCTCCCGTGTGGCCGGCATCAGCGACTGGCGCTTGCCGAGCCTGACACGTGCTGGGCTGCACGCGGCCTCGGGCTAGGAAGTGCCCTGGTGGCCTTTCTCAGCTCAGGCAGGGGGCCAAGGCCAAGGCCATGGGGCTATGGCATGGCAGGGTGAGGCCTGGCATTCAGGTCTGCGGGGGTCCTGAGGGGGCCTCACCCCGTGTCCAGTGGCTGGCACTGGGGCCAGAGCAGCTGGGGCTCTGGGCCATCAGGGGAGGCCTGCTCTGGCCTCGGAGCCCCTGCCCCTACCCCTGTCCTGGGCCTGGACAAAGGGGTTTCTGTCCTGCCAGACCGCCCCTCACAGAGGAGTGGCTGACCCACAAAGGGGTTATGTAACTGCAGCCTGGACAGGCAGGGGTTGGCCCGACTCCGCGTGGACTCGAGCCCACTGGGAGGGCATTGGTGGGCCGCCCTCTGGCCAGCGGTCGGTGGAAGCCAGGATGGGGGTGGCCCTGAGTGGAGGGCCCTGGGGTCTGAGCCTGCGTCTTGAGTGTGGCCCTTGTGGACAGGTGGCCACTCCAGTGGGGTGACCCAGAGGCCCGGGCTCACTTGCCTGCCTCCCTGCCTGCACTGCCGGGGTGGGGCTGGCCCATCCTGGCCCAGGCTGCGCCACGGAGATGCGGCGCTTCCATAGAAATACCCCGTTTCCGGGTGTTCCGGCCCCGCCGGCCACCCCCGGTGCCATCTGGGTCCCTCTGAGAGACAGCTTGTGCTGGCGCTCTCCCTCCCACCTCGGCAGGTTCTCAGCCGTCGCCGGGGGGGGGGGGGGCGGTGCGAGCGCACGTGTGTGCTGTGTGAGTGCCCAGCCTTGTCTCCGTCTCTGGATTCTCTCGGTGTGGAGGAGGCCAGGCCTGCACAGCTGCTGGCTGGAGCCGCGTGGATGGGCGGACGGATGCTGGCAGAGTGAAAACCTAGCCGTGGGCCCCCTGCGAGGTGGCAGTGCCCTCTGCCGCTCAGGTTCCTGGGGGGCTGGTGGAGCCCCCCCTTACCCTATCTCCTTCCCACCCCAGAGCTGCTCGGCTCCACCAAGAAAATCAACGTCAACTTCCAGGACCCAGATGGGTGAGTTCTCAGCCAGGTGGCGCCGGCCTGCACTGGGCGGGAGCCCTAGGGAAGGCCAGGTGCCTGGGTCCCCTCCGAGCCCCGTCCTCCGTGCCCCCCCAGCTTCTCTGCCTTGCACCACGCGGCCCTGAATGGCAACACAGAACTGATTACCCTGCTGCTGGAGGCTCAGGCTGCCGTGGACATCAAGGACAACAAAGGCAAGACTGGCCTGGGACGCTGTGGCGGGGGGAGGGGCCCCGGAGGCCTGCGTGGCCCTTGCACGGAGACCAAGGTCCCCATCGAGGCTGAGGCAGGTCCTGATGGGACTGGCGTGCTGGTCAGGGCTGGGCCAGCTCCCATGGCCCCGCCTGCCCCCAGGCATGCGGCCCCTGCACTACGCGGCCTGGCAGGGCCGGAAGGAGCCCATGAAGCTGGTGCTGAAGGCGGGCTCAGCGGTGAACGTGCCGTCCGACGAGGGCCACATCCCACTGCACCTGGCGGCTCAGCACGGTCACTACGACGTGGTGAGACACGCTGGGGCTCAGGGCGGGCGGGGCTGCGGGCTGCGGGCTGCGGGCTGCGGGCTGCGGATGCCCCGCCCTGACCGGGCGCTGGGACCCCCAGTCTGAGATGCTGCTGCAGCACCAGTCCAACCCGTGCATGGTGGACAACTCGGGGAAGACGCCCCTGGACCTGGCTTGTGAGTTCGGCCGTGTTGGGGTGAGTCTCCCCGGGAAGCTGGCAGGGTCCTGCCTGCCTCCTCCTTGCCCGGGGGAGGAGGTGGGGCACCCCCAGCCGGGCCCCCCTACCCTGACCCCTCCTTCAAGGTGGTCCAGCTGCTCCTGAGCAGCAACATGTGTGCGGCCCTGCTGGAGCCCCGGCCGGGCGATGCCACCGACCCGAACGGCACCAGCCCGCTGCACCTGGCAGCCAAGAACGGCCACATCGACATCATCAGGTACAGCCGGCGGGGGGCCAACCTCGGGGCCCCTGCTCCTGGCGGGGGGAGACGGCAGGTGCACGGTCAGGCCTCCCGTGTGGCCTCCGGTCGAGCTGCGGGTGCTGGCAGTGGTCACCCCCTTAACTTCCCCAAGACTCAGTTTCCCTGCCCATAAAGCAGGGATCCCAGCTTTAGGCCTACACGGGGAGTGGACAAGAGAAGGACCAGGAAGGGTCAGCAGAGGGACGGACTCTTGGATAGGGCCTTGGTCAGTGTCGGTACCGTTGTAGTGAGAGCTCAGGGCAGGGCCAGCAACCTGGCACCGAGGCCTCTCCCGCCTCCCCCCAGACTCCTGCTCCAAGCAGGCATCGACATCAACCGGCAGACCAAGTCCGGCACGGCCCTGCACGAGGCCGCCCTCTGCGGGAAGACTGAGGTGGTGCGGCTGCTGCTGGATGTGAGTGGGGGCCGGGGGAGCTGGGGCCGGGCAGGGGGGCAAAAGGGCCCCTGACAGGCAGGGTCCTGTCCACCGTGCAGAGTGGGATCAATGCCCACGTGAGGAACACCTACAGCCAGACGGCCCTGGACATCGTCCACCAGTTCACCACGTCCCAGGCCAGCAAGGAGATCAAACAGCTGCTGAGAGGTGGGCCCGGCAGGCTGGGAGCTGGGTGTGGCGGCAGGGCCTGGGCTGGGCAGCTTGCAGGACTGGGGGCCCACCTCCTGTATTCTCCCCCGCACCCCAGAGGCTTCGGCCGCCTTGCAGGTCCGGGCCACCAAGGATTACTGCAACAATTATGACCTGACCAGCCTCAACGTGAAGGCAGGCGACATCATCACGGTGAGAGCACAAGGACAGGCTGGCACGGTCGGCCCAGAGCACGCGCCTGCCGCAGCCAGGGCAGGACTCCCTGAGCGCCCCTCTGTCCCCGACCAGGTCCTGGAGCAGCACGCGGACGGCCGGTGGAAGGGCTGTATCCATGACAACCGGACGGGCCACGACCGGGTGGGTTACTTCCCGTCCTCGCTGGGCGAGGCCATTGTCAAGCGAGCAGGCAAGTCCTGGTCAGCCCTGGGAGCAGAGCAGCAGGTGTGTCGGAGCGGGGGGCAGTGCTGGGGGGCCGGGGGCCGGCCCCTGCCAGGCCCTCATCAGTGTCCTCACACCTGTTCCCCGTTCACTCCCCAAACACAGCACATGTCCCGTGTCCCCACTCTGAGTGGCAGGTAGGGACGCCAGGGACCCCGGCAGAGGTCATCATTCCCATTCTCCAGAAGCCCACCTGGGGTTGAGGGGGCAGGGGGTGGGGAGCAGAGACAGTGGAGAGGCCTGCTCGATGGGGCAGAGAGCCAGGGCCAGGGAGGCCAGTGTGGCCTGAGCAGGCGGGGCCAGGCCGTGAAGCCCCGGGGGGTGTGGGGGTCTTTGTGCTGCTCATGGGGATGTGGGGGCGAGGGTGGGAGCCAGGGCAGTGTGCCGGCCTCTGGTTGTGTGGGTCCTCAGCACTCATGTGGGCCCTGACCCACCCCAGCAGGGAGGGTCGCACCCTGGGGCCACTAGCAGGAAGTCTGATCCTGGGCCCCTTGGCCACTCTCCTGCCCTTAAGTTTCCGGGGCAGGGCAGGGTCTCCTGAGGGTGTCTGCACTCCCCGGAGACAGCCAGCGGAGGGGGATGCGGTGGTGTGGCCCCCGGATGTGTGCCTGGCCCCTGCCTGGGCCGGGACTCAGGGTGCCTGTGCTCGGTCTGCAGGGTCCCGGGCAAGCGGCGAACCGAGCCCACCGCAGGGAGGCTCCTCGTCAGGGCCGTCTGCGCCCCCCGAGGAGATCTGGGTGCTGCGGAAGCCCCTCTCAGGTAGGCGGGGGCCCCGGGAGGCGGGCGGCGGCGCTTCTACAAGGCGTGAGTCTCCTGTGCTGGCAGGCGGGGACCGCAGCGGCAGTCTGAGCGGCATGGCTGGGAGCCGGAGCGCCGGGGGCCACGCCCTGCACGCGGGCTCTGAAGGGGTCAAGGTGGGTAGGGTGGGGGCCCGGGCGGGGGGAGGGTCCTGGAGCGCGCGTGAGCCTGGTCTCTGGGTTCCAGCTCCTGGCCACGGTGCTTTCCCAGAAGCCAGTGTCGGAGTCCAGCCCGGGAGACAGCCCCGCCAAGCCTCCAGAGAGCTCTGCAGGTGACAGCCGGGATGCAGCCGCCCTGGCCGCCCCGGGATGGGGCGGGACAACCCCTGAGCAGCCCTAACCACACCCTCGCCCCCGCCCCGCCCCCGCCCCCAGGTGCAGCCCGGCCCCAGCCTCCAGTGGCTCTTGCAGGGCAGGCGTATGGGGAGCAGCCACCCAAGAAGCTGGAGCCAGCGTCGGAAGGCAAGGTACAGGGCCCCGGGCCAGCTCCAGGGGGCTCGGGAGGGGTGGGGCTGAGGGCTGACGAGCACCCGGGGGCCGCCTGGGCCTTGACAGGCCAGACCCCGTCCTTGTGTCTGTCTGTGCGTGTGTGTGTGCACATGCTCGTGTGTAACGGTGTTGTCCACTGTGCAGGCCGTGCGTGAGGCAGCGTGGGCACAGGTGTGGAGGTGCGGTTAGTGAGTGGGGTGCCTGTGTGTGGAGAGGCGTGGCAGAGCCGGGCAGGCGTGCGTGCGTGTGTGTGTGTGCGTGCATGTGCACCTGCGAGCCGGGAGGCAGGAGCTGCTGGCTGAGTCCTGCATGGGGAGGGGCATAGAGCCCGCCTCCCCCAGCCCAAGGCCCCTCTCCCCAGAGACCCATCCTGTGAGGCCACACGGAGCTGGTGGGGGTGTCCACGGAATGGAGGGGAGGTCGGGGAGGCCGTGGCACGGACGGAGCTGGACCCCCCCGCTGGAGCTCACGGAAGAGGCCAGAGGCAGAGGACGCTCGAGGAGGCGGCACCCGGGACGGCGTCCGAGGAGCGTCCTGCTGCAGATGGACCGGTGCACGAGGGATAAGCAGGCGCTGTGGTGGCTGGGTGCAGGCCCGGTGACGGGGGCCGCAGCAGGTGCCTGTGTCTTGCAGAGCGCCGAGGCGGTCGGCCAGTGGCTCGCCACGTTCCAGCTGCAGCTCTATGCCCCCAACTTCACCAGCGCCGGCTACGACCTGCCCACCATCAGCCGCATGACCCCTGAGGTGGGCCCCCCACACTGGCGTCCTGTCCCACACGCTGCTCCGGCCTCCTCCTAACGCACCTCTCCTCTGCTCAGGACCTCACGGCCATCGGCGTCACCAAGCCAGGCCACCGGAAGAAGATCACAGCCGAGATCAGTGGCCTGAGCGTGCCCGACTGGCTGCCGGAGCACAAACCCGTAAGGTCCCCCGCATCCCAGTGGCCGGGCCAGGACGGGCAGACAAGACGGCTGGGAGAGGGCGAGGGCGGGGTGACGCTGTCTGGGGGTTGTCAAGGCAAGTGCCCCCCTCCCCGCCCGCATGCTCCCACAGAGACCCCCGGCACCTGCATGTGTGGCCCAGCCCACGACGCACGCACCAGCCAGCAGAGGGACTGCGGCAGTGCCAGGTGCCTGCGCACAGGCAGGCACCTGCCGGCCACACGCCCGGCGTACGTGCACTCAGTAGGCTTCGGGTGCTCGGTAGCAGCTGTGCGCGGGGCACACGCGCCGGCCTCCGTCCGGGGGCCCCTCACTTCTGGCCACGCCGGCGCAGACCACAGCCTCTGCTGTCACTGCTCAGGGGGTGCCCTGCGGTGGGACAGGCTCTGGGTGCGGCGGACGCAGCCCACCGACGCTGGCTGTGGGCCACACGCTGGGCTCCGGGCTCCCCTCTGCAGACCAGAGAGGTGCCAGGGGCCACCCAGGCCCTGGTGTGTTGGCAGGTGGCCTGCACTTGCCCCCCTCCCCCTCCCCTGCCCTGTCACTTAGTCAGCAGCTCAGCAGCTCTCCCGGGAGCATGCCCAGCCCCGTGGCCTCACCTAGCCGGACACAGTGTGCAGAGTGTTGGAGCGGCTGGCGTTTGGCTGCGAGTGTGGACGCCCGGATGCTGTCCAGGGAGTGACCGGGTGGTTCTTGGTGGAGACACGTGTGCACAGAGTGGCAGTGGGAGAGCGGAGAGCATGAGTGTGGCGCGGGAGGGGTGTCGTGCCCGTGGCAGTGTGCAGGTTGTGTCTACCTGTTCCCTACGTGGTGCCATGTGTCTGTCTGCGGTGTGTGGGGTGCGCCTCTGAGGGCCGTGGCCAGGCGAGGAGGCGCCTTCTCCTGCACCCCCACCCCCGTGCGTGTGCGTGTGTGCGTGCGCGCGCGTGCACGCCAGGACCCAGGGGCCCTGCTGGGAAGCCGCCCTTGGGCTCCTGCTGAGGCTGCGGCCACACTGTCTCCGCCAGCGACACTTGGGCCTGTCTGTCTGTCCTGTCTGTCTGTGCCCGCTGACCCAGCGCCCCCTTCAACAGCCCCGGCCTGGGGGGCAGGGTGTGGGCGGCCGACGTGGGCCGCGGGCTGCCCCTCCGTGTCCCCGCTCCGCAGGCTAACCTGGCCGTGTGGCTGTCCATGATCGGCCTGGCCCAGTACTACAAGGTGCTGGTGGACAACGGCTACGAGAGCATCGACTTCATCACGGACATCACCTGGGAAGACCTGCAGGAGATCGGCATCACCAAGCTGGGTGAGGCCCGGCCGCTGGCCCCCCCAGGCCCGTCCCCCTCCCGCCCACCTGACTGCCCCCGTCCACATGACCTGCTCCCCCTCCCATCAACCTGACCCGCCCCCATCTCCCACCCACCTGACTGCCCCCACCTCCCGTCCACCTGATCCGCCCCCCTCCCATCAACCTGACCCGCCCCCCCGCCCACCTGACCCACCCTCCCTTCCATCAACCTGACCCGCCCCCCCGTCCACCTGACCCGCCTCCCTCCCGCCCACCTGACCACCCGCATCTCCCGCCCACCTGACCTGCCCCCACCTCCCATCAACCTGACCTGCCCCCCGTCCACCTGACTGCCCCCCCCCTCCCGCCCACCTGACCCACCCCCACCTCCCATCAACCTGACCCTCTCCCCCCCATCAACCTGACCTGCCCCCCCGCCCACCTGACCCGCCCCCACTTTCTGCCCACCTGACTGCCCCCACCTCCCGCCCATCTGACTGCCCCTACCTCCCGCCCACCTGACCTGCTCCCCCCACCCATCAACCTGACCCGTCCCCACCTCCCGCCCACCTGACCCACCCCACCTCCCGCCCACCTGACCCGCCCCCATCTCCCGCCCACCTGACCCGCCCCCCCTCCACCTGACTGCCCCCACCTCCCGCCCATCTGACTGCCCCCACCTCCCGCCCACCTGACCCACCCCCACCTCCCGCCCACCTGACCCACCCCCACCTCCCATCAACCTGACCCGCCCCCACCTCCCGCCCACCTGACCCGCCCCCCCTCCCCCGTCCACCTGACTGCCCCCACCTCCCGCCCACCTGACCTGTCCCCTGGGCCCCTCAGGACACCAGAAGAAGCTGATGCTGGCCGTGAGGAGACTCGCAGAGCTGCAGAAGGCCGAATCGGCCAAGTACGAAGGGGGGCCCTTGCGCCGGAAGGCGCCGCCATCGCTCGAAGCCGTGGCCATTGAGTCGCCGCCGCCCGAGCCCGCCCCGGCGGACTGCCGCTCCCCCAAGATGAGCACTTTCCAGGACAGCGAGCTCAGCGGGGAGCTGCAGGCGGCCATGACGGGCCCGGCCGAGGCAGGGGCCACTGCCTCCGAGAAGCCTTCCAACCACCTGCCGCCCACCCCCAGGGCTGCCGCGCGGCCGGAGCCTGGCCTGGGTGGACGGGCCCGGCACATGAGCAGCTCTCAGGAGCTGCTGGGCGACGGGCCCCCGGGGCCTGGCAGCCCCATGTCACGCAGCCAGGAGTACCTGCTGGACGAGGGCTCGGCCCCCAGCACCCCGCCCAAGGAAGCCCGGCCGGGACGCCATGGCCACAGCGTCAAGAGGGCCAGCGTGCCCCCGGTGCCGGGCAAGCCACGGCAGGCGCTCCCGCCGGGCACCAGCCCCTTCACGCCCCCTCAGACACCTACCAAAGCCCGGCCGGGCTCCCCCCAGGCCCTCGGGGGGCCTCACGGTCCAGCCCCAGCCACAGCCAAGGTGAAGCCCACCCCACAGCTGCTGCCACCCACGGAGCGCCCCATGTCACCCCGCTCGCTGCCCCAGTCACCCACACACCGTGGCTTTGCCTACGTGCTGCCCCAGCCTGTGGACGGCGAGGCAGGGCCGGCCGCTCCTGGGCCCACACCCCCACCCGTGCTGGCAGCGGTCCCCACGCTGTGCCTGCCCCCCGAGGCCGACGCAGAGCCGGAGCGCCCCAAGAAGCGTGCCCACAGTCTGAATCGCTACGCGGCCTCCGACAGCGAGCCGGAGCGGGATGAGCTGCTGGTGCCAGCCGCAGCGGGGCCCTACGCCACGGTGCAGCGGCGCGTGGGCCGCAGCCACTCAGTGAGGGCGCCTGCCGGCACCGACAAGAACGTCAACCGCAGCCAGTCTTTCGCCGTGCGGCCCCGCAAGAAGGGGCCCCCACCCCCCACCTCCCAAGCGCTCCAGCTCAGCCATGGCCAGCGCCAACCTGGCGGACGAGCAGGCGCCAGAGGCCGAGACTGAGGACGGTGGGCTGGGGGTCGGGCGCAGCGCCGGCGGGCCAGCGACTTGGCTGGCAGTGTGGACA